ACGATTCGCGATAAAAGGATCGCAATCCATCGAGTAAATCATCTCCGATTGATCGACGAACGTCGTCGGGAAGAGGACGATCCGCCGGGAGACCAGTCGCCACCTCCTGAGAGCGTACCAGATGCGATGAAGAGCCTCCTCTTGCTGTGCGGACCTGAGGATGAAGCTCCCTAACACGCGCCTCATCTCCATCCAGCCCCTCTCCGTCGGGTGACAGCCGCCGGAGAGCCGCAAAGTCGTCGTTTTTCCGCTCCGCCGGGTGACAGCCGCCGGAGACGATTCGACGACCCACTTCATTGGTCTCTAAACTTCGTGAGAAGATCTAGAGATTGCCCACGTCGTCTTTGTCCAAGGAGAGCCTTCGAGGCCGTGGACACTGCACGACGACCCTCCCGAACGCTCAGGATTCCGATGCATCGCCGACGCGTCGCCGTCGCGACGCTGGAACTCTGTTTTCCTGCTTTATCTAGAGATTGCCCACGTCGTCTTTGTCCAAGGAGAGCCTTCGAGGCCGTGGACACTGCACGACGACCCTCCCGAACGCTCAGGATTCCGGTGCATCGCCGACGCGTCGCCGTCGCGACGCCGGAACTCTGTTTTCCTGCTTTATCTAGAGATTGCCCACGTCGTCTTTGTCCAAGGAGAGCCTTCGAGGCCGTGGACACTGCACGACGATCCTCCCGAACGCTCAGGATTCCGGTGCATCGCCGACGCATCGCCGTCGCGACGCCGGAACTCTGTTTTCCTGCTTTCAATTTAATTTACGCTTCATTTAGTGATACTTTGTTGATTTTTATTTACCAAACTATACTTCGTTCAACTACGATTCTTCCGGCTTTTACAGATCTTAATTTGATTAATTGAGTCGTCTGTAATCGCCTACGTAAGAATCGCCGGGCGGAACTCTGTTTCTGCCTGATTCGCGTTCGCCGAGCGCTGACGTCATCTTGACGTCCGCACCCTTATTTCCTCTTTTTTTTGTGAATTTTAAATATATTTCCTTTTTATTTCCTAGTATAAAATTCGTAAGAAAATTGTACTCATTGAGAAAAATTCTGAATAATTACCAGATATTGTATTACATCTCTGTGATCGACCTGGAAAATTACCACTATTTTTGGGATTTGTATTGAATTATAATTGATATATTTATTTTGAAATACTTCTAAATATCCGAAAATTCATATTTTCTAGTTTTATAAATTTTAAATTTGCGTGATTTAATATACAACGACTGAGTCACGTCAAGACCCATTGACACCATCTAGATTAAGTGTTATCAATCTTCACAGAACACCTATTACATGTAAATACAAAGAAGTATCTCTTCAAGAAATCATCTACTGAATAACAAACACATTAAGTGTCAGCTACTAGAGTAGAAGTAGACAAAAGCAAGGAGGCAACAATACAATAGTTGCAAAAGACAACAAAGGTTAAAGAACTTTAGGCTTTATGAGGCCTCATTAGTTATGTTCAATAATTTATGATGAAATATGAGTCAATCTCAAGGTCACTCACTCAAATGTTGAAAAAAGACATCCCACTAAAATGAGAAAGTAGAGGATGAATTTTGAGCACTAAAGTTTGCCATGATATCACTTCATATTTTAACCATGGCTTATCACAACCATTTAAACTTAAATAAAACACATCCAAATATGAAATTAGAGTTGTGCTCACTCAATAGAAGAGTCACATCACGTACTTCAACTAGGTGCTATCCACACAAAATTGATATAAATATGCACATGAGAGTGAGCTGATCACAATTGTGTTAGCAATCTGAAAGTGGTGTCATGATTTATTAAGGAGATATTTTATTATATATATATTATTTATATTAACCATAAGAATCTTAAATTCTTATTGACAGAAAATTCAACCCAAATATCAAAGATAATAAAAATTATTAGCTATGATTTTGAGATCAAATATAAGTTTGGATCAATGAATCAAACAACCAACATAATTTCTCATATTCTAATTGAGGTAGAAATATAACGATCTATTAGTTTACAACTATTTGATAGTCAGCAAATAAAAAAAGAGGTGCAACGTAATGAGTAGTCCATATGTAAAGAGTAGTAAAGTAAGGACAAGCCATGTATCAGCCTACCTATTCACTATAATATGAGTAAAGACAAGTTGTTACTACTACAAAATTCTTGCTTTATTTTTGAATTTTGCACAAGTATCATGTTATTATAATAGAAAGTCACAAATTTGAGATTTCTTCACATTTGCAAATGCATCATCCAAAAAGTATATTAGACACAGATAAAGTAAGCTATTCAAAATTATGTCAAAGAATGTACAATATGCCAATGAAACAGGAAATCTACTTTTTCATTTGTGACACTTCTAAAACCACTAATATTATGTAGTAAGCTTAGAAACATATCACTATGAACTACATCGAGAAATATTACATTGCCTAAGAAATTTGTTGAAATATTTATTCAAGATGTGATCTACCTACACAAAATTCGTACATCTATTATGATTGATTGAAGCAAGATCTTCATTAGCAAACTCTAGTCAAAGCTCTCCAAATCATAAAGAATGTATCTCAAGTAAAACATTATTTATCATCCTCAAATAGATGGCCACATAGAGTTAATTAAATTGTATTTAAAAACTTATTTTCACTACTTCACATTAAATAAACCTAAGACTTGAAAGAAATGAGTTATGTGGACCAAATATTAAAGCAACACTTTGTTCTATTAATCTATTAATATTACTCTATTTAAGATAGTTTATGAGTATGACTCTTGATGCGACTTAGTTGTTGTATAGTAAATCACATAGATTTTAAATTTATAAAACTAAAAAATACGAACTTTCATATATTTAAAAGTATTTTTGAAAAAAATATATCAATTATAATTTAATAAAACTTTAAAAAAAGTAGTAATTTTTTAAGATAGTCACAAGAATGTAATATAATATCAAATAATTATTCATAATTTTTCTCAAAGAAGACTATTTTCTATAAATTTTACACTAAGAAATAAAAATATATATTTAAAATTTATGAAAAAAGAAAAATAATAGTGTGGACATCAAGATGATGTTAGCGTCCGACAAATACGAATCAAGAGAAAATAGAGTTTTACTTAATTATTCTTATGTAAGTGATTATAGATGATTTAACTGATCAAATTAAGATCTGTAAAAGTTGAAAGAATCATAATTGAATGAAGTAAAGCTTAGTAAATTTAAATTACATAAATTATCACTAAGTGAAGTGAAAATTAAGTTGAAAGTAGAAAAACATAGTTTTGATGTCGCGGCAGTAATGTGTCGATGATACATCAGAATCATGACTATTTAAGAGGATTGTCATGTAGTGTCCATGGCCTTGAAGGCTCTCTTTGGACAAGGATGATGTGAACAATCTCTAGATCTTCTTGTGAAATCTAGAGATTAATGAAATGAGTCGTTGAATCATCTCTGGTAACTATCACCTAATGGAGTAGAAAAATAACGACTTTGTAGCTCTCTAGCGGCTGTCACTTGACAGAGAAGAGTTGAATGAAGTTGAGGTGCATGTCATGGAGTTTCATCCTTAGGTCTGTACAACAAGAGAAAGCTCTTCATTACATCCAATACATTCTTAAGAGATGGCAACTTGTCTCCTAGTGGATCGTTCTCTTCCCAATGACAACTTGTTTGTCGATCAATTAGAGATCATTTACTTGATGGATTTGTGATCTTTTTATCACAAATCATTCAATAATTTTAGTAATAATACTCTACGAATCATGTTGACGAGATTTTTGCTGATGATCTAGTGATTTTGGCAACTTAATACTTCACCAATGATCTGTAGGAAAGTCACGATAATTAGATAAAAATATGAGTTTTGACTTTGAAAGAATTCAAATTCGTGTTGATTACTTGCCTACATGAGAGAGATTAAAATAAGTACTCTAATATCTTAATCAAGTGACATCATCATAATATATCTCTATTATAAATAAAGGATATTTTAGGTATTAAAATCATCGAAGCTTTTTAGGGGAAGGTGTGACATAATTTAGTTCCACATCACTTGTGCGTCAAAGTTTCAGGTGAATATATAATAATATTATATTTACAAGTAATGAGTTCCTTTTTTCCACGTGTATGACTACTTTTTGCCCTTTAGTCAGTTGACCATTGGTAACATAGAAGGGGAGTGATGCACACGTGCCCCCATTGATCCTAGTCGCTCGAGCTTTTACTCACAGCTCCTCCCTAACTACACTTCCAACCTACTTATGAGCCCAGCTAGCCAGTAAGTTCCCCTCATTTTAGTATATATATATTTATTTTTTTCTTTATTTATCTCAAAAATAAGACTAAAAATTATATAAATTCATAGAAAATCACATAATTAGCCAAAAATTCACATTAATCAACTAAAAACTACTTTTCACACTTTAACACAAATATAAGTCTATTTATCATGACTTAAGACTAAAAATATATTATTTACTAATTATTAACTCTTAATAATGAAGACTTATCAACCCCTCAACACTAATTTTGTTCAACTATCAAAAAATATCTATTGATGTCATAGAGAAACAAGTATACAAATGAGGTGAGTCACAATTAAATGATCACTTTGTAATGTCCTAGTCCCAAATAAAGGCCAAGTATATGCAAGATTCAAGACATTCAATTCGTGATTGATGACTCACTAGTCTATAGACTAACAAGAAGCTAACACCATACTATTTCGGCCCTTATCTGACAATGAAATATGTTGAAAATGTGCTATATTAATTGTACCTAATCGACAACTATTTGAATTTATCTCATGTTTCATGTATCATAGTTGACGAACATGTTAAGATCAACTAATTGTACTAAATGTAGAGCTCACCTCATAAGTTAAATTCTAAGTTGTCTTGGGAATCTGCTCCTCACATCATGGACTAGAATTTCTCATCTAATAAGAACACCTCACATTTGAAATCATGTGGAGCAAATAGAGCCAATCTAACATGACTATCCATACTTCCACATTGAGGATAAGGTGGAGATGTAAAGGAGTATTGATAGACCCCCAACTCATATTACAAATGTGAGGAAGGGCCATGGGGTAAATTTTAATTTATGGGGAGGCTTTTGACAATGGTCTAAGAGAGAACATAAGTGAGGGGGGATGGTAGAGATGAAAAAGGGGAATTAAGACATTTTATGGTTAGTGGAGAATGGTGGTGGCCCTTTCAAATGGTCACCATCTAGGGTTCTAACTAGAACCCACTACTTTCTCCTCTTTCTGATCTTTGTTCTCCTAATTGTCATTAAATCCATCTCTACTCTATTCTATGTCTAGTCTAATGCTCTATCAAAATTCTATCAAAAAATGTGAAATAAATCTGATCGTTGTAATTGATCAAATTATGTAAGCAATTATAAATGATTTAATTGATCAAATTAAGATTTGTAAAAGATGAAAGAATCATAATGAAATGAAGTATATGTTGGTAAATTTAAAATCAACAAATTATCACTAAATGAAATGGAAATTAAGTTGAAAGTAGGAAAATAGAGTTTTAGTGTCGCGACAACGATGCGTCGGCGATGCACCGGAATCCTAAGCATTTGGGAGGATCGTCACGTAGTGTCTACAGCCTTGAAGGCTCTCCTTGGACAAAGACGACATGAGCAATCTTTAGATCTTCTCGTGAAGTCTAGAGATTAATCAAAAGGGTCGTTGAGCCGTCTCCAATGGTTGTCACCTGGCAGAGCTGAAAAACAACAACTTTGCAGCTCTTCGACGACTATCACCTGATGGAGAGGAGCTGGATGGAGGTGGGGCGTGTGTTAGGGAGCTTCATCCTCAGGTCCACGTAGTAAGAGGAGGCTCTTCATCGCACCTGGTACACTCTCAAGAGGTGGCGATTCGTCTCCTAGCAGATCGTCCTCTTCCTAACAATAGCTTGTTCGTTGATCAATCAGAGATGATTTACTTGATGGATTCACGATCTTTTTATTGCAAATCATTCAGTAATTTTAGCTGATGATTCAATGATTCTCGTTGCTTAATCCTTCACCGACGATCTGTAGGAAAGTCAAGATAATCAGATACAAATATATGAATTTTGACTCTAGAAGGATTCAAACCCGCACCGATCGCCCGCCTCTTATGAGGAAGGTGTGACGCGGGTTTAGTCCCACATCAATTGTGTGCCGATTTTTCAAGTGAATATATAGTAATGTTAGCTTTATAAGCAAAGTCACTTTTCTTGCGTGTACGACCACTCCTTGCCCCACAGCTAGCTGGCCATTGGTGACGTGGAAGGGGAGTGGTGCACACGTGTCCCTATCGGTCCAAGCCAAGCCGCTCGAACCCCTACTCGTGGCTACTCCCTGATTGCGCTTCCAACCCACTTGTGGGCCTGGTTGGTCAATAGGTCCCCCTATTTTGCAATATTTTTATTTTTTATTTCTTGTTCTTCATTTATCTCAAAAGTAAGATTGTAAAAATTGTATAAAATCACATAATTACCCAAAAATTCACGTTAATCAACTAAAAACCACTTTTCACATTTTAACACAAATATAAGTCTATTTATCATGAGTTAAGGCTAAAACTATATTATTTAATAATCATTAACTCATGATAATAAAGACTTATCAGGGAGGGTGTCGGTGGGGGGGAGAGAGAGAGGGTGAGGGTATGTGGTGATGGCAAGAGAGAGAGAAGAAAGAGAAAAAGAAGAGAAGAGGGTTTCGTGACAAGAAGATGGCCAAAAGGGGGTCTAGTGGCAATGGTAGGCTGGCGATAGGGTGAACAACGAGGAGGCGGAATAGGAAGGTTTGCGATAGTGAGGAGATGAAGTGGTGGGATGACGACAATAGGGTAGCTAGTGAAAAGGAGAGAGAAAATGAGGGTTTCATTCTCTTAGGTGATCCCACTAATAGGTCTTTGTTATCATGAGTTAATAATTAGTAAATAATATAGTTTTAGCCTTAACTCATGATAAATAAACTTATATTTGTGTTAAAGTGTGAAAAATAGTTTTCAGTTGATTAACATGAATTTTTAGCTAATTATGTGATTTTATATGAATTTATATGATTTTTATAATCTTATTTTTGAGATAAATAAAAAAAGAAATAAAAATAAAAAAATAGTAAAATGGGAGGTACCCGCCAGCCAGCCAGGTCCACAAACAGGTCACAAGTAGAGGCTTGAGTGGCTAGGACTGATGGAGGCACGTGTGTGCCATTTTTCTTCCACATTACTAGTGGCCAGCTGGCTGTGGGGCAAAGAATGGTCGTACATGCAAGAGTTGCTTGCAAATATAATATTACTATATATTTGTCCGAAACTTCAGCGCACAAGTGATGTGGGACTAAACCCGCGCCACACCTTCTTTAGGAAGGTTTATTTCAATCTCTCTCATGTAGGTGGATAATCGGCACAGGTTTGAATCTTCTTAGAGCCAAAACTCATATTTTTTATATGATTATCGTGACTTTCCTATAGATCGTTGGTGAAGGATTAAGTTGTCAAAATTGTTAGATCATCAACGAAAATCTCGTCATCGCGATTCGTAGAGTATTGTTACTAAAATTACTTAATGATTTGCAATAAAAAGATAACAGATTCATCAAGTAAAGCATCTCTGATTGATCGACAAACAAGTCGTCATCGGGAAGAGGATGATCTGTTGGGAGACAAGTCGCCACCTCTTGAGAGCATACCAGATGCGATGAAGAACCTCCTCTTACTGTGTAGACTTGAGGATGAAGATCCCTGACACATGCCCTACCTCTATTCAGCTCCTCTCTATCAGGTGATAGTCGCTGGAGAGTTATAAAGTCGTTGTTTCTTCACTCCATTGGGTGACAGTCGTCGAAGACGATTCGACGACCTATTTCATTGATCTCTAGACTTCACAAGAAGATCTAGAGATTGCCCATGTCGTCCTTGTCCAAAGAGAGTCTTCGAGACTATGGACACTGCATAATGATCCTCCTGAATGCTCAGGATTCTAGTACATCATCGATGCATCACCGCCGCGATGCCAAAACTCTATTTTCTTGCTTTCAACTTAATTTTTACTTCATTTAGTGATAATTTGTGTGATTTAAATTTACTAAGATATATTTCATTCAATTATGATTCTTCTCACTTTTACATATCTTAATTTGATCAATTAAATCATATGTAATCACTTACGTAAGAATCACCAGGCGGAACTCTATTTTTGCCTGATTCGTGTTCGTTGGGTGCTGATATCATCTTGATGTTTGCACCCTTATTTTCTTTTTTCGTGAATTTTAAATATATTTTATTTTTATTTTCTAGTGTAAAACTCATAGAAAATAATATTATTTGAGTAAAATTCTAAATAATTACCTGATATTATATTACATCCTTGTGATCGACCTAGAAAATTATCACTATTTTTTAAAGTTTTATTGAATTATAATTGATATATTTGTTTAGAAATACTTCTAAATATCTAAAAAATTATATTTTCTAGTTTTATAAATTTTAAATTTGCATGATTTATTATACAACTAAGTCACGTCACCCACCAAGGTTGAATTCCCTTAGATGAAGTGTCAAGTCAACGGTGACATGGTGGTTGATGAAAGGGGGTCTACTAGTGATGGTGGGTTGACAACAAGGCAGATGATAAGGAGGCGGAACCAAAGAGAAATATCATTAGCGAAAAGAAAGTAGAGATTAAGATTGTCTTTGGCTAAGTTAAGAAGGATCATGAGTAGGTTAATTGCACTTATTTTAGAAAATTAAGATTGTAATTACTTGAAAAGAACCACACTCTACGGATTCATATAAAGTTCCAACTAGGGGTGTTAGGATCATTGATAAAAGGCAAAAAGAGGGCTATCCTATGGTTCCCTTAGTTCCTATAAGGATCACCAGATCCCATGAAGAATCTTCCACTCGTCCCGCCCACCACTAATGAAGAATCTTTCACTCGTCCAGTGATCTTAACTTTGTTGCTCCACTTGAGTGGGTTTAACCATTATAAAGATGTTATGATCAAGAAAACATTTAGTTCTTACAATCAAGAAAAGAAAAAAGAAAGAACTAGTAAAAAGAGACCAGAAATTAAACATTATCATCATTTTTAGATAGACAAACTCTAAACTATTGGAAAAAAAATAAATTAAATTATTCAAATAGAATATTTGGTTGTAGTGGAACACCAGTTATCATTCGGACCATTAGATCACTAAAACATAGTCAAATAGGTAAAGCATAAATTGAGATTTCTTGATTGAATTTGATTTCAAAAAAACACTTGGAAATTAAAAAAGAGTCAAATAAAAAAGAAGAACAATGCTTCCAACAAGAAACTTTTATTTCTCAAGTTTCATTGAAGTATAAGCTTGATTGTCCATCATAAAGACAAGTAATTCTAAACACACAAAGCGATGGCATGATTCATTTACTATTCTACGTGTGACATTCTAGAATGAATGCAGTTCAATAGAAAATTACACTCACAAGAAGTTTGTCAAGCTCCATTTGCTATGTTAACACTTTTGACAAAGATCACAACTTGATTGAGGTCAAGAGCATATAAAAGGTCATTTAATTTCCTATTGTCCTCCAACTCACTCAATTTGATGCAATGCAACTCGAAAACAGTGACCATCATGAAGCAAACCAATTGATAGAGGTACGCAGCAAAGAGATATGAAGAAGAGAGTATATAACTTGCAGATTGAGACATCATTTAAATGATATATGAACCATTAAAAAAAATAAAAATGATCTTATGCCAAATTGTATAAATGCCTCACAAATCAATCTTTGTTCTATATGAAGTCAAATGTATAATCTTTGTTCAGGTAGGAAGAAGACGTCTTTTGGTGGGACAAATGTTTTAGTGAGAAGAAGATAAGCTTGTTGTCCTCAGAATCCAAGGGCTGGCAGGCTTAAGATGAAGCCAAAGATGACCAGGGAGGAGATAAAGAGTAGACAAGGGATGGCCATGTTACGAGGAAGCAGGGAAAAATATCTCATTGAAAACTTTGTTCCTCTAACACATTAAAGACTTCATACACGCAAGGGGGACACGTGTGAGGTTCCTAAGGTACCACACTTTACTCCTTAGAAAGGAGAGCAGGAATGATAGAACAGTCTACAAAGATGGGCTTTAAATAGTTGAATGCCTGGTGAAAGGAAAGAGCTCATCTCCTCTTTCCGATCGGTTCCCGTTTGTCAAGACGCGGGAATAGGCCATGGGCCGGATGGTATAAAGACTTTGGGCCTATGTCCAATGGGCTCATTTAGGAATAGCTTTCGGGAATGGATTTCAGACGCAGCAGACATCCGGAGAACGGCTTTTGGAATGGTGACGTGCTTGTGCTTGAACGGGAAATCTCAGGATTCTGACGTCTCTCGATAAACACGACGCGTGCTGCCGTTTCCATTAACGAGGGAACGAACGTCGAGTGAAGAGGTTTGCCGCCTCGTGCTGCCGTCCCACACTCCTCTGCCGCGCGGCTGCCGTCGCCGGCCATGAAGATCGTGCGCAAGGACTTGATCCCCAACGGACCAGGCAGCATCAAGGTGCGTCGATCCAATTCTTCTTCATCTTCGTCTGGTTTGCTCTTTCTTGCGTTGCGGCCTACCTACTTACCTTTGGCAGCTGTCCTTTTACTCTATTTAAATTTCCAGATAATTCCGGAAGAAGAGGATGACATGTGGCACGCCTACAACCTGATCAATGTTGGGGATTCAGTCATGGCCGTTACAGTCAGGTACACCTCCGTTCAATGTGGTCGTTCTTCTTCTCCCCTGGTTCTGTTTTTTTCATTGTTTTCCGGCAAATTTCTATATTGGTTGTTTCTAATTCACGTATCGCGTGGTAGTAGTATTCGTGGAGAATATGATCAACAAGAATACCAATATGTGTTTAAATGGTTGAGTGCTTCCAGATCGAAACGTCATCTATTTTTTGCAGGCAGATTGCCGAACGTCTAATTTCATAGAAGCTGGTAGATTTTCCTGCGCATCATGTTGTTTATCAGAAGGGGAGAAGTTCCCTTGTAGTGTGGTGCCACCCCATCAGATTTTCCGATGGAATGGCATTTTCGTTTGAGGGTGGAAACAATCCTTTTTCATAAAACAGTCACAAAGGTAAATGATGTCGCTCAGAACAGAACGGGGAACTTAAGAAGTTCACAATTGGGTTTTCTGCCCATCTAACGTGACGATACAAAAAGTAAGAGAGAAGTCATTACATAATGTTTTCTCCATCTGTATACCGTGCCTGCTTGACAGAATGACCGGTACTCCAAAAATCTCAATTTTTTGAATCAATTAAAGATGGGATTGATCACCCTTTTAATGAAGTTATTGCTAAGAATTTTTTGGTGAAACTTTCATGATGAATCGTGGAAGGATCTTCCATCCATAAAAACAATATGCTGTGGACGGATATCATATCAGCTACTCAACAGATCATTGATGTCTGTTTAGTTATGCACCTTGACATAGTTAAATGTAACCTTCCTCATCACATTAATAATTCCATAGTTTGCAAGGAGATATCGAAAATTTCTCAAGACATGAAAACAGGCTTACCTATGGCAGGGTAGAAAATAGAAACGATGCAGTTAGTAGTGTTAGGGGTGGCGAAAATCTTACATGAGTCATTAACCCTTTGGGTTGATTACAGATTGTTTCTGGTTATGGTCTGAGTGATTTTCCTGATACCTTTCTAATGATCGTTCTTGCCAGGATTTGATGGCTGAACCCGTTTTCTTATGTGGATCAGTTAATTGGACGAATTGAGACCCAAAGACGACTTAGCTATATTAAGGTTAAAACACTTGAAATTGGATAAAGCATTTATTGAATAGTACAAGTTAGTGTCGAGAGACTTTCAATGGGGTAGGGTACGAATTGTGCTTCAAACTGGGCTGGTTGAGTTTTAACTTTGGATATTTGCTTGGGTAACCATGGAAAGATACTTGAAATTTGTTGGAACTCTAGTGTATTTTTTAAAGGGGATTCACAGAGTTGCTTTACTTTGTAAGATCCGACTAAAAAAATATAGCTATTTCAACAAATATTTTTTAGATAAATTTACGCATATTTGTTACAATTTTCAGTTTACAAAAGTTTTGGCCTTCAAAGATAACAGAAAGAGCTGTCAGATGATGACACTTGTGGTGAAATGAGTCCTAGGGAAGTGGGTGGTCCCTATTTTTTCAAGTTATTCCTTCTCCTCAGGGCAATCTTTAAAGTATAGCTTTTGGAATTTTTCTGAAAATTACAATGTTTTCTTGCTGCTTCTCTCCCGGAATGCTCCTCTGCATGCCTCAGGGACCCAGTACAGCCTCCACCTGAAGTTGCATCTGCCATGCCTTTTTGCTTTGTATGTTGGCAAACTCGGCTGGAAAGAAGTTTTCCTTTACTATGAATCATGCTCTATTTACTAGGGTCAAAATATTGTCCCAAAAGCTCTTGGATGATTAAACTTTTGAACAATTTGTTGATTATTCTTGTATCCTTTACTGCTTTGTCCTGCTATTCTAGGAAAGTTATGAGGGAGATGGCATCTGGTGGACGTGATGCTGAGCGTGTCAAGTTGAAGTTAGAAATAAAAGTTGAGGTAGGATACACCAGAAAATAAGGTGGTCTACCTTATATTTAATTGTGACATTTTATCTGCATATATGCATACATCCCAAAACCAAGGATATTGAACTTATACTTTTTCACTGATCACTTCTGTCTCCTTTTATATCTAAACACACATCCACGCATACCTACCTTTTCTTTTCTATAATGCTTTTTATTGTATAATAGTTTTGATGTTCGAATGGAAAGCTATTATAATGTAACTTGTATCCAATAGGACTTAGTTTAATCGCTATTAAGATGAGTTTATCATTTAACCAAACATATCTAGGGACATTATTTGTGTACCTGGGTATAACATTGCTATATTCCCTTATTACACATATATGCGTGCACATGGATATATTTGGAAAGTTTGCTATGATGTTTCTTTGGGAGCTTCTTTCATGACTCTGAACTGGCTTTGCTTTCTGAAGCGGTAAGGCATATGAAAGTCAGACAACTTCAGAGCTGCCCTTCATGACTGAGTTGATGGATACTTTTCGGTTATTAATGGTTTGGGTAATGAGGGTTTAAACAGCGGTCAGGTGTGAATACATTGCAGGAGCTTTACACTCCTATCTCTGCAACCTGACAAACCATCATTAGGTGTCCGAATTCTGTTGTTTATTGCCCCACATTTCAAGATGATGTCCGCATCCAATAGCATTTACTGAGTACTTTGATATTAAATGAATGCTTCATCCTATCCACTTCATGAAGGAACAAACAATGTTGATTTTGGATATGCATATGTAAATTTAAATTAAGCAGGCAGGCCTTAGACTGCTATTAAAATTCATTGAGGCAGAAGATTGATAGACATGAAATATTTCTCAAATGTTAAGAGTAGCTTGAAAAATTTTCTTCAGCTTAGACCAACTGAAATGAAGAGAAGAGAGACCCAGATTTTATTCTTTACTAGGTAGGGAATAGGAGGATACAAGAATGCTATGATACTTCGTATGATGGACTTTATAGAATATTGAAAGTGGTATTGTGAAGGAATAGGCTTGGTCTGTGGTGCATAGGAAAAAGGTAATGTCGAGTACTTTTCAGTGGAGAGAGTATTGTATCTTTTTTGTGGAGTGCAAAGATGTGTCATATACTCTTAATATTTGGGTTGATGACTGAGGAAACAGTCTATCCTCTGACAGCCAGCAATGTATCCATTGGTATTGCATGTTGGTTTTTCTTTTACTCTGAGTCATCTTCTCTCGCAAGTTTTGGAATTCTTTCTATTAGCTCTTTATAGGCTTATAAACTACACTTGACTTCAAGTCGTTCAAAACCCACACGTAGGATCTTAAGAGGGAGATTTTTTATCTGAGTCTTGACACAATGTGTAGCCAGAATCGATTGCATTCTTAATCTGGTTATGACCTGCTTTTGGTCTTCAAATAAGTCCAAACGACAGTTTTCTCTTAGTATCATTGACGAATATCAAATGACTCTACACTTTTCATTTTTATACCTTCAAGAAAAAATGATGGTAACGGATGATGTGTATGATCTTATAGAAGTGTTTGACTAATTATAAAGCTCTCAAATGCTTGATGAAAATGTACCATAGCTGTCTGCTTTAAAGCAGTTGTTTTCTTTTTCTTTCAGGCTGTTGATTACGACAAAGAGGGGTCTGTCTTACGTATACGTGGCAAGAATATATTGGAGAACGAATATGTGAAGGTAGATATTTTGCTACATATGATTTTACACTTTACTAGTGCTTAATAATGGTATAATCAATTTATAGCTGATTGCAGATTGGACAGTTCCATACACTCGAAATTGAGCCACATCGACCATTTGTTATAAGAAAAGTATGTTCATGAATTCTGTGTTATTTCTCAATACAACATCACACTTTTCATTCTGACCCATAATATCTGTTGCGTATCAATCTTTCATTTTCTTCTGTTTCAGCTGAAACGAAGGAATTTCATTTTTCATTCAATTGTTGAATTTATATCGCCTTTTACATATAGCTCATCATTGTGCATTCAGCTCAGTTTATTATGAAATATTTATGTGGTTCTAATAGATTCAGCTCTATAAACATTATAGGATGTTTGGGACTCATTGGCATTGGATATACTTAAGCAAGCATGTGGTATGTCTCTTTTCTCTTAAACTTGGTAATTTTTTGTGGTTTTTGAAGTGTATTTGAAGAATCAATTTTTATCTTAGAAAATGGCATAGCGGAGATATGGAGATGGATACAGATGGCATACAAAATTCTATCAGACATTTTTTTTTCATCTTCTATTGTATCTTTTTTTTAATGTGACGGTAATGGAATGGCCATATTTCAAATGACGAAACAATCATGAACTTGAAAAGTGGGCCTATGAGAAAACTGACCAAGTTCTAAAGCATATTCATTTCATTATTTCTTCATTGATTTTAAAACACATCAAGAAGATTTTACAACGTTTTTCAGAATATTTCACTTCCTTCCTCAAACACACTAAAACTCAAAATCACATTTTGATTTTTGCTAGCTTATCTTGATAGTCTTGACGATTTACCTGTTGATTTGTATTATATATGTCAGCTATTTGCTGGGATGAAGTAGTTTGGACAAGTGTTCCAAATTTTCCCTTTAGAAGCGTGGGACAAAAAATTACAGCAAAGCTTTCCTTGGGTGGGGTGAGGTTCAGAAACAGAGCATACATTCCCTACTCACATCAAAAGACTAAAGGCCCCTACTCCTCGCAGTTCTCCCTTTAACACCAACGGTTGATAGGAACCGAACTATACATTTATGTGCATGCACATCATATTGTGCATGAACTGGTGCTTGGGGTGTGAATTGTTTATGGGAAATGGATCATTTGAATCAGTTGTTGAAGATCCCAGCATCAAGTTTTCGTTGTTTGTGGGAATACTCCATAAAATGTTTGAAAGTGCAAATGAGGATTGACGAATGAGACATGTTGTAACTTTCCCTCTGTAGAAACATATTACTTTTCCAAGTAGTTTATTCAACGGGCAACAAAGGGAAAGATAGGACAAGATTGTGCCTGCGGTTTTCTGATTTGGAAAGGAAATTCATTTATTGTAGACGATTAAAAATATTACAGTATAAAAATCTTGTTTAAACAGGAGCCTGTGATGCAAACAGGGCAAACAAACTATACTCAAGTCGTATGCTTGGCATAAGATTTTTCTTGGGCTGTTTTATTCTTGGACACGACTCATTTAAATCGGCTGTGTTTCTAAATTTCTATCCACTATGTCAACTCGACTCTATCTCACCCATTCTGCACTGATATGGCTGGGAGTATGGAAGTAACTGTGTGAATGCCTGCCTGCATGATGTATGTATTTTTTTTGGTGCTCTGACTGGACCTGTATTGTGTTTCAGATCCTGCTGCAAGTGCTGATCTAGCAGTAATACTGATGCAAGAGGGCTTGGCACAGATTTTTCTTATTGGCAGAAGGTACAAATGTCATTGATGAGATTTCAAAGCTATGATATTTTGGATTGAATGTTATATATTGTCTTTAATTTTATCCGATATCAATTTCATTTTCTCTTGCTGTTATCTCCTTGTGCAGACATAGAGATGCAATTTACTTTCCAAGCACCCAAAAAAAAAAAGGGAAATCATATTTCTATTAGGACGACCAGTTTAATAGAGGCTTTCATTCAGGGGATTGGATGGCCATGACCACTTATTAAGATGCCCTTGCCTCTGACAGAGTATAAAATCTTCAAAAAAATTGAAAGAAGATAGTATGAAATGCTTGAGAGTAACTTGATTAGTTACTTTGTCATCCTGATTCTTGCAGAAATGACTATGGCATAATCATTTGAGATTCAACTTTTCTGCTGTTTCTTTCCCATCGCGAAATAAAACAATAAAATTGTCACAAGCATCTATATATTCTTATATGCTTTAATATAAAACACTGAAAATATTGAAATAGATCTCAAAATTCCTGTACTTGAAACGAACACTTTGACAGTATACAATGGCACAGATGGTATTGAACTCTCTAGGATTGTTTTTCTTTTCTATCTGTTTCTTTTCACTGTATTTTCGTCCTTCTCTGTCATTCCCTATGTTAAGTGGATCCATTAGACTGTTAACGGATCCACTTAAAGTCTAATGTAATGGGCCTGGCCCATTAACTCATGTGACCTGTACTTAAGTGGGAAACCAAGATAATTGATGTGAGATTTCGGGATTGTGGAAACTCTGCTCCAAGAAGTGGTGACTGATTCATCTTCCTGGAAGAGGAGGATCGTGAAGATCGACTCCTTTCATTCTCCAAGTTGCAAGAATCTCAGTCAAGATCAATTCTCAACAGATGGTTCATTGTAGGATTCATATCTAATTCATACCTAATGCGAGTGTATTGGTAAAACAGTCTCCCATCATAAAGTGCTTTTTCTTTACCAATGTGGCATCTCTAGCATAATCGTGAGTAATTTCATAATATTCCTATTCTAATGTTGTCGACAAAGTTTTAGCTGACATCAATTGTTAAGCTTGTGGATTACATTGCACTTACTTTTTACTCAATCCATTCTATGTCATTCCATGGGTCTTTATATGTCACGGATTTTTAGCTCCCATTTATTAACTCTTTTTATTTTAATTATTTTCGTGAATGGTTGACACGAAAAATCTCCTTAAACAGTATTACAACAACTCGCTCACGGATAGAGTCTTCAATTCCTCGGAAGCACGGTCCTGCTATTGCTGGTTACGAAACAGTACGCTTCTGCATGTTAAGCTGCCACTATCTTATTTATATTAATCCTGATAATTCTTTTATTCTTCCAGGCCTTAAAGAAGTTTTTCGAGAATGTTCTACAGGTGAACTATTCTTACATTCCCGTGATCTCATTCTTCTTTTGTTATGTGCTGTTAGTTTTGTGTTTGCTTAACTAATCTACACTCTTGTTTTGTGTGAGACTTGTACTGGGCTAAAAATGTTTTGCAATTCTCAGGCTTTCCTGAAGCATCTTGACTTCAAGGTTGTTCAATGTGCAGTGATTGCAAGCCCTGGCTTCACCAAGGTCCGTTCAACTAGTGATTTAATGATGTTGTTTGCCATTTGTATACAGTGAAAGCCTTGCGCAGGGGATAGATTATTTAGCTAGCATCCATATGTATCACTAAATAATACAAAAATATGAGTTAACACTTTTATTTCAGATAAGTTACAAGATAGGTGAGCTTCCACGTAGAAGAACTGAGAAACCATTGTCTCCAAAGTATATGATATAACTGTAAACGAACGACTGGGTTTATAAGTGAAACTGTCTTTTTTCTACTTTCCTGTAAAACTGTAAACGGACACATGGGCATCACTGTTACTCTATAATTAGTTGAGTTGAATAAGAAACCCCTTGAGAATAGCGGGCTGAGTAGGTCTCAGAAAGTTCTCAAAAACAGCCCCCAAACAATTGTGGTCTTCGTGCATCCCCTTTCTTCCTCCTCTCATCATCTTTTGCCTGATTTTCTCTAAGATCTTCATTTAATGTGAATAGTTGTGGTCGAATTTCATTCTGATCGTAAGCATTCTGGATATGGAAAACGACTTAAAATTTCAAAATCTATTATTTCACCATGAATTTATAAATCCAGTTTCTTCCCCGGGTAATGGGTGCTGGACATCTCAGGATAGTTGAATGATATCTTACCCATTTAGTTACTTTTTTCGTGTGATTGTGCTCTCATTTCGGGAGGATTGGTCGTATGGGAACTCTCCCTTCCTGTTTTGGGAGGATCCACAGTAAGGGTAGGAGAATTTTTGATCCAAATGGAATACAAGGATGTCGGAGCCTTGAATTTAGGAGATATACCCAAGGAAGAAACAAGGCTGATGATAGATCTCCCAGTTCTCCTCATCTTAGTAATTGCTGCATAGATTATAAACCTAATTCATGAAACTCAAAATGAGTACGTGGAAATTTTCAATTTAGATGTTCATTGTCTCATTATTCATGACTTGGGCATCAAACATCATGCGAACCCTTGAAAGCGAGATGTTTCATCGGGGGAGTTTCACATGGCTACCTCCCCTCATGTGATTAGATATGGCACCTAGGCAACATTAGTACCTCTTGCTGCCTATATGGAGTTGAGGAAGAGGCGGACCATTTATTCTCTAGGTGCTCCTTCACTAAGCAAATTTAGCCATGATTTTGCATAATGACTTGTATTCGCATCTGCATTCTAACATATCTGAGTGCACCATGGGGAAGACGGGAATACAGATGGAAACCAAGGAGTATCTCGTAGTGTCGGGGTTCATACTTAATGCAACCCATTTAGGCCATTTGTCAATAACCGAAAAGCCATGTTTTTGGGCATAGGAGCTACTGGATGGATTGATTGTGCCATTTTATCGTTGCTAATGTGGAAGAGTGTGGAAGGATTGCTTGTAATGGGATACTAAACAACTTTTCCGTTTAAAGGCTTTTGAACTGTGATAGCATGCACTCCTTTTGTGTATGCTTCTCGGACATGTACATATTGTATTTATCTCTTTATATAAATGATTATGTGGCACAGTAAAGTTTTAGAAAAATAATTTTTATAATAACACTTCTAACAATAAAAACTTATACAATTAATTTGTTAAGTCTTGGAGGAAGTGTCCAATTTCGTGCTCTTCGTATATTTGTTAACATTGTGGAACTTTATGACTTTTTTTTTTCTCAAAACGAGTCTATTGATGGTGTCCTTCAGGATCAGTTCCGTGACTATATGCTCTTAGAGGCGGAGCGTCGACAACTGAGATCGATCATTGAGAACAAATCTCGTATAATTCTTGCACATTCGACCTCAGGATATAAGTACGTTTCGTTTCTGTTTATTGATAATTCTTGGGTGACACTTCCAGCATTATTTTGTGATATGTATTTCAATGCGAGTAAGTTAGTTTTGTTTTTTCTGCTTCCTTTAAACTTGTTATGTGATTTTCTTCTGAAAATCTATGTTTCCAAACGGTTTTTTTTTACCCATCTTGATGAAACAGAATGCTAACTAAGGTTAAAGTGAGAATATAGAAGGATGTATTTTCTTTCTTACGATATTCCCTAAACCCATTCATCAAGAAAAGTTTACGTTGTCTCATAATTGCTGGTGTTTGTATGATCCTACTTACTGTCTGACCGTTCCCTGTTGATACACCCACTACCGGCGAGGCTGAACTGCAGCTGCCACCTTCTCGCCATGAGGCCAATATGACACCTCTCGCATGACACCTGACCCAAACACAACCATAATTTCCCATCATTTTCTATTTACATTTTAAAAAATCCTGCTGCCGTCTGACATGAGTGCTCTCTCTCTCTCTTAATAAACACCCCCGGCCACATATCTTATGTAGACCTTTGGGCATTACCATCTCTAAGATAATGCACACGCTTATCTTCTGGGAGAATATTTCTCAAGGTTATTACTTCCCAATCATCTATTCACGTTAATGTTTGTGGTGCAGGCATAGCTTGAAAGAAGTTTTGGACGTTCCAAGTGTTATGGCTTTGATAAAAGACACAAAAGCTGCACAAGAGGTACCGCTTAAGTAATTTAACTTGATATCGTACTCCATTTCTTTACTTTTGCTTTCTTTTCGGCTATCTTTTTTAGAACAGCTGAAACTGTATTCTTCTTGCTGTAGGTTCGAGCTCTCAAGGACTTTTTCAGCATGCTTTCAAATGTTAGTATGATCTCAATATGATTCCTAGTTTACATTAATAAATTCCTTTTTAAGGTTTTTTAACAGCTTTGTGTGCGAACTGTTATGTGAAGTTTGTAAGCTGGCATCTTGTAGTGTATCCTGCCCGATCTTTAGAAAATTTTATGCTATAGAGCAATGAAAAATTACCTACCTCAGATGCAGAGAGGTATATCTGCATCTTTTTGTCTCACAAGATGTACGATGGACATTTATGTGTACTCAGCCGTGTAACATCTAGAATGTTGTTATTATCTAGTAAGTATGTTTTTTTGTCTTTTATGTTCTATTTAATATCACCATAAAATATCCAAATGCTTTCCTAGGTGCACTAGGTACCATATATCATTTTATTATTTTTGGATAAAAATTATACTTATAGTGGCTTCTTGACACGCTTCCATCAGTTTGATCTTTGAACAAATTTCTATTTGGTTTTAGATCTTTTCCTTCTGTAGTGTCTCCTAAAGGCTTGTTTCTTGTTTAGGATCCAAGCCGTGCCTGTTATGGGCCTAAGCATGTTGAGGTTGCCCATGAACGGATGGCCGTCCAGACCCTTTTAATAACTGATAGCCTTTTGAGGTAATTTCCAGATGTTTTCTTTGGGGTTTTCCTCACAAAATGTTGCTTTCAGGTTGAATCTTTGATATTTATCCTACAACTCTTTCTTGATCTGTTGGATTACGCCCAGGAAAAATCTCAGAAAAAAAAGAAAAATGTTTTCCTCAAGTTGCAGGATTGTACAACTGTGGAGAGAGTCTCCTATGCTTAAGTCATGTGTAGCCTTTTGTGTTATGAAATTGGAGATATCCTCAGATGATCCTAGCATGGGTTTGAGTCTGTTGTTTCTCCTAATAAAAAAACATGCATATTCGCTTATTATATGAAAAAAGGTGATGAATTTATCAATGATCTGCCGGTTCCATTCTGCGGATTGTCACCAGGTGCCTTTCTTGCTCCCCATGCATGTTTTCATGAGTGACTACTGCATATTGACTAATTTAAGAACGCTACGATGGGAAGTTTTTAGCATTTTGATAGAAGAATTCATAAATTCTGTTACGAGGTATAAGCAAAATGATCAACCCGCTTGACTTGCAGATGCCCCCCCTTTAGTTTGAGGCTAAAATTACTATTTTTTTTTGTCTTGGATCGTACTTAAGACCAAGCTTTGTCCCCAGTAGGTAGACAGCATGAATGTAACGTGATAGGGCTTCCCGGACTGCTTTGATGGGAATTTCTGGTTCTTGTTCTAGTCTTCTCCTAATCTATGTATAAGGCCAGAGCCAAAGTTTCATTCTCACAACCTAAAATTTTATTTTTTATATTTTTTATTTTGTTTTCTCATCAACCCCTCATTTTTTATGCATGTTTTTTGTTTTCTCCTAATAAAAAAACATGCATATTCGCTTATTTATGTGAAAATCACCGACCCCTCATTTTTCTTTTCGTTTTGTGCTTGAGGTAACTGGGTAGTAGTCATCATCATAATATTTTACTAGCAATCAGAAGCCAGCCTTTCATTTGGCTGTCTACCCCCCCCTCTATATGTATCAATCTGTATCTTGCAGGTTTGGACTTGTATGAAGAGAAAAAGAAGAAGAAAAAAATGCTTTCTTTAATCCCACAGAACAGAGAAATCTGAAGGTTTTGTCATGGCCTTCCCGCAGAAATTCCGATGTGGAGACGAGGAAGAAGTACGTTAATTTTGTGGACTCGGTCAAAGGTTCTGGGGGCGCTGCACATATTTTTTCTTCCATGCATGTCTCTGGAGAACGTAAGCGTTGACCTCCTGGGCGTGTGATTTCCCGAATATCTTCATTAATCTCTCTCCGCTTTCATTCCAAAGGTCGGCAAAAACAGCTTCCCCTCCTCACATGGTTGCTTCGTTGCCTTCCCTTTTGAGCAGAACTGGCACAGATAACAGGAATCGCAGCCATCCTCCGCTTCCCCTTACCAGATTTAGAAGACATCGAAATGTGAAGGGCGGCACCGACCAGCTCGCACGTGTAAGTCGTCATACCCATACCATCTCGCACGTACTGAGTTTGGGGCATGTTCGTAAATCTGTACGTGGCAAACCCACCCCGCCGGCCACTGAGGCTGATTAATTAACAAGACTAAGATTTACAGCAAGCACCTTCCAGTATTGTGTTAAACAAAGAGCAAGCACCTCTTCTCGTACTCTGCTGCATAATAGGTTGAAAGAAATATTGATATACTGAACACATCTCTACTCTTTCATTCATGGCCATGCATCAGGGAACTCGATGTTTCGCGCTCTTCGAACCACTCGTTGATGTCCAGTTAAGGAAGTTTATGCTTTCCCAGCAGAGATTTATTTTCAGGGAAATAATAATAATAATAATAATAATAACATGTATATTAATTCTTCGTAAGGTTTTTTCTCCAAGGGGTGGGTAACTTTCCTTAAATAAAGAGAGTAGTTTCATGCATCTAGGCTTATGGCATGGATCCATCCAGGCTACGGGAGATGGGAGGAGGGCAAGGTGGAATTCCGTAGGAAAAGATACATGTACAAATAATATTAGCTGGTTATTGGCCTCACCAGTTTTGAAGAATAATAATAATAATAATAATAATAATAATATATTAAATAAATTGATCTATACGTGTGTTTTATCATAAGAGATTTTGCTCCACCCACCTTCGCCACATGTCAGCCAACATGAGAAACCCACCCATCATAAATTTTACCTCATAATATTATTTCTTCTTTCCCCAAAACCGTAGCCGTCCATTATTACTATCTTATAAAATATTTCTCCTAGATTTTTAGAGCCCATAAATCGGATCAACAAGAGTGCGCATAGAAATCAAAAACCGCATCAATCAGCAAGGACAATAATTACACCACCATTGGCCCGAGATCAAAGTATCACAACACATTAGAAATTTATTTACAGAATACATGCATGCATGCATACATACATACATACATGCTGACTAGGATTCACAAATAATTGAGCAATCATGTGATTGGAGGACTCAATCTTTTCCCAGGTCAGCCGAGAAGAAAATCTTTTAGAACGGATTGAAGAAGATACAGAGAGGTGTGAAAGAAAAAGGTTAATCTCGACACTCTTGGACGTCAACTGCCCCTGAAAGACGGACGGACGGAGGAAGCTTCTGCAATATGACTCTGCAAGCCTCTGCAATATGACTTGAATCTCCCTTTGAAGGTTCCACAAGATTGATGCATCGGTCGACCTGACCCATAAATATAAAGTAAGATGAGATGAAGAAAAATGACGAATTAGGAAACCGCTTTTATATAAAATAGGAATAGGTTGCTCAAGCTAGCATCCCATGTTCAAAACTATCTCAGGCTTCATCAATTTGTGCTGTGATGTGAGAATATTCGTAGATTCGTTGGAAATCAGAGATGAAATCCAAACGTACAGCACACGGGCCCCCATCAGTGGTGCGGACATGGTTTTTTCAATCGTCATACCATACAACTGGGCAGGAGCAACATACAAAGATGAGTGACCTGACATCATTCGATGATGATATTACTTTAAAAAACATCTCCCATTCATTATCATACAAGATGCTTCAACATCTAAACCCATTAGAATAGAAAACTGATGATAACAGTAAGAAAAAATATAATAAAAAATATATCTAAAGCCCGTGACAGTAGAAATATCAAGTCTCTCCAAGAGGAATTCCAAGCAGTCTCATGACCTAAAAGCAACACTTGGAAACCTGAACTCACACATGGAATCTGCAAATCTCTGGTAGCACCAGTCGCCGTCCTTGAAACGCTGTTAGGATGGGATGTTTTCCGGAATGACATTCTGCATCACGTGCTCCAATCATAGCAATTATTCAGAGTAAGACTTGGCAACATTCAAAGGTGAGAAAAATCCAAGATTTTAAAAGGAAGAGTCTAGACGTGTAGCGTACATGCTCCCTTGGGGCGATGCCCATTTCATTCAAGTAGAATCCATTCGAGCAGGCCGCTTTGGTTTATGAAAAAATCCTCTCCCACGGAGCGAATTTGTCATTCTACGTCTTCTCGATCTGTTATCGCCCACGTTGAGTCCATCAAGATTGCTTGGACCCCAAGTGTACATCACATATTTCCTCACCTTATTATTGGATGATTCAGATGCATCAGGATACGAAAGCCAATCTGGACAAGCACCCTACAGAGGATCATAACAAAAAGATGATGGCACACCTTGTCCCAATTAAGTTGAGCTTTTCGTTGACTTCTAATGGTGCGGAAGACGGCATCTTCATTGCGGAGACTCTTGATTCTATGCTCACACTGGGGAAAAAAAAAAACAAAAAAACTTAATGTAGATATCACGGGAATATAGACCGGTTATAAACAGTAAAGGCAGAAACAGTTAACGCAAATCAGAAGAGACCCAGCTAGATTCCATTCCCTATATTTGAAATTGCCTTCTTGTATAGGAGGGGCATTACTATTCTTTAGATGAATCACAAATATCTTTGTTAATCCTGTCACATCCACTTTTCTAATGAAGCTGTATAAAGTTTGACAAAGCTTGATAAGGCGTGGAAGGATGGAACGTTGGAACGAAATTTATATGTAAGAGGAGGAGACTTCATTTCAGACGTAACTTAACAAAACCCATCTTAACTCTAAATGATTTTTTAATTTTGATGCGCTGCTTTTAAGCACATCTGAAAAGAAGAAAATTGAAAGTCAAAACGTAGTATATAGTCAAATAATGGAACACAACCTACAGGTAAGAAGTTACACCATGTCCAAGGATAATAGTTAAAAGCAGAAAAAAAAATAAAAATCCACCTTTTGGATATGCGCTCACTTATCTAATTAGCCGACATTTGAATGCATAAAAAGTTAAAAATGCAATATGATGTTATTAAGTTGATGGCGGAGGGGGGAGAAGAAAATAACACAACTTGGGTAATATTATAACTAACATGAATAGATGCCAGTAAATCGGCGCGACTTTTACCAAATACGGAAAGAAATGCATAGTAATGTTATATGCTCTTTTTCTATTTATCTTCTCAGTAGGCTTAACAAAGGGGCGTCATCAACAAGAAGCTTCGTCCCACTGATCTCCAATCATACGGAGGATAAGGTAAAGTCATAGAACACACCCATCAGCTATAAAAAGCCATAAAAAACATAATTGTGGGATGAAGCTCAAACATTGCAGGATATGGTCATCGACAGCATTATCCAAATTTCCCATCTCAAACGACCAAAAAAGAAAAGGAAAAACTCGTGTATCTCCCAATACATGATCTTTCAGGCGCCCTTTTTGCATCCAGAAGGTTAATTCTTTAGCAATTGCATATGTCATACAGACAACCTCAATGGAATCAGACAGAAAGTGGCATTCAGGACTGGATATCACGAGAAGAACTTTCACATTAGAATAATTCAAGCAAGACAAAAAGGCTTACCTGGAAAAGGATGTACATGAAAATGACAACGCTGATAGCATAAAGCCCACCGACATCTGCAAGAAAACCCACTGCAGAATGCACATATATAAGCAACTGGTTAATCTTTCACGAAACTTACAGCAGAAAGCAAATAATATGATCTTCATTATGAACTATCCATGGGCATTTACGCTATTGCGCGAAGAAACAAACAAGAAGCTACAATATGAGATCATTTATTCATCAAATATGGCATAAGGTATCCGAATATCTAAATTATTCATCCCAAAAGTAAACAAGATCAAAGTTTTTCCAAGGTTAGCCAAACTAAATCGTTATGTGGCCTGGAACGAGGGAAGAGGGACCTGTAATGGACATTAAATAAGGGTGGAAAATGGAGGTAAAATATTAAAATATCTAAACGAACTCTAGTAGCAAGATTCCGAATTCATAGTGCTACAAGGTCCTAGCAATACTTGATGAATACAGATCTCAGAAATTTAGTTTTCAACCTCATGACTAAAGGACAGTCTCATTTTTCCATAATATGTGTAGTTGTCGACGACATAAAATTGTTGACAGTTTTCCTCCAGTCATACTTCAAGCCTTCATGATTCTCTAGAGGTGAGTAGAAAAACTCTACACCCATCTATACCGAAATTGCTTGCCAAATCTGATGTATCATATCACATCAAACGAAAGCCTTTATTTAATGGAGTCGACATCATCTTTTTTCATTCCCTCGTGAAACAATGGCTCAATCCATTTCGGATTAGTCATGTGACATGATTTGGAAAATGTGCTTGAAAAATTAAATGAAATGTGTAAAAATGTGTTGGCGAAAGATGTATGTCAAATCTGTCAATAAATATTTTTCAAATTGTCGACCTGCAATGAATAAACAACTTTGGCCACACATCAGGGGGTTCGAAAAGCAGTCCGAATAGATTTTAAGATATTAGTAGTCATCCTCTTCATCAATTTCAAATAATGTCTAACTATTTAAATATGGCGTAAACATGTCAATGCATACATCATTATATCGAATTCTCACGTCCTTGTAACTTTTTTTAAATATTCGTCACATGTAATTGGCTTCTGCTTTCTTTCCCTTCGTTCAATTTTCAGGGGAATCAGGTTTCTTTGAAACAGATCCAGAGCCCTGCTCCAAATCATCTGTCTCAGATTGGAATCACTGAATAGAATAAACCACCCTATGGAGCAGAAATATTGAGTAAATAAAATGATCAAGTCAGTAATGCAGATCCGAAAAATTGGAAAAGCAGATGGGAGGTGAAAAGTAGAATGGAATGCAAGACTTTAAGTAACTTAACATGAATTAGACTGAGTTTACTCTTTATTCTTGGTCGTGTGAGAGCTTCTTCATAAAACTTAATGCAATTATGTGCTCATTCCGAGATCAAATGCAATCCCATTACAGCTACCCTGTTGCACTAGATTGAGGACCAAATTGGTCCGGAGGGGCATCGCAAATCTTTGAAAATTACAAAGACAATAGTAGAATTCAAAATGGGCCGTGAAGTATTACATAAACCGTTAATGTTACATGAGAATATATTCACAAATAGAATATATTCAGTAAAAAAACATGAAAAAGAGAGCGTAAAAAATCACAAATAAACTGCCATTCAAACTCGCAAGAAAAACAGATATACCTAGCCCCAAGATGCTCCGATTGTCAATCTCCACAATATAGTCCGAGAGAAATCTGATATACAGTGTAGTATTGATTAATCCCTCACTAGAACCCTGAAGAGAGGTCTGGAGCTCACTTGCCTCTGAGAATGACGAACCAGGAACAAACTCATGAAGTAGAGGCTGAATTATTCGTAAATTATGCAAATTGAAATAGACTTGAGGGAACAAGTGGATTTTGAATGTATTTGTATCCCTCCCCCGGAAAGTCTTTGGCTTAGAACTGGCGTAGCCCCCAGAGTTAACTATCCCACTGACATAGCTCAAACGTTTGCCATCAGTGTGACTCTTTGCAGTGAGGTTGAACTCAAAACCCACTGCCATAGCAGGATCATTTGGAAGGTCCACAAATTGCCATGAGATGGAGTAGCTTTCCCGAGGGACCTGACAACTGCTGCATTTCAGTGAAATAGTGGGTCCTTTACTCGTGTTTTGGCAGGAATAATTAGCATAAGTTGATAGACGAACAGTTCTGTAGTCAAGACCTGGAGTACCAGACACTAATGTATCAAGTCCACGTAAATGTGAACAACTCATGCTAGAGATTGTGGTTATATTAAATTCCATGTCGTTGACAAAAGGGATCAGATCTGGAGCGTTAGCTGGCCGGATTTTATGAATTTCAATATTTCTCTTGGAAATAACTTGGTACAGCAACCTGGACAAACGCCAAACAGGCGAGTCACATGAATGTATAGAGAGAAGAAATACGCTCTGAGGCTAAATAGCAATGGCGGCCCTAAAAACAACCAATGAAATAAAAGAACTAAGCTGAAAATACAAGGTAATTCATCACTTACGCAGACAGCAGTCCAATGAACAATATGAAACTGGCTACCGACAAAGTTCCACCCAGCTCTGTTTTCCTCCTCACCACCACCTTGTTGTCATCCTGCAATGCATAGGCATATGGATATTATACAAAGGTCCTCAGCAACCAATCATTACAAGGTTGTGTACACAAATTTTAATGCAAATCATTCCAAGCTGAAATTTCAGTCTTCTTTCCTCTCTACGCTATGGTTCCTCAGACAAGCTGATGTTTCGCCTTTCATGTTCACCCTTTGGGTCTCAATCAATGGCATAACCGGACCCTCTTGCTAAGCCATGAAGCAGGTATACCGACAGTAATACCAAGTGCGATCAAATAGCGTCCAGTTGTAAGTATAAGAGCTTTTCGTCGTCCTGAAAGGAAATGGCTTAAAGATTCCAGTTGATGTGCGTTAACTTTCACATCGCCATAACTTTGATCCTTGATGGTCCCCAATTACACCAGTGAAGGAAGTAGACAATGGCCACTTCTGATCCAAAATCAATCAAATCTAGGAACAGTTGCCCTAATAAGCTGAGAAATTTATTCAAACAAATGATCGAATGGCCGCATACTTTTAACTGAAAAGAAGCTCAAAAACAGGAGTTCTCAAACGGTGCAGTCCTTTAAAACTGTTAATGATTCCATGTGAGTTCTTCGTTCAAAACCCAGTTATAAAACCAGTTGAACTGACATAATTCCTATGCAAAAGCAGAAAAGGGGGCATATACGTCCAATGCAAAGAGGAATGGCAGGGGAGGAGGGACACTAACCGACCAGTGACTCGTGGAATAGCAGAAGTCGAAGCGGCTAATCCACCACCGGATGCGGAACCAGATGTCACTTCCATCCTTGAGCCGCCCGGACAAACGGAGGAGAATGCAGCAGCTCAGCCATACCACAAGAAGCACGAGAGTAGCCTCCAGGAAGATGGCCTGGGAACGGGTGAAACGCTTGATGGTGTCGAAGGAGAAGATGGTCATGAGGAAGGTAGGAGAGCTCTCCACCCCTTCGTGTACGATCCAGTCCCCGCCGTCCGGGGCCACATTGAGCAGACTGCAAGAGCGGCCGGGAGAGAGGTAGTACCCAGGATCGCAGGCGCACAGGGTGCCGTTGTAGAGGAAGCCATTGAGTGGGCAAGAAGAACCCTCCTGCGACAGCGCCATGCCCCCGCCCTACCCTCCCCCCTCAGCTCACTCACCCGGCTTGAAAGGGGCAAATTGTTGTCTCCTTCAGCCCCCCGCCACCAGGTCGCCTTTTATTCTTCTCCCCCTCGGCGACAACGCCCCTCTGCTCTGATCTAAAGGAAGAAAAAGAGGAGAAAACTCCAAATATGAATTCATATAGACAGGCCCCTGGAACAGCCGGTGATACCCGGAGGCCTCCCTCCCAACTCCCCGCCACCGCCACCAGCACCCCTTCCCTCTCTCCTCATCTGCGCCCCATGCCAATCAATGAATTCATATAGACAGGCTTCTCATCATCTGTCTCGTGGACATTCGAAGCCTTCATGATCCTCTCTGCAACTCGTCGTCTTCCCGACCCCACCGTAGAAGCTTCGCGCCGGGCAGGTCGCCTGCTGACGGCAGTCAAGGTCCACATCCGATCGAGCCCTGATCGGTTGACCCGTAGCCCCGACGGAGAGAGCCTTGTCCAGAAAACTTGTCAAAAGATCTTTAATCTATAAAAAATGTTACAATTGATGGGGCCTTTAATGCAAAATTCCCTTAATAACATATCTCTCTCGACTTTCCCTCGTCACGTGCTTAATGATGACGATATGTAAAATATTACAATCCACGTGGAAAGATGGATCGTGGGACAGACAGCCACGGGGGCTCAACGGCCCCCAGGATTCATGGAAATCCCAACCTGTCAAGCCCTGGGAAATCCCCTCCCCTCCTCACATGGACTTTTTTCCTCCCACGATCAGTATGAATGTATGCATGCCTAGGTATATCAAATGGCAGCGCGGCCCACATGTACAGAATCCTCCAACCGTCCTCCTCGTCGCCCCTGTGCTGCCTTTATCTACAGCTGTGGCGGCACTGAGATTCCCACCTTCGGGGAGGGTAGTAGTGGCGGCGGCGCTGATGACTCAAGACGGCATGCCGGAGCAGGAGGTTTCACGAGGGGAGAAGAAGAGGGGGAATGGGAGGTCTCTGAGACGAGAACCAGTCCCCCAGAAGGCGGCGAGGAAGAGGCCCATGACGGCCATCGCCACCACCGAGCAGGCGGCGGGGACCGCGTGGCTGGCCCCCAGGAACTGCGTCGCCAGCAGCCCCGCCAGCGTCGAGCTCTGCATCCCCGTGCACAGAGATATCGTCCTGCACACCCCCTCCTCCTGCCTGAAGAATTAAAAGAAGATTGAACAAGAATTAGAAGATTTAGAATCAGAAGAAGAAGATGATGAGGAGGAGGGAGGAGGAGGAGGAGCGGATAATTGGGATGAAATGCCTGCAGAGAGCAGACGAGGAGGCTTCAAAGGAGGTTCATTCACTGGGTCTGAATCTGTCACGATCTTCGGAGGGTGTTCCCCAGTGTTCATTCACTGGGGAACTTTAAAGAATCCGATGAATTGAGTCCGGTCAATTCAAAGATCTTCTCCTCCTGTCCTCGGCTAGTGGAGAACAGATGATCCAAAATGCCTCCTTTATCAAGATCCGAATTCTCAGAGAGAGAGAGAGAGAGAGAGAGAGTCTCACCTGAAGATTGGCAATTTCGAGAGCCAATAACCGAGTGTGAACGCAGCAAGATGGAAGGTGAGGATGGGGAAGAGCAGCTGGAGGCCCTCTGCAGACAGGATCTGATTGCGGTTGATGGCGAGAGGACTCCCAATGCACAAGGATGTGCACACCATTGCAACGAATGGCATTATGGGCTTGAGGATGTTCACAACAGGCTTCGCATAGGTGTTGAGAACCAGGCCCACTGTTACGGGGAGGAGCACCACCTACACGATCAATAATCGTTAGGTGAAGTCAATAAAATTCGGGGAAAAATATAGTATATATCTAACATCAGATTCATAATCCACCCGACAAGTAAATAACTGTAGATTATAGCGGGTATTGATCTGGAAGAGATTCAAACTGTAAAAGAGGTGTTCCTGTTCCATGCTCAATAAAACCGGTTTAACGAGACGCGCTCATCTCCATCAGCAAATCTTGTTCTTGTCATTTTAATTCTCAGTGCAAATTTTATTTGATTTCTTTTCATGCTTTGACAGACTCTAAATTAAACAAAAAATCATGAATCAAGGAAAAAACTAGGATTACATCAGATATTCAAAGTAGACGAATATTTCCTTAAGACTGGTTTTCTACACTGAACGCAAAGGGAACAAAATTTCCTAAGACATCGTTTCCCAATTATGGGTAAGTTCCTTTTTTTATAACTAAATGAAAGAAAAATCTAGCAATAAAACCCAGAGAGGCATCAGCCAACTAATGTTCACCTGTAATATTGACTTGGACATGGCACCAGCATCAACAGGAACCACATCACCGATCAGAAGACCAGTCAGAAGGGGGGTGACGATGACAGAGGAGATTGTTGTAGTGCTGGTCAAGAGGATGCTCAGAGCTACGTCCCCTTTGCTCAGATAACTGGCGTAGCTCGACAGCTGTGCCCCTGACACGCAACAGGTGAGAATGAACCCAGCATAGAACATTGAAGAAGCCCCAAATGCCTTGGCGATTAGCAGGCCCAAGAGTGGCTTGAGCACATACTGCGCCAGGAACCCAACAGACAGCGGCAATGGCCTGCAGCAGATTGGACACCAAAACAATTGGCAAATTTCCGATTTGATGGGAGAGAGGAAGAGACGACAGCCGAGTAATTTATTACATATGGGCAAGCCGAGTTGCAGGAACCAGAACTAAAAATGGAAATGGAGATGAAAATTTTAACGTACCTCTTGAAGGCAAGAGCGAAATCATCTAGGGATAGTTTGATGCCAATGGACAGCATGATTCCACCGAGGGCTGGGGCATAGTACTCTTTGGGCATCCTGGAAGTAGGCCAGGAGCATTCAGTCAATCTAAATCAGGGCGTTCTATCATGGAGGCTGGTCGCTACGGGGAGAGAGTTGCCCTGGTGTCTCCTGTTCCCAGTTCAAAAATGGATGGAGCTCCGAAAAGTCAAACGGTGGAACTCAGAGAAATCTTGGAGGGGGATGAAATCTGCTTCAGGACTTGAAGAAAGCAGGCATCCGTTTCTTTCCGAGTAAAGCACGGAACAAGATCATCAAATCCCAAAGAAGGGCAACATGCGAATGATCTTCCGTCGGGAAAAATCCAGTCTAAGATAACCAGCAGAAAACCCAAACGCTCGGAAGCAATACGGACCGGAGCTTTGAGTTCTTAGAAAGAGCAGGGGAGAGGAGATTTCCAACGCACCAGGAGAAAGTGGACGGTCTCGAGAGGGCGGCGACGGCGGTGGCGGCAACAGCGAAGGGGAGCATAGCTGAGAGGTTCTCGGACGACGACGACGACGACGACGAGGCTTCGTCAACCTTGCCGGCGTTGGCCTCGTCCCCGCCGCCGGAGGAGAGGATCGACGCATTCCCCTCCCTACGGTGCCACCCCACCCTCCCCACATACGGAAACGCCGACGGCGTTGAGCAAGCCAACGCCCTCCTCCGTCCCCTTCCCGCTTCCATCGCCGAATTCGCACTGAAACCAGCCACACAAAGAGAACTCGCCGCCGCAGGCCCCTTTGTCGCCGGCAGGGCCATCGACAGGACGGAGAGTGGCTTCCGCCGGAGAGTACACAGAGAAGAGGAGGCCTCAGAGGAGGGGCAGAAGCAGGCCAGACTGGAAGAGAGGGCGGTGGCAGAGACGGCCATCAACACCTTCTGCAATGAACAAGGAACACCACAAAATACGATTGAAATCAACTCCAGAGGGGACTGAGCAGATGAACGCGCGCTGTAAATGGTTTCCAAAGTTGGCAAGAATTCAGACGGACGAGAGGAAGAGAGTGGAGCAGGGGACGCTGCAAGTCCACCTGATAGGGATGAGGCCTCACGCCAGTCTCTCTGGGTTTAACGAATGGCCGCTCTCATCACTCCTTTGCTCCTCCGGAGCACACCAACGAGAGCGATTCCTCTACGTGGATATTTTAGAATGAGACACGCAAGTGGTGGCCCCCGCAAACACCCGACTTTTCTCCGTGTCTCTCCGCCCTTCGCTCACTCCGCCGCTCCGTGGATGCTTCTGGAAGGAGCGAGGAAGACGCCGCCGCCGCAGCCGATCGCCGGACGTTGGCGGCTGTCGCCTCCAGGACTAGTTGGACGTAATGAAAAGCTCTTCACATGAATGATCTAATTGTGGAAATTTAAACGTCGCATCCACGTGGCCACACCCATGGCCACCGTTCATTTTGGCGGTGGTCCTGGAGGGAGTTGGGCCCAGCGTGGCGCCTTCTTGTGATGCCTCCTCTAAAAAGTATATGCGCACTGCGTGGACCCAGCGGCCCAATATCTCCATCGATCTTGGGCCACGTCAGCCGAAAAGTCCACCCTGGATAGGTCCACTTCACGGGATGTGGCCCACAAATGCTGTCGTCATCGTCGTGGTGGCGTGAGACAACATCACTAAAGGCGCGTGATCGCTCGGAAGCTATGACTTGGGCGGCTTGGGCCTGTCCACGTCAGGCCGGGACCCAACCGTTTCAAGCTGGTTCGACCGGATCAGGAATCCCCCGGTTCAGTATTATGGGGGGGGGGGGCTAGTCTAAGAAGTCGGGAGACCATCGGGTGGGGGGGGGGTAAATCTATCAAGTGGAGGGCATAAAAGTAATGAAACTCCAGTCCTTCCATGAAAAACGAGTAGCTGCTCAAAACACAGAAAGCGAAGAGAAGCTCGTGTGGGTAAGCCTATGGGCAGGGCTAAATAACCATATGGACTGTAGATGGGCTCGTTACACCTGCCTTCGGATTACCTTAATTAATGGGTCCAACCCAGATTTGGGTATTCATCTAGTGTTGCCTAGAAGCTTCATCCGTCCCATGAACGCCAAAATAGACTCCCATCTTCTCTCTCTCTCTCTCTCTCTCTCTCTCTCATGAACCCAGATTTGGGTATGCATATAGGACCGTGCTAGGTCCATGTGGGCTTGGTCCAATAGGAAGTCCATATCGTCAATAGTTTCCCCAGTCCGGGCCGAATCAACTTCTGTGCATTTCTGTCAGGCTTCGCGTGGCCCAGCGCTGACTGGCCCAGTCCGTTGACATCCCTCGGTGCATTTCTGTCAGAGTCAACTTCTGTCAACATTCGAGGGGCATCCACCCGTCCCTCACCAGCTTTAAGAGTCCCGCCCATGCAACTAATACTGACACCAGGAAAGAGCTCAAGCCATTCCGAGATTTTCTCCCAGGCCGGAGGATGAGAACTGAGATGATGCCATGAGAGTTGACCATAATCAAATAATAAATAGTTTTACCAACATAAATAAATAAATAAATAAAAACGCATCAATTGTATCTGCAGCCGCCGCCGATCCTACCATTCTTCTTCACCAGAGAGAACAAGAGATTTCCAAAGCATTTGGGCTCAAAAGAGAGTACATCTAAAACTGGTTATATTGGCACCTTCTGCATAGAATCCCCAGGTTCCATAAGAGCACAGTTGAGAGATAAACTACCAAAAATGAATAACTGACCTACATAGGACTCCCCCTCTGTGGGTTACGACGGCTCCTCACTATGTACACCGACCGCAAAATTGGAATAAAATTCAATTAAACATTTACAGAGGAGAGAATACATGGTGTGGTTGACTTTTTCTTCTTCTGAAGCCTTGTTTCCAGTTATGGGCATGTTTAGTCATTCCTGAGAAGTAGGCTCTTTTCCCACGCGAACAGGCCAGAATTTTCCACATCCTCGTACAGCTGAATGTGGGAGCCCGGCTCGGCTCCCAAGGCATTTGAAAATAAGAGCAGGAGCGTTTGAAAAGAGTGTTCTTCTTCCATGCCCTGCAAATGGGTTCTTTCTGTGGAGAGATCCCTCCATGGCCGGTCGAAGGACCTGTAAAATGGAAGGTCTGCCGCATCAGGTCTTGAGCGCGCAAGCAGTTTAGAACCCTAATAATCTTCAGCCGTCCTCCAATCTCTTGATGGTCACAGAGAGCACTTACTAAACATGCAAGGATGAACTAGGATGAGCAAGCTCGAGAAGCTTTTATACAGCAAACTATCGAAACAGGGAACTTACCACCTCCAAGCGGGACTAGCTTCACTAGGGCAGCTCATCTTTCCACAAAGTGATGCGATAATACTTTTGAGATCTTCGTCCTTATACTTCGTCTCTGCTCCAATATTTTTGAGATTGTATCAAGGTTTTGTGTAGAGTCAGATAAATTATCGAGTTTGCGTGATAGATTTTTCATTATACAAATAATTGCAGTATACGAGGGAAAATAATATGTGACAAGGAGCTGAAACAGTATATGATTATGGACGCTTCAAAAATTAAATTAATTTTTTGTCTGGAGAATCTTTCATTATAGATGCGAAATTTCTTTGTTTAAAGCATGTATTACCGACAATAACTGATTAAATCCCCACCATTTAATTTTTTTTTATATGCTCACCACTTATTGAACATCATAGCATTCATGACGAAAATGAAAGATTTCCCGTTTAAATTTATCTGTCCATCTATAAAGCTCCTTCATCCACGAATTCTTCTAGCTCAAATTCTCAAGTTGGGTTCAAATTATGATTCAACCACTAAACGGTCTTCCAGTTTTTTCTCTCATTTTCGAAACTTGAGGATAATATGAAGTCCCGAGTGCTATTGGTGTTCTAGCCCGTCCGATAACGTGCCGACATTTTCTTCCCAAAATGACAGTTTATTGCCGTTTGACCTTTAGGTTTGCTAGTACCACATATAGCTGCATCATTAGCCTGACGTCATCTTACAGAAAATTTGGACAACCTAGGGTAGGTGGCAAAACAGGTTTCCTACTCAAATTTTTACATTCAAGAGTGAAACACAGCAAACTTGTTTCTGAAATTTTAATGGGATTCATGATCAGTAATTGAATGCTAGATAATTCATAAAAAAAGTCAGTTGACAGAGATAGGGGGACAACCTTGTTCCTCAATAGTTGACAACCTGTGGAACTAGCCAAAAGTAAATAAACAACCTTAAAATTGTTTGCTCAAGAGAAACCTTAAATTTATGCCCTAATTACTGATTATTATAATTAGGAGATTATTTTCAGGCAGCGGTACATCTTAGAAAAGTGAAACAAAAGTAATCGTTAGTTTGTCTCCAAATAGAGTTAATCTATAACACGCCAACAAAAGAAGCTCTCAGCAAAGAAATGGAAGTACATGACAAACTAGGAAAGTCTGATATTGGATGCGCAATCTAAATAAACCAATTCAGATGTATACATGTAGGTGCTTTAGTTTGTTTAGTTATCGGATGAGAACATGCGAATCCACCAACTTCTCAGATCCGACAACAAAAAGGAATAGAAAGTCCGGAAATGACTGCGACGTACCCGTTTGATTGCAGGTGTGAAAAAGCAGCAAGCTTAGTGCTGAGACAACTGAGGAAGAAGCTACACATTCTGTTCCAAGGAGATACTGGAGATGCAAAATAATAGCAGCTAAGGTGTTGCTGCTATGGCAATCATGACTTTCAATTTCTAGCCAGGTGACCTTTCCCAACAGCACTTGTAGAGATTCTCTACTTATCTCTTCCAACGGTAAGGAAGGAATGTGTTCTCCGTTATTTTTCTCCGAAATATTTCCTAATATTATTGAACCTGTTATCCAACGTAAAAGCTTCGACAAAACTGGTTCCTCCATTTGCGCTTCCTCCGATGAGCGAGCAACATTGGGATCAGATTTTTGTATTGGATATGACTGTAAAGCGGAGACTGCCCACATAACAACATTTAATAATTTTGCTTTATCCTACAGAACCACGAGGGTTGAAAGTCAAAAGACTGGTGATCAAAATAAGCATTTTATGAGCACATTAAATAAATGAAACATGTAGAAACAGACGACATCAAGAAAAAAAAAAAAAACAAGAAAACGTTGAAACCTAGCCTAACAAGCCAAACATAGGAGAAAAGATGAACTATCCTTTTACAACAAGAATAAATTTTCTCCTTTCATCCTGTGAGAAGTAAGACCATAGAAAAACAGCTCAGAAGAGGTTATCTAGATGACAATACTAAGAGGAACCGTTTCAGAAGTACGTACAGATTTTCATACTGTTTAATTACTTGAAAACGAAACAAAAGGCTTCTACCACCAACAAAACTACAAAGATTTCTGGCATTAGAATCACGAATTCGATACCTCATTGAGAATCAGTTTCACTTGGAGAAAGATCATACATTCAGATCAAGCTCCTTTCTATTTGTGACGATAAAGTAAAAAAATTGTATATATTAACTGTTTTACAAAAATAAGTATTAAAGAAAGATTTGAGTCAGTCTCAGTGGAACCGAAACGGACTGGCTCTTACATGTATTTCTTATTCAGTTCCAGTCTGCAAGAGATTCATGACATTTACTTAAAATTTCAAGAAGCCGTGGTTGGAGAGAGAAAGAAAAGAAACAAGAAGGGTACACGATGACGCTCTCTAACAGATGACATCCATCCAGTGCCCAGGAAGAAAAAATGTTAAACAAGAAAACATGTTTATCTACATATGCAAACCATAATATTGGACAAGAAAAATTGACGAAATAATAGACATAGATGATGAAGAACGAATATCAGCAAGCTATAATTTTCTTGGCCATTAGTAATGAGATATCAGCTTTTCAGGCCATCAATAATCTCATCAAGTACATACGGAGTTACATCACGAGTATGTATATATGCGTTTTGTGTGTCTGTCCCTGTGATCATTCAGGATTTTACAAAATCAATCTCACTCTCTGTTACTTAAAATTCCAAGGGAAAATTGAACTAAAAATATATTCATCAATGGATATGAACTTTTAACCTGATCGGGCTGTGAGATCGTCTCATATGAACATTCTGGACGATGAGATTAAGTTAACTGTAATTGTCTCTCTTTCATATCGCAGTGCGAATCATGGTATCATCCTGGATACTACTCAACAAATCTCCTTTGATCCATCATGGGAATCAAATAGGTAGCCTACTAATGGGAGAACGCTTGACAGGGTTTCAATTACCTAAAGAAGCAAGAACCTTAAGTAACCTTTAGTTCGGCGTTGCATCACATGAAACAGGAACTTTTTGGTTGATGTAAAAAATGGTTTATTTGGTCAAAATATTGTGTGTTTCTTACTAAAGGGAACATTCATGCATAAAAGATCGACTGAAAGCCGTGTGTACAAAAAAAAAAAGAAATGCATTTTAACGGCCATATGAAACCCCAAATTGCGATTTAATTTAACGTTCCACATATATGGTTGACGATTCAATTGTTCATTCCTTTAAGACACTGGACAACTAAAAGTAAGGTGAAGCATACTGACAACCTCCGACAAAGATTATAGCGCAAAAAAATTCCAAGACTTCGAAAAAGCGTTAATGAATCAGGGACATAGGTTAAACTAAGCGCTGGCTCAAGTAGAAGATATAAGAAAATTATAAAAACTGAAAAATAAAATCCACGCATCATATAAATCCAATTTGGTAAGTGAGAAAGAAAAATACCATCTGGGATCGGACTGGAGGAGGTGTGCTCATAAGAATGGTTGTGAGTCCCAGGCAAACTGTAGAACATGATATTGTATCCTTCACCTCAGAGTCTATAGTTCGGCAAAGTTGGAACAAGGCCTCAATTGATAAGTGAAAATGTGGCTGGAATATCTTTCTTTCCTGTGATATCTTCAAGGTTGATATTATTACAGCCAAAATAGGATCAATCAAAGAAACATTATCTTTCAATAATTTCGAGGAGCCAACAAACATCGAATGCAGAAGTTGTGAAAGTTTTGATAGTTGTTCAAGGGCATCATCTCTGAGCCATTCGCAGATGGGTCTCAATGAAACCAAACTGTTGACGACCTAAGTTTAGAAGAAAAACAATAAATCACTTTCTTCACATGCAGGAGTAAAAGTAGCCTATTAAAAGGACATAACTCAGAAAGTATCATTATACAAATGAAACATTGAGAAAAGACGACCGAATGAGGACACAAAACAAAATATACAACCTTTTATGGTTGAGAAGTTGCACACAACAAGTTGAGATTCCTACATTTCTGCTTTACTCGTCAACTTTTATGGCACAAAGGGAAGTCTCGTAAGCTCCCAGACCAACCTCTAACTTCCAACAAGAAGAAATATTTTTGTGGTTCTGTTGAATATATGAGATGATGGCTATCACGTAACCCTTACTTTCATCAACCATTCGCACAATTGTTTGAGGATATATCATTAACGTTTCAAACCAAAGAAGCCAAAAAATCATAATGATGAAAGTCGCAGAAAACGCAGAGGAAGGTTGGTAGAAGACGTTGTGGTGGAAAATGTTCTGTTACATTTTTTTCTAATGGTGGGAAGTAAAACAGTCATACCATCTATAATATCTCGACAATTTAGGACCCCCTCGCATTTAAGATGGATGGGGATTCCACAACCATTTCTATCTTAGATGCCAAGATCTTAATGAGAATAATTTAGCACGCACTTCCTAAAAACACACAAGCTTTCTCGTCTAGTCAGTTATTATTAATCGTTGGTCATATGGGTTAATATTATCAAACCATGCAATATTGGGTCAAAATCTACCAGCCTTCTTCAATCCCCTCAAATGCTTCCATTAGTGGGGACAACAGCGCATCTTTCCTACAACTATTGACTCTCCTTACATCTAACTTTTAGACGGTTTTCTGTTCTCCATACCAACACATTTGAAAAGTATCCATGAATCTCTTCTTAGGGAGAAATGAACTGAAATTCGGAGAGTGTATTCTGACACTATATCAAGCCATACATGCTTACGTCCACGGATCACTAGTGCCATTAAACCTTTGATTAATGTCGTTCAAAAGTAATCAAGAAAATAATCAGCGCTGAGTTAATGGTGCAGGAGCAAGGAAAAAAGGAAAGCAGAGGAAGCATTAGAAAACAATGCAACAGGTTCAGATTTTCTTTTGAAAGGTTGTCTGTCACTTAAGCTTTCACATAGCCACGTTAAGGATTAATTGGAAAAGAATGGCAGCATTAAATATCCTGGTTGTAGTTGGAGTGAGGAATACCAGAAGACATCCAATCCATTCCTCTTGTATCGAGATGAAGACAGATTTTCATTCTGGAAGAGAATAGGAAGGAGGAAGAGAGGAGGAGGGATAGAAAGATATAGAGAAGAGAACAGAAAGAGAGTTCCACTTAGTTTGGGGAGGGGAAATAGCACACGATCCACTATTGTTAGATTTATTAGCTTCTACTCAATGGGGAGGAAAGAGCTCCTGCCACAAACAGTATATATATACATAGTACACAGCATATATATATGTAGACATCTGTTTATATATATTTAGAGACGGGAGAATAGCATACATATGTTTATATAAAGAGAGAGAAGGATATAGATAAAAAAGGGGGGAGGCGGGAAGTCCATCCACCAGGGGTAAGAGGTACAGAGAACCTGATCTTCCATCATTAGATTCGTTTCACAGTGGGAAGGGAAAACCTCTTCCGACCCAATACATTCGACACTTACACATAGATACAGAAAATAATACACCTTCAAATAAATGTACACAGAGGGATAGAGAGAGAGAGAGAGAGAGAGAGAGAGATCAAAAAGTAATGAACTAGCGTCCATGTTTTCCACATTGTATCGATAAATGGAAAATAAGGACTTGAAAATAAAGAATGATCTGAAGAACAGTAACATATGCATTAGAGATCAGAACCATATATATACATATAATAAAAGACGGGATGAAAAAAATTATTTTTTTTACAAAATTTCAGTTGTACATACCTCTAAAGCAGTCACCATCTGGTTCATAGAAAACTCTTTTTGATCTCCTTGCAACCTCTTTGCATTGAATGAGATTACAGAATACAGCCACGAAATGAGACCATGATGCTTAACTAACATATTTGCCAGCATATGCAACTTAACAGACTTCTTCACTATCTGCATGATAAACGTGAAGCACTTTAACTGATTCCAAGTCAGAAATAGAGCAGCAGTAATTTACGAGTTCTGAGTCAACACAAGAATACGATGATAAAAATGAAAATGCTGGTGAGTCACCTTATGATCCTTCACTAAAATCGAATTTTATTGAGCTTCGGGATATACTTTAGATAAACAGCAGCTGGCATTTCTAAAAAAAACTAGAACAAAAATATATACTGTTATTCACTCCTCATTACTTGAAAAAAATAACCTCTCTTCTTCTGAAAGGGTATCAGACAAAAAACTGGTATGCATGTAGCCCACAAAAAAAAATCATCGAATTGGAAAAACATTCGTGCCAGAAACTAGGCTTATTGCGCATCTGGCTAACAGGAAGACTGTCAAAGTTTGCTAAGTAAGTACCCGCACATCATTCTAGACACAAATGGCCAATGGAGTGCAAATGCCCATTATTACAGGATGTCCATCGGATCCAAGAAAGGTTGAAAAAAGGATGACAAGAAAGTGGCACAAAGGTACAAGAAAAAGAGAATAGGAGAAAAATGAAGCATTAGAAAATAACTCTGGCAGCGCTTTAACTACAAAGCTATTTCATACAAAGAATAAATGGCAAACTAAGGCTTTAAATTACCTGAAGAATAAGAACCTTTGTCTCTGAATCAGACAAGGAAGAAACATAAAAACTTAGCAAAAGCTCAAATAGATGCTTCCTTGTAAAAACTCGAGCGTCATCATCAAAATTTACACCTAGATATAACAGCTTAAGGATCCACAAAAAGTTTGCCTTAAAATGAATCGAATTACTTGCAACAGACGATTGGAATAATGGCACATCCTGCAAGTAGAGCCAATACAATATATTAATGTTGTCCAACATGATAAGCCAGAAGACAGCAGCAATAAAAGCATCAAAGGAATAAATATAACTCATTCTGCGTATGTCGAATACCTTAAAATCCACCCTGGGTGAATGCATCAAAAATTTACTAATAACCTGAAAACTATTGTGTGAGGGGTCCAACAGTATGAAGGAAGCTTCTGCAGAAAATATAGCAGTGAGTGATGGAATCTTCTGATACTCCTCTGTAATACCGTTTTGCAAATATGACAAAAGCAGCTGGAGTTGTAAGATATCCTTACTGCTCCGGTAACTCTGTAAATAATTCAAAAATCAACAAGAGTATTTTGTGGACAAAGCAAGAAATCTTAAACAAAATCTTAGATATAAATAAGAATGAGCTCAGTTGTACACACTTCAGAGCATGATGCAAAGCAAAACTCTGCCTCTTCAAGGCAAATCATAATGTAATATCCACATTTATAGTAGAAATTTTACACAGAATTTATGTCCACGAACAGCTTCAGCTACACACTTCTGATTATGATACAGGAAAATGGTCAGCCTCCTCAATGCAAGATCTGCCTTAATGCTTGTCGATGATGCTATGAAGCAAGCCGGGAGCTAAATTACGAATATTTTAAAAAGTAACCCAATGTAACTTTGGGTTTCGTTAGGTAGTTATCCTCTTCAGTCCAATGTTCGCTAGGATGTCTTATGCCCTAAAGACAATAAAAAAGAGCTCTTGCAGGAGAAAATACATATCAACCAATTTCATCTTTCCTGAACCGTCGGAATAAAACAGGCTAATCTTATTTCTTTTCAGGTGACAGAGAAAGAAAAGCGATTTGATACTTCTGAATGTCTCCTTCCCGCCACCCTCTCTGCCGTTTTTCCTTTCTGTAATAACAGATAACATGGCCATCCAGTGATTTGAGCTTATCACCGTTGACATATAGAAAACTTTCAAATTACAACCACCTACTTCAATGAATCTCATCAAATGACAGACCAGTCAAGAGAACATGGCATCCCAAGATGGGCAGTTGAGAGACCAGGTGATGGTGCTATTTAAGTAGTGCCATCAAGCATCATAATTTCTTCTCAACGTTGCATGATAGCGGATGATTCCACATTACAAGCTTATCACGCCATTATTCAATCGTGATACATGCTATCATGCTATGGCTCATGCTGCATAGCTTTCCTCACTGTATTTTATCTTAATTTCCTACTCCGAGTAACAGTTTACTGCAGCTATTTCTACGTATAGCAGTTCCTTCCATTGCCACTTCTATTTTCTGCTGCTTCACGTGATCATCTCTGCTTAAGGCCACGCTTGTCTCATTTTATCTCTGAAATGCTGTCCCTTGAAAGAGACATTTTCGGAACTACCTCACACTATTCACACAATAGGAGCGTTTATTGTGCTCTCTATTGTCATGACTAGAATATTTTATTGATATAGCATCCTTAACTGTGGTGATTTATAGTTGATTTGTATAGCATCCTTCAGAGTTTGAATATTCAAACAAAAACAGAAATGGAATTGAGGATAGAGATACAACTGAATACGAATATGGTCGTGATGTCCAAATGATTAGAAAATTCAGTGTAATAAGATAATCTCCACGATTGCCCCAGAAAAATAAAGAAAAGACAATCACCCAGATGCATAATGAACAGGACATACTGTTGATTCATGTTCTCTTCAGCAACTCGCCTGAATTTAAATATCAGCATTCAATAACATTTTGAAATCCAAGAATACAAGTTTCACGAAGTGAATGTCAAAGAAAGGCAAGTCATACCTCCAAAATTGCCTTGAAAGTCCCAAGGGCCTCATAACCCAACTTTCTTACATCTTCATCAGTGGAAGAAATGCTAACCAGCACTACAGCAAGCAGACCTAACCGGACAAATTCCATAGGCACAACATATCCTCTACGTAGACAATGAATTGAAAATGGCAAGATAAAACCAGGATCATATGGCTGAGTCTCACTAACACTTGAAGATGGCATCTGCAGCAAGTTCATCAAGAAATATGTCCTATTACCAAGAAAGAATTTAACAACCAATAAAGCAGACTAGAAAATTAGTAAAGCACCAGTAATCAAACAAAGTAAAAGGAAGAGGTACCTCCAACTTCTTCATAGCATTGTCGTTTAAAAGATTTTTCAGAGACATAGGCTCAGTTAGTTCTGCCCTGTTATAGCTAAAATGCAACGCTGTCATCATACATCTTTTTGAATCCAATGGAATATTCTCTCTGAAGAGCCTTTGACGTTGTTCATCTTCTGTTTCAAGGTCAGCAATGTTGTTGGAAGACAACAATTTATCGAAATTTTTTTCACGCCTGATTTTTATAGCAGATCTCCCCCACAAATAATCCATGTCTGCAATATTATGGGAGCATGGTCCTTTTGCAGACTCAATCTCATGCATGAAATACAGGGCATGTACATCAACTTCACTTAGCGTAGCACCATACCCAGACAAAAGCAAAGAAAGCAATTCACTAGAGTTCACTCCAACATTTTCCTGTGGATCCTTCAGAAAAAACAGTACTCTAAGCAATTTGATCAGTTCCAGTTTCCTCATGAACAAACAGTGTTTTTTGCCTCCCAAACCAGAAGATGCATCATCAACAAGCTGTCCGGCAATTGCTGCTTTGAGTGGGGAAACAAAATCGAGCAATTTAAAAATGCTTGGCACTGGCTGTAACAATGTCCCAATGTTAATGGAAGCAGGTGAATCAACGTCGTGATCATTCCAGAGAATGGTGTTGACAAATTCTGAGTGCCCTAGCAAAAGTTCCAAAATGTCCAAAGCAGATGGCCTTGCTTCCAGCTTGCAGAGTATTATCCTCATTGCCCTCAGAGTAGCAGGATCATCAAACCGATGAAGAAGTGAAGTTCTCATGAACGGATTTAGGAAAGAAATAGTTGGCAATTGTATTAGAAAACTCTTCATGTCAATGGAAAGCTGAACAATGATTCCCAAAATGTGAACCTCCAAAAATCTGAACATGTATGTAATGTCTGTATCATTAATGTGTTCCAGATTCCAAGGAAATCTTCTTACCAGGTTATTCAATGAATGAACTAAAATATTCAAAAACCTTAGTTTGGCTGCATTCATTGAACTGGAAGTCTTTCCAGACGGTCTCTCAGAAACTTCATCGACACGTATTAGGGAAAGATGAGAGAGGGTTTTGGGGGAAAATAACAACTGTGCAAAAGAAATTTTTGCCATAGCCCTGTTAATAATGTTAAATGAATCTTCAGATGAAAGAGGATCAATTTCATTCACATTAAAATCAAGAAGCTGATCATTTGGAGCACCGCAATCAAATAGTGAGTTAAAGGTGTCAAGACGATGTCTCTTCTTCATTGACCCAACACTTGAGATGAAATAGAAGTGCAACATGTGGACTGCTTTCCCAAGAAGTGTACGGCTGAAACAGCTGCGAAATTGCTCCACTGATGTAGGCTTACACTTGCTAAAATCTTCATAAAATATCTTCCCAGATGTATACCTCTGCCAATCACCAAAACCTTTGAGAAGGATCCTCGAGTAAAATGAAGGAATGCTTCCAAAAAGTTTAAGACCTTGGTTTCTAGATTTACAATATACAGAGGTCAGATATGACAAGGCAGCAGGTAACAGGAGTAGTAAGTCATCATTTGAAAATTCTGGGCTATAATTTACGGAAATCATCTCAAATTTAGGCGGCCACACACCATCGGTGCTTGAAATATCAACGGAAGGCGACTCTTTTATCAACCTTAAAAATGCCATACCAAATAAGCTCCTATGCAGTGGGCTCGCTTCAGTCAACTGAAATAGTATCTTTGCTTTCATCTTGTTTGTCTCGTAGATACAGTGAACGATCAATTTCATGGGACTGCTCATGACAATCCTACAGAACTGCATAACTGACGGAAGTAAGGCAGTACTCCAAGTAGATTTTTGATATTTCTGACTGTAAATGGCATTCACCACTTTCAGCAAACATAAGTCTGCAGAGTCTAATCTGAAGCAAATGGCAAACTCAAGAATCTTACTGTAGACATTCTGTACAATAAAATCCGAAGAGATTCTGTTTCTTGTTTCCCATAAAAACGAAGACATCGTCCCAGTTGTATCCTTCAAAAGATTGCACAGAATTTCCAGTGCAACGTTAGTGACATCAAAGAAAACTGAAAGAGTGGAGGCCTTCGCAGAGACCCAATAACCAATGTTATCCTCTATTTTGCAGAGCATCCAATGCACTATTTCCATCAACTTAAAGGGAGATATAAATTGCATCAGTGCATGAAAGATGTGAATGGTAGGAAAAAGAGATCCAAAATCCTTTGCCATGATAAACAAGTCAATTTTCTCCTTAATCAATAACACCAACTGCTCCATCAGCTGTATAAAAGCCTTTATAACTGACTGATAAAGCGTAGCATGGAGGTTAGACACAGAATTCGATCCATTTCCAGATACTCCAGATATTTGGAGTTCACCCTGTCTTTTGAGTAAATGCAAGATTTGATCATCCATTGGGTGAACATGCTTATTAGACAATTCAAGACCAGCTTTCAGACCATCCAGTAAATCTTCTTCCGTAGACCTATTATCACATAAAGGATGTAAGATGGACAAGGTGACAACAGGATGGTGGACTATAAGGTCAGCCGCTTTCAAAACATAATCGGCGTCAATAGGCGTGTCCCCAAACTTCAAAGCATGAGTATGCGATGATCGAAACAAAATCTTGTCCAAAATATGATTAGCAAAGTATAAACATAATTCAAACATCTGTTCCAAGTCACTTGATGGCCGTGTCCTATACCACAATCGAATCTGATATGCCCAGAAAAGCACGAAGCGCAGTGGTAAAGTCCAGTCACCAGCAAACACTCCTAACCTAGCCCGAAGTACATCTCGCACATTCGTGGATTTCAATAAACTGCAACTGCAAGACTTCATTATTCCACTAAAAAGAGTATAAAAAGGAGCATGTTCCACGAGCAAACTAAATCCAACAGCCAGACATTCCATTGAGTCAACATCTGACAGACACATTACCCTATGTTTATCTAAAACACCAGATGCTCTACAGTTCTCATCAGCATCAATCTCTTGAAGGTTGTTACTGACAAGGGATTGAACCCTGTCCATACTAGAAAGAAACATCTCATCCCATCCGTGAGCAGCATTGCCTAGGAACTCGCACTGAAATAGGACGAAAGACAAGAACTGAATATGCTCTCTGGGAAGATGATGAACAGTAGCAAGAAGCATTGGCAAATTTTCTAATATTTCATCAGGATTCGCACATACAACGGAGAAGCACATGGCAGTAGCCGCAGCAAATAGGCCGTCCCTATCATCATTCTTCAAAAACTCACTTACTTTACTAAGTACACTGTAGAAAGAACCCCGACTTCCCTTGGCAACCTTTCCTATGAGAGAAACCGATGGGTAACAAACCTGTTGTTGGTAAATTCCCATAGCTAGAAGTAAGAGATCATTTAGTGGTCTCCATTCACAAAGAGACTTCCTACAATTGTCATGACCCCCTAAAGGAGGCTCATTCAGTTTCCCTTTTAATATAAAACCAATGATTCCTGGTAAGACTTTTAAGTTTACCTGCGAAAAGTAAACATCTGTCATGATACACACTGAAGGAGGAATGTGCAGAAAAGAAGTATAGGAGCTGCGAAAAGAAGTATACCTGAGTCTGCAAAATAAAGCTTAAAGTGTTGTGCACATACAATGAAATCATTGATCTCTCGGATAAGTTAAATGTCCTGGAATCTGATTCAAGCACCCTAATGCACTTCTGGAGGATACATATCACAAGGGGGCTGAAATCAGGGCAGATATCTGCATGAAAGAAAATGGGCTAAGACAGTGAATGCCGTGGATTTCTAAAAACGAATATGCAACTCCATTGGATATTCATTGTAATCTATGAAGTTTATGAAGTTATTAAAATAAGATTAATAAAATGGTTATTATCAGCCATGGCTTAGGCATCATGTTCGAAATTCGAAATAACAATAGCCATGTGTACACATGTTCGAACTTTGAACTTAATAAAATAGTTATTTCCAATAAAATTTATTCTACATATGATATCTTCTTAGAGTATCCACATCCCACCAAAAGATTCCGAACAAATAAGGTCAAATTTAGCTCATTAAATTGAAGAGTCTCTTTTGTGGGTTTTTTCTCCATTATAGGATTACATAGCAGTTGCTTCTGTAAAAGATCCTTGACAGCATCCAGTTTTGATGCCGCATTCTTTGCAAGTGGTCAAGATTCTTGTTTTAACGTGCAAGACAATGGATGTATTCTACCTAGCTAAATAAATTCTCTGAAATACGAAATTGAGGACAAAACATCGAATTAATCATGGGTTACCTTCATGCCCATTTAATTGGGAGATGAATACACGCAATTGTTCCAGATATTTATATAAGTTATTCGCAACAGTAGAAACAGCATCACAGAGGAAGGAAATCACTACAGTGGACAAATCTTTGAGCTTAACAACGCCGTGAAATTCCTCAGAGCAGTTGTCTTTGTAAAAGCCAGGTAAAAACAAAAACCACGCTTCAATTTCTGAGAGATTATGATCAAAGGCACCAGTACTAATCATAGCTGTCTTTGCTAGAGTAAAAACTTTGCTTCGAATCTTCTGGACAGGTGAGAATATCAATAGGCTGATCAGTGGATGCAGACTTTTGTACATCGTGGGAGGCATTCTCACTGATGTCTTTCCTTCACGAGCCTGGCCAGTGTATTCTAATAAAAGTGATAGCACTGACTCTTGTAGATTGATGGATAACTTCGAAGGATTATTTGAGATGATCTTCATGAAGTCAAATGATCCCTCCAAACTGAGTGGAAGTGTTCTCTGCAGAAGATTGAACTGGATATTTAGGAAGGCTTAAACATGTTCAACCTTTAATCTTCATAAAGAGAAGCAGATGATCATGAATGATTAATAACTCTTATTGTCTAAAATGAGCGAAAGATGAGGAATCATCAAAAGGCTAGAAGCTCAAATTTCACATGTTATCGGGTTAAACTTTCCGTGCCTATATGGTTCTAGGCAAGAATGATTCAAACAGCAGCTTCTCCCTGTTTATGTATTTAAATCAATGAGCAGCATGTCCACAGCCATACTCTAGTTTGTGAGTTGGTTATCCAGCATATAAAACTCCTAGTTATCATTTACGTCCTACAATGAGGAACAGTAATATCACAAATGTAACAAAAATAAAAACACAAAAAACCAGGAGCTATGTGAATTAGCCAGACTTGTAGAAAAAAAGGTTTTCCAGGGTATCAATTACTGATGTACAATAAGAAAGCCATCGTTATATGGATAAATCTCGTAAAATTAAAAAAAGGTACTTTAAAGGAGATTCGTCTAGAGGAAAGTCGGTCGATGTAAATCAGGGTCAAATTTGCATCACACTAATCCAACGCTTGTACAACTCTCAAAACAACAGCAAGTCAAAATACAATACCTGCCATATGCATCAACATTGTGCAGTTATAACGTACAAAATAAAATCAAAGCACCCCATGGGAGACCCAAAACACAGGTGACTAACTAGCAACATCTCATAAGAGACAATGGTACATCAAAGATAGAAATGGGTGCTTAAGATCAACGTATTATAACGTTCAGCTGAAGTACCACATATCATATATTCTAAAACTATATAGCATCCAAATTTGTACAACATCATAAAATAGCTATTAGATATTTGGAACCACAGAATATTTTCCATCCCACAGGACATCTTTGGTAAAAGGTAAGCATCTAAATAAAAATAGTGCAGTAGGTAGAAGTGTAAGCCTAACCCCCATCAGCTAGTTGGCATGAGACCTCACCTCAAAAGTAAGGTCACATGCTCTTCATATAATGAGACATGGAGGGGAAAAGAAAGTGTGTAGACGACACTAAAATATTGGATTTACCAGGAATGATTTGGTTTTTCTTGAAACTAGCAATTGACAAAACTAAGAATCATTTTTGAAAATGAAAAAAAGAAAACACCTACCAGATAAAGTTTAAGAACATCAAGTAGCTTTGCATGAAAGAGGGACATTATATTCTCTGTTTTGCTCACATTCACATCAAGATTTGGACCCCATATCTCAGCCAAAGCCAGTATAGCCTGTTTTTCTGTGTCTGCAGCATCAACATCTATAACTCTTTCATAATCCTCAGCCATGTCAACAGAATCTATAGCACTAACAACAATATCGACCTCTGCAACAGCCTTACATGGATCGGATTTTGACTTTTTCCGGGCTGCATTTGAAGAGTTTAAACATCTCTTCAGAGTGAAACTGGATATTCCTGAGGTCTCGTTAGTAAATGATGTGAGTAACTTCAACAGAACTTGCGCATCAGGCAGCACTGATCTGACCTCATCCTGAATCTGTCCTCTGAAGGAGACCCATTTCTGTAGGTATGCATCGCCACTGGAGCTTCTACAGTCATTCTCCCCAATATTACATTTATCAGCCTCAGAAAAACAGAGAAAATCCCTCAGACAACGTAAGTCAGTTTCCCCAGTTACTTCAGGAGAGTGTTTTGGATGCATACTATCCAATAAGCCATCTATAGAACTATTAAGACTATCCAATAACTTTAGTGCCTCCAAAAGAAGTCTTATTGATCCATGCTTCACAAGTATGTCAGAGTGGAGTAAGCCTTTATTGATCACTGACCGAGTGCAAGAGCAAGGCAGTATGCATTTCAAGATACATTGGACTTCCGTAGTTTCCAGACAAGGAGGGTCACTAGTCTTAGAGGCCTCAAGGAAACTAAAAGATGAGCAGAAATTCACGGCTGAGATCAAATCTGCTGCAAGGGAAATGGCAGAATACCTGCACAGAGTTTATCAAGATTGCAATAATAAATGAATTAAAAAAAAAACTGCAACAGCACCAATCAAATGAACTAACCATTGAGGTGATGCACGTGGCTCAAGATGATAAGGAAACTCATTCATGTATGATGAACACAGGAGCGGCCTGCCTTTCACGATGGCCAAGAGCAGTTCCTTGTGTTTCATACTCTCAGTGGCCTTCAGTTTCTTCATGAGATCTGAGAGTCGCTTGACATTCCCTTTCAAGTTTCCATATGGCATCAACCCATTACAAGGATCTGTACAAACAACTAGCAGAACCTCGTGCGCCACGTCAGAAGCATACCCACCGTCGGGATTCCCTGATATGTAGCTCAACTGCTCGAGAGTCGCACTCCCAAACAGGACACTTCGGAGTCCAGGGGGGACTAATGAATCGGCACAGAGGACTTTGTCCCGCAATGCGGACAGCACGTAAACAACGGTCTCTTCGTCATCGCTCCCAAGCCCACGGAGGACACCAGAATACATGTCTTTCTGCTGCAATATCCACCTCAGCAGCCGCGGATTTCCGGCTTCCAGAAAGGACACAGCAAACTCAACAAAGGCACGCCTCGTTGATCGACACGTCCGACGTTTCGCTTCCCTTCCCCCCTTCTTCTTCTGTGCACCTGAGAGCTTTGTGAGCACGGGAAGGTCGAAGCGGAAGTGCTTCGCCAACTCCGATGCGAGGATCACACCACGCCTCACTATAGCAGCTAGGAGGAAAAGCGCGGCCGCCTGGCGCCTGCCCTCCTCACTCTTCAATTCCACATAAAGATCCTCCAATTTGGACGTGATGATAGAACGCGCAAAATTGTCAATATTCCGACTAATGCCGCTGGTGCGGGACCTCCCAAACGGGTGAGCAACGACGGCTGCAACCAGCGTGAGGATGTGGGAAATCCCGGGTTTCCCCTGACGAATCCTCCACGCCTCGAGGAGCTCCGAGAGTCTGGGCGAACCCCGGACGTACCCCAGCAGGAAGTCCCCGCCAGATTCACCTTTCAGAAGCGCAACAAACTCCTTCGAAGCCTCCGAGTAGATTCTCACCTCCGTCAGACACAAATTCCTGAGCAACTCCCTGAGCTTGGCCTCATGGGAAGCACCCATCGCAGGGGGGTTCCACTCCCATTCGGCGGCCGGTCCTCCGCTCTCTGGGGGCTCCTCTTCCTCTTCCTCTTCCTCTTCCTCTTCATCCAGTGGCGTGCAGTCACCTTCCTCGGGGTGGTCGGCGCGGTAGCCCTCCCCGCTGCGGGTAAATTCCTCCAGGAGGTCATCCTCGTTGAGCTCCTGGTCTTCCATTGAGAGCGGCGGAGCGATGGAGCGGGAAGAGAGGGGTTTTGTATCCCTTTATATATCCCGGACCGGGGGGTCGAATCGCCTTACAACTCCACAATCGGCGTAATCCGAACTCACCACCGATTAAGCTGGGTAATCTGGCAGGAACCCACCCAACTAATAGACTGAATTCAATGAAACACCTTTTTTAAAATAAATAAATAAATATTTAACAGGAATTAATAATATTAAAATATGATTTATTAAAATGTATACCGTGATGAAAAAAGCTTTAGAAAGAGAGAGATGAAGAACTAGCCAACCTAGTCAATCTTGGCATTGATTAAGAAAAACTAAGTATAATCAGCCCTCTCTTTTTCTTTCCCAAGCCAATCTGGTAGGGTTGTTACCAAGCCAACTAGTTATATAGAACCCTCGATATGCATATTTTAACATAGAAATTATTCGATAATTATCCGCTACCATATTAATTTATTAAATAATTTATTGAAAATATAGACAATTCTTGGGAAAATAAATGACTTAGCGGGAGTACACAAAAAATAAGTTCTTCCCTTGAATCCATAAGGCACAAAATTTCAATGAAGAAATTAGGTCATGAAACCACAAAACTTGGTACCCTCAACCCTTGAACCATTATAGATTTGGAGGAGTACCCTCGAATGCACAAGAATCAAAATATTTATTTAAATATGCAATTAGAGACAAGAAAATTCTCATAGAGTAAAAATTAGTGCAAACTCACAATTCATCTAGAGTTAGGGCATGAGGGCCTTTAAATAGGTCAAATTTCAATCATGGTGCCCAAGAAAAATAAAATGTAAGATCGATTTAAATATCACTTTAAAACATAGCTAGTGTTCTTAAAAACATGCACAAACTACTCTGAAAGCGGAAAAAATAGCTTAACTAATCTCTTGCACGTTTCTCATACACTTTATTCTGGGCCTAATCTAATAATGGGTCATCTCATTCTTGCAGCCCCTACTTCAAACTTATTTTGTGTATAGTCCTCTAGTGTTGGATTGTGTATGTTCTACATCAATAAACTGCACCAAAGCTTACCTATTTGACTTCTTCATTGTCTCATCTTCTGCTCTTGCATATATGTTTGACTTGCTCATGTGTGATACTTGCATATCAACACAACCATTTCTCTCCCTATTCTTCTTCATGGGATTTCTCACAATTCTCCATTCAAAGGCTTCTACACCATCGCCCTATCATGTTGAGCTTGACAAGTTGATGTACTCTACTTTGCATAAAATAATGGCATATGTTTCATCAAATTAAAATATTTCAATAAATCGTACACATTTGAATCAAAAGTGAGATTAGGTTACAATGCATCCTTATAACTCTTTCAGTATGCTTATTTTCCCCCATTGAAGATCTCAAAGCATTTATTTCCACTAAAAAAAATCATTAAATGAGGGATGGTTTGAATAAATCCAATCATTATAATAAATTCAGTTTTATTGTTTACTTAATTGCAATGGCCTTTCATAATAGATTTTTATTTGAACGTCAGCCTTACCATTTTGTGTGAATGCTATGCGTGAAAAGATTATCCTTTATAGTCGAAAAATATACTTAAAGTTAAACACACAAATCAAAGTTAAATACAATTAAAATGCTTTTAAATGATTTTAGGGATTCAATATTACTAACACTAATATTTGAACTTCTTCCATTTTTAAAAATACAAAGGTTTAACGTATAAAATAAGCTACACAATATATTGAATATTACAATATAATACAAAAAATGGAAATAATCAAAACAAATCTAAAATTTTAAAATAATGACAACATGCTAAATATCACCAGTCAAGCAATCACGTTGTATATCTTCAAAAATATTGACAAATGGTACAACTATCTAGGTGATTTGCCATGCCCTCATTATTCATAAAGACAAGTTTTTCAGTACCTCACATATATTGAAAACTTTATTGAGAAAAGTATTTATGTCACATGACATGACCTTTGAGACCCCTAAGATGGAGACATGAAAATTATTCAAAACCCTCGAATGCTATAGATTTAAAATAAATAAAAATGTCTCATACTGCATGAGTGTTTTGGACAAAATAATACCTAATTCTCATTCATTATTAAAATAATAAATCTGTGGGCCTTTGTCTAGGGTTCCTAGATCATGTTATAGTAGAATAACATTTAATAAAACAAATGCCCTCTTAGTATGGTCTCAATCAATCACTCAATCCGCAAAATTCCAGCATGAAACTACTTATGATATCATGCCACCGCTACAAGTTTAACTACAACATGTAAAGTGATGACTAAGATTTCATTGTCGGATCCTTGGGAATTTGATCTATCCACCCACAGTCGATTAGATCTCACTTAAACCTCGAAGATACATGGGTAAATTTGTACTGTTGAGCTCCTATTTTGAACGTTTGGATAGGATTCCACCATCCTTCCGGTCTTCCCAGCTGGTGAGTAAGGAAGTAGAGGGACTCTATCTACTCAGATTTACCATGCATCTCATTCATTACCCGTTCGCCGAGACAGCTCTGAACCCTTCCACGGCGCTTGTTCCATCACCATCGGAGAGGCTTCTTAATTTCAGAGAGAGAGAGAGAGAGAGAGGATGAGTCCTCTCTTGAGATTCCTCCCGGTTGTTAACACCGCCGGAGCAGAAGAGAGAGAGAGAGAGAGAGATGCCGACACTGTCTATACAATACTCCGAGGAGGAGGCCGAAAGCTGCATGGGACATCTGATATCGCGCTTAATTTTACGAAGTGGTCGATGGACTGCTCCCCGTGGCTTGCCCCAGAGAGACCCTGCATTACGTCGGTGCAGTTATCTTATTCTTGGTCTCACACGCAGGGCAGCTCCCTTTTGACTTGGCGCATAAGACAAATGGAGGCTGGGGCGTTGTCCGAAGGAAGAGAGGAGCAGGATGTGGGTTATCTTCCGCCGGAATTCTTCCTCTGATTCCTCTTCTACTTGGATGGGGAAACACGTCTGACGAGGACGTTGAAAGCAATGCAGAAACTGACGCACGGGCTACCCGTTTGGAGAGGACGATTCCTGATTGCCCGGATTCGGAAGAGATCTATTCCATCCTTTTCTGCGAATCCCAAGGCGAAATCGATTCTTAGATGATATTCGGATGTGACGCGTTGCGAACAGTCTCCCCAATCTCGATCCCACCGCATCCCGTCCTCCACGGAATCGCTCTACGTTCTAATCGTACGTCAGATGCCGCCGTTTTCCCTCGATATCCCGTGATTTTCTGCAATTATCGGTGCTTAAAGGGGAGGGAAGAGCGTGATAAAGGACTGGTTCTGACGATCTCTCTACGAATTTGCTGATGCGGGTTCTCCTGTAGTTCTCGTGACGATCTCAATTTGAGCCAACACTTTAACTTCTGTCATCCTTGTTTCTTGAAGGGGAGGAGAGATATCACCCCCCAACCCAATCACATCCCCCACAGTTCCTCGCAACATAATGAAGGAAAAGCTTTTCTCTCTCTCCATTCGACTCAAGAATAGGGTTCTTGTGAGAACATTCGGCCTTGAATGATCTCCACCATTCTAATGAAAGGAGAAGCTTGGAATCTCTCGACTCGACTGAAAAAAGGGTCCTGGCGAGGAAGGCTTCAGAGGAGTTGATTCTAGCCTGAATCAACTGGATCTCTTCCACGTAGCAGAGGGACAAAACCAGAGGCAGCACTGGGTGCAATTTAGAGGGCTCGACACCTTGGAAAGTACACTGGGAAGGATGAAGACATTAGACCAAGGGATGCCCCGAAGAAGAGATTAAGACTGAAGCAGCATGCCCATTAATGGAGTCTTGCACCCAGGAGGAGGAATAACTCGCCTCGTGGACTATCGTCGAGGCAAGTTCTCTCAAAAAACCCTAAAGGGAGACTCTCGGTTGCCCATGAGCCATCTCCTGTCGGCCATCTGTAGTCACCGGTGACTGGAGGAAGGTTTTTCTGAAAATCAGAACCGTATTCTCTACCTTTAAATTGGGGGGAATATGAGCTAACACTATTTCAGGAGATTCAACAAAGAGTTATTCGCCTTTTTGGGAGACAATCCGATCATATATTTCGACTAATCAACTGATCTTAATTCATCATCTCCTTCTATTTCCACCTTCATGGTTAGTATAGACACTAGATAACAGCAAGCGATTTCATGCATGGTACGTTTCGAACAGATGGGGAGACCATGAGGCTCGAAAGGAAGAAAATTTAATAGAGGGAGAAATTCTAGAGAGAGAGAGATTCGTTTGATCTTCCCAAACAGTATTTGTATTCAGATTGTTCGTAAATTCTAGGTACTATGAACCGCTTAAGAAATACCATAATTCCTCTCCTATTCACCTCAACAGTAAGCAAGAAAAACAAGAAGAGCCAGAAAGAAAAAAACTACAGGCGGGAGGGAGAGAGGGTGGGATGGGAAGAAGGAGAGAGGGAGAGAGGGAGAGAGGGAGAGAGAGAGAGAGAGAGAGAGAGAGAGAGAGAGAGAGAGATTCCTGTAATATTAGACTTGATATGCAGATAATCTGTGACGTCCAAGTACTACGAACAGTTTACGGAAAACCATAGCTTCCTTCAAATTTACATTGGCAGCTAAAGAACGGGGAATAGGAATCCGGCTGCCGTCTATCAGCATATGCATACACATGTGTCCCCTTTCGAGAGAGAAGCCTACCCTTGTGTTGAGGGTTATTCCACCTGGTTTCTCATCTTCGTCAATCCCTGCATCCATCCTTCGATACAACCTTCTGAAACTTTTCCTAAACAACAACTTCTCGCCTCCAAGAAATCAAGCTTGAAGGGGAAGGGCCTTGGAAGCACTCCTAAGGCTTTACTTACAGAGGGAATCGGCGATCTTCTGCATTATCCCTACCTGAGCGGTGAGGTGGTGTATGTAGTTGAGGGTCTCATCCAAGAGGCTGCCGAATTCCATCCTTCTAGCCCCCGGTAGAAGGCGACGGAGCTCCTCAGCTCTGCTCCCCACATCCCTCAGCTCCCTGTGAGGTTTTAGGATCCTCTTCTTGATCAAGAAAGGCTTGGCAATGGAGTTTCTACGGAGGCCAAGAAGTATGGCCCTGCTCCAAGCCCTCCTTGGCCCAGCGGCGACAGCCATGGCGGCGTAAGCAGCGCGGGTGATCCTTCGTCCTCCTAGCGCTGTGGCTCGCCGGGAAGGAGGGGATTTCCTGGCCCTGAGCTTGTTGATCCTGGCTAGCGCTCCGAGGAAGTGCAGGGCCTGCAAGTGCCTGCTAGGATTAGGGTTTCCAGCTAAGGCCTCTCTGTGCATGACGACAATACAAGCTGGAGTCACAGATTGGTACGTTGGGGATAGTAGCGGGATTCAACAGAGGAAGAGGAGAGATGTCACTGCGAGACTCTCTCTCTCTCTCTCTCTCTCTCTCTCTCTCTCTCTCTCTCTCTCTCTCTCTCTCTCTCTCTCTCTCTCGCTATCTATCTCTCTTTCGTCTCAGGAGGTTCCGGCTTCAACGGAGGAACAGAAGGTGAGAGGGCGAGACCGAATCCTTCCGACACATCCCCCGTCGACTCTGCCGACTGAGGAAATCCTGTCAGTCCTCTCCCTCTCCCTCTCTATAAAAAAAACTGATAGATAGTAGCCTGTCGAAGGCCAGACGAGAAGCCCCGGGGGGAACAGATATCAAACCAAAGACACTGCCCACGGTGGCGCAGACGGTAGAGAGAGAGAGAGAGAGAGAGAGAGAGAGAGAGAGGGCCTGAGATTATGACGTAGGAGGAAATGGGCATGATAAAGGGGAACGAATGGTGGGAGTTGGAGGCGAGGTAGAGACTTGGGGCGGCTCGTAATGGTGGGGTAGGGGTGTTTGGGTGGGGGTGGGGTCGCTGGTGTTGACGGCGTTGATGGGAGTTTGCGTAGTGGGAGCGTCTCAGTCCAACCAGAGGGAAACCACCCCACATGACTGCACATGGCCTAGCCTGGTCCACCTCCTCCTTCCTCCTCCCGAAGATCGAACGGGGAACCCCCAACCTCCCCTCTCTCTCTCTCTCCCATCCTCTCCCTTTCTCTCTCTTATTCTTTACGATTGTCCTCCCTTTCTCCCTCCTCGCATTTATTGCATGATATCTTTGATTGCTCCACCCCTCTCTCTCCCAGTCTCGAGATATCCTCTGTGCGGTCAAATTCACTGTGAACGATAACCAGTAGAGAGTGAGAGAGAGAGAGAGAGAGGATCGTCTTCGTGCCCAGACGTCTGCCTTTCCTGCCCCCCACATTAAAAAGTGTAGTAGACAGGGCAAACCGACCATGCTCCCTTCTTCTTCTGCTTCTTCTCTTCTTCCGGCTCCTTTTTCTCATGATTGCTGTCGGAGGAGGAAGAGGCCCTGTTGAGATGTTTCCATCCTCGGGATTTTCTCTCCTCGGTCATAATGGGGGGCTGTTGAGAGGACGAGGATACTTCACGGCTTGGCTCATTCGCCTGCTCCTCCCTTCTCCGGGCCTCCTCTTCTCCCCGTCTCTTTCCTCCACCGCCCGGCGGCGTACAGAGGCGGCAGAACGATTCCGGCGGCGAGCCTGCCAACGGCGAGTCGGGAGCCGTCAAGGGGAGAGAGAGAGAGAGAGAGAGGAAAGAGTCGCCTTTGAGGAACGTGGACGTGTTAACTAACGCGTTTTTAATGGCGGACGATTAGATGCTGCGTGGACGATGGCCACCGGGGTAGGCGGGGCAAGCGTCCGCACGTGTGCGTGAGTGACTCGCCACCGACTCGGCGGAAAGCTAGGACTAGCTAGAGGGAGAGAGAGAGAGAGAGAGAGAGAGAAAGAGTCCAAGGGAGGGATGGGTTTTGAAAATCCGATGGGCAGTCAGCGTCTTCCTCCTCCTGTGGAAGGAGCGCACGGGGGTGGGGGGGGATTCTAGGGGGAGCAGGGAACGTGGTGTGGCGTGGGAGAGCGAGCTTCTTCCCGCAAAGAGCGACCGGGGGACGATTGAGATGGCCCGCCATCTCCCCTTGATAAACTGACGGATAGGGAAAGGAATAGGGCATAGTTTGAGAGAACGGGCGGGCGTAGACATCGAGATAGAGAATGACACAGAGATAGAGAGAGAGAGAGAGAGAGAGAGAGAGAGAAGAGGGGGGAGGCAAGGAGACATGGAGAGAGGGAGGTACGTAGAGTTGAGAGACAGATAGAGGTACGTAGAGTGGGGAGAGAGAGGGAGAGAGAGGAAGGTAGTAGGGAGGGGAGGGGTTGCACCCCTGTGGTTGGTGCAATGATACGCAAAAGTCAGATGCAAATCCCATATTTTTTTGGCTAGATCAACATTAGTCTCTCTGCCTAGGAGTGAAAACTGTTACACAAACCGGTGCATTCCCTCTGAAGTGTGTGAATCTTTCCCAAGAACTAAACTCTCAAAATAAGAGAATTCAGGAGCCACTAATCTTCCGGAAAATCATTTATTAATATCATCAAGGAAAAATCTTCTAAAACTCATTTTCTAGTGGATGATTATGAAGCATCTAGTGAGCTGCGAAGGTCAACTCTCTCTAGATTTGGATGATAGCAAGAAAAAAAATCCAGTTTTTCATAAGGGTCAGATTGAATGAAGGAGATTGGTGCATTTTCATTAAAAATTATTAAAGGAAAAAAAATCTCAATAATGAGATTTGGCCAATTCTGCATCTAATGTATCCATTTTTCTGTGAAACCAAATTATGTAAATCATAAGAAAAAAAAATTGGTAAAAAATACACTTAGAAAATTTAAGATGTTGACCTCACTTTAGCATTTGGTTGTCAATAAGAAAGTCGCAATCATAGTGTTAATGTACAAACTTTGGTTGTGGATTGAATGGATCAGATCCTTTACTAGCAATAGTTAATGCACGATATTCCCTCCAAGCTCTTTGACTGGTGACCAGAGATGATTAGATAGATACTGTTGGTTGTGGTTCGAGTGGTGCTGCTACTCACTAAAATTCACATTCTATTATTTTAGATTAATTAGTATATATCGTTCTTATTTAGGAATGGGTGTTGACTATTGATGTTTGACTATTAGCAAGCAAACGTCTTATTTATGTTCAAATATGAGGGGGGGGGGGGGGGACAATGCAATGGGATCATTCGATTTTTTCATATGAAAGTTATTGTACAATCATCTAAGACGTATATTTAGTTTATATTTTGCAAAAATTTACGTGACTCAGCATAGAGTTAGAGAAAACACCTCGCCTATTAGATTATTTATTAAATTCAAAGTTATCTACGTTTTTGTTGGACCAAATGTGCATGAATCAAATGGGCCGACTCAGACTGAGCCCAGTATCCAGGTGAGAAACATTATGTCCTATTACAGTACTTGCCGATTTTCACCTAATTTCCACTAAATAATCTCAGTTCAAAGAATAAATTAAACTTATGTCCCCGAAACACTGTAAATTTTCTCATATTTGAATCTCGGTCTCCCTAAATATCATAAATATCCTTCCCATACCTCCCCCTCGTTGAGAGCGCAATACCGACGCTTTTCTGAGTCAACTCTCTGGTTCCACGTAGAGAGAGAGAGAGAGAGAGAGAGAGAGTTTTGCCAAAAATAAAGAAGAATAAATATCTAAATTAAAGTATTATTTAGGATTTCCAAAAAATAGATTTGCATCCGTCTGTCATGATTTTTCTTTTTGATTTGTGGAGGTGCTTCCCTTCATTCATCGATGATTTCTTGAAGACAAACTCCTAGATGCCTCTCTCCATTCAGCTTCTTCCCCTTCCCCCCCAGTTGCTAGTCCGATAATTATTTTCTAAATAAAATAGCTCCCGGGAATCGAGAGAGAAATGTAGATTCTCCCGTCGTTTTTTCTTTAAATTTTCTGGGCAATTGTTAAACCGTTACCTTCATTCATCAAAGATGATCAACTCCCATCCGACTTTCATCCTCCAAGAACATGACAGCACGGGGGGGAGGGCGCTTTTCCTTCACCTCCATGATCAGAAACCACTCTACCAAGCAACTAGCGGAGGTCCTCCCGTCTGCTCTTCTTTTTCGGAACTACCGTCGTCACTCACGTAATGAATTCGCTTGCGAGCCAGATGCCCGGAAAAAGCCTGACAGAAGAAGAAGAAGAAGCACAGCCCCAGTCCACCATCATCAACGGGGATCTGAGCCAAACCCCTCGCCTTCCACCTATCTACCTGCATCTTTTTCAGAACTACCATCACCATTCACGAAATGAATTCCTTTATGAGAAAAAGGCCCAGAAAAAAGTCAGACAGAAGGAGAAAGCTCAGCTCCACTCCACCATCATCAAACGAGGCTCTGAGCCAAAACCCTCACCAATCTATACAGACACCAGGAGGAGATTTTGGAGGGGGGTAATAATGGAGGTGGAGGGAGAAGGTGTGGGGCGGGGGGCTGACTTAAGGGGGTGTGGGGTAGTGGAGGAGAGTAAACTTGACGTGGAGGCCGATCTTCTTGCCGTCTTTCACGAGCTTGGCGGCAGTGACGACCCAGTGGCCGGGGACGTCCTGGGGCCCGCGGACGACTTCGGCCACGTCAATGAACCGGAGAAGGCGCCTAGCGAGGACGGGCACCGGTGGGCCGCCGGCGAAGACGCCGGAGTTGAGGCGGGGGGCCTCCGGGGCTGCTGGCGACGCCCCTTGGTCCCGCTGGGTGAAGGTGGTGCTGAGCATCGTAAGAAAGGTTGACTTGTGGGAGGCCGCGGGGGCGGCGGCCCACTGCTTCTTCCTGATGGCACACCCGGGGAGGAGGGTGAAGAGCAGCCGGAGATGCAGCACCTTCCGCGGCCAGCGACCGCTGGCGACGAGCTGAGCTCCGGTGACGACGAACACGCCGGGTGTGGTGGTGGCGCCGCCGCGGAGCCAGTCGGGATCGTGCTTCACGGAGGCGGTGCAGACGTGCGCGTACCGCTTCCACTGGATTGGCTCGAGGAAGCCCACGTCGGCGTCTTCGTTGCCGCGCCACCGGCACAGCGGCGAGGGAGAGCCGCCGGCGGAGGACCACGCGCGCGCCATCATGCTGGGGATGGCGGAGAGGTGCTGCACGTGGACAGCCAGCCGGTTGCACTTCTTCCCCTCCAGGTAGAGCCGCAGTCCGGTCACCGGCTTCAGGTCAGTCAACACCTGCCACCCAAGAGAGCCAGGCGGTCAGCAGAAGTCACCTCGCAAGTCAAAGTCTTGAAAAGTCAATGAACCACATTAAATGCAGTAAAGTACAAACTTTTGTGGAGAAAATTGTTAGTACAGCTTGCACCATTATTAGTAATCCAAGAAGGGGGGGATGTTGACCACGCCACAGTATCGTGGCCAGCCGCACCATGGCCCGTTGCCGACTATAGCGGTAGACCAACATGTGTTCGAGAAGAAAATTATCAGGCATTAATATGGGTAAATATTTTCGTAATGGGGGGTGATCCTCGTCTCCTTGGCGTGGATGGCTCCGCTTAATGAACATTCTTAGCTATCAATGTGATTAAAGATTAAAAAGTAGATTACTCCAGACAATAACTGAGAAGCCGAGCACCTAAGGAACTAGGTCTGATTGGAATTAATCACGAACAAGAAACAATTTTAAATCATAAATTCTTCAAGAGTTTTCAAGGCATCATAAATTCTTCACACGGTGCAATTCTTAAAAATTGGGGCAAAAAAACAAAGAAAAAAAAAGAGATTGTGAGAGAGAGATCTCATAGCAAATACCTGAGTGGTGTTGACGTCGAGTTTGGGACCGAAGCATCGGAACTGCAACGTGGGGAAGGATACCTGTCTTCTGTGCAGTCCGAGAGCCAGCTCATTAAACATGGGAGCCCATTGTTGGGGAACTTGGAACTCCAGAAAATATTGTAAATCATCGAAAGGCGGTTTGTCTGTGAAGAGGAAAAGAAACACAACGGGTCACTGTTTATGATCCGATGCAACTGGTTGCAACTTTTGAAGTTCAATGGTGAGTTTGAACTCAAAACTTCGGGATCATGTAAGCCTAAATAAAATTGGCTATCCCAAGATCTAGCGATTAGAATCCATTATTGGCATATAATTCATAGATAATTCTAAAAGTTATTTATTTGGTGACTGTCTTTGTTGACGAGACACTTGTATTTGATGAAAAAATGATGCAGACGTTCTTAGAATGATAGTATGAACACAAAAAGGCATGCTTTCGGCTGCCCATCACGGTGATCATCAAGCCACTTACAACGAAGATATAGGTTGATTGCATGGCTGAGATAGCCACTCCCAGGAACTCCAGTGAGAAGAGAAGTAATCGGAACAAACTTGAAGAAAATAGCATCTGGAGTGGTAGAAACAGTCTGTAGCCACTTATTGTGGCTATTAAGGTATGTGTTTCCTCCTCGCTTTGATCGAATGATGACCAGGCCCTGTGTTTATGAAAATTTTCACCGTCAAGTAGATCAAGTAGATGAACTTAAGTCTTCATCAGAGCTGGTCTTACATCTTTACTCGAGGTCTCAGAGTATCTGTCCAGGTTTAAGTTGTTTGACTGCAACATCTGGCGGAAAACCTCAGGCACCTACAGTGGCAGGAATATTAGTTAGTGGCAGTGTAAAGAAGGGAATTCTGGCCAGGAGAAGTGTTATGTACCTTCTGCTTGCCTTCTCTAGTTTTCCCGTGAAGGGGAGAAAGGCTCCTTTCATCTGAGAATAAATGATCTCCAAGGTCCTCAAGATGTAATTTAAGGTCAGTAGAAGGAATTGATGATTTGTGTTTCTGCCTAATACAAATGACATCCTGCCCACCGACAGCCATTCCCACTAGTATGTGAGTCCCATATGTCTTAATGAACCTGGAAAACGAATTAATTTGAGAATTAGCATCCAGGAGACGAAAGGTCACTATTTTTCGTTTCTGGGTAAACAAGATGGGAAACACACGATTCTGCAAAGTTAGCAGGATGAGAATACATAACCCTTACGAAATGCTTGAATTTGAAATGAGAGAGTGTTGAATTTATGAAATAGGTCATTTTACAAGGCATAAAAATGTATGATGTTCTTTGATGTGAACAAGTTAAATGGATGTCATAAAGTGATATTTGTTTAGTTCCACTACTTAGCAACTTTTTTCAAGAAGAATGGAGAAAAGTCATCGTAGAATGATTCATACGTATCATGCAGATAAGCCATCGTCAGAATTAAGAGACCGGATGAAACACAGGATGGTCATGGTTAGAATAACTTCAAGAGAATGTTATGATATTATTTTCTTATCCATGGTTTTAGTCATCTTTTTAGCCTGGAAAATAAGTTAGAATATTAGTGAGGAAACAAGAGAGGTGATTGCTACACAACAAAAAGCGAAGAAGAAGCAATTTTTTTGGCAAAAAAATAGTCCGATTATGTTACCTAGAAAGGCCTAAGGGCTCCCATTTCGGAGGAACTGCCTTTTTCACTTCTTCTCGGAGAACAAGTGGAGAAGCAGTCAGGTGCAAATTGTAAAGTGAAATGAAGTAGCCATCAAAAGCAAGGTACTTGGTGTCCATTGCATCATCAAGCCATGCTCCGCTAAACTCAAAAAGAGCGTTAAAGTATCCCGAGGGTATTTTTCCTTGGATTGATGATTTCTGATTCAGTAACTCAGACATCTGGAAAGTGAACGAAATAAATACGGATACTGTGAAATACGATTAACAATGAATGTATATCAATTGCATAAATCCTCCGGAAGACAATATGGACTAATCAATAAACAAGAAAGCTAGATATGACTTTTTTTCAAGGTTCTATTAAATTGAACAATCCGTTTTCTCATACATTTTTTCTTACCCATGTCATCAGTTTGACAAGAATTGACGGCTGCATATCCTAAATTGGTTGCGTACTTAAAGTCACAAAGTAGAGAACTTTTACGCGATACAATGATTTTAGAATGGTTTTTTCAACACGCGAATCAATAATTAGATTAAAAGAATCTCAAACGTTTATTTTGCATGGAAGAACCTTGTTGACCAAATGATTTTATTCACAATAACTGACGAAATATACCAAAAAGGAGATGCTTATGTTCATTTATTTTCTTCAAGTGGATTGATTAAGAGACCCTTTACGTTTCTGAAACTAGGTCCTTGTCATCTCAACGCAAGGAGCTCCGTTCTACACAAGCTGATTCAATTCATTGGCATTCTGGTCCTTGATCTAACCTTTGAATTAGCCAGATTTGCATAATTGTACTTTTATAAATGGAAAACATATAAACGCTTAAAATAACTTTTATCATAATCTCGTTTTGGTAGTGCCAACCACAGTGAAGTTGGTAAGATATGACTTGATTTTTCACCATCCATACATCAAGACGAAATCGAGTCTAGTCTACTGTGGAGAGTGGAGTACTCTTCGAATTGTCAGAAAACTTGCCTCATGTGACCGGCCCAAATAAATAGAGATTGATCCTCAGGTTTACCTATCCCACACTTGATCTATTTTCCATATTTCTTCTATTGGTCAGCTCGCTGACTCCACCAAATCTCAGACGACTCCATAGTTTTTACACTCCTTTGGGAAGCCTTCCCTGAGTTTGGTTAGGGGTTAGGGGTGTGTGTGTGTGTGTGTGTGTGTGTGTGTGTGTGTGTGTGTGTGTGTGCTTGTGGGGTTGTGGTTATGGGGGGGTTGGGGCGTAGAGAGAGAAAAACATATTCCACACGTAGTCCTTCTTCATTTTCATCATTTTCCCTTACTTGGGCTCTAGTATCTGTCTATAAACATAGAAAAAAACATGGGAGGGTCCCTCTAGTTATCTCTATCTGTAAAAAAAATACATTTAAAAAGATCATGTAGCTGATTTTTTTGTAATCATTCTTCCAAAAAATTAAGAATATTTTTTAATGCATATAAATTCGTTAAGAAACAAATTGTACTATTCTGTTTGGAAGATTCCACCCCTCCATATTGCATCGGGTGTTCGCAATTTACGTTTTCACTAAATTCAGCTACATATCCTCCCAACAACAAATTTTTAATTGATATTTACAACACAATTTTTAATTCAGAAGGGACATATTTCTTAGTTTCTGCGAATGGGATTCAACTAAACACAAAAAACTGAAAAAATGGGTGATGACTGTAAATTTAAGAAACTGAATTTGGAACTGAAATGAAGAGGTTTCACTATCAGAGAGCTACGTATAAGGGTACCCAAAGCGATTTATAACAGATTTCACATGGTTCCAGCACGGATGGATAAATAAAAGCAGTGGTCATCGAAACAAGAAGAGTGAATCTCCTTTTTTTCTAAATTCATCTCTCCATTAGCGATTATACTCGCGTATGTATTTACAACTGAGCCTTATAGGAGAAAATTTTCCCAAAAATGTTGTATGAACTCGTTAGCCATCATAGTTACATATATAAACATATGAGCCGTAGAAGATAAATTAATCAAGTTCTATATATAGATTCTGAGAGGGCCATGTTCTCTGTCTTAGTTCTTCGAACCAGGAAACATGAAGTAAATGAACCGGTAAGATATTATACAGCTGACTGTAAATTTCAGAGACTGAATTGTCATACGAGAACAGAAACTACCATCGGAGAGTTATGTGCAGCATACGAATTTTGACTGAACAACGTGATTTCACCTACTCACCGGTCAGCGTCACAGCAAGAATTGGTGCGTGATCATCGAGGACGAAAACCGTAACTAGGAAAAGAGAAGAACAACGAACGACACAGAAGGGGACCGACGCTATTCAACTTGCTTCTCGTCACATACCTGGTTGAACTCCAGCACATCTGACTGAAACCGGAGCCGCTCCCCTTTGTCGCACCCGACGCCCCGAGGAACTCCCCGAATTACCTCCCCCCCTGGGGCAGTGAGGTCTCTGGCGCCCCCTCCTGCTTCGACCTGCACCAGCCGAGCACCGTCGGGATAGCCCTTGGCGAACCTGAGCCGGAAGTCAGAGGCGAGGTCGAAGCCCGTGCCGAGGGCCCGCACCGCCCTGGCCCCTATCCCCTCGTCCCCCATCTCCCTACCCCCTACCAGCAACTCCAGCCAACGCCGCCGCAGGCACAGACGCAGAGAGCGCCAAAACCCGCGTCAGCAACTGGATCCTCCCTGTGCACTGCTCCCTCTGCCATGGATGGCCAGAGAAATAACTCCCCCTTCCTCCTCTTACCGGTCCTCCTCTGACCAGGGACGAAGTCGCCGCCACGGAAGGAAGAATCCGGTTTGAAACTCGTGGGGGGCCCCCCAGAATTTTCCAACCTGGTCGTTGCGGGAACAGCTTCGGAGAAGCCGACCCAAGGTGGGTTACCTGATTTCGAAGTGGGCCCCACCGGGCGTTCGCCGCCGATCCGCGGGTCGGTCGCCGACTTCGGTGGGACCCTATTCAACGGGACAATAAATACAACAGCAGAGAGATTTGATGGGTTAGGCCGACGCGGAAATCCTGGGATGGCCCACCGCGACGTGTATAATGCGGCCGGCCGGGTCGCCCTCAAGGCTCCGTGTGCAGAACTTACCGGTTCAACGGTCCGGTCCGACCGGCTCGACCTCGGTACTAAGATATTAGTTATCATTTAAAATAAATATTATCACCCCTCAATTAACATCTAAAATTGATGGGTTGAGTTTATATTGTAGTAATCGATATCATTGAATTCCTGATCATTGGACCCCATAGGGAAGCGTATCCGAGATCCAATTACTATGGATGAGGTGGATCATGAGATTAAACCAAGTGGCTCAGCATTTTATGACCTCTCTCTCTCTCTCTCTCTCTCTCTCTCTCTCTCTCTCTTAATTCTCTTAATGATTCAATGTACGCAGTCCAATCTTCATGGTAACAATGATTGGCCTTAAATCATCATCAATCAATGAGGAGATCTGCCGCCTTGGGCGGCAAGATGCTCTTTAAAGCTCTAGAGAGAGAGTGGACGGCAGCAGATGAAGGGCATGAGAGTGGGTGCCCATGCTGTGCTTCAGTCATGGGAGACGAGGAAGAACTCAGATGACACAGAGGAGAAGGGGGGGGGGGGGCTGACACATCAGCATAACATGCCTGCTGAGGTGGCAGACAACATCAAATCAGGGCCGCTTATCATTCTTCACATGCGTGACATTGCCAGATGGAAATACCAAACACCTCATTTTCTACACCCAAAATCGCATGGATTTTAATGGAATAATTGAGACACCATAAAAAGAGTAACCTGTTCTTCATCCCACTTCTCACGTCAGGAGCTGAATGCGCCACAGTCAGCAGGACAGATGATTCCCCACCAACCGTCGATCTCGATCGAGACCAAGATCGTGCTCTCAATACCGACAGAAACCCATCTTGATTACATACACAAATAATCAATAATTAAATAAATAAGATCGAATAGAGAGAGAGAGAGAGAGCATGGAAAGAATTCATGAGACCCAATGATGATGACAAGTCCAGTGGAACAAAGAATTCATGCTGCTCAGCCTGCATACAGGCGCCCATCTCCATGCTATCCACCTTCTATTGCTGGAAGGAGGAACAGTGAACCCCCCTCCACCTTAGAAAGATCTAACCCTTGTGAACACAAGCTATATATATATATATATAGATAGATAGAGAGAGAGAGAGAGAGAGAGAGAGAAGAAGAAACCCACAGAGCCTCAGCATGGTACAACAGGTGGCAGGCTCAGCAGCAGATGGACCCATCTAGTGGACAAAATCAAGGGAAATGCTTCCCGAATGAATATGACACACGCCTACATGCAGAAAAAAATGATAATAATAAAAATAATAATAATATTTAAAAAATGAAGCACAGCCCTCTTGACGCTCCTCCCCATGAGAAGAAATTATTAGAGCCCCTGTGAGGGCTCTCCATGCGGCAGGATCTCCATGGCATGGGAGGTTGTTACCCGTTCTTTTGCTTACTGAGGAGAGGAGCCATGGCTATGGCTGGCCGAGAGCGGCCACTGGGCATCACTGAAACCTGTGGAGACCTGCCGCCAATGGGGGTTCGTTTGACCACTTTGGTCACGAAGCGGCCGATGCCTTGTCGAGCTTCTCCTTCTCTATTTCGGCCTTTCTCTGCTCTGCATGCTGCGCTATTCCGCTGGCGAGAGCCTGGTAGTGGAAGTCCAGGCTCTGCATCAGGGTTTGGAACCTGGCTGGGTCTGATACTTGAACAACTGAAGAGGGGGGGGGGGAGGTGTTAGTTAGAGAGAGAATGGAGGAGCACCAGAGATGGGAAGGGCGGCTTCTGGGGTTGGTGCACAGAGAGAGAGGGGGGCTACCTTGCACGGTCTCCACAAAGAAAATGAAGGGGTCAACGCTGTCAATGGGTGACTCGACCTCCTCTTCGTCATCATCAGTGTATTCATCATCGGAGTCCTCGTCGGATTCGTCTGGTTGAAAAGCCCTTGCCTGAAATTACCGATGCTTGGGAGGTTGAGAAACACGGTTGAATTCAAATATGTTCTGAAGGGCACGCTTATGGGAAAAGAAAAATACAGCAGGTCTGAAAAACTATCATTGGATTAACGAACAGGTGGACCTAATATACCCCTAATACCAGACGAATGTAGGTCGTAGAATCTAAAGGGATGATGCATCTGCCCACTGCCGTCATTTACTTTGGAATCCCTGTTCTAGTGAACTGTGCATTCCATAGCATAACTATGTGATAAAAAAAATGTGAGTTATCCAAAGAATTTCAGCTTAAATTAAATGCCCAAGGAAAGGTTCCAGATCAGCATATTTGAAAACTAGATATCTAACATGCTGACTGCAACAAAGTCTCAGTTTCCTCAAAATAAAGGGCCAGGTCAACATATTATCATGGTATAAGTGATACCTTAAGTTTAATTGTCCCAGCACAGGATAATTGAAAATTTTAGTTAAAAGTTCAAAGAGCATGGTTCCACACCTGAGCTGCTAATTTCTGAAGCTTCGTTGAGTCTGCTTCATCTCCTTCTTCAGTGTCGTCTCCCATTTCCTTGTCAGAGTCATCCTCATCGTCATCCTCCTCATCAGTTTGAAATCCATCCATCTCGTCGTCATTGCCATCATCCTTCTTCTGAGACTCTGACCACTCACAAATAATGGCACAGAACAAATGAAACTCAGATGTCCTTCAGGTTGTTGATTCCCCGCGTACTTTCATTACAAGACTAAATATGAGATAAAAGAAATATACGAGGGAAGAACAAATTAAACTATTACTTTCCCTCTTTTCTCATCCTCTCTTATCCTTGTTTTTCTTATCCGAAATTGGGAAATTAGTGTGCGTCAGTGCCCCAAGATTCATCAAACCGACATACACAAGGGTGAATAACTAAGGATTTGGATTATTGGAACTATAGCATACAGTTAAAGGAATAAAATACAGGGAAACATGAACGGAAAGATGTAATAAACAGTGCGGCACCTGCAACTTGATTCTTGTACAAGACCAGCAGCTCGAGGGCTGCTTTGCATATTCGTGCCATTGCTTCCCCCGGCAACTGGTCCGCAGGGAGAGCCATTAGTGAAGTCAATCCCAAGCAGCAGATCTTCTTATCATGCTCCCTGAAACAGAGAGAAGACAAGCTTGAGGGTGGGTGCCACAGGGGAGAGGCAGGCAAACAACAATGGAAAAAGGTAAAATATTAATAAATAAACTATGACGGAAATACCTTTTAAAGTTTACATGCTTGCCGCTTTTCTTAACTTGTTGTAGCATCTGAAACCAGAGGTTAAAGACATCCGTCGCCACCCCGAGCTTTTGAAGTGTACCAAGAGTTAAAGATGGGTTGTAATAAAGGGCGTCCGCAATCTGTGGATCAAAGATCGCACATTTGAAATCAGCGCAAGAAAAGAAAAATATGAAAATTTTCCGCACTGAGCCTTCCACAGCAAAAGCATTCAAGCACAGAGACAAGAAGGACGGCAAGGGTGATATCCAAAGATCAATAATATTGGAGATGATGCAGCAACGAGGCCTTATCCTTATACTCGAGGCATTCAGTCCACCTAGCTATCAAGGCATATGGGAATGCCTTGAAAATTCTGCAGTATATCGAATCTGAATTCTCACATAACTTTATTTGCCATGACAATTGTCAGCGAAAAGAGCCTCAGCTCTCTAACCATATTTGTGACTGATGAGTCCTTGGTAAAATTGATGGAGGATGGCAACTCCTATGTCTGACAAATAAAGCCACATCCACTTTGATTGATTATTAAGCAGATTAAGGTCAACTTTCATCAACAAGAAGATCTTGAATCAAATCATACGAAAATTGGGAGGAAAAGCGATTACGTCTTTAGCAAAAGCCATGGAAAAGCAGCGAATATTTGCGTGAGATTTCTCTAGGTTTTTGCCCTCACCACAATAATAAATTAAACAACACAGTCGGAGAAACAAACCATGAATTGATCAAATGTATATACAGCTCAGTGTTAGGAAAATACTTATGCAACGTTTAGGATGATTCAACTTAATCTAGTTTTTTCCAAGAAATGTGAAGTAAAACATAACTTGTTTATTTGGCATTAAAAGCATAAAGGAAATAGAGAACTGAATAACATGGTTGTAATATACTGCTCACCACTTTTATCAATAGGCATTTTAGGTAAGGTTTCTCTGCTCTTTTCAAGCGATCAATTGTGAGTCTTAGATACGGTTCGACCCATTGATCCACCTGACCTTTGCAATTCTGAAAGACTACTTCAATAAGCTTGGGAGCAGACTCAATATCGCCATCCTCTATATTTCTGTCTGACATGATCTGTCAATAAATGAAGAAAAAAGATTAGAACCCAAATCACTTCATAAAATGTTAAACGGAAGGAACCAAAGACTTTCTACAGGAATTGAACCAAAGACCGCTAGCCATTATCTGACAAGTGTGATTAGCTGCATGCTACTGCTTCGCAGTTCACTGGAAATAAAGAACGAGGACATTCCAGAAAACCTATAAAGTGTGAAGACTGCAATGCAGAGGATAATGGAGCTGACTGTGGTGAAAGTTTGACAGCACAAGGAGCGGTCACGCCAAATCCATCCTTCTGATCATACGGAGCACAGTGTCTTCCCTATCATCCAATCCTCTTCTAGTGAGAAGGATGTTAAGCCTGCACCCTTTTCATATTCCTTTAGTAGTGTGGAAGTTGGCACTCAGAGGTTAATGCGCCATGTTTTCACTTTTTAGGCCATCTGGAAATATAGGAATAACACTCAGAAGACAAGTGCTAAATAAAGTGGTCTCTAAGAGTCTACTGGGAATGTTTTAGTAGCGAAGGACGGCACTCTTCAACTTCGAATAGTTGGAAGATTATATAAACAAAAGAGAGCTTATCCAGATGGTTCGTCCGAGCATATTGAGAGCATAAATGCAAATCTCCCATTTCTTTAAGAAATTTATTGAATATGTGGTGCCCAGATTCAAAACAAGGTGCTTCTGTTTGAAAAAATAAGTTTCACGTAAGTACTCACCAATGAAAGTGTATTCCAAAGGCTTTGCTGGTAATCCGGTTGCTTGCATGTCAAAAAATGTGATGTACCTCGGGATATGTAGTTGTCTAATGGAACAAGAATATCTACAGCATACAAAGAACACTATAAGAACTCAAAGGATACTAATGCAGAATAAATGAATCCATTCCTAGGCCAGTAATATCAGAGAACCGTAGATGAAAACAACATCAATAAATCCTATATTAGTAAAAAATAATGAAAGAGAAAAAATTCCAAAATTTTATTGATATTTACCAACAAAATGTACCTCAAAATATAGAGCTCGCATCAATTGTTAAAAATCTTATATTTTCACAGATTGAAAACAGTCATAAACGTTATGAACAAATGAATTAACTAACCTAAGCCAAATTCCTGGACAACTAAATCACCACTACTGAACACTTGTTGATTAACACTCAATTGATACTGAGGACTTATTATAACTTGACTATTAGCAATGAAAAAATGCAACTATGGCAGGCAATAGGGAGTATAAACTGTGATTGAGATTCCAGGCGCCATATACACATACTTTCAAAAAAATCGATAGCCCAATCGCCAAGCGCTTCCATGATTAGGGGCCATAGACTCCACATCTCCAATGAGATTGTTGGAGAAAAAAATGTCATATAGGAGACAATCTCCAAAACCTCCTCGAAAACATCTGTTGAAGTAAGAAAGAATATGTCAGACTTCTACAGCAACAATACATTGAGAAAACCGATAGAAACTTTTGTGTACATCAAGATACAGGGAAACAAACAGTCATTCAATATCCAGACTGTATAAATCGTAGAATAGGTTAGTTCCTCCATAGTAAGCCTTCGCACAACATACAAATAATTTTCGCAACCCTGATTAAATGTTTCACAAACCAAAGCAGATACTGAGAGAAAGATGGTCCTTAGAGGATTTATGGTCTAACAGATCTTAAGAAAGCTACTAAGATGACATTGCCTAAGGAAGGAGGTGCTCGTGATAGAAAATCCATAAGGAACAAATGATCACCACTCTAAGAACGCTGAAGAATGATTGGAGAAAGCATAGTGAAATGGTAACAAGAGATCAGAACGCTGCATCTTTCAGGAACAACACTAAATCATCATATTCTCACATAAACAGAAAACATGTAAGAATAAATTAAAGGGATGCAGACGAAAGTGATGTCACGGAACCATGATTATTGTAACACGATTCATTGGCATAGATGTGGCCACATATGAGAATTGCACTTTATTTAGAATATCACCAAGCTATGGCCACCTGTGTGGTTATATGAACCTTTTCTCACAAATAGATAAATCTATCCCACAGTTGCCGTGCATAACGACTAACTAATAATTTGATGATGCCTCACCATCACATCTGCCTGTAAGAAGGGCGGATTTCCTTGGCATAGATGTGTACTTTTGGTGTTTATGTAATGCAAGGTCATGGACCACACTCCCTCACATTGTGATCCAAACGAGATATCAGGACGCCATGAATGCTACCTTTGGGTGGTATCAACATTAGCACTCGGTCCTGCCAGGGTTGTTGTCATAGATATTAGAGAGTAGAAGGAGCATAAAAGCCATTACATTATCGTATCAGGAAACATTCTGGCAATGTGGGAAAAAGCGATTATTCCAGCAGACACAAAAGCTAGGAAAGATTAGATCGGATGGGGAGCAACCAAACAATTCACCTTTACGCTATAGCATGACTTTTGGGTTGTACGAAGAAATGGACGCCTTTTTTGCAAGCTGATGAAATCCTAGATGATTATTTTTTTCCTTATGTAGCGCTTCTATTGATTCTCTATTAGACTATACTCCCAGTCTTTAACAGCTAGGTATTCCCCACTCCATAAAGAGTATCACAATTGCAACGGCGTTACCATATCTCAAGCCAGAGTTGCTTATAACTACCATTGATGGCACATCAATCATGATAAAGAAAATGGAAGGTTCGCATTCTCTACGCATAGAATATGACATCCATCATAACAAAGCATTTCAGGGGAAGAAAACACAGAAATCTATACAACATCTGATGAGATACAGTTCTTTAAAGTCATAAAATTCAGAGAAATTCTTCAGCTAAGGCAAGCCACAGTCAACAGAACGCAAAGTCAAAAGCATGTGTTGAACTAGATAATCAAGGGTACCTTGGCCATCGGTAGTAAGCATCCTTTTCATTATAGGCAGCAGAGTAGGTTCTATTTGAACAAATAAATGAGGAAGCCTGCTGACAGATTCGAGAATTGTGCTAATGGCTCGCAAACAACCAACAGCTGCAAGAGCACCAGGGTCATCACCCTCATCATCCGCCTCAGATGAATCTATACACCGCCAAAAGGCAGCAGCCTGGAAATAAGGAGAAACCGGTAAATACCAAAATAGCTAACGTCAAGTAGCAGGTTTAACATTACTTCTACAAGTGTAAACATATTACCAAATTCTGGCATAATCCAATAGCATAAGGCGCCATTTCTTCACCAAACTTGTCCACGATTGTCTCCAGAGTGAAGACAAGATCCTCATTCTCAACCTCATTCATGAGTTTAAAGAATTCTGAACATGCCATTTATAAGGAGGTCAAAAACGTTATGAATGATTTAAATCTAGAAAAAACAAGAAAAATGGAAACATACCATCTAGCAACTGGGGAAGAATAGGACGAATCTCATTCAAATCTGCAGAGGATTTTATAATTATTACATACCCATGGGAAAAAGGTAGCAAAGAGATAAGTAAAAAAAAAAAACCTTTGCAAGCTTCAACAAAAGTGCGCAATGCAAAAACTGAGTCAACGCGCACAGGAAGCTCCGGATCACGCAGTCCAGCAACAACACTATGCAAAGCCCTACGGAAATTGTTCTTGTCTGAGAAGTTGATATGAGCATACTGACCAGCAACCCACGCCGCCTTATTTACAAAGTTGGACATGTCAATACAAAAATCAAAATCGAACAGAATTCATCGCATTTTCCCAAAAACAAAAAAATAGGTCTCCATAAAGGCTACAGCAAAGAAACATTGTTCCCCCCCAATACAGTAAGATTGAAAATAGATCTTACATGTACACTAGGACAAGATTTCACATATTCTAACTGGACAACTGATTATTGTTCCTCAGATAATTGACAGAACCAAAAATCCATAGAAAGTTAAACTAAATGTTGGCAAATTACTTTGGAACAACTGAAATAGAGTCACAGACAGATTTATTGCATTTTATTTCTGTTGTCGAGATGTACTTAATAACCTGTATACCTTACATGTTTACATATATGTCCTCATGTACCTTTCATTTCGTGTTACATCAGTATGTCTAGAACCTTCTAGAGATTTGGTATAAATACTGGATCCCGCTCTCCTTGTAATAAGTTTTCTTGATCAATAAAGTTTGAGTTCTTCTTCCACGAGTGCTGGGGGCCTATCAGAGCTCCAGACCGTGTGTTATCTCGACTATAATTTTATCACCAAACTCATAAGAAAACTGTTTGATCACATACCAGTTACCAAAAGTACTGTAAATTGTTTGTGCATTCACCGAATAGACAAAGATAGTTTTATACAAAATGTGAAGTAGATCAGATCCAAAAAGATATACTCGTTGGACATCTCTTAGTCAACTTAAACAGTGGAGAGTGATCTACTGGCTGCTTGACAAGAAATAGTAACATTTCAGTAAAAAACAACAGATTCGTCCTTCAGACAATAACACAGGGAGAGTTCCCATCAATCTGGGTGCACAGACAGCATCAATATGGCACGTTAATTAGGTAAAATGGAGTGTGCGCACGTCGAGGGATGTGTGTGCGCGTGTGTTAGAGAGAGAGAGAGAGGACCTAAAGGAAGAAGGGAGAGATCGTGGGACTTCTAAATTGGTACTAGCACAGCATGATAACAATAGAGAGAAAATCATGTTAAAGAATGATTAGGACCTTTGCTCTGAGGTGCCCAAGATGGCTATTGAATTCAGGGAAAACATGCTGCACTAGCATTCGCTCGAGCTCTGACTTGTAAGGATCAGTTTGCTTTAGTTTATCACACAACGCGCCAATAGCAAGCAGAGCACCGTCTTTCTGCCGGTATGGTTTAAAGTCAGGAGCAGCTTCATCATACCTGTATAAAAAATAAATATATGTATAAAACATGCATATCTGCTGAAGCACGATAGGGGGAGCAGCCTTATGTGACCATATCAGAGTTTTCTTCAGCTACATTGTAACGCCAAAACTATCTGACAGCATAGTGATGTCCTCGTCTTACCGTCTGAAAATCTCCACAATGAACTGAATAAACTTCTGAAGATTTCCCTTTCCACGTTTCCGTACCAATTCACTGACAAAGTCCATTGCTGCAGTACGAGGACTGTACAAATCTTCAATAATATCTGAAGCATTATATTGAATTAGCATATCCAATGTTTCATCAATATTCTGGTAAACGTACAACCTGAATATAATATTATCTGAAATAGCCAAGACAATAAGACTCACCGTAACCTTTTCTGACATACTCGTGAGGATCTTCATCCCACAAAGTTTGATCATTGTCATTGAAACACATGAGCGGGAAAATAATATCAAAAAGAAGAATGTCCAGTTGTGGCAGCAATAATTGATACATACTGTTCCTTGAAAGACTGCAACATAAGATCGCATGCATCAACTGACTCTGTTTCCTAAAAACTAAATGTGATCGGTTCAAGTTATCTTCCAGCAGTTTTAACGAAATAAACAGCACTTGACAATCGAAATTTAAGTACTAATATCCAAAAAAACTTAAGCATATATACTAAATATAAAATCACCCGTACAGATCATAACTATTACGTGCATCGGCCATTTTTAATATGAGACGACATGAAGTTATCAAGGTTATCTTCAGGTAGGTATGCTTTCTGTCTACTCCTTTTAAGACTTTATCTCTATTCATTACGTCCTTTCAATTTCCTTATAATGGTGACAAGAAGATACAAGTTGCACCTGGGATAAGATTCCCCTGTTCTGTGAACTCAATTGTATCCAAACTGAGCAACATTCAACGGAATGCAAACTGAGAACTCAAGGTTTTTCAATTGGTAGCGAGAAATCTCTCAGTTACCAAAATGTGGTGAGGGAATTGCAATCACTTTGCTATCCAAACCTTTCAGTCCTAATGGCCTGGATTCATCTTCAAATGTGATTAATACAACCACATAAGAAGCATTTCACTACATTCCATTAGTTCTTGGAGAATTTAACTCTCATTGAAGAAACTAATACCTGAGCATTTTTACTATTCCCTTCAACTTCCTGGCAATAATGTCTTGATCGGAAATCCAACAAATCACAACCGGCGTTATATTCTCCCACTCAGGATATAGGGATAACAGTGAAAGCTATCAGCAAGCATCGAGGAGATAATCCTCCACTTCTCCCGTAGTTCCTATGGTCCCCTATTAGCCCAGTAAATCCACTTGTTGCTTCTCCAAAATCCCATCTTTAATTCCTATTGCTACTACTCTCACAGCAACTACTCTTAAGCCCAGGATTTACCACAATTACTCAGTGATAAGAAAAATCGTGTGACAAAATCATTTAACACGGAGTGTTTCTGAAAAAAAAGAAAAGAAAAAAAACAGAATCGAAGAATATCGTTCAGAAATATATATATATATATATATATATATATATATATGTATATATATAAAGAGACTGACCTGCTGCTCAGATACTGAAGAATAAGGTTGATAACTCTATCAGGCAAATATCCTCCTGTGCAGATTATATTTAGCAGGTGCAAGTGGCACTCCAAAATTTTCCCTGCATAATTCTTCTGAAACATTTGGGCAAAAGCTTTGCACTCAGGTTTCTGAATCTTTGTATCCCCGAACCTTAAAGCATATTTTGAAGAACATCCAATCAAAAAGCATTACCTTAAATAACGCGAAAAAATGAACTATATTGAGAATGAGTCTACCGTGTGAACAGACGATTCAAGATATGAACTGCCCATTTCTTCACTTTCCACCATCCCCATGATTTTCTAATCTCAGGGTCGGAAGGTTGGCCTTCAAGGGGAACATCTCGCTCCAATATATTCAAAAAAAGTACCATCCAAGCATTAAATATCGTGGGGTCAAAGAGTTGTTTTGGAATCTCTAACTGCAGATAATGAATAAAAAACATAAGCACAAAGCAACTGATACCAAGGTAGAAATAAAAATTTATAGGTTGAAGAAACAGACATATATCGAAGACCAGAATATTTTGCATATAAGCTTAATCAGATCTGCTACTTCCACTGGGGGATGGACAACGTGAACAAGCTTGTTAAATATATTAAGTAGATGAGGAAATGTCTCCTCAACAATTAGGTAAACAGGTGTCCTCTCCTCATCTGACTTGAACCTTCATAAAGAACGAGAAGATAGAATCAGTGTCATAGGAAATGTATGACGTGAAAAGCCTTGTTACAATCATGAAAAAAATATTACCATTTGGCAGAATAAAAAAATAAAAATATGAAATGCTTGTCTTGCCAATAGATACATGCCACTTGGATCAAAAACTCATTTAAGGATGAGCTAAATCATTTTCTTAAACTGGCCATCACCATCCATCACCAAAGAAATTAAAGCAACAATAAGCAAGTGAAATCTATTTCCAAGAAAAATATCTGATAGAGACTTGTCAAATAACAAGTCAAATGTAATGAACGATAAACATCAGAAAAGCTTACTCAAATTTCCTGGAGAGAATCCTTAGCACAAATAATGCTCCATATATTTGTTCATCTTGCATTTGCAAATTGCACTTAATCCAATGAAGAAGACCCGGCCACTGCTCGGGATAATCTGCTTGAATTATGGTTTTAAGGCATTCCCCAAGCTGTACTCTGAGAAATGTTAAATGGAAGAAGGAAAGAATCTAAATTAGTAAACCCAACAGTAGTCGATCAGGAAGCAGCAATTAAACATGGAACTGTATTTTTTAGAAGCATAACATTAGAAGTAATATATTTTAAAAAACCGTTGGGTAGGGATCAAAGAACAATTTAAATATTCAAAAAGAAGGTATCTAAATAATTTATAATTTATCCTAATACTGTCACTTATGTATCCTGCAGGAAACAGGGCTGACTTCTTCAGAAAAAGGATGACCTTAAGACAGGTCATATAGCGAATTTTGCTTTACAAACATTTGGCTTCTCAATTCTCACGCATAGGATTCACCTCAACAATTCAGCAGACTTCTATCACCCTAATGACAAGAACCACAACCCAACCTTCCACTATAGACATTCAAATCCTTGCAAAGCATTTGGTAGTCCAATTCAATTTGATGTAGTGGCCTAGGAGATATTGTCAGGGTTCTAATTAAAAATATAATAATTATAATTCATAAAATGTTCGATTTTGCGGAATTAAAGTGTCCATCTGGAATTCAAATATATCCCTCCCTTCATCGTGAGAACTTTCTGACACATGCATTCATCTTGAATTAAAATATTTCGAGATAGCACTCCCCAGTTGCCTCCTACATTATGAGGAATCAAAATTATGAGTCGACAAAACAAAAACAGTCAGGAGTCAGATATCAGGAGCATATTGTCCCACTTGATTTTTCCAGTTCCTCCTAAAGGGCGTGCACAACATAGAGATATAATAACATCGTGCTCGTTGACTCTAAGGGAGGCACCATTAGATCGTTTAAACCAGTAAGACAGAGCTATCAGCAAAGGAATGGCATCCTCAAGCAGGCAAAGAAAAATTCACTCCAGAACTAGAGGAAAGGCCAAAACTTAGCCAAGGAATAGTATCTCATGTAAAGAACGATATATAACATCCAAATATAAATATTTCCATAAGCACGCACATATCTCAGATAAAAATTCGGTCGCCATTCCCATACAACTGTGTTCTTCTGCATGACATTGCGGGGTATGAATGTATTTACGTTTGCTTACACCAGCTTGTCAGGTGACATCATCATTCTGCGGATGAATTAATATAATGATATAACGATTTTTTCTGTATTCACTTGAGCACTTCAGTATATATGATGATCTGAAGGGGTTCCCAGTGTTTTCCTTCAGAAAGATCATCAGGAAATAAAATGACTAAATAAATATCCGCAAAGATACCTGAATAATCTGAAAAGTACTTTAAATATCTGCAGAGTAATTTAATTCTGGATGCTTTACCACAGGACATTTTAAAAATAATGTGGGTAATCATCCAAATTTCATTTAGAGCTTATGGGCTGTCTAGTCAATTTGGCGATGATTTTTCTTTGAAAGGTTTCTACTTTTGATGCCTAACCTAATAGATTACTGGAAATTTCGCTACATTTCATAATAAACGCTTCAAGTCTTCTTAAAATGTATCACTCCAACATAGTGACACTAAAGCAACCATAAGGCTTAAAACAAATGATAAGTTATGAAGTTTATTCTGTCTGGACGAGATTATGCACAGTATTCACCTGGAAGGTTGTTGGAGTCTAACTTAAGCATCCATGTACTCAAAGAGTAAGTGAACACAATCTGTTCAATATTTTATTAATCACTTTGCATGGTAGACATTCATAAATTTAAATAAATGAACCAGTGACTCAAAATAAGCGAAATCAGCTAATCAAAACCACTCTTTTGCATGTAAATGACGGTAGTCCCACAATATAATACTAAACCTGTAAAATTGTATTCGGAAACAACAAATTCTTTCTCTAGACTACCATTTTCATCAAAGTCTTTACTTTTATGTATGAAACACTATGCACATGAAACGTTCCGTACATAAAGATGCATAAATTCACATGACTATACGGCCCTTTTAATTGTATGTGGTCTGCTTTCCTGCTGTACATGTGGCCATGGAATCTCTCCCAACAAAGTTGCATTGCGTGCTGCTACTATTGCCTGATTTGTCTCATTCATGAAGGAAGGACATAGTACCAATGTGGTGGATTATTATACCTGAGCAAAGGAGGCACTTGCGTGATAAATGTAAGAATATTCTCCCTGACAATATCTTTATCACTGGTTGATATCTTCGGAGACTCGCCTGCGGTTACAAATCAACCCTCAAAAAACCCAGATCGATAGATTCAAGTTATCCAAGAAACCTAAATGACATACCAGGTTCATTTGGTGACCAGTTCTTAGCTACAAAGTTCTTAAAATTTATGCTTGCAACTTGACGAACAGCAAGATCAAGATTTCCATTTACAACAATCTGCAGCAATCTGACCAAATGTTGTGGGGTATACTGGAACTGCACGATAGGCATAAAAAAAGTCTTTGAGCAAAGAGAGAGATAAGAAAAGAATTTATAGACTATCATGCGGCGCAAACACATGAGCAAAAATCTTACCTCGACAATATCCTCAGAAATGCATCTTTTAATGTTTTATTATAGAACATTGTCAATGTAAATCTAGCTTGTTTTGAGAGATATTTGAAAATGTTGAAGGGAGAAAGAAAAAAAAATGGTAGTTCTTAAACGGATTATTTAAGGCAGAGTTCAATAGGACACTAGCCAAAGTGCAGCACTAGTTTTCCAAATAACTACATGTGCATAGCATATAGGAATTCAGTAAATGATATGCAGAAGTCACGAATTACACGAGTAACAATGCTGGAAGAGTAAAAAAAATGCCGTTGTTTCGTTCAGACGTAAACAAGAGGAAAATATTACCAGAAAGAAGTCTAAGACCATGAAATTGATATCGAAACACTGATTAATGGCACCGACGGTTTGAGAAAATGATTGGGTGGCTACTCTCCAGGAACAGAGATAACTTTTTTCAATCTAGAAAAGAAATAAATTCCACTCCTTTTTCCCCCGTGACTCTCTTTCACTTCATACGAAATCCGTACATTGAGACCAAAAGCACTAGGTAACAGACATGCTCAGTCACTGCACTCGCTCACCTAGACTAACACTGAGACTAGGTAGCGATAGATAAAAGACACATTCTAGACACAGATGTCTTAGAGACAGTAAAGAAAGATAATTTGATCTACATATATCACCTAGACTAACAAATAAGACGCCTATTGAAACTTAGACAAATCGTATAAAACGTGGATTACATTGAAGTTGTCGCACCAAATCAACGATAAACAGTCGACCAGTTCCATTGGAATGGCACATTGATGCATCAAATACTCGGCGTCATGACAGAAATAACTGATATTAGCACGATAATCAATTCGATAACGAAAAGCAGCAGAGAAATGGCACGCACTTTTTTTAACAACGATGATTTGTGATAGCATAAGGGAAAGGATAATATTCACACGAATAAAAAAACAGCACACTAGAAGCAATGAACGAAAAGTGCACGGATTAACCCCAGAGAATTTTAACCTGGTTGAGGCTCTCCTCTGCCGCTTTTCGCTCCTCTGGGTTCTGGCTGAGCGCCGCCTGAAGGACGAGTGCCAGGCTCGGTGGATCCATGGCACCGACGCGAACCACAAAGAATCAAATAACAACCCTCCCAATATGAAAAAACGAGAACTAGGCCACAGCGGCGGCAGGAAAACGCGAGCTCAATTCTGGAAGGCACCAACCCGGTACTCCAAATTCTTCTGCTTTGAGGCAGAAATCCGCACCGTGGTAGCACTGCAGGTAGGCGGCGGCGGCGGCTGTGCCAGGGCTCCCGGCGGTGAGGAGACTAAACTTGGAGCTGGCCCCTCCCCATACAGAGAGAAGAGAAGACAGAGAGCAGCAAGCAGCAGCAAACCCCCTGGCAAAATAAGGCAACCCGGAGGTATTTAAACCGCTAGGGTTTTTGGTGGGGATATCTCGCTCGAGCCCGCCCAGCACGGTCGGACCTGTGGCCTTAACGTACTCCCATTCCCCCACGCACGTGCAGGGAATCACCGTTTGGCTTGTGGGCTTCCTGCTCTTTCCGACCCTTCTCCGACGACAGCGTTTGTTTCGCGGGGATCCGTGGAACTCCGGAAAGCGGGAACCCCCGCCAGCTGGACCCCCCCCCCCCACCACAGCCGCTTTCCATTACCAAGGTTGGACTCCGAGAGAAGGCCAGCCTGGACTCCCATATTAGTCATTGGAGTCGAACGAATTGTGCTCCAAATTTTTATCCTTGTTTTTATCACCTTTGACTGTACACTTACTAATCTGACCTGGAGTGCCAAGCTGTACACCTTTCCCAAAAAAAATGGGGCCCACAAGCTTGTCTAGTCAGCCCCCCGAAACCTCCACATGCTCCATATGCTACGCACCTCTACGTAGTTGACTTTCTCCAGACAATATTCTGTGGCCCCAGAGCCCATGCATTGGAATATCATTCAACGGTCTATTATACTCTTTTTTAATGTACCTTTTCAGGTATAGCTTATATTTTTATTTAAAATGTAAGATAGGATATGAATATATTGGGAGAATATTTGATTGAAGTTTAATAAATTTGAATATTTATAAGGACTATGTGGTTTGACTTCCATTAATACACTTGGTGGGATAGCTAGACTACTTTCACTATGAGAAGGAGACTATCATTACGATATTGCCGGGAAGGGGGAGACTCCATGCAGTCCACGTAGATCATCAGAATGGGACTTGAGATCATTAAGTGTGCATCAATGGAATTCCAGAAAAATGGGTGCCCCAATTTATTTTTTAATAAATTATCGTAATAAAGGTTTAGATAAGAGGAGCAGACGATAATATCAAGTATAATATAAAAATTAACGAAAGACAATATGATAACGTAAATTTTTATTATATTATTTCATCCATGAGAAAAAATGGGTTTGACAACTGGTATTATATTTCACCTAAATAGTTCAGTGAATTTGATATTTATATTTTTAATTATTTTTTATATTTAAATTTTGTAATGGTGGAGCATGTTGAGTTGTATATTTTAGTTTAGTTGATGCATTTTAAAATCTGTCATCTCTTTTCGTCGGATGTAGGTTTAAATGTTGATATCTTCCAAACTTGATCATATTTAATCGGACGGTGGAAAAGCGGTTGATGAGACAGTAGACGATGGGTAGGATGCGCGCACGGTTAGGTGGGGGGAGAAACCTGGATTTTGGAGCAGGTGAGAGAGAGAGGAGAGAGAGGAGGAGAGAGAGGAGGTAGAGATAGACAGGACCACCGCGCCGCGTGCGGTCCTCTTCTCAGAGTCTCGCCGGGTGTTCTCTTCGTCCTGGCGGGTATTTATAATGGTAGCCTCGAAAGAGGGTCAGCCGAGTGGATGCAACCGCCATCGCTGCTTTCGCTCACCGTTGACGCGGCGCTCCTCCGCATCGCCCACATCACCGACCTCACGGCGGTTCCCGAGCCCATCCTCCTCGAGCTCTTCCGAGTAATGATAATGCTAGAGGCTGTTCGTCGTATTTCTATTTTGATCAAGATTGTTGCTGCCGTCGATGTATCCCTCTCTTTTTCTGAGTTTGTCCTGAATCAGTTCCGATCGGTGGGCTATAGTTCTTAGTACGATAATTTGACCCCATCAGCGTCGTAAGTCATCGTTTTCGAACGATTTGTCGTGGATATTTATTTATTATCGTAAATTGATTTGATATTCGGTAGATCTCTGTTAAAGCAATCGGCCAACAGAGAAAAAGGAAAACAAAGAATAGGCATGATTATTCCTTCCAATATGTGAATCTACCTCGGAAAGGATCAGAGCTTCCTCACTAAAATCGAATTATCCATTTTTTTAATCTCAATTAACCCTGTTCCTGAAATTGATTCACACATTCGATCTCACATTTCTGCTCCCTAGGATTCGTCGAAATTATGGCTAACAGCGATCGGAACACCTGGGATCTGCCTCCACTCTAGCTGGCGTATTCTCCTCTTTCATTCCAAGTGTACTTGAAACCCTCCTAGGGTAGCTATCACCATTCGCTGAATCTTCAGATTGTCTATATAGAGACCGGGCCATTGCCTCATGTCAAGTGAAGTGTCAATCTGACGGGATATGGATCATTTTTTTAAAACGGACATCCTTAATTCATTATTTTCTAACTTATGTACAACTTATCAGAAGTAGGCCAACGCATTTGTTTATCTCCGATTTTTTTCTTCTCCCTCTCCCTTTCCCTTTCCCTTTTGATGGGCTGACATTCCATTAGCATCATTTCATTGCATAGGTATCACGCTCACGTTTAATTTTGGAAAGGAACGCAATCATGTTCAGTAAAACCGTCATGTGGCTCGCATTCTCTCACTAGGAAAGAAGGTGGGCAAAAAAAGAGATACAAAATTCATCTAGTTAGCTCTGTTTCTGTGGCACCCGAGTCTGGCCTCGAGCCATCCTAAACACACCATCAGCATGGTGTGGAGTGTGCTGCCGTGACATAGCCTTCTGTAATACAGCTTCAATGGCTTCTTAGTTATCCCACGGAGGTTCACATGAACCTTGTACCGATGTAAAAGTGGGTGTTTGTTCCTCGTCAGCAATGCCTTCGTGAGTAGATTATCCGTTTAGCGATTATAATAGCTTTAGGTTAACGGAGGTTAGATTTGATCAGAGATTCGATTTGATGTAGATAATTGGAGTGACATAAATGGTTATTCTTTCTTCTCAGAGGATCAGAGACCTCATTCATAAAAGTGGCTGCGTATTACAGACTATATCTGCAAGTTTTCTGTTTTTCTCACAGGTGGATGAGTCATATTTTCCCTTCCCTTTAATTCCAACGCGCATTTGTTATCAGAACCATGAATTCTATTTTTATTAACCAGAATCCGTTTTATGAAAGTGCATGGATGCTTTCTGTTACAAGGGCGTTGCTTCGGTCGAGTTTCTTTTTTGCATCGACATTGAGTTCCTGAAATGGGTTAATATTCATATAAAGAAACGTAGCTGCCATTGTAGGCTGTTCATCAGAGTCCAAAGTTCCCACCCTCTTTCTTTTCAAGACATTTGATCATTTGTAGCCGAAGAGAGAGAAAAAAAAACCTATTTGTGTGAACTTTTACCTAGTGAAATTGAGTTTGACGTCAAGGGATGATAGAGACTACTATAGTAAGAGGAATTGTACACAAAACGAAGAATTGGGTGAGGTCACATGACAGTGGAATGTCCCTTTTTTGAAAGTAAAAAATGTCTGCCCGGCCTTGATTGGCCTCCTTTGTTCCAAAGGGAACGCAACTTTAGATTATTTGTAGTGTTGAGCATGCTAATATTTTTGAGGGCAGGGGCAGAGTTAAGTTCATCACTATTAAACCTCCCGTCAGAGAAAACCTGTAGAGATTTCCAATGGCCAGTTTCCGCCGACAAAGGACATGTATTCTGCTAATTTCTCTGAGAAACATCAACCCTTGCGAAACAACAAGCTGCTAGGATCTGACACCCTGCCAAATATGACCTTCCACGCCACGTTAAGACTACCCCAATTTCTCTTCCCTGTGCGGACAACAGGAAACACAACATCACATGGCCCCCCGCCGGTGGAAATATAACCACACATTGTATGAGTGAGAGGCCAAAAGAGAAATGAAAGCCATTGACAGTTGAAGGCATGGCTGCTTTCAACTTTATCACCGAGTATTTTATGATGTTATTTGGTGATTGTGCCTGCTCTAGTTATCACATCAGACTTGTCTATGCATTGTTAAAAATACGTGGAGGTGTGGGAATTTTTTGGAAAGTTTATGTGGGGAGATATCAGTCGATGACGATTTCTCCTCTCTAATTTCCTTAACGTCTTTCTAGTCTTCTTAGCTTGGTAACCCCTGTGTAACACAGACTGATTACTACCCGCATTCCTTCTTTCCTTGTATGGGCCTTTCATGTATCCCATGTGTTTTGCATCTGGGGACGATCGATGGAGACAAAGATAGAAGATTTGCTATCCCAGCCCCTGGAATGCTCTTTTTCAGTGGTAGAGACGGACTCATGGAAAATGGAAATGACAACAACCATGTGGATTGAAGATCAGGGGAAGCAGTTGTATTATTATCGATAACGCCACTGGACACCATGGATCATCTTGAGGGAGGTTCAAGTGGAGACTGTCATCCCCATTAAAAGCCATTCTCTTGATGTGGATGATCCAAATTTCTTACAGGTGATCGGTTAGCTCTTTATCTCGGTGCCATCAATGCCCCCTATGGTTCATATAGAGAGAGGTTTCGTTGGATCATCTGCTTCTCAGATGCTATTTCTTGAGGGTCATCGGGCGGAAAAGCTCTTTCTTCCAGGCAAAATGTGCATTCATGATGACGTCTCCTCAGAGCAGTCCAAGAAATTTTAGTCTCCTCAGGCGACTGCGAAATGTGATGGATCTCTAGGATGCATCAATCTGGGTCATGTTGAATGAGATCGGCCAGTAAACACTCAAAATTTTAGTCAGAATTTTCATCAGGGCAATTGTTTTTTTTTTTTTTCTATACACGTTGTATGATGGATGAACTGCTCTTAGTTTTCGTGTATCGATTCTTAACAATATTTTTTCCAGGAGCCAAGTTATTTCTGTATTCAATGACTTTGTTGTAGTTTCTTTTTTTTTTCTGGCATTTTTTTTTTTCTTAATCTTTAGGAGCCCCTTCTTGTAGCTTCCTGTGAAGGATTTTGCTGATTTCCTTCATGGGCAGAAAACTCTGCACGCCGGCAAGCTTACAGAGAAGATCCTGAAGCTGTTCATAGCCACAGACAACGAGAACATCCTGAACTTCGTCCGTTCCCTCAACATCCAGCACGTCCTCCTCCCCGTCCTCCCAACAAGTGAGCGATCGACTGTCTTCCTCTGCTCCTGAGTGTTTCATCTCTTCTTCTGATCTTCGTGGCGCTCGGCAGGATGCTCTGAAAAATTCTAGAACCGGCATCCCGAGATCGGTGCTCTGAAAAATTCTTGCTCTGAGAAATCCTCGAGAGAAGAAAATGTTCCCGGAGATCGATCCCAGCGAGGTGGACGTGGTAATAGCGGCGCTGCAGCCCGATCTCACCTCCTTCATGGAAGAATGGCGCCCGATCATCTCTCCATTCCACATTCTGATCGTCAAGGACCCCGATCTGGAGGAGGATCTCCGAATTCCTCACGGCTTTGACCACCAGATCTACACCCGATCCGACATCCGGCGGATCGCCGGCGCCGCTCCGATCGACTTCTCCGGCTCCTCCTGCCGCCACTTCGGCTTCCTCGTCTCCGGAAAGAAGTTCGTCGTCTCCATCGACGGCGACTGCCTCCCCGCCAGGGACGGCGGCGGCCACCCGATCGACGCCGTGGAGCAGCACCTCTCCAACCTCCGGTCGCCGGCGACTCCCTTCTTCTTCAACACGCTCTACGATCCCTACCGCGCGGGCGCAGACTTCGTCAGAGGATACCCCTTTAGCATGAGGACCGGAGTTCAGTGCGTCCTCTCCTCCGGCCTGTCACGAGATCCGGGAGATTGTAGGTATGTCGACGCCGTTCTGACAGTTCCGGCGAGGGCGATGATGGTGGTCGCCGGCGGCAACCTGGCCTTCAACAGGGCGGCGCTGGGACCGGCGCTGCTCCCCGGCTTCAACCTTCCTGGCGGCGGCGCGAGGTGGGAGGCCATGGCGGAGATCTGGTGCGGCCTGTGCGCGAAGCTCGTCAGCGACCACCTCGGGCACGGGGTGAAGAGCGGGCTGCCGTACGTCTGGAGGCCCTCCGCCGCCGCCGCCACTACCGCCGGCGTAGGAGGCAGTGGTGGGATGGCGGAGGCGGCGGAGCAGGCGGTGGTGAGCTTCTTCCAGACGGTGAGGCTGCCGAGGACCGCCGTGGTGGCGGAGGACTGCGTGATGGAGCTGGCGAAGCTGGTAAGAGAACAGCTGGGGAAGTCGGATGGCGTCTTCTTGCAGGTTGCAGAGGCCATGGCGGAGTGGGTCAAGCTCTGGAAGGCCGTCGAGTCGTCGAGGTCGTCATGATCTGTCTATCGTATGGGTAATTCCTCGTCTTCTCCCTCGAGCCCGAGGGTAGAGGACATGGATTCGACTGCTGCTTGCTGGACTAAGAAATTCTGAGGGTGGAACTCTGTTGCTGACGCCCCTGGATCTCACCTCTTTCTTCTCCGAGGCCGTGCGAATTCCGTGGAAAACCCTAACTTTCAGGGGAGAGAGAGGGAGAGGGAGAGAGGGAGAATTGACTCGATTAAGTATCCCATCAATTCAGTAATTGAAGTAGGATGATTTCGCGTGGCTGAATCTTGTTTTGGCCGATTTTTTGTCGAACTCGTCCCCAAGGCAGTCAGCCCCCCAAGAACATCGTTGTTTAGACGACTCTCTCTCTCTCTCTCTCTCTACACACCCGCATCTCTCTAGCTTCCACTCTTCTCTCTCATTCATTATTTTAGACATTCCAAAGACAACGATACGATATCTCTTTAGCATACTCTCTCTCGCTCTCTCTCTCTCTAGCACAAGTCCGTCCCTGTAGGTCTTCAGATGGGCGGGTCGCTGTCTATCAATGATACAGGTTGCATTGTTCTCTCTCGTTCATTATTTTAGAGTTTCTCAAGACATGATCAGGACTTCCCGTATGCTACCTGAGGCAGATAGCAGGCGGGTAGAGAGAGAGAGAGAGAGAGAGGGAGGGGTAGAAGGATGAGGGAGATACACGTGTAGATTGTTAGAGATGGGTAGATCTAGAGAGATAGATGCAGAGAGCGAGAGAGAGAGAGGCGGAGGAGTGGAGAGGGAAAGAACTCAACAGAAAGGGAGAAAACGCGAAGAGCGTGCAGAGAGAAGAGGGGTGTGAGGGAGAGCTGAGCTCAGAGAGAGAGAAGGGAGTGACCAGTCGCAGGTAGAGAGAGAAAACGGGACAGAGAGAGAGAGAGAGAGAGAGACTGCATAGCTACTCCAGTTCTGACATTCTCCAGAATATCTTACAGTAAATTTTGACTGGACTTAAATATTACAAAGCAGTTCCTACCGGGTTTATTTTAAATTTTAAAATAATGATTTATGGGTTGAACCCTTTGACATTTGACTAGATTCGAACGTTTCTTCGCAACAGTGAGAGACTTTTGGGGAACGATGTGATCCCCAACACTTCATTCTTCGTTGACTTTAAGCCCCGCCCCGCACAATCTCCAAGATATTCCGTTGATGGAAAAAGGTGCTGGCACATGCGTAGACAAATTATTTCTTTAACTAGAAAACAAAAAAAAACACAATTTAAATCAACTTCACATATTTATTTATACTCGGATTTTTACTTGGAAAAATCTTAAAATTAGATTGAGATTAGGGTTTATGTAGGACCTCTCCCACTAGATTCTTCTCTCATTAGTGATATTTTTGTGTCCATTTAACTAGTTAAATTAGAAAAAATGATAACCCTAGTCTATGTTAGAAAATTAACAGCTTGCAGGCTACTGAGCCCATAATTAATCTGAATAGGAATAAATTGTTACATTACTTGGAAAAGTAATTCCACGCTAATCACCTTCTCTCCAAGATAATTAAGTTGACTTTTTGGGAAAAATTCACCATAACTTGTAGCATAAGCTCCATCATTATTGTAAATGATTTCCAAATCTAGCAACTGAGGGTATTGATGGTGTTATTACATATCATTATTGCCTTCCCTCATGAACTTTATGACCATGTATGTATATGTATGAATCTTGGATGAGCTGCCTAAAATGTTAGTCAATCAGCTCCCATAATTCAGAAGCTAAGAGGGGGATACATTTGGAAGAACTGATTCCTACAGTATCATAAGAAATCAATGCATTGAACACGATATTATATTTATTCCATTTAAATATTTCAAATGTTTTGGTATGTGTGTAGCCTCATGACTTTAATAAACTAGGAGACGAGCCATAATGTATAGATGGACAAAACTAAAATATAAAATAATTATGATAAAAAAAAATATTTTAGTCGATTTTTCCATAAACCTAGTGTAACAACTAGGTTTTTTTGCCCCATACAAGATTTTATTTAAAATAAAAATAAATGTAACCTCGAAATGGGGAAATTATCGATTTTAGCCATTTATTTAGCTGCAATTCGGAAAATAAATAAATGAACACCATAATAACAGTATAATTAAAAAGGGTATTTCATTTTCTACTTGAAATAGGAAATGCGGAAACTGGGTAATGAAAAATGAATAATTTTTCATAAAAAAATCGAAAATCAAATTCCCTGTATCTACATTTACTCCCCTCGCTCTATCACCACCCCGGGGAGAGACTGGAAATACAACGCGCCGGGGGAACCCCACTAGGGGGCATTATTGAAGGCAGCGAGGGCGAACGATAAGCAGACCTGCGCCGGAGAGCTTATTGTCACCCTTCTGATCCCCATCTATCTACCCATTATGAAATGGAAAGATGAGTTCAAGAAAAACACTACGACAGAAATTTCGTAGTAGCTCACCCTCTCCACTTCCCGCGCCGCCGCCGCCGTTTCGGCTAAGTGGGCCCGGGAAAAATGCGGGCCCCACTTCCAATAATTGCGCTTAATAATATTACGATACTATTATTCCATGGCTCTTCCTCTCTCTCTCTAGATTCTCTCTCATTCCCCCTGTTTTCCTGCTGGCAAACGCCCTTCTGTTCCAGGTCTTACTAGAACCCTAAAAACAGCCCCTTTCCTTCCCTTCTGCCTTCTCTCTCCCTCTCTCTCTCATGACAACGCGACCCTCCTATTTCTCTCTCCCTAGAATCTGCTGCCTTCTAATTCTCGGAGTCTCTCTCTGCGTCACACCACAGGCCTCTTTCCTTGTTTTCTCTCTCTAGAATCTACCGTTTCCTTCTTATTCTCGGACTCTCTCTCTTCCCTCTCTCTGTAAAAAAGGGGTAAATGCCATAGAAATCCATCGGGGAGATATATACGTCGATACCAGGTCACCGCCTCCAGCGACTCTACGGCGGGTAGGGGTAGAGAGAGAAAGACGGGATGGCGAACCTCCTCCTTCTCCTCCTCCTCCGGCAAGATCGCCGCCGCGGCGCCCCCGCCATCTTTACCGCCATTGTGTTGTTGGCGGTTGCCGTCGTTCTGACGCCGGCGGCGTCGGAGCAGTCGAACGAGGGCGTGGATGCTCCATCGGCGCCGGAGAAGACGGTGCGCGAGGTGCTGCGGTCTCACGGGCTGCCGATCGGTCTGGTTCCCCATGGGGTGAAGGAGTTCCGGATCGACGGGGAGGGGAGGTTCCAGCTGCAGTTGGAGCGCCCCTGCAACGCCCGATTCGAGAACGAAGTCCACTACGACGCCAACATCACCGGGACGATTAGCTACGGTGAGATGGCAGCGCTCTCCGGGATCACGGCGCAGGAGCTCTTCCTCTGGTTTCCTGTCAAAGGCATCCGCGTAGACATCCCTAGCTCCGGCCTCATCTACTTCGACGTTGGCGTCATCTTCAAGCAATTCTCCCTCTCCCTCTTCGAAACTCCCCCCGACTGCAAGGCCGACCAGCCTTCCGGCGCCGACCTCCACGAGGGCATAGAGATCGCCCTCGCCATTGAGAAGGTCAGTCTACCTCCGATTTAGATCCCTTCATCGTCATGTGCTGCTCCAATCGATCTGTGATTCTTATCGCAGTTGTTGATTTCTTGTTTTGTTCTTTGTGCTAATGGAATTGGTGCAGAGTAAATCTGAGAAGCTACGAAAGTACCTCGACCAGGATGATTCTCGGAGAACAGCGTCTCAATAAGCACCAATTCAATGTGATTACATGTTAATTCCCCGTATTTAAGCGCTCAACAATTTATGGGCTTGCTTTCCCTTTGGGGAGTGTTCATGCGAGTCTGGTCTTAGGTATTGATTCCTGGGTTCCACCGTATGTGCATTGCTTTCGGTAGAATTCCAGATAAAAGTGGCTTGTTGTGTCAGTTTCGAGGGGAAGAATTCTCGATCAGTAAGGGAGGAAAATGCATGAATTTGCGACCGACAGATATGAAATCATTGATGAGCAGGACCGGGGGGAGATCGGTTTGAGTTCGATATTGTAAATTCGGTGTCGAGGTGTTCCCATTTAATGTTTATCTGCCTATTCTTGTTCTTCTGGTTTTCAGATCGATCTATCAATCACACACAGAATGGTCAGTGGAGGATGGAGGATGGTCGAATTTTCTTTTATTTCTCATCCTTATATATATATACGTATATATATATATATTGAGAGAGAAAGAGAGAGAGAGGTATATGGGAGGTGGTAGCTTGTCCTGTGCGTTCAGTGGGGGGGGGGGAGTTCTTCTGGGTTAATTCTTGTTGTGGAGGGTTTTTGTAAATGTTTGGAATTGGCTTTGTTTATGTAAAATCTATGGAGCCCAGAGATTCAAGGTGAGCAGCAATCCTTCCTTCTCTACTTGAAGGAATAAAATCAAACATCTCTTATTTTATCTGATAAATTGCAGCTTCAATTGTATTCCCAATAAAACGTCCCTTTGGGCTGGAGAGTTTTTTGGACTGTGCGTCCAATTTGGGGAAAAGAAAAAGGCCCTCCTTGGGCAATTTTCCCTGCCTCATGGGCTCCTTGAAGACTAGCTCTCTATAAATAGTTGCCTACGGAGTTTCAAAGCTTGTTCTTGCGGTAAGACTGTTGTGGGTTTCCATTGCGTTAAATCACACCTTTTTTCAGAAAACATTGTTGATTATCGGCAAGAGAGCACCGCAATGAAGCTTTTTTCCCATAAATCTGTACGAAGAAAACAACGACAAAGATTGAATGTGGTGATTCAGCAACCAGTTTTCGTTTTCTTATGAGCCGAATTTGATGGTCTACCAGAATTGTGTTTCATTTTCTCCATTTGATTTCTTTATATTTTTCTTGTTTCTCCTGATAATTTGTATGTACGCAGCCCAGGGGGTGCATTGAAGATCATAACCCGAAAATCACTCTTGCCCTTGCTCTTTCTCTTGCGTGTTACTGCAGGTTTGTGCAATTCTCCGTTTTTTTCCCAATTATCTTCACTATCATGGTTTCTGCAAAATAATCAGGGGGCTTGTTGAAGATCCTCTGGGGAGTCAGATGTGCTGCCCCCACTCCTTTCATGTGGCAGACAGGATTATTGGCGCGCCCACTATGCTATGAATGGGTGAGCCTGAAACAAGCCAGAGCAGGTTCCCCTGACCCCACTTATATATCATGCTCTTGATTCTATTTTTAAAATGTCCAAGTATGCATTATACATTTCGAAAAAATGGAGAGGTGAATATGATTTCAGTCGCATTATGTGTACATTGGATTAATCAGTGGATGAAACTATATAGTGATGATGATGATGAGGGATTAAAGAATCAAATGACTAAAAAAAAAAGGAAGCAAAATACCTACTGGATGAGAATGTGAGTTTATTAATAGCACAAAGTATTTAGCTTTTCTTAAAAAAAATTCTCAACTAAAATCATAATCTGTGTGAAACGGTGTGCCCGGGATCTGATATTGATGTGAAAATAATATATCCATAATTTAAAAATATATACATCAAAATACAGGTGTCCAGTGCCCATTCAACCCACTTCCAGCAGAAACATATGCGCAGAGATAAACCAATTAGGTTCAAGTTAAGAAAAATTGTGCTCACATGAAATTTTTTCTTGCAGATTCAATGCCAAATTACTACTTATCATCGTCGGAGCCCCTTCAGCATGCAGAGGCATAACGCATGTTACCGACTAACTTAACGGTCATCAGAACCTCTACCGACAGAATAAAATATTCCACAATTAAATGAGGCAATATTAGAAGAAAAATGATGTGACCATTAAACACCATCCACCAGGTTTACTAATAATAAGCATTACCAGGCTAAGGATGCCTCGCCTCCCCATGAACTTCAACAAATAAAATAAAATAAAATAAAATAAAATAAAATAAAATTTCCCAGGCATAGAATAATGAAAATAAAACCCATCAATGAGAAGGCTCCACGTGGCCATGTGACTTCTACATTGTTTACAAATATTTTTAGGAGGCGGTTTAATAAGTTGGACCCAATGTTAGGGCATCATTTGGATTTTAATAATAAAAAAAATCAGGGTTTTTCAATTAAGGTCGACCACATTCAAGTAAAAGAACCGTACATTGCCTATGGTTGTTGCGATCACTGACAGATTATATTCCTCTATCTTAATGAAAAAAAATGGGAAAAAAGGGGGTTTCGTGATAAATCATGATCGATGAAAATTATTGACAATGTGCGACTAATTCGTAGGATCATTAACCATTTAAAGGCCCTCCCATTTTCTTCACATAATGGATTCACCATACCTCTGGAGATAACTCCTACCAAGAACTAAGGAGATATATATTACTCTCTAAGGGGGGGCGGGCTTCCCTGTTCATACTTGCTGTGACCAGGCCAGGGATTTCACTTAATGTAGTGAATTCTTTTACGGTCGGTAGCCGTCAAAATTCAGGTTTTCCTTGTCAATAAATTACTTACTGATAAAAATGCCACGGGGACCCACCCTTGAAATAATTATTGAAATAAAAAAGCCTTGATCTGATTTCTCAATCACACCTGCATTAGTTGATTACTTCTCAGACACTCGAAAGCAAAAGAGAAGTACTTACTATTTCTGTGATCCTTGAAAACTTGAGGCTCCATTTTGTCTGTAATTTAGAAACATAAAAAAAAATTAGAAAATTATTATAGATCATCTTGAAAGCTCCGGTTATGAATGGAAATATGAAAAATAAATGACCTATTGCTGAAAATAGAACATTTAGTATCAATTTCTGACCTATGGAAAAAACTTGGTTATAGTATTTTAGAATTATTGCCTTTGAACGAGATCGACCAGCTCGCTGGATTCTGAGGGCAAAAAAAATTACTTGATCCGCATCATGTTTTATCATTATTCACTAAATCTGCCCTTTATATAGTAATTTTAATTATTGGGTGGGTGGCCTCTGAGCCATCCCTGTGGACCTGCACCGGTAAGAGCATTCATCCATCTCAACGCAACCACACCCAGTAAGGCTTGCTTCTCAACATGCATAAGATTGTTATTTTAATTAGGTGTTTCTACAACACCCACAGATCTTCTTCTCAACAGCCAATTAGATGTGTTTCTACAAATTTGGGATTTCTGATGATCGCACAGATTTGTTGATTTGAATTGCTACTATTTTTTTATAAATAAATAAACAACATCCAATCAAAGCTTTAATAATAATATAAAATATATATGTATTAATGAGCCATGACGTCACCTATAATTAATTTGTTACTCCACTAAATGGCCCTCCGTTCAGTGGGCACCCAACTTGCAAGTTAGGATGATTAGAAGAGTAAATTTGGGTTTCTGAGCTAGGGTTTATCTTATCATGTACAGAAGGATGTATCATTTTCCATTCTGAGTAACTTTTGGTTATGATTTTTTTTCCAAACTCATTCCAACATATCTCACTTGAAGTCAACTTGAAAAATATGATATAATATATTGCTAAAAATCGACATCTTGCCAGGTCTGACTGGATTCAACTATTGTCATGCAGTGGATCACTTCACGATTCAAGAGAATATTGTGGGCGGCACACATGTAGAAAGATAAACCCTAACCGACCCGACCATCTGTCTCCCATATGATGGATGCCCAGATCCGACACATTGTAGATGCAAGAAGTAGCGCAATACTGAATTCACAAAGGATATTATGATGTAGGAAATCAGGGTTCTCAATCCAAAAGACTGAAGACTTCAACCGTTGAATCCACAAGAATTGAGATGATTCCTTTAAAATCTACAAAGGAGAGATGTTTGAGCCCACAAGTAAGGAGTAACATTCAAAAGAGAGAGAGAGAGAGAGAGAGAAAAAATTCGTAACAATTCAACAACCCATAAAATTGTATAATATGGGGGGCCCTTATTAACTAAATCGTATGGCAGTTTATTTAGACCCAATAAAATATGCACCCCTCTTTCAATCTGCTTAGTTTTGAAGTCTATTTTCAAGACAATTGGGCCTCTAATTGTGTACATGATTACCGATGAGTAGTAGCCTAGGTATCATATGGTCAGAAAAAAAAAAAGAAAAAAAATCTGGTCTTTTAGAGGGGGGAGCTACGGAAAACACCCACCCACTACAACGTTAACTAATAAAATTAGGAGGGTTAATTAATTTAATTGAAAGCGGAGCTTGAAAAGAACCGAGAGTGGAGGAAGCAGAGCGTTGTTTTTCCCTTTGACCCTGCTGGCTAAGAGAGGTGAAGTTTGAGACGGAGTAAGATTCACTTCGTCTTGGACGTCAGGATTCTGAGATTTATTCCAATCCATTCTTTCTGAAATTTCTGTTTATCCGTTTCTACACTGGGCCACTGAAAGCTCATAGATACAGTGATGAATGACAACTTTGACTGCTCTTGTTTCTTCAAGCAATGGACATGTGCTGTACATAAAATCTGCCGGCTAGCAGTGGTGACTGACTGCCGCACCCGCAAAAATGATGGGCTTAGGAAAAGCATATCCTGCAGCACAGCATGAGATGGTTTCTAGAAGTGACTGCTCGCCGCCGGCTGATCTTTGACCCCAAGAATAGCTAGCTCAGCATGGTTGACCATCAGGGAACCACGCTCCACAAATCAGAAGGCCATACATAAATGAGAGCTCAAGTCAGGATATGCACACGGCCAGAACGAAACCTGCCAGGAGAAAGAACCATGCATGCGTTAAAGCCACTGAACTGGAGAAAAAACACCATAGAACATGTAAATCTCTGGCTTGGCCTCAACCTTGAATTTGATCAAAGATTGAGAACTCAAATAGTGAACTGGCATTTAAGGGATCCTTAATCACTGTAGCAGGCAGGCATAGGGAATTGATTACCTTACTCCCCCTCATCTTGAAAAATGTTCTTCATATTCCTCAGATTGACCACAAATCTACTATATACTAGTAAACTTGTTGTAGATCAACACTATAAAGTGTTGTTCTATCATAATTTGATGCGTTTTATGACAAATGATCAAGAAAGAAGATTGGGCATGCTAAAGAAAAGAATGAACTCTCCTACTATTTTGAAGCACGAAGCCAATCACACAGGGAGAGAACAAAGGGAGAGAACAAAGTCTTTCAAACTGCATTCATCGAAGACATAGCCATCCTGCTTTTAAAAACTTTGTTTCTATCTTTGTTTCGAAATTTAAATGTTGCAAACTTTCATTGTGATGTTTGTGAATTTGTGAAATACAAACGCACTTCATTTCCTTTCCATTCCTTCCATCAGTATTCATAATGATATTCGGCGTCCTACATGAGTGTTTTTGGTGTGGTGCTAGATAGTTTTTATTATCTTTATTGATGATTGTACATGAGTCACTTAGATCTTTTTGCTCAAAAATAAATATGAGGTTAGTGTTATTCTTTTAGAAAATATTTTTCTTTATTAAAAAATAATTTAAAGTCAATATTCGAATATTCAAATCAGATGTACCTAAATATTGTTTCAATCAAACATTAAAACTCTTATTTCCAAAAAGAAGGGACACTACTACATGAATCCTCAACCACAATAATATGGGGTAGTTGAAAGGAAAAATGACCATCTCCTTAAGGTAATTAGAGATTTATTTTTCAAAAGAGTGCACGTAAATATTTTTGGGGAGAGGCAGCTTTAACATCTACTAACCTCATAAACTGTCTCCCATCTAAAGTCTTAGGATTTAAAAGCTTAATTGAAACATCCACCGTTTCATCTTAACATCCTACTACAAACTAAGCTTATGTCTAAGACATTAGGGTGTGTAGCATTTGTTCATGCCTACGGCCAGCATAAGGATAAATTGGATCCTACGACATTAATTAGATATTTTACACTTAGAAAGGATATAAATCCTATCGTCCTTCATAAAAAAAAAGCCTCTTTCATTTAAATTGATGTCACCTTCCATGAACATAAATCTTAAATTATCTCACCTTATCTTCAAGGGGAGAATCCAATTGATGAAGATAAAGATGAAACTTTCTTTATCCCCGTTTTGTTGCCTACACTAACAACTATTCCCAACTCTACTCTTGAACGATTGTCTAACTCAACCCCCAACTCTATCCTGAAAAATTTAAGATTTAGCAAAGTGTATTCAAGAAAGAAGACGGATGTCTCAAAATCTACGCAAGGAACCTCACTATCAACTCTTCCTTCCTTACTTTCACCTGAAATTGAATATCATATCAACAATGAAAATAAGGATCTACCTAGTGCCATTAGAAAATGAACTACAGAATGCACCAAAAGACCTTTAAATCTTCTTGCATATTTTCTGTCCTATGAATGCCTTTCATCATCTCATAACCCTTTCTTCATTAGTTTAAAGACTATTAACATCTCAACCACTATATCTAAGGCCTTGTCCAATGAAAAATGAAAAAGAGCTATAAATGAAGAGATAGAGGCTTCCAAGAAAATATAAAACTGAGTTAGTGAGGGTACCAATAAGAAGGAGAGCGGTCGGCTGCGATTGGTTCTATACAGTGAAATATCAAGTGGATAGATCCATAGAGACATATGATGCCAAACTGAATGACAAAGCCTATATTTAAACCTATGAGGATGATTAGAGAGACTTTTGTACATGTTGCAAAAATGAAAATTATCAGAATTTTGCTGTCACTAATTATGGTTGGGATCACAAGCTGTTAAGAATGCATTTTACGCAAAGAATTAAAATATATTTATATAGAAGTCATAACAGGATATGGAAAGGATTTGGTTCCCAGTATCAAATTGAAGAAATCTTTGTATGGGCTTAAACAATCACCTCGGGCCTAATTTCATAGGTTTAGAAGTACCATGATTGTAATGGGGTACAGACAAAGCCAAGGAGATCACACACTTTTTGTTGAACACTCATCCTCAGGGAGAGAGACACATATCCAACATAGGCAAAATTGAATGTAAACTAGTAAATATTCCAACATATCCAAATCTCAAATCAGGTGGAGTGGAGGAAGATGTTATTGTAAATAAGGAGATGTATCAACGATTGGTCTGAAGACTGATTAACTTATCTCATAGCTGACCAGATATAGTATATGCAGTGAGTATGATTAACTAATTTATGCATAATCCAAACAAGTACACCTATATGCAATTCATCAAGTACTATATTTATCTCAAGAAGACACCACGGAAAGATATTTTGTTCAAGAGGAATTGAGGATTTGTACTTGAGGTTAATTATGCAGGGTCTATAATTATCAAGAAGTCTATTTCAGGATATTGCACTTTCCTTACTGCAAATCTTATAACAAGATGAAACAAATAAAATGTGACATTAAGGTCAACTGCAGAAGTAAAATTCACAATCCAATTCAGCATGACCAAACCAAGCATATTGAGATTAATTGGCACTTCATCATCAAGGAGAAGCTAGGGAGCGAACTGATCTACACACCATGTCCACAAATGATAAAATCGTAGACGTACTAAAGGCTTGAATAGTACCATACTTCAGCATCTTCCATCTAAGTTGGGAACGAATGATGTCCATTCATCAGCTTGCGGGGAGTGTCGGAATATATTGCATTTTTCCCTTTTTTTATTCATTGTAAAATTTTCTTTATTAGTTGAGTGTAGAACTGCACCGACCCTACTAGCCCAAAGGTAATCAATGCTTACAGCATCTTATTGTCCACCTTTCTATTCAAGAATAGGATTTATACCACATGTGACACAACACTCAACATATTCGTAGATCAAAGCATATGTTCACCATCTCTTAAGGCTCTCATTTTAAACATGACAACAACTAAAGTTGATGTACATTTTGACCCTTCCACAAGTGCACGCTACAAAGAGAGCCACTTGAACCAAGATAATGTCAGACGGAAATTATCATGGCCTCAAAAGGAACAACTATGAGGATCCTCTTTCTCGAGCAAGAGATCTCAACAACATCCAAAAAGTCAAATATCCACATGGCCTAGTGACAAAGCACGCCTTCAACTTCAGCTACCAGGCAGAGTTCCTACCGAGATCCTGGTTAAATTCCACAAGGGCTTCAAGAAATAACTCGAGAAGCTGCACACACGCTAAAGAAAATGCATTCTAAAATCAATTGAGAAAAAGTTGTCACTACCATTAACATTTGAGTGGGTTCATGGGCCTTAATACACAATTAAATGTTACAAAAATTGTGTGACGACTAGAGACGTAATCCATAGTGCGGAAAGTAATTATGTCAAATGGAAACTTGAAAGGTTAACGTGGTTAATCAAGAAATTATTTATCCAAATGATACTTAAAAAATAAAAATAACATTACAGGAATTTTTCTTTATTTTTATCAACTAAGTCCTTTCACCCATTGAGGGCCAGTAAAGTGAGATCCATCCAAAATGTTCAATTGAAAACATCCAAGAAATTACCAGTGGCAATATTATTTCTTCTTCTGTGACGTTTGTGGAAGATCAATTCGCACAACTGCTGAAGGAAAGATCACTGATTAGATAAGGGAAACATCTAGCATCTAACAGCACATTTATACGTGAGGTTGGCAATGATATGGGACACTTCGTAGCCCTTGAAGATGAACAAGGTATTCAGGTTTGTGTGAAAATGACAGGATGATTCAGATAAATATATCTGAGAAAAGTGAAATTTCTAAAACGACGTAATATGCGTGAAAAAAAATGCTATTCCACATTGTGAGAATCATTCAAGTAGATTATATTCTATTTTCCATGCATAACCTATAAAATGTTCAGAAACATATAAGAAAAATTCATATGGAAGATAAGTTGACTGCACATACTTTGCAACAAAGACTCTCCATCTCTAGTTATGATTAAAAAAATGAAAAGGATAAATCGGATGATAGGTGATAACTTTTCATTCTCCACTCCAGGGAATCAGCTCAGAACGAGGAACCCATATCTTTGCCACTCTCTCTTCAGAATCAACATCATTAACAACTCCTCGGCATCTTGGGAAGCCACAATAGCAAGCAAGTTGCTCATCAATTGAAAAAAATCTGCCAGTGACAGAAAAAGGTTATTCAGATTTCTAGATTCAGAAGGTGACAAAAACAATGCTAGATAAAATATTTGGTTACATCCAAACCTGTAATCATAGGTTAGTTCCTCCCACTGCTTAATATCTCTTTTTGCAAATATTATAATATGCTCGTCACCATCCACACTGATTACCCTTGAGTAACAGTTAGGCTGCAGAAAGATGTCAATAAAAAAGGACCATTCAATCTACACAAGCAAACAAATGCAGATAAAAACCAGTGATGGAGGGCCAAATCTTGACCAGGGAATGAAATATTTTCTCATATATCCTAAAAATTAATAAAATTTACAAAGTTCAGGTAACAAATGCCCCTCTATTTGTCATCGACACTGGGAACTGATTGACATCTGGACCAATTTATCCTATTTAAAAAAAAATGGATAAAAATGATGGCACGATCTTTTCCGTAATTGAATATATATTACCTAGCAGAGTGAAATTTGGGTGTTCCTCAAATTGAACTTACAGAAGGCAGTAAGGGTTTTTTTTCTTTGGTCGTTGAACAGCCAACAGGAGCAAGTAAACAACTTTTTAAAACATTCTTATAAACGAGGAGATGTATACCTCGCATGAGTGGTTGATCAGCTGTGCTATGCTTCCAGCTTTTGTTGCATCAATGACACGCTCATCATCTATCCGGAACATGTAAGTCCCAGCACCCTACAATCTCAGACCTTTCTGATTAGAAAAAATACTGAAGCAACAGTTGAAAATAGACAGCCAGAGAATAGTCCACAAGAGGAAAGGACATAAAATCATGAGAAAAACTAAGAAATACAGGAGGGAACTCATTACATGATATACAAGGGAACCAAATACACAAATACAAAGCGTCAGCATAGCACTACTCGTACTACAGAAAGCCTTTCATACGATTTGAAATCATCCCTTCAACTCATCACGGATACAACAGTGCGTTTAACACATCTTATCTCAATGATGAACATGGAGGAAAGTTCCCGCCATTTTATCGTATGAGACACATCAAATCATCTAAACCTCATCTTAGCACGTCTAGAGAAAACAGTTTCGGGAGAGTTTCGCAATGAGTGAAAAAAAACAGTTAAATATGGGGGCTCCCTGAATGGGAACAATGAACAGACGTTTCCAAGCACACTTAGAATCTAGATGCCTCAGATTCTTCTATCTCATTAACCAAGGCACATGACTGAAGCTATCTAGAGGGAGATGTATATCAGCACAGAAATCTTCTTTAATACAAGTTCGTTTTCAATTAACTGATGTATTCTTTGCCATCCCCCAGCTTGCGATTATACTGTATGCCTAATACCAAAGCACTAGAGAAACCTCCAAGGTTTCCCCCAATCATTTGCCCAATGTTCCACAAGTTTATTTTTTGGAAGATAAAAGCGAATAAGACAAACACTACAAAAAGATTACAGCGTGAGATAGAAAGATACACTAATTCTTGATACTCGGTAACGGCAGAGGAGAAAATGAAGCAGAGCAGACAAAAATGTAGTCCCGCGGAAATTAAATGGAAAAAGACAATGAGATGGGTCAAATGGAAATTTATTCTATTTAACATATAACAAGAATGAAAGCAAGCGAATACTACTCCGGCTCTCAGGGCCCAGCACGACAAAGACAATTGAAGCTAATCCTTACCACAAGTGAGTTGTATATTAAATGTTCCCGTTGATCAGCTATTGGAGGCCTTACAGTCTCTCCAGTATATTCAATCACCTGCATCCAAATACATAAGTACTTAGTGCGACGACCCCACCCAAGCACCAAATAAAGAGATGCAAAAGAAACTAAAAGCAGCAAACCATGTCCCCAGCTTTGTGTCCAAGCTTCGCAAATACACCAAACCCATGTATCCTTGACTTTCCTGCAACAAGTATAGCATATTCAAAGGTCAAATTCCTCAAAACGCGGTAGAAATAAATAATAAAAATGGCTGCGGCTATCACATAGAATATGTCAGTCAAAGCAGGCTGCTTCCTTCTAATCAGTTCCCACAAATAAAAATAGTGGAAGACAGATTCGCTGATGAAACAGCTTGAACATTGAAACACAACCCACACCCATTGAGTGCTACGTGTTGATGGGCGCTCCTTGTTCACGGAGCGGTCGTGCAATTTTTCATCTCCCATGATGATAACAATCCTAACCGCTACTTCTAGACTGTTAATTAAGTTCAACAAATAAGATTTGAACCAAAATTCAATATTTGCAAAGATGTCTCCTGTTCGAGATATACTACATCAACAAAATTGCTTCAATTTAAAAGGCAGGAAAAAACTCCAACCCATTGATGCTTTTAATAAATAATCCTTTTGGGACATGTAACTAGTTCGTTTTCTGAGGATACACCTTGAAAAGAATTACAATATGAGATACTGAGATGGCATATAAAACAACACCAGGAAAGATGCCAATAGAACATGCTAAGAGACGAGATGAAGATAGGAATCCACCAAAAAATAAGCGCATGATTAGACAAGTACATGCAAATACTAACCAAATGCTAGTCTCTTTCTGAATGTAGCCCTCATGTAGACGTACTTCTCAGCAATTGAGGTAATAGAGTTGGAAGGTAAATGTAAAGGCAGCTTTCCTCCTGATTCAACATGAGATGGGCTGCACTCCACACCATTTTGCAGGCAACCACTAACCAAGTATGGCCTGTTCTCTACGAAAGAACGCTTAACCGATGCTGCAGCAAGGACTTGTGGCTCTCTCTGACCCCTTCTCCCAAAGAAATTATAAGGCTCTGGTAGGGAATATACATGAAACAGCAAAAGGTCATTTGATAGATAATTTAAGATTTACTCGTCAAATAAAAAAAATCCAGATTCTTGCTGATAAACTTTGCAAACTATACTGGAACAGAAAAAACGAGGCCCCGTCCCTCAAGACCACATCAAGTGGTTTTTACGCAGTTCTGGTAATGTATCTACTAATAAAAGCACAGGAATGCATTAGTGATAGAAATCCCACTCGATTTTCAATATCACAAAAGACTACCACTTTATCTACTACGTAACACTCTTCCGCTAGTTTTTTGATGAAGCTTAAAACCAAGTCAAAACCAACCAATGAGATATCAGATGACTTTGACGTAGTATGATAAAGTATCATTGCAGGAAACCAGATATTCAACTAATGCTCTGATTGTTGAAAGACCCGGATAGCCATGGATACATGCCAAATTCTATGAGACACTATGAGTGAACGTCATTACAAGGATTTCATAATGTTTATAAATACAGAAAGAGAAACATTATCCAGAGAAGGCAATCAAAGGTAGCACAATATACCACTTCGTGCACAGCCTGAGGGATTATGCGGAGGAACATAGGCGGAGCAAGGTTGAGCAGATAGTGTATGACATTCTTCAGCAGGTGAACACTCATTTGATGGTTGTCGGTGCTTCCTACAGAAGGAAAGTAGAGGAATGCACTGGTCGTCATCCTCGTCTGGAGACATAAGGTGAAGTTGATCCACATCCTCGGGCTACATGTACAACACAATAAAGTGAAGTTAATGCCAAATGCAAAAAAATGTTTTGATGAGAAGCTCAACAGCACATCAATGCGGTCAAGTCACAGAAAGAAAAAATAAGATTTCAAAATAGTTACCTCAATGCAAAGACCACTAGAACGTGCACAGAGTGGATGGTACGCAACACGACAAGAACTATTGGAGCACTGAAAGGAAATTGTCAGAAAAGCTTAGAAGTATATAATGCATAATATCTATAAAACAACAGCAGCAAATCTATTGAGTGGTACCATGAAACCTCTCACCAATTTGGAAGGAAATATGACAAGTTGTTCTAAACAGAATGAACAACACATAGAGGTTCCAAAACCAAAAAGCATCAAGAAAAAATTAAGTTTTGGAAAAAACAATTAACGAACTAATGCATTCTACCAGTGTAAGTTCATGAGCACTAAAATTAATTAATGTACCATCAGAACTTGGTAAACATCAGTCCGACAATATGTAATGATGACTAACCCAAAATAAAACATCACAAGTCAAAAAGACACACATTGCTAAACAATAGGCCGGTTCTAATCATGGAGTAATTATAAAAATAACACCTAGTCATTCATAAGCACAGTTATAATCATATAACCCAAAAATATTATATAATGCCTAGATTGCACAGATAATTCATATTAAAAAAACATCATGAATAGAAAACTTGGGTAAGCATCATCATGCTTGAACAAATCATAAGATTCAAATATCCATAGTGGCAAAACAACAGCTGCTCTTGCTGAAATTACTTTTATGAAAACATTCTCTTCAAATGGATGATTTGAAAATGAACTAGAAGTAATTAAGACACCGACATGTGGAACCTAGAATAGGATCATAATCCATTTAATGATGCATAGAATCAGGTAGACTTGTAAATAAACTGGGCACAATACCATCAACGTTAGTTATTCCTACACTAAACAATTAAATGGCAGGTGTTTTAAAATACCCACATTTGAATCTCTAAGATAAACCTTAATAGAAAAATTGACAGTGATGACTATAAACAATATCCATGAAATAAAGGGAATTTTTTTTATGTATGTGACGAATAATAAATTGTAAAATCCATAAGGCGCTTTAAATAATAGCTCAACGACAACAACCTGGATGCAAGCTCCATAGGGAACACCACAAATACTACATAAAAGCTTCCATCTATCCTGCAAAGACATAAAACAAGATGTTATGAAAAGACACGTCACTTCCATAAAAAAGGATGCCTTCTAGCAAATAAATGAATGCAAGAAAGAGTCACCTTATTGATTCTACTCAGCCCATCAATGGGCTCCATTTTCTTGACATCAAGCAAACAAGTTTCTGCATAAGAAATTTGGCAAATAAATATTCAAAAACTGTCCACAATCATACAGAAAATACTAATTAGAGGAAAATGGGCAAATGATACGCATATTCATATTAGAAAATTCATTACAGACCCGGTATCCAGATCGCACACGTCAGATGAGCCCACCGGCCATCAGTTGTAGGCTTCATGGCACCCCCTGATAAACAAAGAGTAAACGCCCACATCCGCTTAAGAACTATTTTCTACTAGTTTATTTAAATGACTACAAACTTACCTGTAACCGGACAAAGACAGCATCTGGGAGGAACTTTAGGAGCCTGAGGCCGACATAAGTTGCAATGCCACAGTGACCCATCCTTCGGTTCCAATTCACCATAGCATCTTGCATGAACCTGAGGAGCACAAGTAAAACGTAACAAAAAGAAATGCAGGTGACATTCTGAATCATAAGAAGAGAATATCCTTACCATCATTCGACATTTATCACACTGCAAAAATAAGTTGTCTTCATATTCCTAAGAAGAAGAAAAAATGCATAATTTCAGTTGGTGTTTTGGTAAATAAAGAAAACAATAATAACCATAACAGAACAATGTTAATAATTAACTGTCACAGCAAATGCATAAATGCACATGTACACGTTCTAACAGGATAAACCTTTTATTGATCATGAATCGTTATCCCCTTGTGTTATTCATTTCTAAGGCTCTTTGCAGAAAGAATCGAATAAATGGACATCATAAAATTATGACGCGATCCAACTCAAAACAAATTGACAATGACCAGAGTAGACCGGGTTTACTATCATGTAGTATCCTGCACGCTGTTAGCTGACAATTGACAATGACCGAAATTATTCATAGCATAGCACCTCACATACAAGCAAAATTTGACTTTGTCATGTTGCCAAGGAAAAAGGAGTTGCATGCAATCCAATAACAATCATCAGCCTAGACATCATGTCAAAGTGATCTTGACATCGAACTCACAACTAGCAGGTAAAAATAGATAAACAGCCTTTATCATAATGTATTTACCTTCGTAGTAATCAATGCAAAACAGTTCTTGAAACAGCATATATACAATGTGGAGACTATGACGGTGGGCGCTTCCCCATTATATATAATCAGCAATAACTGATTTTTTTTCTTTATAGTAAGTTGAATGTGAATGATTAGTTGGAACAAAAGCAAACAATGGCCCAACTAGGTGCCATCCAGCCTGGGGCAAAAATACAAAGCATTGTATAAAGAAAAAAAAACACCTTTAACAAATTCTAGGGACAGAACAATTAACCCAAGACAAGTTTCGTGATATCGCATTGAAATCGAAGAGTATAGCTAAAAGCTGCAGTTCAAGTAGCTGAAACCATGTGCAAGACACTTTTGATACTAGTCAAGAGAGGGCACCTATCAGGGTAATTAAATCGTTTTTATGTTCGAGCAAAATTCTTGGAAGTTAAAGACCAAGGCATCCAACAGAAAGCTATGAATCTATGAATAATGCAAAGTTCTTAAGTAATATTTCTAGACGAACTTCTAAGACCTTATTTAGCGCGGTTGTGTAAGAAGTCGTCCATCCAACAAGTAAACGATTTTTATCTAAACCAAGCATAAGACTTAAGCGTTGTCCTCTATTAAAGCAGCCACAGAATAAATGTATTGGTACACATGCAACAACTATGCAACAAGTACAAATATATCTGACACAGGATACATGAATTAAGAAATATGACAACCGCCAGAAAGTGTCTTACTTCATCCATATGGCAAACATCACATCTATCAAGATCCCTCTGACCAATAGTAACAGGTCTATAACCACCTGGTAAATCAGGAAGTTTGCTGTACTTCATGCGTGAACCACCACTTGCCAACGCCTGAAAAGGGGAAAAAATACTCAGTTCTTAGATCCAGCCGCATCCATTGTAATAAAAAAAAATCCACCAACAGAATAAATAATCGTCCTTTTTGCCAGGCAAGTGCTTCATAATCTCTCTTGGCAGGGTGTCAACACCTGATAAATCTACCGTTCATGCGATTCCTTAAAGTGTGGCTACAATCCCTAGAGAACTACAACTATTAAAATATAAGGAAATAATTGAAAGATAGCCTTTTTTTTTTTTAAAGATAACATCCACAAGACTATTACCTACCATTATCAAACTGTAAATTATCCTCTGAACAAAAAAGGATTGATAATTGGAACCAAAAGTAATTTGTTGCAGTCTATCAACAAAACTAGCATCAAGCAGTTCGCAACAAAAAAATACAAAGTGGCGTTTTAATTCTGAGTACAAAATTTCAAGTCCAGTCTAGAGCAGTACTCCAAGATAATCATGTAGCAAGGAGTGTCACCTGAAATTAAAAAGACATCGAGACATATTCATAAGGGACATTTGACAAAATTCTAGGGACACTCTACTCTATCCAGGACATGGCCACTAATGGCCATGTTTACCACAGTTTCATGCATTATTCACATGCAACCAGGCATCAGGTTGGCAACCAAGCGAGCTCTAGTTACAGGCCATAAAAAATAAGCGCGTCTTCAGTTCTCTTTGCCAGTCGAAAATAGGAAAATAATCTATGTTTTTTTTTCAGAACATGATGAAATTGAAACTATGCATAACCATTTTGAAATTAAAAACAACAATTTACAAGGATATATTTGATTTTTCATGCTATAACGATACACAGACAGCCCACCAGACAGAAAACCTCTACAAATCCCTTTCATAAAAGTTGTTCAAAATAAGCCCAGTATATGAATCATTTCAGGCCATAGGACCAAAAAATAGGCAGATTCTGATGCAAAAGATCATATCAATCAAAATCTACCACATCCGTTCCAATTTTATTGATGAATTATAATTGTCAACTGAAAATGAAAAAGTGGGGTGGGAAAAGCCAGAACTAAACCCAGCCCATTTCTATCAACAAAGTAGCCATTGTGCAGCTGCCCCAAAGAAAACAAGGGTTGCACCGTAACAAATGCCAACAAAGGTTAAAGGTTCCAGAAAGAAGAATAGGAAAGACTGCCAGGGGGAAAAAACATAATAGAAGAAAGACGACAACGAAAGAAGGTTAATTAGAGTTCGCATTACATTTGAATACACATAATACGGTAATGCAATAGAGTTATTTAAGTAAAATTGTCTTGAGTGCGTAATTTATTAAAAAAAATTAGCAGATCGGATGATTTTCCCAGGACCAGACTATCTTCACTGATCTGATTCGATCCAAATTGGTAGATGATACTCAATTCAGGGACCTCATCCAATTTTATTACCATGTACCCAGTCCACTAATGAACTTCTATGTCCTGCTAGTATCGCATGAGAATTGTTCGGTCTCTTCTGCCAGGAATAATTTTTCACAGGGATAAACCACCAGTGAAAGCAGTCAACCAATATTTCTAAGAAATATAGACATAATTTAATGTTAGAACTTTGCGCCTATCTTAAGGGGGAGCGGGAGCAGTAAATCATCTTAGACACAAGAATCACATAATTGTGTGGATTACTTGAAGCTTTTAAACTTCGTGAAAAAGTAATAAAAAATGGGCAATAAAAGTGCACCTAAGTAGAACGTATAGAGCAACTTTCGTGAAGAAAGTATAAATTGATGACTTACTCAGGTAGGTTCATTATTATAAGATCAAATGTGAAGTAACTGAACTCAGAATATTTACGATGATTCAACTAAATGAAAAGAGGAAAATTAATATTCATAATTTCCCTTTTAACCAGAAAAGCCCATCCATTTAGTAACCCTGAAGCCCACGCATGAACTGAACTATGAATGTGATCATTGGGCAGCGTCTAATGTATATTAGTTACTATCACTATTTTGTATACTAAATATTTACAGCAACTAATTCATAAACTGTACCCTTGCCGGGAGAAAGCATCACTTGACAATGGGGAAAAAACACCATTGCGTGTGCGAAAATCCCAAAAAAAAGGTAGTTGATCATTACACAAATTCTAGCATATTGAATGAACTAGCAAACCCATGCAGAAAGAAAGTGCTTATAAGATGAGTAATCTGATGGAGATACATGCCTGAATGAGGTGGGAAACCTTTCTATTAGAAAAGCCAAACATTTGAGAACCAGTTTTTTGGAACTTGCGTTCCTCAATCACGACATTGCGACGTTTAAACATTTTCTTCTTTATTCTGCTAAAAATTTCCCTCCAGCAAGCATTGGGATTTGATCCCTCAACCTGGAATGCCAAAAAATGAAATATAGAATATACAATAAGGTTAAAGCAGCTTGCGAAGGTAATTAAACGATTTTTTTTCAAAAAAGGAAGAGCTGACTGTATTTTCAACATGCTAAAGTTACACTGCAAAATAATCACAAGAAACTAAAAAACAGATAGCTTTCTTTTCAGCAATCTCTAAATGATTAAATAATTGACTCAACGTGACACTTTACTAAAAATTATAAAATGGGACAAATTAAACCATACAATAGATGTTTTTCAGTGCATAATGCAGTGAGAGAACCCATATAACCATCAAACAATTCACATACTTCAAACTACCAATCCCTATTGTGCAGATTCTGAAACTAAATGGCTAAATAAAATAAACATCACACAAAATCTAACTAAAATGCACAGTAAACAATTGTAAACTAGAAGGACAACTATGTAATCCATGAAGGTATCTGGTTCTTGCAGCACAAAGATACTACAATGCAGAAGCATCAGCCGATGATATGCTCTTTGTCACTACTAAGATAAACTGGTGCCTGAAAAACAAAGTTTCCTATAAATCTAGCCACCAGATGTTACCTCAGCAAAGCTTTAGAATAGAATCAAGAAAGCAGTATTCTGTTTCTGAAATCGGTGAACTAATACCTGACCACCATCATCCGGAGTCACTCTAAATAAGGGTCGGGATTTTGCTTTGGGGTTCCTCAGAACCTCCATCTTGTATAAGTGGCTTAAATTTGGATCTGTTACCAAAAAAGTATGAGAAAAATCCCAGTTGCGATATACGGGAAAAAAGGAAAGAATATCCATAAAATAGTGTAAAGGAAAGAATAAGATCAGCTTTTAGCCTTTAACAGCGTTGTACAAAATAAAACATGGATGCTGAAGGGATCACCTCTAATGGAAAAGAACTTCCTCGATGCAGTATATCCTTCTGGCCATATGCACCTTTTGTTATGGAAATATTGTGAATCACGTACAATACTTCCTGGAAATTTTTCACACGTTTCTCTTAAAAATTCGAGCATCAGGTGTTCAAATATAATAATATCGTCAAGCATTGAGAAAAATCAGAGTAACTGAAGATATGCTAAAGAAAAAATATGGCATTTCCAAGTCATTTTTTTTAGTATGCTGATATCGAAGCCAAACAGTCTACAAACAAGAAAAGGTAGACAATCTTGATGGTAGATATACACCTAGGCTTAGCACACAAAGATCTCCAATCTCGAGAGGGAACAAGTGTCTGATCATCCTCTGATTCTCTTCATCAGCCAAAAAACCATGCTCAGATTCAGATTCTGCCTCATCCTTTGCACCCTCAACTCTATCACCACCCCTCTGCTGCTGCAACATCTTGGTTGGAAGTTGTTGTTTGCAAAGATACCTATTACGAAAAAAACAAGCCCTAGAAGATTATGCCTCTTCTGAAGACAACTGCAAAACTTAAGAGTCCGAAAACAACATGCTATTAAGTAGACCAACGAAAAAAATACTGACATGATAACCGGAGCATCACGAACTTCGTTGCACTCCCAAAACACACACAAGAGAAAATCAAGAAAAACTCCCAAAACTAGAAGATTGTTATAAAACACAGAAGCATTATAACATTGGATCATTCTATCTGCAGAAAAGATAAACTTATATCAACTTTTACCACACAATTTAGAAATAGGTAAAAATAAAGGTGAATCTGAAGATAAGGTCCCCAAAGAATGATCATATTGCACTGACGGTCTTGTGCATCCACAGATCCTTGTCAAAAAGACTCCATTTTCTAAGATATTAAGATTCTTGCTTGTGTAAATCATGAGGCTCAAATCGGCTATTCAAGATCAAGTGCCAAATACACAGTTTTTATTGCAGGACAAGGTTGAAGTCACAACCTTACAGGCAAACCCAGATCACATGTTTATTTCTTCCTCAATTCACATGATACAGAAGTTAGTCGATGCCTTTTTTTTCAGGAGAAGTGGAGTTGGTTGATTAATTTATCTCATTAGGAATTATACATCACAAAGCAAAGGCACGCAAAAAGAAGTTCCATCCAAAATCGGATGATTAAATCAATCCGATTTATGAAACCAATAATAATGAAGATAATTAACTCAAAGCAGAAGTCCATACATTTTTGCCTCCTCTAAGCTTTGGCAGAAACGCTTTTTCTTGCACTTTAGGTGATAACCAGATGCCGCTCCATTAAGAAACGGAATGACATGTTTTATTCTAATCCTGCACCAAAAAATCGTAATAAAAGATGTCAAATAATAGAAAAATAGACAAATATAGAAATATCTGCTATATCTCACTGCAATATAAAAGACAATATAAAAACGATAATGTATGCTCTCAGATAGTCTAAGCACAACAAATAAATTTCTAAAAATCTTAAACCTTGCGAAATCATGTGTTCCAAAAAATTGAACAGAAACTGCTCTCTCTCCTTGCATCGTCTTAAGAACTCTGTTGGCACCAACGTATGCTTCATCTATCACAACAGCTGGCCACATGGCATGCCCTGGAAACATCAATGAAAAAACCACTGAGATACCAACAAGAAAACTGTGACAATATATAATATCCAAGAACGCCTAAACAAAAACACTATTTAATGTCAATTTTTTGATTCCCCATTTCTTTAACAAGTATATTGTATTTTAAAACGAAAAAATGACATATTTAAGACGGAAAATTATATTTGAATCCGTTAAAAAAATGTGAAGAGTATCATTAGAATGCCAATTGGAATCAAAACCACACTAGATTTCAGAAAGACAATGTTGACATCAAAACTCTGTCTGGTGGGAAAAGACATCCTCCTATTAAGTTATTAATCAGAAAAGGAACCTTGAAAGAATGAGAACTACATGTAGGAAGTGTAAACGGAATATATTTCTTTTAGCATCAGTAATCCCAAACAATTATCTCTTAAACAATAAGCCCCACGATAAATTCATTGTGTCGTCAGATTTCACATTGACACTGACATAATGTCCTGGTTGCTGCATTTTCTAAAGCATTATCATGGGATTTCACCATTGAAAATAAATCCTCGATATTGGTGTAATACGGTTATCTCGCATGGCCTCAGGCTGGCATGCGCCAAACATCAGATGCAATGGTCATATTCTTCTAGTACCACCTAACGGCCATAAAATCACTTCAATTTTTTGTCAAGCTTTATTTAGTAAAACACTGATAATGTTTAAGACCCCCTAACGGCCACAAGATCACTTCAATTGTCTTTCAAACTTTATGTAGTACGACACTGATAGCAGGTCTCATTGACGTTTGCCATCATCAGTGCTGTTCGAATATGGACGGAGAATGAAGAGGATTGTCATCTCATTAAAGTATAAAAATCAAGGATTTCAAAGGAGATTTCTTGTCATTACTTTCTCATTAAAGGAAAAATGTGAGACAAGGAAATTTAGCAGGTCCTCATTCAGGGTCATAGGAGTGAAGATCGCAATGCCTATGATTGGCATACGACAATGCAAAAGTATTAAAAAAGTGTGAAAGATACCAGTCAGCTTTGCCCACACAAGGTCACCAGGTTCCAGATCTTGGCAATCATTCAAAACTGCTGCCATTGCAAGCATTTCGTCATTAACCATCATATCTTTCTCTGAGCTGTGCTTCAGGTTCAACTGTTGCATTTCTGAACGAGAAATGTTAAACTTTATTCTTTCTTTTCCGATATTTAAGTTCTCAATATCACCATCCTTGTAAAGAATCTGCATTGATAGTGTACAACATTAAAGTCCGAACAACATTAATAAACTCTGAAAAGGGTCTCGGTTCGGCCAGATATGTATCACAAAGGTGTTTTAAATAAAGAAAGGTGAGAGGAATCTCAGGTGCATAAAATTGCAAGAAGAGACTGAAGGCACTAAAATGAAGGTCAGGACGTACTTTGTGTAGCCCACTTTCAGGACAAAACCCAGTGATTGAGCCCCTATACCACAAATTATCCATCGGCCAAAAAACCTGTTTTCGAACAAAATTGAATTGTGATTTCCCATAAATTCTTATCACTAATTTGGACGATAGGACAATAGTATTGGTGAGAATATCAACAATGGCTACTTGCCTTGCATGCTAAGCCGACTAAAGAACACGGGTCGGCATCTTCACTGGTCAACCTGCAACAGAATAATTCATCCACCTAATAAATGGGCAACAAGAAAAAAGAAAATTGGTGGCCAAAACCCATGAACGAAAGACCAAATCTTACTCCACCCATCTCTTTGGCGGGACCGAGCTTGAAGAAACACCGCTTGAAACGCCCTGCTTGCTGGAGACCATCCTCCTACCACTGACAAATCGCTTATAAGTACACTTGCTCACCCTCATTCGAGGTCTGCTGAACCCGCATCCAAACCCATTCCCCCCACACAATCCAAGAAGTTCGTGTTTCATCTGACCCTTCTGCTTCTTTCCAGGCCTCAGATCGTCGTCCCCGTCCTCATCGCCGTTCCCAGAGATTCTTGATCCCGGATCAATCTTCCAGGACACAGATTCGAAAAACGATGGACGGTTCCGGCAATGCCGCGGTCTCTTGGCGCGCCTATGGTACACCTGGACGGCCCTCTGGCGAGGCGTGTTCGTGCAAGCATGGTCCTCGTCGAAAAAATCCCGCGGCTTCCCACTCCCTAGTGCCGCCATTGATTCCGCCACCGCCGCCACACGTTCCTCTTCCTCTTCGACAATCACCTTCCTGGCCTTCACCTTCTTCGACATGACATTAGACGCGCCGCTGGTGCTGATGCAAGGGGGGGTAGAGTAGAGGTGCTCAACATGAACGAACTTCGCGGCCGTACCCGATTCCTCCGCCGCCGTCATGAACCTCGCCGGTGACAGGTCCATAGAGTGTTGACGTAGACCAGAGAGACGATCACCGAACCCTCAACCCGGCAGACCGAGGATCCGGGCTTCCTGCCCCGCTCCTAGGGTTGGGAACAAGAAAGCCGAAGGGTACTCCCCATCAAAGATAATTGACGATAGAGGGCTTTTCTCTCTCTCTCTCTCTCCAGCCGCGCCCCCCCCCCCCCTTCCCCGCGAAAAAACTCCTGCTTTCCCGCCTTACAGCAGATATGGGCATGTGGGAGAGAAGTCGACTGGCATTTACTCTGATGGTCTTCGGGTGGGCGAAAGGAGCATAGAATTTGCACTACGGGTGGAATCTTGGGCGACCCTCCTGCAACTCCTCCCAAGAAAAAGTTGGGTCGGGGTCCTCTATTCCCCATTCTACCATCAAACAATACTAAATTGAGACGTGAAATTTGAATTCGATATTTCAACTTACCGGGATCTCTCTCTCTCTCTCTCTCTCTCTCTCTCGCTAAACAGCTATGGCACTGGCTGGATGGGCAGAGTGAAGCCTTTTTCTCCTTTAATATATGGTATGCTCTTATAATGCACATTACCCCCCCCTTTAATTGGTACGGTAATCAATGTATGTAGCGTAGCATATGTGAATTCCAATGGGCCATCTTCCAATAGATGTGATCTCCATTGCTTGAGCCCTGCATATAATCAACACAAGCTCAGTCAAATAACTCACAGAAAGGAGGGCAAATGAAGATAATTTCTCGCCTCTTTATTGAAGAGATGGCTAGCTGAAGATGGATCATTACTCACAGTTGCCATGAATTGGGAAGATAATGCGCATACAATCATGCTCGTACGGTGGTTCTGAGAAAAACCTTTGAATCGTCGGTAATTAATTACATAAATAGATATATAGAATATTGTTTCCCACCCACATTCACCATATGTTAAGAACATAATGCTAAGATGTGGAACATAATGCTAATTACATAATGCATAGAATTATTAATTACATAATCTCTTAAAAAGGATGGATCGAATGACACCCAAAGGGTCGTCATAACTCTTGATTTCGTCGAGTATTCTTTATTAACACGAATTTTGTCAAACATTTGAAATATTTTCTATCACATGCAATACGTTGAAACTATGGGTTCAATGTGATTTTTTTTTAATTTTATTACAACACAAAAAAATATTTATTATTATTTTTTTATTGATGATGTTCTGTTTTGAAGGTAGGAAGAAAACTAGTGCCTTTCCGTATCAATAATTCTGTATGAGGTGCGATATTATTCAACAGTCTTTCTAGACACCGTGTGCGTAGTCTTGTTTTGAGCAAGAAAGCGGGATAATAGAAATAAATAAATAAATAAATAAATATTAATTAAATAAAAATAAACAATTAATATGAAGGTTTCAGGGACCTATTTGCATGTAAAGATGGGATGGGCTGATCTTTTAAAAGCCATTGTTGAAAGATAATTCTCGATGCATATTATTTTAAGAAGTATAATTTTTTTATTTAGGCCTCATTTATCTCGCTTGTTGGGCCCCATGTGTCGAGGATGAAGATCCGAATCAACGGCGAACCGATTCATAGTCCGAACCAGAACTGGTGGCATTCCCACGTCAGTCCCCTCCGTCTGTCGTGGCCCAATCACGCGAGTGCAACTGGATAAAACCTTAAGGGCTTTTTAACGTTGGGGTAGTTCGTAGTAGGTATATATCGAGTTGCACGGAACGAACGTTCGAATGAATGTTTCGACGCGAGACCGCTGAATTCGTCGTTTTGTTCACGTGTCGAAATATGATAGGATGAGGAAGAATCTGTTGTGGGAGAGCCACGCTCCGCTGTGCAAATGGCTCGCACTGAGCTCCTCTCCCCTTCCCCGTTCTCGGTCTCATCGACGGGAGAACGAAGCTAGCTGACCTCCGGCGGGGCTCCCTAAAGCTTCAACTTAGAGGGAGAGAGAGAGAGAGAGAGAGAGAGCGAGAGAGAGAGAGAGATGGCATCTACTACGATTTCAGCGGCCACCGCAGCAGGAGCTTCTGTCGTGCCCAGCTCTTCCTCTTCATCCCGCACACGGCAGTGGGGATCCCACTCCAGGGCCATTAACTTCTGCGTCGTCTCCAAGCCTAAGCTTCGCATGGTATCTTCCACGGTTAGACGCTGCTACTCGCTCTATTTCTCTCTCTCTCTCTCTCTCTCTCTCTCTCTCTCTCTCTCTCTCTCTATCTTTCCGACTCACTTATTCGCTCACTGTCTCACACTTTGTGGCACCCGTTCCTAAACCTTGGACGGATCTCAGGACGTAACTTCTTTTCGTCCGCGGCGGGCTGCTTTTTGGATTTGGACTGTGAAGTGAACTTTGTTGACAGTGTTCTTCAATTCACGCGGTTTTCAGGTTTCCCGGCTCAACTTCGGCGCTGGGAGATCTTGTTCAGTTGTTACGAATTCCCTGCAGAGAGAGGTAATCGACAGCCGCCAACACTGCCAGCCAGTGACCGGGGCAGCTTCTGTTGCCCTATACGTACTCGTTGTTCTATATTATGGGCTCTATCTGTTGTGTTCAAAGGTTGCCGACGGTTCTTCGCATGATTCGGTGGCGACTGAAAGGAAGCATGACATGCCCGCCCAGCTAAATGCTGATGCGATAGAACGATTTGCGAAGGAGGAGATATCACCTCCAACACCTGTGGAGGCCGTGACGGAGTTCATGACCCAGGTGTCGAACCTTGTCAAGTACGTCCTTTCTCTCTGCTTTTTTCTCATTTTTACTTTGGGATTCCAGTTATTTATGGGAGGCTCGGTCGCGTGTCCAGGCTTGTTGATTCCAGAGATATTATCGAGCTGCAGCTGAAGCAGCAGGATTGTGAGCTCATTATACGCAAGAAGGAGGCCATGCCTCATCAGCCTGCACCGGCACCTGTTATCATGATGCAGTCTCACGGAATATCGCCCGTCACGCACTCACAGTCCGTATCACCACCTCCTGCCGCCCCTCCTTCCTCTTCACCAGCCGGTGCTTTGCCAGCACCGTCGACTCCAGCTGCTGCCACTGCTACATCAGTGAAACCTTCACATCCTCGTATTAAAAGCCCTATGGCAGGAACATTTTACGGAAGCCCCGGACCTGGCCAGCCTGCTTTTGTGAAGGTAATGCTAGGGTGAACTTTAACCATTTGTGGGAAAATTGCTGCGCTGCCCATTACTTTTGATTGTCAGAAGAAATAGTCAAGTGCTAGGCAGGAATCAGCTGTCCTTGTTAGGCATTAATCGTCTAATTTTTTTATCAGGTTGGAGATAAAGTCCACAAAGGCCAGGTTCTCTGCATCATTGAGGCCATGAAGTTGATGAATGAAATTGAAGTAAGACTGACTTATAATTTCTCAAAATTTCATTTCATTTGGAATATGCTTGAGACCCAATTCTTTATGTGCTATCTTTGTCCTCCCTTGTGTATACATAGGGTTGAAATGCTTTTTGTACTGGTGATCAGTTCATGATCTGTTTCCTTTGGGAATGACTTTGTCGTTATGATTTTAATTAAAATATATTTTTTTAAAGATTTACTTTTTGACTCTACCCAAAATTCAGATATTGTGTTTATTTTTTCGTCTTCTTTCTTCACATGATCTGTATCTTGCTTTCATTCCTCGAGTTTCCCAATACACTGTTGTGTAGTAAAAAGTTTTCCTTTTTTTTTTGGATGTCCTCTGTGGGCTTTTAAATGGTCCAACTATTCACAATTTTGCTACCTTATTATTAATGTTTGTGTTTGAAGCCTCGTCACATGGCATTCAAATGATATATAGCTTCTGTGTGGTTTATACCGTGCCTCGCCCCAATTCAATTGGTAAATACGACTGCAAAGGAATCGTGTCTCATAAATATTATTCAAACGAATCGATCCTCATATGTCTGTGTATGATGCTGACAACATATCCACTAGTTTAAGGAAAACAAAAGAGCAAATTTCTCTTCTCATGCGCCCTTGCTTTTAATTCTGTGCCGAGAAGGAAATACAATCCATGGTGGTGCTGCTCATGGTGGAAGAGTTAGTACAGGTAGCATCTCCGTGTTGTGTTCTTCAACTTTTAAGAGAGAGCCATCTGGAAAAGGACATGCTTTGCTTATACTATCCTTATTATATTTAATACAATTTAAAACCCTATTTTCTTGAGAAAGTTGACTATGGGTTGCCATTTTGGATCTATTGGTTCCCATATCTTTGGCATGACTGCATTATGTTCTGCATGACATTAATTCTGCAGGTGGTAAATTCTCTTCCAGTAAAACGCGGATTGTTGTCTTTACTCTGTGGCCTTAATTTAAGGACTTTCAAAATCCAGGAATTCATCTCCAATTACAACGAATGACTTAAACTAAGAGGCCGATTATTGCTTTGATGTGTAGACACATACATCGAGTTGTGATTAATTTTATTGTTACCTAGTTTTAACACTTTACACTTTATACTTTATGCTATTTTATGTTTTTTATGTCGAGTGGTGACCTATTATTACATTGTTTCTGCGCATTTCTCCCTTCACCTTCCCCTGTTCTTCTATTGATCTCGTCCTCTCTCGCACCTGTTTTTTTGATAAATAGCGTCCAATATGTAACAATTTTTCAATGTGGAGTAGAGGTTTACTGTTAGATATAATGCTCTTGCTGCAAATTAAGTGAAACTTGGTAATGACTTCTATCTTCATCAGTCTTAACAAAGCACATAAATGGTCTATTTCACCATGTTTTTTTTTCGTGTTTATTAATATTCCACTTGTCTAGGTGTGTCATTGGTTCCCTGTTTTTTTTCCATTGTACATGTTGATTATCAGAAGCATGCACAGTAGGGAAAAGTGATCAGGCTCATTCCCTCTTTGGTTTTTGGTGTATTGGTGTATAATACTACGATTTAGAGCTAATATCATGGTTCTTATCGGAAAGAATACCTGGAATTTCAAACTCTTGGTTTCTTTAGAGTTATTGATAATTGCTTTTTTGCAATGATTCTTACCCACTTGGATACATTTATATTTTTCCAGCTAGTCCAGTGTGAAAACCGAGTCTTGGACGTTTTAGATTCATTTTGTCTTCCCATTGATTAAGAAAAAGATTAGGCTGAAAAAAAATAATTTCTATAGAATCGATGCTATGCTGTCGCGATTGCCTGATCGACTTGGATATTATATTACGGAGCTCAATCAAGATAGGTGTAGTGTACAAATATGAAATCAATTAGATGCCTCGGTAATTTGCCTGTCTTTAAATAAATGCGTGGGGGATAATGACGTTGACTATTTCTGGCTTACAAGGCAGTCAACATCATGTGAAAGGGGAATAGATTCCTAAGTGAGATCTTGAGTTTTGGTACCCCATGAGGGTGCTTGTTGAGTGTTTTGGCTTCTCATATTTCGTTCCACACAAGATGTTAAGAAGCTCGTTCATGCAGTGCTGATCCTACGTCTGTGGCTCCCTGGCCAAGAGTGAGGGGAGATGCCCATCTCTCAAGAAGAGATTCTACAAAAAAGAAGTAGGAGGGGAAGTTTACCCAATAGAATATCACCAACACAGGTTGATCTTTATTTGCCCATTCACTTTGCATTGATCCTGTTTGCTTGGGGAACACACGGTATGCTTGATTACAGTTGAAATACCTCTTTTGTCTTGGATTTACCTTGAGCCGGCCGCCCCCGCCCTCTCATAGTCGGCAGAATGTGACGGCAACTGTTCTTGATATGGTCGTCTCCTCGTGCAGGCTGACCTGGCTGGAACTGTCGTGGAGATTTTATTGGACGATGCAAAGCCAGTGAGCATAGACCAGGTAAGCTCCTTTTTTTTTTTTTTTTTCAAGAGCGGCTTTCTCGGTTCTGCATCGTCTGGGTGGACTATGCAGCATGTCTCAGCCTTTCTCTTTAACGCCCTCTTGCAGCCCCTGTTTGTGATCCAACCTTGAATGAGCTCGTCATGGATGGGATGGGAGCTCGCTCACATCTCCGACTCTATCGGGGTGCTGATGATTCTTATCAAATAATAAATAAATAAATAAATACATACATATTTATTTTTTCCCTAGGAGTGAAACGCTAGCAGTTCTTTAGAAATGCTTGTTCTTGGTCTCCTGTTGTCTGTCAGAGGATCAGGGCCTCTGTTCTTGCGCTGACTTTTTCTTCTCTTACCCGTTGATTTTTTTTATTAAAAAAATCTAGTTCTTTAACCTGTTGGATATTGTTTTTGATTCGTTGTCGGTTAATTCGGTACCCTTTGACCACCGTCGCCGCCGCTTTGACTTCCTCCGCTCCCGTAGTCACCGACTTCCTGTTGGCCGTTCGAAAGTCAGGCCGTTGAAGATCTATTTAGCCTCATGTGGTTGCACGCGCCTCTCGCACGTGTCAGGCGCGTGCAAACCCTCGGCAGTGGGCCTCACTGACACGTCTGTTTTCATATCTGTTGGCCGAGGAAGTGCGAGCATGCGTGACTCTCACGTTGAGGTTTGGTGGCGTTGATAATCTTACTCCAGAACTCAGGTGCTCACCCCCCTGATCTGAGTCTGAAGGTGATAAGGTCAGTGTCCCACCGGGTGGGAGCTAAAGTGGGTGAGAATAGAGCCCCGAGGGGAAGCTTTAGGCTTTGTCGGACGGGACCTGGGCGGGAGGAGAGAGAAAAGGCGAACTGCGGGGAGGGGAGCTCCGAGGCTTCTCTCTTTCTCTCTCTTTTTTCTCAGTTGATTTCTTCCTTTTCTCTCTCTTGGCTGCTCCACGCGCTTTCTTCATGACTGAGAGGGCTCGTCCACAGCGGGGAAGCTCGTGAGAGGAGGAGGCTGGGGAAGGAGGCGGAGGAGGAAGGGCGGGGAAGTTGGGGTCGTCCTGCCATGGATTGGACTGCTGCGCGCGCTTGGTCGGTGGCCTCGCTGGTTCGTGTCCTTGTCGTCTCCGCCCTCCTCCTCTTCTCTTCCGCTTCCGTTGCCGGGAAGAGTGCGGTGTTCCATGTGAGGCGCCGCTTCACGGGGAGGGAGGGCGGGCTCGGGGAGCTTAGGGCCCACGACAGCCGCCGACACGGCCGGATTCTCGCCGCCGTTGACCTCCCTCTCGGCGGCCTCGGGCTGCCTTCCAGTGCCGGGTGAGAAGCCGCCGGAGGACTGTTCCATTGCTCCGTGGTCCTCGCCGCCTCCTGATCCTTTTGTTTTTCCTCGAGGACTAGTTTTTCGCGACGGTGTGATCGCTGGTACCGTTCTTGGTTTCCGAAAGTCTGGATTGACAACGGTTTCTACTGTGCCTCGTTTCAGGCTATATTTTGCTCAAATTGGGATCGGAACGCCGTCGAAGGACTACTACGTCCAGGTCGACACCGGTAGTGATCTTATGTGGGTGAATTGCGTCCAGTGCAAGCGCTGCCCGAAGCGCAGTGATCTAGGTGTATGTATCGTCTCTCTGTTACCTTGTAGAGTCGTCACCTTCTTGTAGGGGAGGTAAAATTGATTCGCTAGGGTTTTAACGTCTTTTGCAGATCGATCTCACGCTCTATGACCCTAATAGCTCAAGTACGTCGAGCTTGGTGACCTGTGACAAAGAATTTTGCGCTGCAACGTATGGGAATGACATACAAGGATGCACTCCAGGGGTGCTATGTGATTACAGCGTGACATATGGTGACGGGAGCGCGACCAGCGGTTACTTCGTGACGGATCATCTACATTACAGCCAAGTCACCGGAAACAACCAGACGAGACAAAACAACGCAAACATCACATTCGGGAAAGTTCTACTTCTCACATCTGGTTTTATTCATTTTTTTAATTTCCTGGCGTGCAACTGAGAAGAAGACAGACGGAAATAAACATTTTAAAGGAAAATGTGGTACTTTAGTAGCATTTTATTTTGACGTTAAAATCCAACCTCGGATTGTAGACGCCTTTCTTCTCATTGCGGGTGTTGCAGGTGACGACTTCAGGGTGAATATTTAGTGGCGAAGTCATGTTCAGAATTTGCGGTGTCATTAATGTGTGATTTTGTTTTTGGTCTCTTCAATAGTTGGATTCTATGTAGCGACAATTCCATTGGGCCCAGTTAGGAGGATCAAATGCTTGACAATGGAATAAAAAACATGAACAGGATGGAGATTGTAATGAACCTGAAGTTAGTGGAATGTGCTCCCCATTAGTGGTTCTTGAATTTAAGAGTAGTTGTCGTGTTCCGTTTAATAGAATCAACTATAAACGAATTAGGAGAGGCTAGGCCGAAGCTTCTGTGCTTAGCAATTGATACACGGTGCCACTTTCTATTACATTTTAAACCATCTCATGAGTTGGGCGATACACCAAACTAGTGTCTCCTGAACTGAAGAGAAACTATCATGCTTCTTCTAACAGAATAAATTATCATAGGTGTAAGCACGAAGATCCTGATTACCAGTGATATGTTTCTCATATTTTAAAGAAAATTTTGGTGACTAGTAGTGTCATGTGCATCGCAGAAAATCTTTCATCCCTAACGCCCAGATGCTATTTAATCTGGTTGAAATTTTTTGCTGGTTAGGACATTACAAAAAATGTGAGCTTACCTTAATTTGCTGATTGAGATGTCTTTAATGCCAGGGCTACTATGTTTTATATACAACGCCAACCCTAAATAGTAGCTTTTAATTATTTCTAGGTTTCAGTAAGCTCATAATATTTGATGTAATAATATGGTATATGTTTTATCACTTTCATGCTCCTAGCCATTCCTCGGAAATTTCCTCCATTCTTTTTCGTCTCTACACCAGAAATTATGTTTTGATGGATATCAGACTCTGTTTTTGTGTAGATAAAGATCATATTTTCACGCACCAGACGTATAATTCTAATGCTCTCCAATTGTAATGATAAAAGTAATTCCATATACGCTATTATTCTGACTTCTTACTTTCAACTGCATGTCTTTGCCTGAGATTCCGGTTTACCTTTTTTTTTCCATATAATAAAAAGTATACTATATTTGGAAAGTATGCCAAATCGTTTTTTTGCCAATTTCTCTAGCATCGTGAATTGATTTTAAAGGTTCAGGATCAAATGGTTATTATATCTTTTTGAGGTTTGATATATTCCCAAGTATCTGTTTCTTTATGCATTCTCTTGCGATTTTCTCTGATATGTATGCAATTGTATAAAGCGACGAAAATTCTGCTTTTCCCGTTATACCTAGATTATAACTAGAATTCATATGTCATCCCCTTATGCAGGTGTGGCGCACAGCAATCTGGTGACTTGGGTTCATCTAGTTCAGCTGTTGATGGAATATTAGGCTTCGGACAGTCAAATTCCTCTATGATTTCACAGTTAGCCTCTTCGGGGAAAGTGAGAAAAATATTTGCTCATTGCTTGGATACTGTGAATGGAGGTGGAATTTTTACTATTGGTCATGTAGTCCAACCAAAAGTGAACACAACTCCTTTGGTACCACAGCAGTATGTTCCTGTGTTCTTGAGATGTTTCTTTTTACCTTTTTAATCCTTCGAGGGATAATTTCCTTCTTACTATAATAAGATTTATTTGACGTGTATCTCTTTTTCTTATAATTTAGTTGCCATATTTAGAGTACACATTCACTGTTGTCACACTTGAGTATGCAATCAAGTTTCTGTAGCTTGGTCGCCTTATGCCATGCTTAATGGCAGATTATCCTAGCCATGCCCCGTGGAGAAAACGATCTTCCACAAAGGGTGGCTGGATGGCAAGAGCCCTCACCAGGGAGATGGATTCCTGTGGCTGGACTTATAGATTCTATGTTAGCCATAATAATTTTATAATGCTTTTGGGGAGCTGGAACATAAAGAACGTCGTGCAAAGTTATAGATTGTGAGGTTGGAAATGACTGTTTAACAAGTACTAAAAATGGTAGAATAATGGATCCGTGTGTACCACCAATAAAGGATGTAGCGTCACCTGTTGGCAGCTTAATATCCATTGGTTGCCATAGTTTGTGGCCTTGAGTTCAAGAAGTTAAAACAAAGGAGGGAGAGGCAGATATGTTGAGAAATGATCCTTGACGAAAGAGTTGGCGTAATCTCCTTCCCCCCTTGTAGCTTGTGAAAGAGATTATGTAATTTTGATTTTCAGATGGTAGGGAGAGTAAAGTTCTATTTCTCATTGGCGTATGCTATCACTATAAAGGCCGTCCTGGAGATTGGTATCTGAATATGGATACAAGTTCATCCATTTTGTGATCCTCAGTTGATCGCTATCTTAGTTGCATGCACATAGAGATCTAGCCAGGGGTCTCAATGCTTTGTTATGATAAGCTAGGACTTGTCTGGACTGGTCTTACCAACCCTTATCGTCTTCTTTTCAACAACTCATGCGGATGGAGACCAGGCTGGTTGATTTTGTATTCTAGAGATCGCATGTAGGGAGACGCTAAGCAGCATGAAAGGCGACATCCAGTGGACTGCTTGGTGGGCTGGTTCACTCATGCTTTTGGAAGATTAGAAGGCCTTCTGTCATCTGACTTACTAAGGCATTTGGTTGAGGGAACCACAATAAACAAACAATGGAACATTTTTTTTCGTTACAATAGGTTTATCATCCTCTCTCAATCGACCTCTGATGTGAGCTGTGGCGGTCAATTCTGGTGAATGTTTACCTTTTCTTAAGAACAGTTCCCTTTACGGGGGTTTAAGCACAGGAAAATCATCCTCAGAAATCTAACAGGAAGCTATTGTTAGGTAAGGTCAGAGTTGCTGTGTTGGGAACATATTTTTCTTTTATTAAAAAACCCTTTGACTACAGAAGAAAGTGCTACTATTTTTTTGTTGTGAATGCTGAAAAGATTCTTGGCTTTATGTTCATCTATAGAACGTGGTGCTTATTATCTCCTGCCACAGTTTTCTCCATCTTCAGCCAAAGCCGGGAGACCAAATCAAAATAAAAGTGTACTCTGTCTTGTTGTGGTTCCTTTTTCCTGTCCTAACTGGTCATATTCATCATCAGAATAATGGGACTCTACTCTCTACTTACGATTCTGAAATTTAGTTATCTTTATCTTCTTTGTCACGTGGTTTTGGAGTACATACGTTTGTATGTATCGCTTTAATATTACATCCGACCAGGTTTATCTGAAATATACAACTTTTTCGTTGAGATTGAGATGCCAATAATTGAGGCCTCTGGATGACAAATAGGATAGTGAAGTTAGACACAGCCTAAAAGACACTACTTAAGATCATGAACTCTGAACTCCAAAGCTTTGTTCCAGTGACTGCATCAGATGTCCACTGGCGAAAATTGTGGTCAGAAGGAGAGATTCAATTGTTTTGTTGCTTCTTCCAGAAGTGAAACGTGTGAATTATCATCAGGTTATTCCTCTTTAGGTGTCTGTATCATGGGACTAGGAGCTTCCAACATTTCTTTTGCTAAAATGTGTCTTGATTGATATTCTAGATTCTTTATCTCATTGATAATCCCAATGCGCTTATTAATATTTTAAATATATTCTTTCTCGTGGGTGAGAGGGAAATAGGCCGATTGTTTCTCATTGATTTGCAGCTGCTGTCCGTCTAAGGGATGTGAAAAATATACGACTAGGGATTCCTCCTTGCACATTCTCTCTTATCTGAATTTTCTTAAAAAACTGGATCGATTTTCTTATTTTTGTTCAGCCTCGTTTTGGTCTTCTTCTTGGTCTATGCAGTTGATGGCACTAGAAAACTGCCAACTGAAGCTGAAGGTTGGAGGTGTCAAATGGGATTTGGGGGCTGGGGCAGTTGGGTGCTCTTCCTCAATACCAGACAGGTACCCTTGGGGATGAATTGGGAATGGACAATTGCATTCAGAGTTCTCTGATTCAAGTCAGAATCAGCTGACCATGAATCACAAATAACTTGGTCCATTGTACCTTTCTTAAAGCTGGTCTGGCCTTGAAGGATAATTAGATCAAGCTAGGAAAAATAGGCTTAAACCAAGAGCCAGGCTGATATTTTTGGTTTTTTCTTTCTCTCAAGTAGCAGGTCAGTGAGGATAATCATATGGTACTGTGGAACTCCAATTTGAAGCATGGAACATGACAAGTCCTTTTGGATTCTGGCTTTAGTTGTATCTCAGTTTCTCTTTTGGGAAATGAGGAGAGTTCGGGGGAGCCTAATGATCAAAATCTTAAATGTCCGAGTCTTTTTTTGAAGATTTCTTTCTGCTGCTCCAACTACAATATGGGACTCAGCTTGTTTCTATTTAACTTCTTCAATGATATGTACGTGGAAGGCTTTGTTCATTAATGACATGTATTTATAAATTTTGTAGGCCACACTATAATGTCAATATGAAGGCTATTGAGGTTGACGGGAAATTTCTTCAACTTCCTTCCGATATATTTGATATTGGGGAGAGGAAAGGAACAGTTATCGACAGTGGTACAACCCTGGCTTATCTTCCTGAGGTTGCTTATAAACCATTAATGGCAGCAGTAAGATATTTCATGCGCTAATTCATCGTTTAGTTTGCAGAATATATTTTCTTTGCTGAATAATACACTTGCTGTTGAATATTTGAAAAGATCGATCGCATCCTCTTTCTTATTCGTGGCTCTCTGTGCAGATAACGTCATTCCAGCCAAATTTGACAATTGAAACGATACAGGACTTTTTATGCTTTCGTTATGCTGAAGAGTAATTGTTTTCCATGACCACCTTTCTTTTTCTATATAGATTCTCAATTGTTGATGCACGATGAACTCCTTCTGTGAGGATTTGCCTGGGAAATGCGCTTGATATGTTTTGAACTTGTTTGGATTTTTTCTTTTTTATCTTGTAGGAGTATTTTAACCAGATCAGTGTTTAGATAGGAGTTGTGAGACAAGCTTCTTGGGACATACCCATATTGCGTGCTGAACTATCAAGTAGTTAGAAATATTGCATATGTGAAGTTGTTCAATATCTATACTTGAATATAGTTCATGCTGTGTAGAGGTCAATTGTATTAAAACACTTGGACATATTTATGGCATTCTACCTTCTACTTGCTTGCAAACCTGCCACTGCGGTTCATGATATGTGATACTGATTTATATTAACAATCCTGGATTTTAATATATAAAAAAATTGAACCATTCAATTTTCGAACTGGTAAAGTTTTGTTCCTGATTGGCGTTAAATATAAAAAATGTGAAATAGTTCTAGAAAACTAGCGACGTTTTTATAGATCCTTTTAGCTTGAATTGAAGCACGTGGTACCAGTTAGAGATTCCACTTTTTATTAGCAAGAGCCGTTTAGGTATCTAATTTTATAACATAAAAAAATTGGTCTTTGTACGTGGCGGCCTCTTTCAAGCAGGACGATATTATTTGACTAGATATCAAACAGGAAACTTTGAACTCCATTTGAGCAGTAGAAACCTGACTTTCGTGTTCTCACTAATTCCCTCGAAGGGCCTTAAATGGTGTATATGAAGGCGAAATTCACTATGACATGGGGGATCTCATATCAGCTGTGTAGCACGTACAAATGGCAGCACAATAGCACGTCAAATGCTTATGTATACTTGTACCTATCAATCTTTCATCCCTTCAGAAAATAAAAGTACGTTATCCAGCACTTGACGCAATAGTTCAAGATGAAATGATTCGGTCAGACATCGGAAGACATTGCACGGCTGTACGAGGAATTTATCCATGCATTTTGAACATGAAATCACGATTGTGCTGATTTTCTGTATCTTGTTTTTTCTAAAGGAAGCTTAATGCTTGGGAATTTTGCCGAGTCTCCATTGACAGAGATATTAAAATTATGGATCTCCAAGATAGAAGAATGACAGACTATCCGAACATGAAAGCTATTGATTTTTTCGTCTCGTATTAATTGTCCGGTTTCTTGAGCATCTGAACATTATTTGTTGGCCAGACGCGTCTTTTATTGATTTTTGTCATTTTTTAATGTTGCTTGTGCAAAGTATATTGATTTATACCACATTTATGACATAACTGTTCACACTATTGCAGTGTGGATTATGGGTTTCCAATTGTAACCCTGCATTTTGAGAATTCACTCTTACTGAGAGTTTATCCCCACGAGTATCTATTTTCATATAGGGTAAGTACTCGGCAAGAGCTTTCACTATGCTTTCTGAATTAATTTATGCTGCTCTTCTGTATATTGGTTGGTATCTTATAATTCCACAGATTCTCCACTTTACACAGGTAGAGCGCTATCATTCTCCATCCCTCTTTTTTTTTTTTTTTTTTTCATATTTACTTATGTTCTAGCGTCGTATGTTTATTTATTAGCTGCCTCTTTTTTCTTCTTTCGTTTTTTGTTCTCCCAAATCCATTCTTTTCGGTTTTATTATTATTTTCTCATTTTTCTGTCCTGATGAATTCGACTCGATAACCCCCTCCCCCCTATTCATGTCCCCATCATATTCATAACTGTTATATTACTTTAATGGCTCCTTCCTTGGGTGGATCCAGACCTAGCGCCCTCGTTTTCCTTTACGTTGTTCTCTGGGTTCTTGTCAGGATGGTATCTGGTGCTATGGTTGGCAAAACGGTGCAGTGCAGTCAAAGGAGGGGAAAGAGATGTTCCTTCTGGGAGGCACGTTTATCTTTATTATTTCTCTTCTTAATTTAATTATAAATTACTCGGCCGCGGGAAAAAATAGCCTCTCTATATTATAGAAAAAAACAAAAAAATAAAATAGAAATGCCCGTGAGAAGTGGCTTGGAACCAAGTCAACGCCGGTTTGAAGGCCCTTCCCCCCTGTTTGCAAAGACCTAGCTGACTCTGAAGGTCCTTAATCTGGACTCCCAATTTTCGGGGGACAATTCGTGGATAGTTTATTTTATTGTGAATAATTCTTGGATCTCTGTTGATGCCTTCCTCTGATGCACCACCACACCGACTGCAGACTTGGTTCTATCAAATAAGCTGGTCCTCTATGACTTGGAGAAACAGGAGATCGGCTGGACCGAGTACAATTGTAAGCAGTTTCTTTTTTTAATTTCTTTTTATTTTTTTATTTCCTCTTTTTTATATTTTATAAATAAAATAATAGAGCACTTAACGGGAAAAGTCTGTGCCTCCCGGCATTTATTTTCCCCGTGGGTAGCGATCATTTGTCGCTCTTTATTTGGAAAATGGGAAAACCAGGAAATTTTAAAGGAAAATCTCTGCCCATGAACAGACAATTAAGGATAAATTAGTCTGATGATGATCCGCGGCTGCCTGCAGGTTCTTCGAGCATCAGAGTGCAGGACGATCGAACAGGAGAGGTCTTCACAGTCAACGCTCACAACATCTCGTCGGGGCTCGCGCTGGTCACGGAGAGGTTCGTCCTGCTGCTGCTCCTCGCGATGTCCACCTTGCTGACCACCTTCTTGATCGTCTGAAAGCCGCCGCCCATGGAAGAAGAACCCCTCCTCCCGTTGACTTCCTCTTTATATGCCCCCCATGTCGAGTTCTTCATGACTAGAGAAGCCTGCCCAGGTGCCTCCCATCCCCCCCACCCCACGGGTTTTTTGAGAGAGAGAGAGAGAGAGATTGTTCTGCCACGTGGATGGTCATTGGGCGGCTACGCAAAGGGCGGCCACTTCAAGAGGAGAACACCATTGGCCAGCGTACGAAAGACGCCCTCTGCGCCACGTATTCCATCCATGCAGTCAAAGCTCTCGGTCGTTCAAACTTCCCCCTTCTCTCCTCCTCAACTGGGGCACAGAAAAGCACGGTCGGCGTACACCTGGTCCGCCTACAGTGCCGAGAAAAAGGAACGGCTAAGAGACAAACGTCCCCGCCATGATCCTTATCGGCTTGCACGGAGGGCGTGCGCTGAGGTAATGGAAAGAAAAAGAGGGTGTAGAGGCACCCTCTGTGTCACAATCTCTCATTTGTGTACGTATCCGTGCCCATAGATACACACCCTGATCTACTCCCCTGGCTCTGTTTTCAGAGAGAGAGAGAAAGGGGGAGAGAGAGAGAGAGAGTAACAGAGCCCACTCTCGCTCATGAGTGGAGAGTGACTTCCATTGTTAAAGCAATGCCGTTGGGGAAGAGCAGGGGGAGAGCAGAACCTCCTCTCCATCGCCTTAATCAGATCAGGGAGCCTCCGAGCAGTTTCGGCGAGCGGCGCCGCCTGTTGCAGCGGCGGACGTGGGGAGTAGCAATTACCCCTCCAGTCGCCGGCTACTCTTGGCCTTCCTCCCTGGTTTACTCTCGGCTCACCGCTGCCGGCGGTGGCGGCGGCGAGAAGGATAGGGCCGCCATCGTCTTTCCGCAGAAGCTCTGGTTTCTCGACGGAGACGGAAGAAATTTAGAGGGTGGGATCTGTCGTTCTGTGCTCTCTCTCTCTCTCATACGCGCTCATGGCCGGAGGGGACGAGTGGTGGGCGGCGCCGCTGCCATCTCCGTCGCCGACGGCGACTTTCCTGCAGAGGGCGGCGCTTCCTGGAGGTAGCGAAGGCGTCGTCCCTTTCCGCGCCTTCGCCTTCCCTACCGCCTCGCTTTCCTCTTCCTCCACGATGTGGAGCTTTGACCCTGCCTCCGCCGGCACGTTCAAGATGGAGGCGAAGAGTGGCGGGGTGGACAACGACGATGGAGGCGGCGGCGCCGGCCGGATCACGGGCGCGGAGCCCGGCGGTGATTGGAAAACTCCTTCTCCTCCTCCTCCTCCTCCTCCGCCGCCGCTGCTGCTGCCGTCGCCGGCGAGGAACAACAGCATGAGCATAGCGGAGAGGAGGGCGGCGCGGGGAGGGTTCAGCCCCCCTAGGATCAACACCCCCAGGTTCCGCTGCGGCGGCAGCCCCCTCCGCTCGCCGGCGGCCGTTCGCTCCCCCTTCCTCACCATCCCCCCCGGCCTCAGCCCCACCGCCCTCCTCGACTCTCCCGTCATGCTCATGAGCTCCCAGGTTGGAAAACCCTCTCTCTCTCTCTCTCTCTCTCTCTCTCTCTCTCTCTCTCGCTATCTATCTATCTATCTTCATCTTCTTGAAGAACCCCTCTCATCTCCTTGCTAAAGTTGGCCAAAATTTGCAGGCGCCGCCGTCTCCGACCACCGGGAGTCTCGCCCTCTCCCCCCATAATCTTGACTCCATGGCGGGAACGCCATTAAAACTCCACGAGGAGGAAGGAGGAGGCGATCAAGAAGGCTTCCAATCCTTCTCCGCTGTGGGTTGCTGTCAGAATCTATCTTCTTCCCCGGAAACTCTGGCAGAGCTCGAGGAATTCATGAAAACCGGCGATAGGTCTCTGCTACCTCGGGGTAGAGAGCAGGGGGAGGGGCTTCCGCCGGCGGAGAGGCCGTCCGACGACAGCTTCAACTGGAGAAAGTACGGCCAGAAACAGGTCAAGGGGAGCGAGTACCCTCGGAGCTACTACAAGTGCACCCATCCCAACTGCCCGGTGAAGAAGAAGGTGGAAAGGTCTCACGACGGTCGGATCACAGAGATCATCTACAAGGGAAAGCACAACCACCCCAAGGCCCAGCCGCCCCGCCGGACGACGACCCCCGACGAGCCCAGATCGTCGTACGTGAAATCAGAAGGGGAATCGGTGTCGGTCCTTACTGATCTTTCCGATCCCTCGTCGGCCGCCATTGAAAGACACCTCGGGGAGCTCGAGTCCTCTGATGCTCTGGAGCTCTCGTCGCCCCTCGGCGGCGGCGAAGACGACGACCGGGCCGCGGAGGAGGAGGGAAGGGCGGCGGCGCTCGAGGGGGACGACGGAGACGACGAGCCGGATTGCCGGAGAAGGTTAGTCGGCCTTTGAGCTTTAACTGTTGCAGCAATCCAGACCTTGAATTCCTCCTGTTCCGCTTCAGGGAGAGCGAGAGCTTTCTGATGGAAGGTGGGCCGGCTTCCAGGGGAATCCGAGAGCCGCGGGTGGTGGTCCAGACGGAGAGCGAGGTGGACATCCTGGACGACGGGTATCGGTGGCGGAAGTACGGGCAGAAGGTGGTGAAGGGGAACCCTAATCCAAGGTAATTCACCATCTCTCCTCTTGACCCCTCCAACTCCTGTCTCTCTTTCTATTTGCAGATCGTCGGCTCTATCTCTTTGGGTTTTCCTCCCCCTTCATGTTCTGCGCTATCTGCTCTAGCCGCTCAGAATTTCTGAAAAAAATCCCAACGTTCTCTCTCTACTGCAACACTTGCTGTTCTTTCCTCTTGATCCTTCATGGTGGAGAATGGTGGGCACCCTGGTCTCTCTCTCTACTTGCAGCTCGTCGGCTTGATCTCTTTGGGTTTTCCTCCCCCTTCATTTTCTGTGCTCTCTGCCCCGCTCGCTCGGAATTTCTGTAAAATATCCTAAACTTTGTCTCGAATTCCAACACACCAAGATCCCAGGTGCTCCACTCTTTCTCTCTCTCTCTACTGGAACACTTCCCGTTCTCTCTCACGAACTAGTCAGCTCGGCCCCCCATCTTCTTCAGGAGCTACTACAAGTGCACGAACCCCGGCTGCTCCGTGAGGAAGCACGTCGAGAGGGCGGCCCACGACTTGAAGTCGGTGATCACGACCTACGAAGGCAAGCACAACCACGAGGTGCCCATCTCCAGAAGCAGCAGCCAGAGCAGCTCCGGCGGCGGCGGTGGCGCGCCGCCGCCGTCCGGTGGTCCTGGAGCCACCATCAGTGCAGAGAGCTCCATCTATGGAGAGCTCCCCAACACCCATCTCTTCAAGAGGAAACTCGCCCTGCCCAGTGAGTTCCCAACGTACCTGGGCGGAACTTCCTCCTGCTACCCGATCAGGCCGCTCCCGCCGGCGGAGCTCCACCGCATGGCGGCGATTTCCAATTTTGGTCGGGAGTTCCCCATCTCCTTCCCCATGGACATCCACAGAGCTCCCAACGTTGAGGCCAGCCATGGAAGCACAGCCGGCGAGGAGAGGCTCTTCAAGCTGCCCAAGAAGGAGCAGGAAGACGATGGGGTCTTTGGCTCCGATCACGTTGCGAGGAGATTCCCATTAGAATGAGTTCTTCCTGCTCTTCCCTGCGATTCACCATTGTTTGCAGAGGAGATCATTTTCATGTGGTTCTAGGGTTTGCTTTCAGCCTCTCAGCTGCTCTTTTTTTTGGTGATCTCGAAATCGGAATACATTTGTCTTTTTTCTCTGTTGAGTGATCAAGAAAAAAGTTCTTGTCGATCGAAATCATGGTCACCTTCTCCTTCGTCGGGCATTCCTTAATGAAGTTGAGGAAGAAGAAGAAGAAGTTAATTAGGGTTCGTTTCATCAGCTCACCATACTCGCTGGTCGCCGAGATCGTCGCCGGCGTAGGGCTTCCAGAACTCCATATTTTCCTCCCACGAGCTCGCCTCCTCACCGCTATCCTGCTCACCGGCGGCAAACTCCTCCCAGTCGTCCCCTACCCCGGAATCGAACAGATCCTGGAACCCATCATCGTCTTCTTCATCCTTCACCTCGGATTCCTCATCTTCTTCTTCATCCTCGTCGCCGTCGCCGTAGGCGATGCTGTTCCTCCTCCTCCGCCGCATCATCTTCCCCTCGCGGACGAGCTCCGCCAGCCTCTCTCTGACCTTCGACAGGTCGTCATCCTTCACCAGGAGCCGGCCCCTGTCGTCGTACCCCTCCACCAGGAAGACGGAGTCCCTCTTTCCTTTAAGGCTGACGTAGAACATCTCCGGATGGCGAACCAGCAGAGCTCTAAGCTTATTGGGGAGCCCAAATTCCTTCCTGAAATGGGTCAGATGGTCCACCAGCGTCCGCTTCTCGATCGTCATCCCCAGAACTTCCCTCACCACCGCGCAGGCCCTCCGCTCCGCCAGCTCCGGCGAGGCGGCGACGAGCTCCGAGTAGGAGCAGAAGGGGGAGACCTCGGGGAGCTCCTGGAACCTTATCAGGTACTCCCGGTGGCGGCGCTTGAGGTTGAGCCCTCTCCTGAGCTTCAGGTGCTTGAACTTGGGCGGCCGGTCGATGATCGGCCGGCGGGGGTCGTCGCCGGAGAAGGCCGGCGGCGACGGAGGAAGGGAGGCGGCGAGGGAGGAGTCCCAAGCGGCGAGCTCGAGGGCGCGGCCATAGGAGGTATCTACGGTGCGGAAGCGGTCCGGGTGGCGGTTGCAGAGGCCGGAGCGGAAGTCCGGCGGGAGGCCCAGGTCGCCGGCGAGGTGGGCGAGCTTGGAGAGAAGCAGGCGGCGGTGGCTGGAGAGCATGAGCAGCCGCTGGAGCTTGGCGGCGTGGGTGGCGGCGATCTGCTCCTTCAGGTGGGTTTCTTCCGCGGCGAGGGCGGCGGCAGCGGGGGTGAGGGCGACAGCGAGGAGGAAGAGGGACTGGGAGGAGCGGGAGGGCGCGTGGAAGAGCTGGAAGATAGCCGGGTAGCGGAGGACCATGGAGACGACGGAGCGGCGGCGGTCGCCGCCGTCGAGGGTGAGGTAGCGGCGGCAGTGCCGGGAGAGGATCCGCAGCGGCAGGAAGTGGCGGGGCTTGGAGAGCAGAAGGGTCGTCAACTTCCTTATGAACCGGAGGCGGTGATGCTTCTCCGCCTGCCGGTCAAGTGATGGGCACTTGGCGATCTTCCTCGCCGAGCTCGCCGCCGCCACCGTTGCTCCGCCTCGTCGTCTTCTCCTCCCGGAGGGCTCATTCCGGAGGGAAGGGAGGAGAGGAGATGGGTTGAAGTGGAAGACGAAGGAGACCGAGCTACTGATGGCGGCGGCGGCGGCGGCGGTGGAAGGGAGGTCCTTCCGCTGGGTCCTCCCCGGAAGGGGCAGCAGCGCCGCTGTAGCTGCCATGAATATGCAGGCTTTCACAGAGGAAGATGGGGCCTTCCCACATACAAATATCCTCTTCATCGGGACTCGGCCGGGTCGAGTCGGATCGCCCGATTCACGACTGGGATTTTAAATAGAAGGTTTCTATTCCGCTCTGATCATTTTCCCTTCGCCGGCTTTTCTCCAGGTTGCCGGCGGCGGCGGCGAGGGTGGCGGCAGAGGAGTTGCATTGGCAGTGATCTGGTTTCTCTTCCCCTCATTTGTCGCCGTCGACTTGAATCTGGAAGGAGTAGATCGGAGGAAGGTGTGCCGAGGTTAGCTATGATTTCTCTCCGCGCTCCACCGTCGTCCTACGCGTCGATTTCTTCTCCCGTGGCGTCTTCTAGGGCAGGAGGCGTCGAGAGGAGCAGTCCTTTCTCAACTCGGAAGCCATTTCGTGGGAGGCTCAAGTCTGCCGCCTCCGCCGCATCGTTCCACAATGGTAGGGCAATGTGGAACAAATCACCGGCGAGGATTCCACTCAGTTGTTCACAGAGAGGTGGGGCTTTATCTCGCCTTATCTGCCTGTGCGCTGGGGGTTCTGATGAACGTGATGGCGGTGAAGGCAGTGAGAATACTGGTAGTGTGATACGAGACGCAGTTGTCAGAGCCGGAGAGCTGTTATCCATGGGCTTCCCCCTGTGGGTGTCGGCGGCCTGCGTCCTCGCGCTGTGGAGGCCATCTGCCTTCGACTTCGTGCAACCAAAGTGGCAGATTATCGGCATCACTCTTACCATGCTGGGTGCGCCATCCGCCTTCATACTCCTTTGAACGGAGGGACTGTACCGATTGATAGATTTGAGCCCCCGTCAGAAATCGGATTCTACGCTTCCATTGATGATCGGATTCTATGTTGATTTTATTGACTATCCAGGAATGGGGATTACTTTGACGCTAGATGATCTAAAAGGTGCTCTGCTAATGCCCAAGGAATTGTTGATTGGGTTTCTCCTCCAGTACACGGTCTGTAGCTACCCCAGGCTTCTTCCCCTGCTCATTTCTCAAGAACATTATTTTTTTGGTCGCCAATGTTTCTTGCTCTCAGTAAGCCTTCGGATGATGTTTATGGCAGGTCTTTGCTCTGATCGCCTCATTTCCCATTAACTTCACATATCCTTCAGTTTCTTCATGCTTTCTCGAAGTGTATTTAAGAGCTTTTGTCATGATCACCATACACCAAATCCTGATTAACTCGGTTCGGGAATCTTAATCTTATTTCACTGTTCGAATTCTTCGTGGAAATACTGCACTCCGGAGCAACCAGTAATCAGATTCTTTCTTTGATACACCCCCCGAACTAACCATAGATTTCCTCCTTTCATTTTTAGAACAAGCACAGAAATGATGAATTTTTCTGCCGACTCGATCTTCTTTGAGTTTTCTTTGCGCATTTTGAAACTAAAATGGATTTCATGGGTTGAAATAAACCCATTTTAAAAAAATACACCGTCTTATATTTCCATGCTTCTCTAGTTGGGCGCTCTCATATGAGCTACTCCGATCTCAGTAGCTTTTCTACATGATTGAAACCTATGTACTTTTAGGCATAACCTCCCTCCCCGCTGGCTGATCTGTAGAATCTAACCCCTTTCTTTAACCCATTGGATGCAACGGTTTTAGAGTACTTCCCGATTTACTTTCTCTCATAGTCGAGCAATTTTTAAGTATATATTGGCCTTGTGTGTTTCCCACACCTGATGGAGCAGATTGTCTCTCCAACCGTCAAGAAACTTCATATATTTTGCAAACTATATTCATCCACTTTGCGCTGGTGTATTCTGCAGATCAGCTAATGTCATTAGAATATCGCCTTGCTCTGAACCTCTGGACAGTGGCTCGGGGCGCAGTAGATGATTATGGCCTTCTCCTCACCGCTCAGTAATTTGTGGATACGGGCGTTGCTAATTTCAGTCAGATTTTCTTTTTTTCCTGAATAAAAAATTCAGAGAGCATAAGATATGTGTCCGTATCCTGCGCATGATCAGTCAAATAAAGTTTGCAAGTAGTCATTCAGTGCTGAATTTCCCTGCCCATGCTCAAATAATCTTCGTCTCTTCACTCCACCCACCTGAACAGGGGGTCAAGGCTTACTGCTTGATCATGTATAGCACTGACTACCTCTTACCACCCACTCCATCTGTGGGCGCAGGTGATGCCATTCTCAGGGTACATGGTAGGCAAGGCCCTGAAGCTGCCTTCGTACTATGCTGCCGGGTTGATACTGGTCTCTTGCTGTCCAGGAGGTGTGTCACCGTTACAAATTTTCAATTTCCCTTTCCATGGATCCATTCATCCTGGTTATCCGAATCGTCCCTCATAAAATGGTTGAAATAGAGAGCTTCAAGCTGCCTACTAAGTTAGGTCTTTTCCCTTTCTGGGGGCAGGAACGGCGAGCAACATCGTCACATACTTGGCAAGGTATGTTCTTGAAAATCCTTCCACATCCAGAGTGGCAGAAGAAATAATCTCTCCCTCCCTCCCTCCCTCCCTCTCGCGGTGTTGTTCCAGGGGAAATGTCGCTCTCTCGGTCTTGATGACGGCCGCGAGCACCTTCGCTTCGGTGGTAAGAGGAGTTCCAATTCAAGGTCCCTAGTTTCTTCCTTGCGGAGCTCTGTTGACCGTGGATTTCCGCAGGTGATGACGCCATTCCTCACATCCAAGCTCGCGGGGCAGTACGTGGCCGTCGACCCAGCCGGCCTCTTCCTCTCCACAGTGCAGGTTGCCCTCCAATCCTTCTCTCTCACGACCACCTCCCTACAGCCATTCTCATTCTCTCTCATCATCGTCATCGTCATCCTCCTCCTCCTGCGCAGGTTGTGCTCGCTCCAGTGCTGGTGGGGGCGCTTCTGAACCAGTACTGCGGGAGCTTGGTGGGCTTCATCTCCCCCGTGATGCCGTTCATCGCGGTGGCCACGGTGGCGGTGCTGTGCGGCAGCGCCATCGCCCAGAACGCCGCCTTCATCCTCGCCTCCGGGCTGCACGTGGTGGTCGCCGTCGCCAGCCTCCACGCCTCGGGATTCTTCTTCGGGTACGTTTTATCGAGGCTGCTGCGGTTGGAGGAGCGATCGGCGAGGACGATATCGATCGAGGTGGGGATGCAGAACTCGGTGCTCGGCGTGGTGCTCGCCGGGCGGCATTTGGGCAGCCCGCTGGCGGCGGTGCCGTGCGCCGTGTCCAGCGTCTGCCACTCGGTGTACGGCAGCGCTCTGGCCGGAGTCTGGCGGAGCAGGCCGGCGGAGTAAGGGCGGAGGAGGCTGCTAGTGGGCCTCGATGGACCCGGTTTTTAGTTGGAGTTTAAATGATGCTACTGGATGTGCCCGCCCGCCCCCCCTTTTGTGCAAGGGAGAATGTAGAGAGAGAGAGAGGAGTTTTGAGGGCCAGATGATAGAAACAAAACGACTTTATTTAGAGGATTACGAGTGCATGATCTCAGAGAGAGAGAGAGAGAGAGAGAGAGTAGGAAAGCCAATATGTCGAGCAGTGCCGGCTTAGTCCCCATTTGAAGTTCCGCTGCGGCGGGGCTGTTTTGGTCTCGCCGTCGTGCCTGGCGGATGGGGCCCCCGCCGCCGCCGCCCATGCGCGGGAGCCGGCACTGGGGCTCCGTGAAGCAGGTTACGAGGTCCAACTTCGCGGAGGCGCTGCAGCAGATTAGGGAGCACATCCGGGACGCCGACTTCATCGCAGTCTCCTCCCAGAAGACCGGCGCCGCTTTCCCCTCCTCTTCCTCCTCCGCCTCTATATCTCCCTTCCCAGCTGCCGCCGCGGCCGATGCTTCCGGCCACCCCTGGTGGCACCGCGTCTCTCCCATCGACAGCCTCCAGACGGCCTATCTCAAGGCCAAGGTCGCCGCAGAGCGATTCGAGGTGCTCCAGTTCGCCATCTGCCCCTTCCGGCTCCAGGGTTCCAAGGTCGTCGCCTACCCGTAAGTACTCTTCCGATTTTTGTAATTTTTTTTTTTTTTAGAATGCGATCTGCCTGAACTCACTGCGAAGCCGACACCATGTTTTTCGTTTCTGAAGGGCAGTTCAATTTGGTTCCCAGTTCTAATTTGTCTTCTTTATATTTTTATTCGGAATCTGTATTATTTTACCAAACGTGTATGAGTTCGTGTCATAAAGTTGATGCTTGGATCATCAGCTCCTTGGCTCATTGCTGGGCATTTAGCGCGGAGAATGCCACCCGGGTCTCCTTGTGACAGGAGCGCAAATGAACTGCTGGGTAGTCTAAAATTATTATCTTTTTTCTAGTGTTTGTGATGCTGGGACCCAGGAGATCTGAGTAAATTCCTGGCGGGAAAATGAATGAAGGTTTTGTGGTGCGGGGAGATGTTTAGGAGACTTGAAAGTTATCCGAAAGTGCTTTATATGATGCACAAGTTAGGTTTTGTCAAATGCGATGGAAAAGAAGTTGATTGGTGTAAGCTTCGAAATTGGAAACAAGTGTTCACTTCCATTGTGATACTCAGCATAATCTGTCAGAGTTCACGACTAGTCATAGGTGCCCTTGTACTCCCTGGGCTTGAGAAAAGTCCTGAAAAGGCTTTCAGGTTTTGCCTTCTAAATCTCCTGAAGCCTAGTCGGGTGGGGTGCATGCCTTGCATGGCTGAGATTGGGGATCACCCCTGGTTACGGGGGCTAGTTCAGGTGTACGAGGAGGGGTTTGGAAGATAGGAACTAGGGTATCTGTATGTGTGGTGGGTAGGGGAAGGATGTTGAGGGTGGGTGGTCCTCATTGCGATTCTGGCTTTTTGGTTTATGGAGCAACTAAGTTCACTTTCAGGCTTGATTTTGAGTCCCAAGTCAAGAAAGGCTATCCTAGGCCTGACTGGGCTTCTGAGATAACTTCTTTTAATTGACACTTCTATTAATAGTGCGACTGTGTAATTGAGAAATATCAATAAATATCTGTTTGTTAGGATCTCAAGTTTCTTGATACACACTCACTCACTTTCACTGTGACATTGCCGTGATTCTGTTTCTTGATCAAGGAGTCAGATGTCTTATGTATCTATTCAATTCCACTTTTCTTTTATCTAATTTCATGCAACTCCTAATTCAAGATTTTTCTGGGCAAATATGGCTTCTGCTCTGTTTTTTTTTCTTCTTCAATACGTGCCTGTTATTAATATTTACAGTATGTTGCTTTTTTTTCTCCAATGATGACCACCAATTTCTTAAATTTCATAATAAAGTGGCTTGTTGATGATTATTTCATGGACTTGATCGCAGGTATAATTTCCATCTGTTCCCCAGAGACGAACTCAACGTTGGTATGCCTTCCTACAGTTTTTCGTGTCAAACGTCGTTTCTAAGCTCCATGGCCCGAGAAGGGTTCGACTTCAATCTCTGCATCTATGATGGTGAGTGAGGAACTGCCTCATGATGAATAACTATTGTAGTTATTTTATGATCAAAGTTCCTCGGAAGCTGATAAGATAAAATAACCATTTAAAAATTTCAATTACTTCTATCATTTGTTTTATGCCATCAGGTTTATCTTACCTGTCTAGAGTGCAAGAGTCCATGGCAAAACATCGGAATCCAGTCCCCAAGTTACACTCGATCACATCCATGGGTACTTCAGTTGCTGATACGGTTTTCATGGAAAGGGTAAAGTTGAGAATTGAACAGTGGCGTAATGCTTGTAGAAATTCAAACCCAAACGAAGGTGGGTGTTCCTCAAGACGTGCAACTTTTCAAGTTGAAGGGGGTGGAGTGGATGTTAGTCCTCTCAAAAACACCATCTTAATTTCATGATGTGCAGATGCCCTTGTGAGGTCCTTGAGGAAGCTAATGCGAGGAGGTGACGCATATGGTTCGAGACCATGCTTAAATATTGATGTTTGCAATCATCGTCAAGTGCAATTAGTGGCCCAGGTATCATTTACGCTATATTACGTGATATTTAAGTATTTAGTTGTGATATTTTAATATATTTCATGATTCTGGAGTCTAGACAAGAACGAAAAATCAATTGTATTCATCATTATTCGGAAGCTATTTTTACGTGTTTCTCCTTGCTAACGCTTCAATCTTTGCTGATGAGATGAAGCTTTACTAATAAGAATTGTACGAAGATTACATACATACATGTGATTTATGCTGGACATTCGGACCTTTCTACATTAGTCTGTGCCATCGATGCATCTTTGTTTTAATGAATGCAGGTGTTGAGGCAGTCTTTTGGAAACCTCGTACCACTGATTACACCTGACAAAGGAGGCGAGCTGAACGTGGTCAAAGTTGTGTTGACAAGCTCAGAGGAGGACAGAAATCTTCTATTAGTAAGTATATATACCTAGTTGTTATAAGCATATTTACTAGTTTGACTGCTTAAGGCATCTGAACATGGAGACTTCTCAATGTAGAATGAGATTCAATTTCTCGAAGAGGAAAATGAGAAGAAATTTCGCGGATTTCGGGAGGTGATAGACATGATATCTAGCTCTCAGAAACCAGTCATCACCTACAATGCTCTAAATGGTGAATCATTAAACCTTATATTTATCTCTACTCTGTAACTTTTCAGAAGTTGCTTTAATGTTTTTTAAGGTTCTCTTGTTGCAGATTTCACATTCATACATTCAAAATTCATTGGTCCACTTCCTTCAAACATGGCTGAGTTCATGTGCTCTTTGAGATTGGTTTTCCCCAATATAGTCGACGTAAACTATTTATTGAGGGAAATCAACCCTTTAAGGAAGGCCAACAACATACCAGCCGCTATGTCTTACCTGAGGAGGCAATTCTTTGTTCCCATAGAGATGGAGATTCCAGAGCAAGGTACATCCCTCCTTTAATGTGGTAGTTATTTTCAATGAAATTGGACCGAAGTATGAAACAGTAGACTTTTTCTTCCCCCATAAGATGCTATGCTGCTCCTTCTTTAACCGTCCACATGGAATGATCTAATATGTGGGCAATATTATCATGATTTATGTTATTAATTCGCAACCTTTTTTACTTTACCTTGACGGTTCTTCTTTTCTTTTATCAGCTAATAATAACACAGGAAAGAAGCATGGGCACATGGCTCTGAGGATCACAAATTTATTTGCCAAACTCAGTCTTATATTGAAGATTTCTCCCCTTGATTCTCGGGTCACTGAGAAACCGGGTTTCATCTCAATTGAAAATTATGCAAATGTCTTCCCTCCCTTCTGCACTGTCCTCAGAGAAAATGAGGAAGAAGATGTGGATGACTCGACAGATGATGTCAGAAAAGTGGTCACTTCTAATATTGTCTTCCTCTGGGGATTCGGGAATGTGGGTTCCTCAGGAGAACTAAAAGATCGTCTTCGTGGTTCTCATGCTGCGTTCTCGGAAGACTTTGAGCTAGCAATGGTTGATAAGAGCTGTGCTGTTGTGGTCTTCTGGAATCCGCATTCTTCTCAAACATTACTTCGAGACATTGCATCAGGAAGTAGTCTTGGGGGTCCTCTATCAGAGATGATCTCGGATGGGCTAAGAGTTGTTGGATATGTGGCTTACAAGAAGGTATGCGGGATAGGTCTTTGGGAGACAGATTTAGCAGATTCTTTGGAAAAGTCCTCATTCGAATCCGATCATAATTATCATTTAGATGGTGGAAAGGAAACTTCAGAGATATACTGGAACAACGAGCTGATCATCAATCTTAATGATCTATAACCAATTGATGCTTCCCATGGGTAAACCCAAGTGAGACAGAATATGTAACCTGCCGAAATTTTTTCTCTGATTAATATGTTGATGAGATATATTTAGTCCGTCGTTATAGCAATCTCCAATACTCAGGGTGGCCTTCAGTTTTCTGCAGAAAGAAGAGAAATTTCTTCATCTTGGTTCCGGGAGACCAAACTCAAGGGCTTCTGCCATCTGATCAATATTATGAAGTAGAAATTGACTCCGATTTCTCTTCAAAGAACCAAAAATAGAGTTATAGACATGATTTTGAGTTGCCCCATGCTGGTGTCTTCTGTCTCTCAATCTTATGAAAACATGATTATCCTCGAGGTATCTTGAGGAGAAGTCGCATTTGAGTTGCCTTCCTGCAGAGTTCATAGTACGGATGGTTTTGGAGATAAATGCCATAGTGTGGGGGAAAATACGATATTTAATTCTCCTTTCCTCGACATATTTTGTGAGAAAACTGTTGCATTCATTGATCTTGTTTCCGATCACCTCTGCCCATCAATCAGAGGTTCAAATAATTTTCTGTGACAGGTGGAGATATGAAATCAAAGGCGATCAGTTATAGTATTATCGGATAAAAAATGAAAAAAGAAATGTCCTTGGTGATTAGAAGAATAATTTACTTTATTTCTTCATCTTAATGTTCATGGGCCAGAAACTCTGGAGCCACAGAGGTTTGTATTTTGCGGCCTTGGAACTCAGATTCAGCCCCGGACAGAAAACTAGGCTCGACTCAGACATCGACCTGGCTAAGTTCATCTGGATTGATTGTGATGATGCTATCTACAACGTGTCTTCTCTGGGAAGGCTGGAGACCCTCTCTCTCTCTCTCTCTCTCTCTCTCTTTCAATTGTTGTGAGGGTTGATTGGTCTGAGCTACGGCTTCAAAGGGGTCATGGCCACCCACATTCTTATTTTCTGAGGTTTTCTGTAAGCCTATTTTAAAAAAAATCTCCGAGCTTCAACTGGGCAGATAGAAAGCCCCAAGCATGCCCTGGGCCGTTGACACCCGTAGAAAAACACTTTTTATGTCAATTGAGAGGTCTGGGCCATTGAAACATGGCAAATGGATCAGAAACCTCAGTAAGCCTCCATAAAACCCTCCAAAGTCTTTTTCAATCATCACAGCCCATTCATCTAGAGAATGTACACGTTTCAGAATGTACACGTTTCTCTCTCTGTCTCTCTCTATACAAATACATTTACATTTTATTGGGCATACTGCTCAGGATCATTCTTTCATCACCCAAGCTCTGATTTCACGGGATGAAATGTGAGCCTCCGGGGGCAGAACCAAAACCAATCAAGGGTAAGGTGTCTTTAATAATCTCAACCCTGCAATCAGAATGCCCACAAAAAAAAAGAAAAAAAAAAGAAAAAAAAAAAAGGAAGAATCTTCCCAGGTTTTCTACGGTGTATATTCTCCTCGGGGTGAGCTACGGTGATGCCGTAAATCGTACATTTTTTCAATCCTCGTCCCCAATCATAGTTTGCATGAACATAAAAATAAACTAGATCCAAGTATATGAACAAGTAGACGTTTTATTTCAATACAACACGCTTTCATCGTGTTCCTTTTACTCATGACGACAGCCACAACTCCATACCATAAATTCGAACTATAATGTTTACCATATCCTTTTATCGTATCTACATCACACAATAATAATACCTCTGAAGAACTTCTGACAACATGCGACACAGCCTACTTATTGAATCTGCCCATAGAAACTGTGTTCCCGTTGTGGAATACATATAGGTCGGTGGAAGGCCAAACCATCATCCGTCCCGTTCTTGCAGTCGATGGAGCAGAGGCAACACCAGGGAAATGTTATGGGCAGCCCCTCCGGGAGGAACTCAAACGCTCAGCTCTGCCTTTGAAATGAGGATCCCATCGGTGTCCGCGTAGAGCCACTCACCATCGTTAATCCTTGTGCCGCCGATGTGTATGGGCACATGCCGCTCGCCGATTCCCCTCTTGTTGGCCTTCATGGGGTGCGAGGCGAGAGCCCTGACTCCAATGTCACACCCATTTATCTCATCAACATCTCTCACACACCCGTTGACTATTATGCCTGCCCACCCGTTGTTCTGCGCTTGCTGGACAGGGTTGCCGCCAAGAATAGCGCAGCGGAGGCTTCCGCCGCCGTCAACGACGAGCACTCTGCCGTTTCCTCTCTCCTCAAGGAATTCTCGCACCAGAACGTTGTCCTCGAAGACCTTCAGGGTCACAATCTGACCGGAGAAGACCTGCCGCCGACCATATATCTGGAAGATTGGTTGGAGGGCCCGAAGTTCTCCATTCTGTATCAAGTGTGAGTTGATGTCGCACGCCTCAGCTGTAGCGAAGGCCATGGCGTTTCTTTTGCACCTCCTGCATATGGGGAGAAAATCTTTCTGAGAGTTTGGTTACGATGTCTATAAGGAGACAACAGAAATTATAGACTGCGAAGCGAGCGGACAAAAATCATTGACCAGACAAAGGTGAATGCTCAGTTAGAGAGGTTATGTATAGTTTTGGAAAATCCGCTGGACTATGAATAGCTTGCTAAGACATTTTCAATGAGGCTACGACCTTCGAACAATTAGGTGACGGCAGTGAACAAGGATCGTAGGCAAAAGTGACGGAAAATACAAGGCAAGTGAGCAAATAAATCCCAAGGCAGAAGCCTGCGTGGATCTTGGAGTGGGCAAATTCCAGAATAATTATAACTTCCATTCAAATATTATAGAAATTCATTTGAGCCACTAAGCGTCACCATATTTATGAATTTCTTGCGCTGTCCACTTTATAAAAAAGACAGCACTACCGGTGCCTCATAATCAAATAGCTGACTTTCAAAACCCACTGTTTTCCTCGTTTTTAAATTCATGTTCTACTTCATTCTTCTTCTCCATGGATACTCTGTGACACTGGACATCCCCAAAGATCACCAAAGAGGTCCATCAAGTTTCACAATTTTACTGATTTAGACCTTAACTTTCACTTTATTTTGATCTCAGCTTGTTCAGGGCCATGAACGAGAATGTCTGGATGAATTAACACCACTTTATCTCCTCGTCAAGATATGAACCTGCTGGTGAATAGCTGCAATGCATCTCCTTCTCTCTTTTTCTACTCCACGCAGACAAAAAATGATGTCCACTACCTTACAGCATTAATCAACGCTGCGGATCACATAGGTACAAAAGTAATCAATGTTCTAGATGCCTCAGTGTTTGCCACTGGTCTAGAGAATTGCAAAAGCACAGAAAAATGCAAAAATATGAAGTGACATTGCACGGCTGAAAATAGCAATAAGAAAAAAAGGTGAGGAACTCGCCGGAAGGTTGCTCATATGGTAGCAAGGACTGCAGCTGCAGTCCCTTTTGAGAAAGAAGCAGGGGAAAGACGAGGTGGGGGGGGGCGCGCAATCTAGACTGCTCCTTGTTAAGTTTTACAGTACCGCTTGGTTTGACAGTTTACAATGCCATTCACGACCAAGATAATTATTGACCCATTCGCCAGTGGCAGATGCCCATTGGTATTTGAAATTCTTTAGAAAGCTATCATTACGAACACCAAAAGTTCCGTGAACATGAGTTCTGAGTGACCGAAAAATTTACCTCTCCAGAACTGAAAACATAGGTAAAACGAGCTCAATATGGAAATTCTTAGCCTCCATAATGGGAAGAAACATATCAGAATCCCTCGTCACATCGGACGAAATTAACCCCCCCCCCCGAAAGTTTCTTTGTCAAAAGGACATCATCCAAAAGCGATTTTTGCTGAATGGACAGAAGAGCATACATATCTGAAGCTCATGGTCAATTATTGCTTGTATCTGACACAGAAAACGATGACGATTAGGAATGTCCTTGTAGACGATTTGGCCTAAATATAATCCAACTTCTCCAAGAAATGGACCACAAAGAAACTTCCAAAAGGTTACAGAATTAAGAAAATTGACACAACAGTTAACGTTAAATACTATTTTGTGGTAAAAAGAGGAATTGGGTGAAATCGTTTGCGGAATGTGATACCATCAGATTGATTGGGATATCATCAAGGTGCTGGATGTATGATAACACAGTTTCAATAAAGCACTTACCATGTTAAGATAGCTAAGGATCTGAATCTCAGGTCCATATTGGTCAGATCGGAATTGATACAAATATTTTCTAATCCGTCAGCAGAACAGTACGTTTGAAGAAAACTTTAGAAACCACTTTCATTTTGTTTGAAGCTTTGTTGGGTCACCAGAAGAATTTTCAGCACAATCCAACGAGAGGGTAAAGGAGTAACTCAGCAAGAGCCTAATGAGTTAAACCTTAAAAGAATATCAAAGGCAGAAATTTTTCATAGCTCGAGTCATAGTCTCAACCTGAGGCATCAGGTGCACTGATCCAGGGGATATCTTTGAAGTTTGATTCTAATCCCATGCTTGTATCACGCACAGAGCAACCTCTTTTCGTTAGTAATGAATTGTGGGTTTACCCCGCATTAAACACTCTGCCCTTCAGTCAGGTTAGAGTTATAGAAAAGATCTATCGGCAGTGGGAGAGGCCCAAAAACAGCTGCCCAGAAGGCCCTAACGGATAAAAAAAGGAAGAGCCAAATAGAGTTGTTCAGGTAACCCATAGGGCCCGAACGCGAATCTTTTTCGTAAGATTTATAGTTGCTACCTTTTACCAGGGAAATCTTTATTTTTCAGATATTTTCTTATAAGATCCTATTTTTAGGATATCCAAACTTTTTTCCCCATTCTAAGGGACACTAGCCGGAGATGAAGAAGATTTTTTTCTCAGGAAAATTATTTTTATCCTTCTGTCTCTCTCTCCTCGATGATTCAAGGAAACCCTTGTCGATTCAATGGACCTTATTTTTTATCCTTGACGATTCAAGGATTCTGAAATTCGTTCCCTACGGATTCAATGTCCGATTTCTTCTTCAGCTTCTGCTACGTCACCGCCATGAAGAAGAAACGATGGAAGCGAAATCAAAGCAACCACACAAGCAAAAAACCAAGTTTGACGGACAAAGAAAAATAAGAGAACATGTTATCAATCAGCAATTTACCATCGCCTTTATCATATATCAGAACCCACAAAAATCGTAGCAAAGACTCAGTACATTAGAACAAACTATAATGGCCAAATTACTGGGAAGAACAACATCGGGAACAAACATAAAACCAACGATTATCATTTGCGATACGGAACTCGCCCACCCCCTAATGCAACCACACAGGGAGAAGAAACAAAGGAAGCAAGACCCACAAAAACCCAGTTTGATGGATATAAAGAAAAAATAAGGGAGTACGCTATCATACAGCACGTTGACCATCGCCTGTTTCAGAGTCCCGCAAAAACCTTTGAACAAATAACATCGCGCACGAAATAAAACCAACGATTACCATCTGCGACACGGAACCCCCCGTCCCTTTTCAAAGGGGAAAATAATCCTCTCCCCAGGAAAACCAAACACTTCTGCGCATCAACACCCCGTCCTTCGCGATACACCGCAATAAGCGAAATTGAAAGCGATTGACACTGCGGAACGTCGAAACAGACGGAATCATCCATCCATTAGGAAGACGGAGTAAACAAATCGACAATACTTTGTTCCATCACGAGATCATTCTGAACAGAAAAGAGGAAATCGTCGCTAAAGAAGGGAGAGAGATTTGCCTCTTCCGCAGACCGACGGCGGGTGCTTGAGGTGATGCCGGCCAGTGTATCGAGAGGAAGAGAGGAAAAAAGAGGAAATCTGAGCTGACGGCGCACTGCTAGACGGGGAGAAATCGGACCCTTCCAAAGATGGGAACGCGAAGAAAGCGATGCACGAAAACAGTTCAATTTTTTAGAACCCTGTTTTGAAACTAAACTTTGCTAGGGATATATAAAATAAATTTTCAATGATATTATATAATTTTATAATCGATAATATTGAGGATGTCCCCGATTTCAGTACTAGTCGTAAGAAGAATTTCTCCTTTTTGGAAGGCCGGCATGATAAGGGCCCCACTTGATACTATTATTAAAATTTAATTAATACATAACATTATGCAAAAAATATTGGGATAATTTGGCCGACTGGGTCTAAACGTAAATTCTGGTGGACTATCAATACCACGATCTGATTGGATCACGAACTCGGCTGCGTTGTTCCTTCAAACTTGGGCATCAAAATCGAACCCATATAGACGAGTATGGAGAGAGAGAGGGAGAGAGAGAGAGCATAAAATGTTGAGCCACATAATTTTTTCCACCAGGAGAAAGACGAAAGTTCCGAGTTTTCATGGATTCTTCGCTCATCTACAACAAACAGACCACAGAAAAAGGAAGAAGGGGTGGGGATTGGATTCTCTCTGATCTTAGCAAGAACAGCCGGGCCCGCCGCGCGCCGCCGTGAGACTCCGCTCCCACTCGTCCGCCGGCTTCGACTCGGCGTGCGGGACATGGCGCGGGTGCTTCTCCCTCTTCTCCCCCTTCAGCTGCCGCAGGGCGTGCTTCAGAGCCGGAGAGAGGGCTTCCATGCACTCCGCCACCGCGTTAGGGTTTCCCGGCATGTTGATGATCTGCAGCAACACCCAAAGCCAATCAATCAGTCCGAAAAGATGCTCCTCCCTCCCAGAGACGCTCAAATGGAAGACCCTCCCCTCTCTCCCCTTTTTTTTTCCCGGCAGGGCTCACCAACGTCGAGCCTCTGATTCCAGCTGCCGCTCGGGAGAGCATCGCGGATGGGGTGACCTAGGCACAGCAAAGCAGATTCGATTCAATTCAATTTCTGTTTTTCAAATTGATCTCTGATCTCATATCTTACAGACTGCGTTCAGCCTGAAGATGAAAGCAAGATGGGATACCTTGAGGCTTTCCTGGAGCATGACGAACAGCAGGCCGGGAGTTTCCTTTTCTAGCAGAGGTTTTGTGGCTTCCGGGGTCACGTCTCTGGGAGTGAAGCCAGTCCCACCTGGGAAAATAAGGAGCGAGAGGGGGGGAGAGAAAGATAAAGAAGAGAATGTGAGAAGGGAGAGATGGAGGAGATATCTGGTGGGTACTTGCCGTAAGCTTTGGCAGTGTTCTCACCTAGGGTTAGGACGAGGTCGACTTTGTCGATATCACACCATTGCCGCAGAGTGCTCTGGATTCTGTCCGTTTCATCTGGAACCACGCAAGTCGCGACTACAGATGCTCCCCCGAGCCTTTCAGACATGGAGTTCACCACAGAAACCGCTCTGGGGCCGCTGCGGAATCCAAAGAACAGCAAGAAGATCACGTGATTCCATTCTTGGAATTCAAAGAGAGCAACGGATGGAAACTTCCTCATGAACAATTGGATCACAAATTTACTCAAATTCCAGAGAAAAAAAAGGGAGTCAGAAAAGGGAGTCCTTGTTCACTGAGTACAAGATTTACTGCATTGCCTTCTTAGGCAAAAAGTAATAGAAACTCAGCCATATTTGGTTTAGCATCAACAAAGTGACCCCTTTGAAACAAAGATCCAAAGGGGTGTATCCGGATGCATGCTTTTGCTTTGAAGGCACTATTCATCCGGCGAACACATTGAGCAAGGAATTCACCCTTGAACATACATACATACATACATACAGACAGACTGTACCAGAAGGTATCTCCAGACTCAATCAGAGGAAAACATATGGGCCGTGTCATGAGATTGCCGAAGCATGAAGGGAGGAGGGAAAGTTTAGCAGACAACAGTCAAGTTTCTTCTTAGAACAAAGCTTAGAATTTCTGTGTTTTGGGCCATCAACTTGGCACAAAATTAGGTCAGAAACTTGCAATGAGAACACATTATGCCTTGAGATAACGTGGGAGAAGAGTAATTTTTTTATAAAAAATTTCGAATACTTGATCTGACGCTATAATCTACAGCCATCAAATCTTATCATCTTAAGGATGATTGGGTGACTGACTAGGAATAAGGACCCAGCGCAAGCCTTAAACTGAGGAAAAAGAATCGAGTCACAAATAAAATAGGGTCAGCATGTTTCTGATCATCTGTCTCATTCTTGAATCATACCGGTGATAGATTTTTCCAAAATCCATCTCGTGTCAATGGTGCAACTCATAGAAATAGATCTGATTTGTGGAGGGGGGGAAACTCAGGTGATGTTTATAAATTGAGAAGGGGCGATCACTCAGTACCTTCTATCAGGGCCGCCACCCGAGGCAACAGTGTCACTCACAGTAAGAATGGCAACTTTTGTGGATGTGTTAGCCTCTGCACCACGGGATCCAAGCTCCGCTTTTGTATGCTCACTATGCCTTTGGACAGTATGACTAAAAGCGGGTGGCAAAGAACCCGTGCCTTTTTCTACCTTCTCCTGAGGAAAACCAATAATATCTGAGATCAATATGGCAGAGACCAGAGTTCCAGGTGCAAGCACACCCCCTGTAGCAGGCAGCTCTAACAAGGAGTTGGCAGTTTTCATGCTCAGTAGGCGGCTGCTCGCTTGATTTCCTGTGCTTTCAGCGACAAAGCTGCAGTCAGGAAATTATTTCTTCCTTCAGAATTTTTCTGCCCAAGCCAACGGGGAAAAGAGAAATCCATGACATCAAGTACAGCGCTCACCCAGGACGACCGCATCCGTCATCAGCTACCCATCGAATTACAGCACGATGAAACTCTGGGCGACCTGGGTCTGCCCTTAGAGGATGGGATGTGCGAGCCTGAACTCTGTTGATGGGTATCTTCCATCAAGATTCAGCATAAAAGTAAGAGAAAACAGGATAAGAATGAAACCGGCATAGAACTATGAAAACATTTTCCTTCTCTTCCTACGATAAAAACATATTCCGCGTGATTAGATTATTCTGTGCTAAGTGCAAATGACAAATCAGTGGTTCTGAGTTCAAGATCTTCGTTTGATATTTCAAAAGAGAGTATCCTTGCTAGATCGTGCATGATGATGTTGCACCCATGCTTTGATATAATCTATTGTCGGGCAATGCATTTTGGCAATAAAGTCACGCTAGCCTCTCCCTACGTATTATTACATCACGTTATCATGCATTCAAGAGGGTGCTATACCTCTGGCCTAGTTTTGAATCCACCTCCATAATTCTCTCTCGAAAAACAAACTAGGGACCGACTAGAGCAGAACAAGGTTTTTTGGGTCCAGAGATTTTGGTTGGAACCAACCAAGCCAGACGGGAAGCAGTTGGGCATGGCGTCCTGCTAGATTATCTCAGAACTAGATGTTTTTTTAAACATACCAAAACATGGCGTTGCTGATTTTTTTGGGGTTCTTTTCTTGGATCACATATTGATTTAAAGAACATTTTTTGTAATGCTACACCTTTAGGGCTAGTTGAATTGTTATTCATTCATTCAGGGGATTAAGTATAGCTGTAAGAAATTCCCCAGGCTCATCACTTTTTTGCTGATTCTGGCGTTGTTTCCTCAATAAATACAATATCGTTGCAATTCTGTGAATGTCTTCAAATTGTCTATTTAAAAGGCTAATATATTTTTAATTAAAGGGGGCTTTGATGTAAATGTAAGATACACCTTCGACTGCTTTCATCTCTCTTGTTTTTTATTGAATACTGTTACTTGGAATACCATAATAACATTGAATCAGGGAAAATACGTTGTTTACTGGTGCCGAAATTTAGGGGATCAGCAGAAGAAGGCTTCTTTGACATTAGGGTCATCAAACATTCCTTTCAAAAGTAGTGATACAACAAAAGCCTACGATAGCACCACATCCAGACAGACGATGGACTCGTTCAAATTTGAATAATATGATCACCGGGTATGCAAATATTAACTTGGTATTCATATCTTTTTACGTGAAAGCAATGCCTACAGGGACAAAATTCTACGACCAGTAGCTACAAGTCAACACAAGGAACGATCCTAATATTATCTACCTTACAAGAAAACAGTAAAAGGCATAGAATAATACATAACAAGGAAGTTACCTCTGCATGTGAGGATTAGCCCAGCCAGAAAGATGACGAATTGCAGGGACAACAAAAAGATGGAAGCAAACTAAACAGCTCACTGGATTTCCGGGTAAACCAAATGCAAGAACCTTCTTAGAACTTTTACCCTCTCTTGTTTTAGCAGATATCTCAGCAAAAATTAGAGGCTTTCCAGGCTTCATACAAACCTGTTCCAGCACATATTTAGTGTATTAGGTTAGCAATCATCACACATTCAAACTAGGAGCAAACAAAAGAAAATCAAGTTTACGGCCTCCTAAGCTAATTGCCAATTTCGTGGAATAGATCGGGGAGTTTCCATTCAGAAAGGAATCCAATGATGATTACCAAAGAGGATACAACAACAAAAAAAAAATGTAAAAGAGAAAAGGTAACCGCAGAAAGGTTATCTTTGGAAATATCAAAACTCACTGATGTTAAAGCACATGAACCTAACCTCAGAAAGGCTACTTTTCATGCGAAAATTCTGTGTAACAAATAATTGGACGCCGAACTGGCTGATGAAAAGAATGATTACTGAAGGGAAATTCAAAAGGGTTATTTGCCAAAACCCAAAATTTCAAATCTCTCTTAAGTAAAGGTGGGATACTATGGCATGATGAATGGTAATCCCAAAAGGCATTCTTCCTACGAAACGACATGTAAGAAATAGATGCAACAGACCATTGGAAAATATGCACTTCGAGGACTTAGAACTAAGCAAAGGACTTACAATATCACAGAAAGATAGACCAATATCACAGAAACCTGTCACACAGATTGACAGAACATGTGTCACACAGCAGAATCACGGAACTGACAAGTTTTATCCTTTATGAAAACTCAGCCTCCGACAGCGACTCACTGCTATCTACTCTATGAAGTTCTCCGCTATGTACTCTGAGATAAGGTTCTGTACCTACAAAAGTTGGCATTGAATGGTTGATACATCCTGCTGATTTTCTCAGCCGTTCTAAGCTTGGCAAACCAATAAACATAATTCTCACGACTTAGAAGTCAAACAAGAAAAGGAACAGCCTGCCCTTTTATCTGTGTAACCGCTGCTTAAGAAGAAATCTCTGACAGCACAAGAAGTCGTCCAGGAAGAAATGGGAGATGGGTATAGTATAAATCAGAGCACACAGAAAAGGCAATTTATATGTACCTTGTTGAAGTGAACAGTCCCTTTCCTTTCAAGAATAGGCTTCACAAAGTCCCTGTCACCCATAGACACACCACCAGAGGTTAAAAGTATATCAATCCCAGATGAGATGGCACCATTCAGAACTTTATCAAGGTCCTGTTCACTGTCGGGAGCAATGCCCAAGTCAACTATTTTGCATTGTTGCTGTACTGAAGATGCTAGCAGCATAGCACGATTGGAGTCTCTGATCTACAAATGAATCAGTAAGCATCAAAACTTAACGATGTCAAATGCATTGCGCAATGTAAGACGAGGAAAATCAGACCCCAAAATCCTAATATCATTCACTTAATGCTACAAATGGAAGGGAATGATAGAGAACCTGGCCTCTACTTAGATTTTGAGTTGTTGGCTCTACTAGCTCATCACCAGTGGAAAGTACTGCAACAGTCGGAGTAGGGTAGACCTGCATCCACTTGATGTCGGTTAAAAAAGAATAAAAAAAAAGTGATAATAACACACCAAACAGCTTAATCCGCACCTTCACTGTCATGATTCCCACTGTGGCAAGTAACCCAATCTCAGAAGCTCCTATTCTCTCGCCCGACTTCATCACGATCGTATCCTTCTCAATGTCAAACCCCTGGCCAGTTAAACCAATAACACGTCAAGTGAGCAAATTTACCCTGCAGTCCAACTAGTTAATCTGGTTTCAAAACTCTCTATTTTAAACATACTTTCATAAAAGTATGATCATCTGGCTTGAATGCAATTAAAGTCTAAGTATGAATACATGCACAAATTTAATTCTTCTAAAGCATAATAAAACGTCATTGTTGAGAAATAATAGCGAGATACCAGAAGTTATAACTATGCTCCAATGGAATGATAGTTATTTCAGGAATGCGAATATTTGAGAGTTTCAAAGATATATGCGAGGACGAATTTGCGGATTTATGAACTCACACGAACAAACTGACATGTGTATGGGCCGATAGATAAAGTTTACAAGGCTATGCAGTTTTCATATCTTTTATTACCCAATCGTTTTCTGACGGCACTATTTAAGGAAAATACTGCCATTCAAACATGAAGGGTTTTTGGCATGCACATATGTTTTGACCATATGACGTGATATGAGGATTAAAATACCAGTGTATTGGAGCTCTACAAAGAGCATTAAAATATGATGATATGACAGCTTGGTGTGTACCAATTAAACTCCCATTTTATGGTGATCTACGGAAGAAGTAATAACTAAGGCAACATGTTCCTCTTGAAGAAGCATTTGAAAAACATTTCTGAAATATCACGATCATCGTAATAAGGTCTGGAACATAAAAGCTAAAAGTTTATCAAATTCTCCCAAATTTGTCAATATCTTGAAAAAAACTTTCTATTCCAGTGAATTTTATTCGCAAAAGAAGTTTCTTCTGTTACAAGTAAGATGTCGCATCCAACTTTTATTATCAACATTAAAAAGTTTCAATTCCTCAACGTTGGAAATTTGCACTGGGATGTTAATTGACCAGATCGAATTTGACAAACTGAACTAGGTTTCACAGTATTAGACATTAAAACTACAGCCAAATCCTGCATCTTTTAACGACACAGCCCACTTCAAAAGTAACCTTCCTGCCAAAAGTGTGACAGTAATCATAAACTCAAAAAAACTTAACTGGATGATAAAGCACCATTTTCATAAAAAGAGAATTATGAATTTGCATCTAAGTTTACCAAGTCAGTAAGTTAATCCATTGTGTAACAATACTTCTATCAATGAATTTTGACAATAGGATTGAGGCAAACTAGGGGAGAAACTACACCACCATACCACTGGACGGATATGAAAGCCTTCAGTGACCCTTTTCAACACTCTAATGCGCTTCAATCCATTTGGCGCAGTATCTACTTCCTCGGTGTCTTCAACTTGCACAACAGCATTGGCACCATCAGGTATTGGTCCTAAAAAGAGAGATGTAGTGATGAAACAAATAAATATATGAATAGATTAGAGAAAAACTAACCAGATCGTGTCAAATACAGAGACAGACACTGTACGACTTCTATGCAGAATGTGTTTACTGAAAATTTTGAAGATGAAGGAAACAATAATAGTTTTGCAAGCAGACAAGAATAAATTGGCAATGGCTTGATAGCGGATGATTATGAGAATATTCATGTAGCCGCCTGACAACAAGAATAGGGTAAATCTCAACAAATATGATGATTTGGTACAGTGGGAACCATCCCCCTGTAGAATTGATTATGAGTGAAGCTGCTGCAACTAAGTCCATTGTGCACCCGTTTGATGGTATCGCTTTTCAATATGATATATCATAGCTTCTAGGATGGGTAAGGCACAGAGGGTGCTGATCTACTGTCTTGCTGCATAGGAAACAAGGAATGATATTACAACATCTCCTCTCTCGATTTTAGTCTTCTAAGAATTAATTTATTTGAAGCCAACGGATTTGCAAATGAATTTTTTAGATCTTAGCGTTGTCTACTTCCCATTTAGGGTCCAAATTCCATGCTTTATCATATCTTGTCAGATAATCACAGTAATGCTTTATACACACACACACACACGTGAATCATTCATATCATTAAATAAAGTTAGTTTGAAATAAAATAGACATGAAATAAAGTTAGTTGAAATACTTGAGATCATAAATTTTCATCACATCATTACTTTAAGTAAACTTCATCACACATCATTATTTTCATCACTCTATTTGTTCTACACAGGACGCATTGATAACTCTCCCGCACTTAGATTTGGCTCATGAATAGAGTGGAAGGATGGAAGACAAAAAAATGAGTTTTATGAACCTATACCAACAAAAAGCTTCATATAAATATGCAGAACCAGATAGACCAAGATACTAAAATAGCTGAGAGAACAATTTACGTATAGATATAGTGAACGATTTAAACTCAGTAGATATGATTAAATCAGCACTCAGGTAACAAGGAGCTCGAACTTGATTTTAGCCGATCTATACCTGTACTTTTGATTTTCAACATCTTTTCTTGAATTATCAAGTTGCACTATACTAAATCAAATAACTTCGGTCAATTCAGCAGCAAGTTAACCTAATTTTTAGGCCACAACCTCCTTTGGCCGAATGGAGTGGTCGAATCAGCTGTTCCTTAAATGTAATTTACCATTATAACACGAACAGATTCACGTAGATAAAACCAAGTTAGAAAACCACAGTTCTAAAAAAAATTGCCAATATGGAGAAAAAGGTTGTTGGGACTCTTGTGCACGGAATTGCCATAATTAGCATTTTAAGGAGTTTCAATTAGGATTATTTTAACAAGGAGACAGATGGTTGCAAGAAAATTCACCTCCGGTTGTTACATATGCAACAGTTCCAGGAACAACAACAACACCAACTCCATCATCCCCTGCTCTTGATTCAGTAATAACGGGATACTCCCCCGGACCATCTGACGCCACAACAGCATAGCCATCCTGCGAGAAGAATTGCTTCAGTTCCCGTCCTCGAATTTATTTATTTTGGGAAGAATTGAAGTTCATTAACATAACTGACAACCATCTACTCTTTGATAAAGGACTCTGCAAATTTAAATCCAAACGGATCCCTAGAACTATTAAAATTCAAGAAAACAATGATATTCCAAGGTCATGCAATTATAAAGGACAGACTCATAGAAAATACACCACAAATTTTCAATTTTCATGATTCAAAACGTTTAGAAAAGTGTCAACAATCAAACAAAGCGTCCAGAAATGGAGGCCAGTTTACCAGTCATCATCTTCCAGATCCAGATGAATGCATAATAGAGAAACATGCTTCAAATTTTAGAACCTCCCAAATAAATAAAAAGAAGGAAAATACCAATATGCGTGCAATAGATAGGAATTACCCCGTATGTATGCATGAATTATTATCTGTCATTTACTAAATATTAATCACCATCAGAGCAGCACCCTTCCTTAAAACCATCACCTAGTGCATAATAAGATTCACAAAGTAGTACAAATCCCGTGCACATGCACATTTAACACCCTTTGGTGTCATCCACATATGTCATGCGAGGACTCGAATGAAGTAATGACAGGTGAGTCGACAAGTCAAATGTCAAGAAGAAGAAAGTTTCATGCCACACGTTCGGAATCACAGAAGATGATTCTTTCAGACATAAATTGCCAAAAAAAAATTATGAGTACTTTATTTGCGGCAGACCATTTCTTATTGTTTTTTAAATCGCAGCCACGTCCTTGTAATTTTAAACCTCAAAAATGGAGAAGAGCATCACTACACTTTCTAATGTTCTGATCACAGTCCGGGAGATCAGGGCTTCCATTGAGAGAACCTCTGAATCTCAACATCTGAAAATTCCACAATAAAACCGTCTACATCCAACCGAGGAAAATTCCTTCCACATGCAAGAGGAAGGGCGAAATTCAGACGTGAACTCGGTCCCTAAAGACACTAACCCCCTCGGTTCCCTCCTACATTCAGTAAGAGCTAGTTCCCAGCCAAATAAAAGTGTCTTCCTGGTTGATATGGACAGTGCTCCCCGTAAAAAATCTGGATCCCTCGCGGAGAACCTTCGAAATCCCCCTGCCGGACAGAGACCAAGGGAAAAAACCCCCGTTCAATACTTGTGACGTTTAAAATATTTCACGCGAACCACGCGCCTTATTCTGGAGAGCAGGAATACCAAAGGAAAGGATGGGCAGAGAGAAGAGGAAGAGGGAGGAAGAAGAAGAAGCTCCAGCCGTGCTCCGACTGGCGTACCTTGATGGAGGCCGGATATGGGGGCAGGGGGTCGCATGCGCGAACGTCCTCCGCCAGCACCCGTTCCAAAGCTCCTTCGATGGGTACAGAGATTGGCTCCAGGCGCTGCGCAGCGTTGAGGACAAAGCGCAGGGCTTCCTCTGAGGTGATCATCGCGACGACGAGGCGGCGGAGCTCTGCTCTGAGCTCACCTCAGCCGAAGTCAAGCTGGCCCGTTTGTACAAAGCAGGCCACGCGGTGCATCTTGGTTTGTTAAAAACCCTTAACATTAAATATTTGGCGCGCATTGTCCCTTTCCGTGAGAACCGGGGCTAAAAACGACACCGCGTCCGTAGAGGGAAACGACCTTCTCTTATATATTCCCAGTTAAATATTAATTGCCTTAAGATATTGTTTCTAAAGGTATTTACTTTACCGCGCCAAATGACGTCATTAATTGGGGAATAAATCCTTGTATACACTGGAGAGAGAGAGAGAGAGAGAGAGAGAGAGGAGATAGTAAATAAGTAGAGAGTACTTATGTCGTGTTCGTCTTTTAATATCCCTAGCATCAATATAACTTGGTGTCACGGTAATGATATATCAATATACTTGTTTTATATGATGTAATCTCATACTTCTTTAAAGTCTATGATATGCCATTAGATCTAAAGATAAAGTTGAACTAATTAACACTCTTACTATCATCTATAGATTATGCACAATCACTACTAATAAAATTATATAAATTGAGGAACTGACTTTTACAAAATTTCGTAGTCTTTTGTTATTTGAATGTAGTGAAAATCTATTTTTTTTCCTCGAATATTATAAATAGAAGAATAATGCGTACTAATAAGAAACTTAAATTTAGAACAACTTTGAGTAAAATACATGAAACCACCAACAAACTTCTATATAATTTTTCATATATTCTTGTAGGCCCATCATTCAAAGTAGTAAATGTCATATTGTTGCACATATCTTGTTACAAAAAACCTTGTCTTATATCTTTTTATACATGTTCTTATAGGTTAAATTTCACGTAATAAATCTTTTTTACACTAACCATCATTTCATTATTCAATAATATATATGCAGGGTTTTGGTTCACAACTAAGATCAAGAGCCAAGTGGGGGGGGGGGGGGTTGAATTGATCTAAATTTTCTCCTTTAGAAAATATCTTTTTAAAGATCGCTCTTTTCTTAAGATGATAGGAAATGAGTTTCCTATTTCACATAGACTATACTATTTTTTGTAATGATTCAACTTACTAATTGCATCTACTCTCAAAGAACAAACATGTTTTTGGGTTTCACTACTACTTGTTATCCGACCACAATCGTTGATTAATAGGCTCAGCTCTCTTGAAATTTTACCTAAAAATCCTCTTCTAAATTCAAGACTCTATGAGACCACACCATTATTTTACTAGAACAGCTCTTTAGAAATTTCTTCCTAAACCTTCTAGGAGGTAATATTATTGTTTCACTAAGACAATTATTGTTTATAATAAATGAGATTTTAATATAAAATTGATCTCACAATAAATAATAAAAGTTATTATCATGCGGTACTTTTGGAGATTGATTAAATTTATTCAAAGTCATAAAAAGGAGGATAATATTCTAGTTTTAAATATGTTTGTCATCTTGAAGTATGAGAGTTGGTTGTTAATAAAGTTTACTTTGAATGATTGTAAACCTAAAGAGCAGTTTGAGGGCTTGACAGTCAATGTCATATTTAAGGATTTCTTGAGCTTCAAAGTTGGAGGTCTAGTGAAGTGATAGACATATTCACTACTAAATTATCCATTCAAAAATCTTGATATTTATGGTGAATTATTTGAGAAAATATTATTGAATCTTTTAGATCTTAAACATTTATTTTTCTTAGAATAAACACAAATTCAAAATAGTTGAAAATCTAACATGACATGTCATTTAAGTATATTCAAATGTCATTGCATGAACCAACACTTGATGTCATTAAGTCATAACATTTTTATTCATTTTGTGTTAGTTTAAATTAGTTCAATAAAAATTTGGCAAAATAAATGTAGTACTTATCATGTGTATTTCATGAACATAATAATTTAATGACTAAATTTCTACAAGCCAGCTTATTATGTTGTTCACTCTCCAAGTGAAACTTTGAACAATGATTTCGATGTGTAATAATATTTTCAATAATTTGTAAGATATAAAATGATTGTCCAAAAGATACAATTTAATATCGTAAAAAATCATGTGAGAAAAAATAAGTTATTTGAATCTAATCAATTAGTTCGATATCAAGGTCATTTGAACATAATGATCTAATATCATGAGCACATAATAACCTAAGTAAATTTGCATATCTTTATCTTATTTTAAGGAGTCTTGTTGATTTGAATGTGTTAATCATTGCTTTCTCACCATGTGATATTATCTAAATATTGATACTTTTGATAATAATATGCATCATGATAAGTTTATACAATGAAATTAATGAACTATATTATTTTATATAATTGATTAAAAATATATTTGATGAAATCTCTTTTGATCAGTAACAATATTAAATCAACCTTAACATAGATTTTCTTGTATCTACTCTCATATCATATATGTTTGAACAATAGTGTAATTTGATCCTTTTAATGGACTTTGTATTTAGTTTGCCAGCATCAAAACATCCTTCTCACATTGCCTCAATGGTATATGCGGGTTCTAATGTGTCATTATTTCTCTTTAAAGTTATTTTGTTGGCTTCAAGAGCTTTGATTATCTTAAAAGTTCTTGATAATAATAAATAAATATAAAAATAAATAGATGAAATTTTTATTAATATTATTATAAATCTATCATGGATGAGTGATCTCTTTAAAATGTATTAAATATAAATTCATAATGAATACATAATAGTGGTGCCAAAGTGTTCATAAAATAATTCAATGCATGGATTTTATGCTCAAGTTTTGAATGTAATACAAACTATGAATTTGTTTCTCAAAATCCTTAATTTTTATTGTAGAAAGTGTCAATCATTACATAAAATACCATTAACAAAAAGTATTAATTTTGACATTGAATCTTACATGATTACTATAAAGCTTACTTAGTAGATTAGATGTTCAATTACATGATTACTTTATATCATTTTTAATGAAGAGTTGACTGATTGAGTCCACACTATTTAAATAATCTTTTACAACTTTTTAGAGTATCTTTAAATATTAATTTAAACATTATCTTAGAATATTATATATTGTCCAAATAATTATGTCACATATTGATTTTAAGATTAATATATCTACTTCCTACTCATATTTTTTGAGGTGATTTAGATTTAATTTTATTTTACAATATTAGTTTATTTTGAGATGTATTTATTGCTGAATTTTAATAGAAGTAATTTATTATTAAATACATTAAATGGGTAACTTTGGATATGTGTTACATACTAACATATACATTTCTTGGTTTAACTTTAAAAGATAGTTCAACTCTTAAGGATACATAGTATTATTTTCTGATATTTGAATTTAATTTTTAAAGTTTTGACATTTAATAATGGTGGAAAAGAGGGAAATGTTCTGACTCTTATTTACCTATAAATTTTAAAAATCCTAAATAATTAAATGAAAGTATTTCTTAAACTTCCTTGTAGATGTAAACCCATTTCACCAATTGACTAAAACAAAGTAAATCATGTGCCAAGTTAGGGAACAAATACACAATATAATGACTTGCTTATATCTGATTTTTTAAACAATTGTGGTTCTAATACCTTGAATATGATTATTACTTGCTCTATTTAGAAACCACACACCTTACTCATCTTTTAGTATAGTCATATATATAAGAAATAAATTATTTTTTTCATTTTTCTTTACAAGATTTGAAAGAATTTACTTCAATTTGTCCATTAATTATTAAAAAATCAACATTTCATCATCTTATAACTCGACTTTTACTTTTTATTATCAGCACCATCATGACTCTAATGTTCAAAATTAAATATGTCATAACTTCTTCAATGGTTATGACCATGATGACATCCTTCACCTCGACTTCTATCATCATGTAATTGATTAGAAGAAATTCAACTATTCTTCTCTTTTTTAAAAATTTTAATTTTAGTTTGCAATGACTACTTAGTAAAAAAATATTATGGACCCTTTTTTTCATGTGGTAATAAAGAATTTATTAATTTATTTTGATAGTAAGTAGATAAATTGTTCACCTTTTTAATAGTAATGACAATACAACCAAACTTAGAACAAAAACTTTTCAACACCTTATAAACTATTTTCTTTTTTGAGATAACTTTTCTAAATATTCTTACTTGATTAATAATGATAGAGACATAAGAAAATAAAATTTGAATAGATTCACTTGATTTTATGAAGAGTCTTAAATTATCTATAGAGACTTTGAAACTTTATTATGATGATTATGATAATCTTATCTTCTTTCAAATAATTTATGATTCTAAGGATTCCTTTTAAAATATTATATATGATACAACCTAAGACACAAGTTGAAGTAGCAACTTCAAATTTAGACCCACTTATTTAAATTTAGGTCATAAAGTGAAAAGTGCTAAAAAGGGAGTCTACATATGTCACAAGTGGGCTGGAGGTCTGAAAAGTAATATTTTATTTCTTACTTTATGTCCTTTCACTTTTAGAAGACACTTTATGTCTCTTCCCTTCTAGAAGTAACTTTAATGTGGTTTAGTCTATACTTAAGATCTATTCAAGATCTTTGATTGTTAGAGTCTATACTTAAGATTTATTCAAGATCTTTGATTATCAAAGCTTGTACCTAAGATTTATTTAATATATCTACTTGTTAGAGTATATTTTAGGTCATTTCAGAGTTATTCAAAGTATTTACAAAGGACATCTTTAAGATTTTAATATGTCAGAGTCTATTTTAGGTCATTTCAAAGTTAGCTAGACTATATCCCCATGAATTATCAAGATCCTCCTTTTGAGAGCACTCCACCTCTTTTTTAGGCCTATATAAAAGCTCCCATTATAAGATGAGGCCCTCATGTTTTAGATAAATCACTTTTCTCTATTGTGAGAATTTTTCCTCTTGTAGATTAAGGCACCCCCTTATGGATTTAAGGGTTGAAGATTCTCAATCTATAGATTTAGAGGTGCGCTTCTTCCTCAAGATTGGAGCTTTGTGGATTTAAGCCCAGATCTTGTTTATCTTTCATGTTACTATTGTGTCAATATGCTTCTAAGGACTTTTTTCAAAATAATTTTTCTTACAAAGTTCCTTTAAAACAACTTGTCTAAAGCTCTCTCATCTTGATAACTACTTTCAATTAGATTTCATACATCTCGTGAGATAAAAAATTTAGTTTGATACTTTGATATTTCTCCACACTAAAAAAATAACATAAATGATTGTGAAAGATTAAGAATGTTACCATTCGATATGCCTATAATCAGTAAAAATAGTTCTTCATGAAAATCTTCACATAAGTTTCTTCATGTAGATCTCTTAATTCAAAAACTTACCCAACAACAAAATGTTCAATACATGATCAACTTCGTTTTGATATTGCAATGAAGGAAAAAGTTGATTTGAAGAAAAAAATGAGATAGTAAATAAGAGGAGAGAAGTGATGAGTTTATGTAAAACTTTATACGAATTTTTTTTACACAAAGTTAAACACAATATAAAGAGTGAAAATATATAATTGACGATTGAAGTAACCTTCCCACTGCAACATATTGTAGTTCATGAGTGAGACTTAACTCATTAAGGTTTAGCATTAATCACTAATACTTTTATGTCATAGAGGGATGAACTCCTAATAAATCTTCATTATCATGAGTTACTAAGTAATAAATAATATAGTTTTAGCCTTAACTCATGATAAATAGATTTATTTATATTAAATTATGAAAAATAATTTTTAATTAATTAATATATATTTTTAATAAATTATATAAATTTTTATAATCTTATTTTTTAGATAAATGAAGAAAAAGAAAAAGATAAAAAAAGGGGGGACCCATTAGCCAGCCAAACCTACAAGCGGGACAGATGCACAATTAGGATGGAGCCGCAAGCAGGGGCTCAAGTGGCTATGGACTGATGGGAGCACGTGTACATCACTCCCCCTCCACGTCACTGATGGCCAATTAGTTGTGGGGTAAGGAGTGGTCATATACATATAATAAAATGATTTATTGATTCTCAAATCTTGCATTACCATATATGCATCTTAACATTCGACATATCATCAATGTGGGACTAAATGGGCAGTCACACTTTCCTTGGAATGATTTTATAATTTTAATACCTAGACTATCCCCTATGTATAACAATAATATACCATGATGATGTCACTATATAAATGTATTCTAATACTTATTCACTCTCTCTCATACAATAAGGTGATTAGCTTGAGTTTGAATTCTTCTAAAGGCAAAACTTATTTCTTTTTATTTGATTAAATCATAATTTTCTTACATATTATCGATGAAGAATTAAATGGCCAAATCACTTAGTTATCATGAAAATTTCATCAACGTGATTCACATAATATTCTTACTATAATTATTGAGCGATTTACAATAAAAGGATCATGAATCTATTGAGTAAATCATCTCCAATTGATCAATAAATAAATTATCATCAAGAAGAGGACAATTCTTTAGAAGATGAGTTGCCACCTCTTGATAGTATATCGAATGCGTTGAATAGTATCCCCTTGTCATGTAGACTTGAGGATGGAGCTCCATGACATACGTCTCGCCTACACCAACTCTTCTCTATTAGGTGATAGTTGTCATAGAGCCACAAAATCGTTATTTTTCTACTTCATCAAGTGACAGCTATTGATGACTCATTTCATTGATCTCTGAACTTTGCAAAAAGATTTAGAGATTACCTACATCATCTTTGTCAAAAGAGAACTTTTGAGGTCATGAACAATACACGACAATCTTCTAAATATTCATAATTTCGATGCATTATTGATGCATCACCATCATGTCGTCAAAACTTTATTTTTTTACTTTCAACTTAATTTTTACTTTATTTAGAGATGATTTATATGATTTAAAATTTTCAAATTACTTTTTATTTAATTACGATTCTTCTGACTTTTATAAATTTTATCTTGACCAATTAAATTGTTTGTAATTATTTATATAAGAATGATCAAACAAAACTTTATTTCTACTTGATTCACATTCGTCGGGTGCTGAGGTCATCTAAAATTTTGCACCCTTATTTCTTCTTTTTGTGAGTTTTAAATATATTTTATTTTCATTTGTTAATCTAAAATTTGTGAAAAATCATATTCTTTGAAAAAAATTCTTAAATACTACTTAATATTATATTACATCTTTATGATTGACCTAGAGAATTTTTTTTATTATTTTAAAACTTTTTTGAATTATAATTATTTAATTTATTCATAAATATTTTTAGATATCCAAGAATTAGTATTTTCTAGTTTTATAAATTTTAAATTTACATGATTTACTATATAATGGTTAAGTCAAATCAGCTGTACTATTGTTATTTTTATCTAGTTGTCAATATATATCCCATAATTATGTTCCACATGAAATTATTGTTCAAGAGAAGTAGAGGTGAATGTGCATATCTTGATGATCCAATTGCCTTCTTCAATTGAGAAACATAGAAGATTGAATAAGGTTTTAAATAATGGAGGGGGCAAGCTTTCTATTAAGTTGTTGTGTGAGGGATTGTTGCCTATAAGGCCTTGAGTTGTTCTAATACCTTATCCCTTTCTAGTGAAGCTTGTATGAAACATCAACAATAGTCTATTCAAATCCTTAATGGACTAGAGTGAGAGAATCTTGTTCATATATGATTTTGAAAGAAGTGGTTCTAATCAACAAATGATGGTTGATGGTGTACCAAAATGTGGCCTAGATAATTATTATTCTCTATCGCCAATGATCTTTTCTAGCAAAGCATTGAAGGTAGGCTTTGAGTCCACAATTCATGACCTTTGTTTGTTTCTCAATTTGGGGATAATATGCACTATTGTAGTCCAAAAACATGTCTTACAACTAAAATAGTTTTTCCCAAAAGTGACTCACAAATATTCGATCATGATTTGTGAGGATGGAGATTGAAAATTCATACAAGTGATGATATCTCTAAGGAAAATTTTCACAATATCTAGGGTTGTAAAATAATGTTTAAGCAGAAGAAATGATCATACTTGCTTAGATGGTCCACCACCACTAGAATTATTTTGGATTTTCTTTTATCTCTTCTAAGACTCACTACAATAGTGGTTCAATTTGGATTTTTCTTGAAATACGATCTAAATCCAGGAGTTATGGTTAAGTAACTTTTGTCAATTGGACATATGGATAAAACTCCTTGGGAGATCTTTTTCTATGACTAGGCCTTTGAGATAGTGCGTTGGTGGCTTAGTTTTCAACACCAGCTTTATATCAAACCTCAAAATCAGAATCGACGATGTTAGATAGTTATATCTGATATTCTGGCATCACTCTCTGATACAAGGATGATGGGACCACCTAGAGCTCGTAGAACAGTGAGCTCAAGGGTCAGAGAGGAGATAATACCATTGCCACTGAATGACCAAAAATAAGGATTTGAGAGAAAACAGGTGGCTGTTTCAAGAGAGCCCATCTCCAAAGTTCTTCGATGAGAACGCACAATAATTCCTTCCCCCAATACTTTACATCCCCGATTATTCTTCGTCAAGCAAAGGGTTCGAAGTGCCCCATCTCGTATCAACAGAGGTACTACTGACCGCTGGCTGTCGTCGCCCTAAAATGTCTCGTCATTGGCCAGCCGTTGGAAATAGTTCACGCTAAACATCTTGACGTTACTACGGTTGCTCAACTGTTTCTTCCATGTCTTACAGAGATGACTGGCAGATAGTGGAGTCGTCGTCGTCGTCGTCGTCGGCGCCGCGGTCCGGCAACTGAGCTTCCAAGAACATACTGTGTCTCGCCGCCCACGGTGAACACGGGAAAAAGTACTGATTCACAGAAGCCTTACAGTACATCTTTTTCTGATTTTAAAATTAAGATCCCTGCTGCCATTATATTGTTTCAAAAGAATGAGGCCGATTTACGTGTTCCTTGGATAAATTCCGTCAAGAAGCACTCTTGAGTCCCTTGAGTGATGAAATCCCATAAAAAAATAAAAGCATGGGCCTCCAAATGAACAAGAACCCACCAAGAAAGGAGGAGAAGAAGAGAAGCCGGGCTTCTTAAGATCCTTGCTGCTGCAGGATTCTTTTTCTTTTCTTACTCTTCTTCCGCCGGCGGTAGCGGCCTGAACAGTTGGAGATCGACGGTGACGAGGAGGGGCTCGGAGCCGGCGCTGGGGGAGGTCATGGCGCCGAAGGAGGCGGCGGAGAGAAAGGCGGCGATCTTCTCGCTGTAGAAGTTCAGCTGGGTGTCGTCCAGATCGGCGACGCGGGAGAGGACGGCGCGGGCCTCCCTCCTCGAGGTCTCCGGCCGCAGGAACGGCGGCCTGCCGCAGAGGTACGTCTCCGCCAGGAGCGGCGTCGCCGGCCACTGCGTGTGGGGCGCCGCCGCAGAGACGACCACCTCCTCCGCCCTGAAGAGGACGGTGGTGCCGCCGCAGCCCGGGGCCTCGCCGGCGCCACCGCTGACCTGCAAGGCCCCCAAGAACATGACTGTGTTTTTGCTCACGCACCGCGCCCTCATGCCGGGCCTCCCTCCGCTGTTTTCCGCCACGCACACGGAGAGAGAGAGAGAGAGAGGGAGAGAGAGAGAAGACCATCCGTGCGGGTGGTTTCCTCCGCCGCTAATGGCGTAGGAGATGGCTTTCTTCTCACTAGCCTTCTTATAGGACACCCTTTCCCTTCCCCCCTTCCGTCGATCTGTCTTCAGAGAAGGCTTCGAAGGGGCTTGGGGATGATGCTTCTCACTGGGCGTTGTTGATCAAGTTTGTTTGCGACTTTCTGCCTTTCTGTTCCTCCTCATTGCCCCCCTCTCCCCCAGCTTCGATGGAGGGCAGACGTCTGCTCACTCAACTCTCTCTCTCTCTCTCTCTCTCTCTCTCTCTCTCTCTCTCATTTCGATTCTTGGAGACGTTTATATGGTCAGGTGTTCTAGCGTCTGATCCCTCTGAATGCTTGGCTCAGCGATCAATCCGTCTCTTCGGGCACCATGGCTGCTGCTGCTCTGGTCATCGCCGTTCTCTGTAGCTTCAGTTTGGTGTCCTCAGCTCCAGAGAGCGCCCTGGTGACGCACCTACCAGGATTTAATGGGACTTTCCCCTCCAAGCACTATGCCGGGTAGGGCCTCCTCTCCAGCATCTCATCTGTCACTCCTGTTCTCTCTCCCTTTCCCCTGGTTCTGTTCTTCTCCTTGGATTTAACGGGGACAGGATTCGCCTGTAGATACGTGACGGTTGACGAGAAGAACGGGAGGAACCTCTTCTACTACTTCGTCTTCTCGGAGGGGAACCCTGAGGAGGACCCTGTCGTACTCTGGCTCAACGGTGGGCCGGGGTGCTCCAGCTTCGATGGATTCGTCTATGAACACGGTAGAAACCTTGTTTTGACACTATGGGATGCTCGAGCTCCTACAGTCTGACCCCTTTTATGCATCAAACATGAAGGAATCCCTCTGTTGATGCCTCCTCTTTTAGTTTTCTTTTCCTGACAGGAGAACCACTTCACGCTATGCTCGCATCTTGTTTCTTATGCTCTTCTTGCAACTGGAACCGAGAATCTGATTTGATTTTTCTCGTAGGATAGCATCTGAATCTTATTTCCTCTGACGTCCTGCAAATGCTTGTTCAGGCTGCTTGTATATAAAGTATTTTTCTTGGAAGTTCTCTTCTTTCAATTTGCATTTGATCCGTTGTGATCTTGTGCACTAATGCTTCAGGACCCTTCAATTTTGAAGCTGGGAACAGGCCGGGCAGCCTTCCACAGCTGCATCTTAATCCATACAGCTGGTCCAAGGTATTGCTTTTGAACATTGATAAATAAGCCTTCTGAGTCTGGCACTTTTATGCCAGAGGATTGATATTATCGGTGGACGCGATTGAAAGTTATGCAACAGTTAAGTGCTCGAGAACAACATCTTTTTTGTCCAGGTTTCTAGCATGATATACTTGGATTCCCCTGCTGGTGTTGGTTTATCATACTCACACAACCCGGATGATTACACTACTGGAGATCTGAAAACTGCGTCAGATACCCACACTTTTCTTTTAAAGGTATTTGGATAAGGGCAAAAGAAAAAAAATGTGGAAGAAAGAATTGGGAACATGTCCTTCGTAATCAGTTGTATTATATATATATTTCTGATTTTTTTCACTCGATAAACTGTACCTACTTAGATTTATCTTTTCTTCTTCGAGTAAAAGCTTGGGGAAATTTCTTTCGTTGGCAAAAAATGTCATGATCCATTCATTTCTAATTAAGTATTTTTCTAAAATGTTGTGCAAGCAGTGGTTTGAACTGTACCCAGAGTTCCTTGGAAATCCATTTTTCATCTCCGGTGAGTCATTTGCTGGAGTATATGTTCCAACTCTTGCGTCTGAGATTGCAAAAGGTACCAATTTACCTGCTTTGCTTTCTGGCTCTCCTTTTGATACATGGTACATAACTATAGCTCTCTATCAGGTATCCAAGCCGACCTAAAACCTGCTCTTAACTTTAAGGTCCTAACCGTCACCTCTCCTCTTATTCTTTCTTTATAAGGCGTTGACCTTTCCTAATGTGAAGTTGCTCGAAAATTTTTAGGGTTACATAGTAGGGAATGGTGTCACTGATACAGTATTTGATGGAGATGCTCTTGTACCATTTGCTCATGGAATGGGTCTCATATCAGACGATCTTTATCAGGTAATTTTGCATTCATCTTTTTTTTTTATTCCGTTGTTTTTTAACATTCTAGGTCATAAGATTGTCTCATGAACATGAACAGAAAGTTAATTCTGCCTGTCAAGGAAGCTACTGGAATCCAGTCAATGAAACTTGCATGACTCTGCTAGATAAAGTTGACAAGGTATACAAGCCGTTAATGTTCCTTTAGTGGGGAGTCCCATTTATCGAAGTCACCACTTCCCACTAACTACAGTTGTTGACTCCAGGAAGTTGAGGATCTTAACATATATGATATCCTGGAGCCCTGCTACCACAGACCAGAAATCAAGCAAGTTGTGCCGAATGCCAGGAGGCTGCCAGAAAGTTTCAAGAATTTGGGTCATACTCACAGGCCTCTTCCCGTGAGGAAGAGGATGTTTGGTCGATCTTGGCCTTTGAGAGCTCCAGTGAGAGATGGACGGGTTCCAACATGGCCAGAACTAGAACATACCGAAGTACCTTGCACAGTGAGTGCTGAAAATCGAGATATTATCTTCTATTTGCTTTATTTGTTTATTTATTTGTTTTTCTTTGTAATATCTCGAAATTTATTCTTTCTTCTACTAAAAGGTGTATGCGTCTTGAAATCTATAATCAGCAACGAAATCAACTCATATTTTGCTTCTGCTCTCCATTAAAAAACTGCTGCTATTTCAAGCTATCCGTTGACTGTTCAAAGCCTCCCACTGCGATATGAAATTATCATGCTGAGAGTTTTGAAGATGATTTATTTGACATCCATTTAACCAAGCTTTGTGGAGACACCCATTGTACAATCTTTGCTAAAGAGCATGCTTGTGGTATGCTCTGTGTATATTGAGAAATGCCTTTGAAATGGATAAACTGAATGGTGGAGACCGATAAATATTTACCATTGAGATGTTTAATTTCAAGTTTTAAATGACTTATACTAGGGTCAGAGGTGAATTCTTGTATTTCCTTTTATAAGCCATAAACCTAGCACAGACTTCCAACAGGGAAGAATTTATTAAACAAAAATTCCTCTTGTTTTTGTTGCATTCACTTTGTTTTTGTTTATAATGAGCAAAGTAATCATATGTTTACTACCCACATTCGGCATCAGACGATTTATGTTTAATGTGGACAGCTATTAAATGTTCTGTAACAGTAATGTTTAAATCTCATGTTCTTTCATAGAGTGATGAGGTTTCTTCTGCGTGGCTGAACAATGAGCTGGTGAGGAATGCAATTCATGCCCAGCCGGTACAAGGAGCTTGCTCTCTCTGTTATTTTTGGTTTGTTCTTCTTCAATGGCATGGAGATTTAATCTATTTTGGTACCACACCTTAGGAAAATGTCGTGGGTGCCTGGGAGTTGTGCAGTGGTAACATTAATTACTATCATGATGCTGGAAGCATGATCAAGTATCACAGGAACCTCACTCTTCAAGGTTATCGTGCACTTATATTCAGGTACTTCTTTGTCTAGTTATCTGCGTCCTTTACTTGGACTGGTAAATGTTGCTAAGGTTCTTTTCGGGAAATGAAAGTTTTGTCCTGTAAATTCTCCAAGATTTGTGGGAGAAAGTTGTAAAACTTGGGTCGGTGTCTTTGGGAACACTGGCCAAGCCAATTCGCATATCAATGATGATCAAATGTCGATGGTGGGAAACTCTAATTTGACCTAATTTGTCTCATATGAACAGTCAAATGACGATAGGGATCATTTTGACACGCTTCAGTTATTTAAAAATATGATAAACGGAACAATCTTCATGTCTAACCTTGGTGGCTTTATTTAATGGCTTCGAGCATTTCATGATTTTAACATTTTCCAACATATTTTTTTAATTTTCTGGCTCTGTCACCTGAGTGCAATGCCTGCCAAACGAATTTAATCATAAATCCAGGAGACGATCATATTTTTGGATCTCATATATTATTTATTTCCTCATGGTAGCTTTTGGAGTTCAGTTTGGGCGTTTACTCTATAGTTATGTACGTTTGATTCTTTGATTCCATTGCTTTATGTAATCCACATTTCTTTCTGAAGGGCTATCCCTAAGATTTTATTTTTCTCATGTGTGTATGTAGACAATGCTAATGTTTATTTTTCGTCATGGCTGAGCCGCCCTAAATGGTGTTGCAATAACTGGTCTTTTATTTGGTGTCAGTTCATTAGGGTCTTTCATAAATTTTGCATTGTGGTGCAAACATCAGGTGAAGCTAATTGTAAAGAATTTAATTCATATGGAATATTAGTGTAGATGATCTAGATTGGTACATCAGGTACTCTCACCTTGCTTGGCATCTGGGTTTCAGTTTCTATGCGCTGTCGTTCAACTTATCGAATGGACACCTAACCTTTGTCTCATTTGCTATCTTTTCTTGTGATGTAACAGTGGTGACCATGACATGTGTGTGCCATTTACTGGGACCCAAGCTTGGACTAGATCGATGGGCTACGAAGTTGCTGATGAGTGGAGGCCTTGGATCTTTGATGGACAAGTTGCTGGGTATTTATTATACATCACCTTTTTCTGGGAAAATAAACTTGGCTTGTATAGAATTTGAACAAAAAAATCATGGTGACGCTTTAATGAGAAACCAGATTTGGTGCCAACTTCCTCAAATCATTGCATGGCATAGCGGATTCAAAATTGTACTTTTTTCAATTTCTTTCTTCTCGAAATTGATGGTTATTTACTGGATTTCATTTTGAACTGCTGCAGATACACTCAAGGCTATGATCATAACCTCACGTTTCTCACTATTAAGGTACCCAAACTTTTGAATCACTTTTTAAAACATATTAAATCTTATTCTCAAACTTTTATTTTTAATTTACCGTTAGCAATCACCCTTACAGTTCAATTTACTCGAATGTTGTTGTCTAGTCTCAAAGCTAACCGTTTCTGTTTGAATATCTCGGAAGGCTACATTTCCTTGCATCAAATTTTTTTCTTTCTTCCCTGTCAAACCCCCACAGAAATCTCGGGTAGATCAGAGATTTCCTGTAAAATATGATATCATCTTTACGTGGTTGGCTGTTGATCAGAGATTGTAGAAAATCCCCAAGTAAGTGCATATAAGTTGGTTTGGGCTTCACTTTTTTGATGGTTGAACCCCCAGAACAGCATCCTGGGATCATGCTGGCATTGGAGTACAACCTTTTGAACGAATAAATGCCCTAACCGCTCATATTCCACACACCAAAACACTGTGGAAAAAGTTTTAACATGATTCAAGAGTCCAACATGCCATTGAAGTATATAGACCAGCCCAAAAAATATGTACCTTTTGTGAAGTTTTTAAGATATTCGCAGCAGAAAACATGCCAGTTCACAACACTGATGAGCAGTAATTAATATATCTTCAATTGCTTTGGCCCTCCGGAGAAACTCAGACTACCATGAGTAGAATTACCTTCGTGGGATTCATGTTAGATACTAAATATTCCCAATATTTTTCTGCCCTATTCGGGCCTGGGGTTGGATTGGACTCTGGGGAAATCAAATGATGATCATTCAAATATTTCATCTACCTGCACGTATCGCGTCTACATAATTGGACTGACTGATGATGGTGTTTCCAATCCTATCAACCGATCCAATCTACCATGACTCAGAGACTCCATCTCTGATTCAAAAAATGAAGTGGGTGCCCTCTATATGGGACAGCGGACTAACTAACACCTGAGCATACTAATCTGGATATAATTTCTATGGCTGATTGTGTTATTTTTCCTTTTCTTCTGGTACAGGGCGCCGGGCACACCGTCCCTGAGTACAAACCTCGAGAAGCCCTGGCCTTCTATTCTCGCTGGTTGAATGCGGTCCCCATCTGAAACCAACTTCATTTGGTTCAGAATTCAGTGTCCTGTCTACAAATTCCCCTTATTTATTTTCTCATCAGATTATGCTCGTGAGAAACAATACAGATTGAAGAGAAGAAATGTTTCTCATCTAAACTGGGAAAAAGATATATATATATATATATATATATATATATATGGACATGATATAATGTTTAAGACAAAATTCTACCAGCCAAAGTAAGGCATCAGACTATTCCAATGAATGAACTTAATATAAACATGCATCCTTATGGGCAAACATCTGAGATGTTCTTACTCAATCCGAGCAAAATTCTCTTGAGAAGTCAACAATCCAAGCTTATCATTTTTTCATAACCAAGGCTAATGATCGCATTTCACTCTCTCTACCTAATTGTTAATCCTTTGCCTTTGGCATTAGGGTTCTACCACAGCTGCCGAGATAGCAGCATAAAATATGTTCAGGAAAAAGATAGTTTCATTCTTAGTCATGTTGTACTTAAGCACAGACATTAATAGCTCCAACAAGACCCAATGAATCAATATCGGATCTCATAGAGACATATCTCTTGAAGTAAATCTAGAATATACTTTCGCTGTGATATAAAAATCCCTTGATGTGAATGACCAACTTTAATGCCTAGAAAAATACTTTAATTTATCCCAAGTTTTGACTTCAAATCTTTAAGATAAATTTGTGCTCAGTGCTTTGATTTATTTTGAATCATTACTTGTAATTATCATCCATGTATACAAGGAGTACAATAACTCTCCATGTCTTTGAGTGCTTGATAAACATTGTATGGTCTCCATTATTTTGTAAATATTCAATTTCCTTCATAGCTTGTGTGAATATGCCATTCTATACTCTAGGGGACTGTTCAAGTCCATATAATGTCTTTTTTAGCCAACATATTATTTGTGGTGTGTATGATTCTCTAAATCCGAGTAGAGGCTCCATATAAATCTTTTCTTCTGAGTCACCATGTAAAAATACATTCTTTACATCATATTAATGTAAAGGCTAATGAAGTGAGCTCTGAGTGAGATCAAAATTCTTATTGCCTTTAGCTTTGCCACTGAAGCAAATGTTTTTAAATAATCAACTCCATATGATTAGGTGAAACCATTAACGACTAATCTTGCTTTATAGTGTTCAGTTGATCCATTTGCTTTATAGCGACTATTTACATCCCACACTTTTCTTTCCTAGAAGAAGATTAACTAATTCTCATCTCAAGTAGCATAGCTTTTCTCCATCTCTTATCAGCCATAGCTTCTTCCACAATGTGAGGAATACAACGGTGAGAAATGAATATAATTGAGATAATTTGCCATCGAATACTCTGGAGGTATCCTACACTGCCTCACTCCCTTTCACAATGCAATAGGACCATCTTGAGCAGTTGTATAATGCTTTCATCTCCTTATTGATTGGTTGTATACTGTTTGATACATCAATATGATCTTCATTTTCATCAAAATTAACTCCTTCACTTGATATCATTAGAAAAATTAAATTTGGTTCAAAGGGTGTATCCCCTTGATATGATAATTTCGAGCTATATAGAGAAGATTTCTTGAAAAAACTATATCCTTCATCAAAAGTAACATCAGTTGAAACAAAGAATTTCCTTTATATTGGATCATAATATTTCCTAGGATCCAATTTATTTGTTGGAGTAAATTAGACATATGATGTATTTACAAACACTTGTGGAATTAAACCAATTTTCAATCTCACATTTGAATATTTAGAGGAGAGAACATCAATTAGACTTTGACATTTTAACACCTCTGATGGAAGTCAATTTATTAGATGAATAATAGTTAATGCTGCTTCTCCTCATAAGTATTTAGGCACCTCTTGATGAAAGAGTAATGCTCGAGTAGTAGTTGGCACATGTCTTCTTTTCTGCCACATCATTTTGTTGTGGTGTGTTAACACATGAAGACTCATGAATGACTCAATTTGCATTGAAAATAGTTGACAATGTATGATTGAAATAATCCTTATTATTGTTGGAGTAGAAGCATTTGATAAGGGGATCAAATTGACTTTTGACCATAAGAAAATAATCCTAAATCATGTTTAAAATATCTGATTTTTGTTTCAAAATTTATATCCATGTGGTGTGAGTACAATCATCAACCAAAATAAGGAACCAACTTGCACCATTCATAGTTGATAGTTGACACGAACCTCACACATCACTATAGATGAATCAAATGGAACTTGATTGCAAGAAAATGACATAAAAAGAGGATTTCTTATGCTTAGCAAGTTGACATGCATCACAAACAATTGTATTACAATTAAATCCTTTGAAATACAAAGGAAACATATGATGTAACAATTTAAATGAGGAACGCCCCAATTGATAGTGTAAAAGAATGATTCTATATTTCTTTGTTCTCTCGAGCCTCCTTCAACATCAATCATGTGGATAACAATGATGTTTTTTGTTCTCCAAGGTAGAGTAATCCATCTCTCCTTAATAGGTTCAATCTTTCGGCTCGAAACGTTATCAAAAAATAAAACATCTATTACAGTCTCACACAATTTTGTAGCAAGTATTCCAAACTAATTTCTATGGGAATAATAATTGGCACCTATTATGACTTGATGAGTGGAGCTGAGTGTTACTTTTAATTTCTCTAGCTCCTCACAAATTCTTACAAGTTCATCACGAGTATTTACATTCATTAGTTAATTTACACGTTCCCTTTTGAGTTTAAGTTTATTGCTATATATACTTGTCTTAGACGAGGTTATTTTTCATGTACTTGTAAAAATTCTCTTTAATATGACCTTTCTTCTTACAGTCGGTTGCAGAATAATGATCCCCGTGAATCAATTTTCTGAGAAAATTGCTGATAAATTAGATTACTGTCTTGCTGTTCCCCACAGTTCTGCTCCATTGCAGTAATATTCGAACCATTTTTATACTTAGATATAAATGCAATATTAGTGTCCTTAGACTCATTTAGAATGAGGCTAATACAACTTTCTTCTTCTACTATAATTTGAATTGTCTCATCTAAATTTAGAACTCTCTCTCAATGTAAGAGTTGACCTCAAGATTTTCATACACTGAATTTAATCTCATAAGAAATTTATATAATCGGTCCTTATGTATGTACATTTGTTCTTTATAATTCACGTCCGTACACTAGGACATACCTCTCCCCTTGAATCAGGTACATTAACTTCCTTGCAAAGCTGTAGATTCTCCAATCATTATACCTTTTTTAGTAACTCCGATATATATAGTCCTATAAATACCCTGACTGTTCTCATAAATAAAAAAGTGAATCAGATGCTTCCCAAATTCAGTGTCGTGAATCAGGTGCTTCTACAGGAGGTTCCCTAAGATGATTCTGTAAATCTCAACCTAGGAGAATTATTTCAATGAATTGTCCCTTTTGATATAGTTTCTTACCATCAAATCTCATTTTTTTTCTGATATACCAAGAAGAACTTGATAAAGTTTCTCCCCCTCACTCCCTCCGCTAGAAGCCATATGAAATTTCTTTTTCAAGAAAAAATAAACTACTTCAAGTCAAGGGGAACAAATGCCAACTACTGTAAGAATATGAATTATAACAATCAAAAGAGATTCTAGGTCACTGTTGAAGTCATGAAATTTTCTTCCACTCATCTTTAAATCTTGAGAGGAGAAATAGGACATAACCTGCTCTGATACCGTGTCAATCCCCTTTGCCTCCGGTGTTAGGGTTCCACCACAGTTGTCGAGAGAGCAACAGAAAATATGCATAGGAAACAGACAGTTTCATTCCTAGTCGTGTTTCACTTAGGTACATGTATTAATGGTTCCAACAAGACCCAATGAATCTATATCGGATCTCATAGGGACATAACAGAAATAAAGGAAAGTAAGAAACTCAAAAACAAAAGAGGAAGAAATCTAGTAAATGTTGACACTAACTATGCAGATACCCCGCAATAATTTGAGACTAGTCTGATTAGCAGTCACCAAGTCTGGCACATGACCTGTGCCTATTTTTGGGTACACAAGCTCCATATATTGCCTTTGTCATGCCGCCCGCTCTTCCAAGATCTCTGACCGAAGTTGCATCAGCAGCCGACCCAAATAGTTCAAGCCTTCTCCATCACGTCCTCCACCCCAAAAGAGATCGTGTGGCGAGGCTTCAACAAGAACAGAACCCGCAGTTGAAAGTAACAAGGAGTTCAAGTGGGTATACATGGAAAACTTGCGCTTGAGGGCCCTGTACATCACGTCAATCTTCAGAGAGTCCCACTTGGGGTGGACCTGGAAGGAAATGCAAGAATATAATTGAGGATCTAAATGTTTTTGTATCTGGATTTTGGAAGAGAATAAATCTAACTACACAACGGATATGCCAACTAGTACACACCGGCTTGGTTGCCATGTTTGCCAATAGTAACAGACCATGACCAAAAGACAACCCCAACCAAGGTTGGTAATTTGTGAATGTAGATATTTCAGTAGGTCAAGTTTATAAGAAAGAACATGACAATGGAACACTGCCGGCTGACTTCTCGTGAATTTCAACAAAATGTGAATTTGGAGTAAGATACGAGCCCAAGTCACAATGGAAGAATAAATAAATAAATCAATTATCAGTAAGATATTCAAAATCCTATAGCCCAAGTCACAATTTATTATTCAGAGTAATAGGAGATTGTCAAATCTCATACCATGCCATATTAAAATAAAAACGACAATTCTAGAGAGAACAAGCAACGACGAAGGGATTAATTCTACCGTTTTGCTAGCTTTGAACTGTCGTATTCTACACAATGCAGGTGTAGTAGAGCATCACTCTGGCATAGACGTTTCTTGACAGCTGACTACACATGCATATTTCCTTTTTATTTTATTTGATAGTTAATAAGTGGTACTAGGAAACCTTCACACACCCTTATATCTTGTCGAACTTGGCATAGAATCAGACAAATCAATCACCTTCAAACAGACCAATGAAAGAACAGCACCCTTTTCTATTAATATTGCTGGTTGATGAATTCAGCAAGAAATTATCTAGAATCGTATTGAGGGTGTGATGAATGAATGACGCATGAACATCAATGATAGACTGATAAAAAAGGTAATACTTCATAAGTCTACACCATACCTTGGACATTATGTCAATACATAAAGGGTTTGGTACGGTAACATACGAGCTAATAGCGTTAGGGTTTGGTATTAAGACTAGAAGAGCAAAAACGCAAACTTAAAGCATGGTACCTTTGCCCAATGAAATTGGAAATTTGTCAGCCATTTGTAACCATAAACAACACAAAGGTTATCATGCCAGGCTGTAACTCATCTTCAGTCTTCAATCCAATTACCAAATATGCCCGTAAACATGTAAATTTGAAACAATTTTCACAACGCTTAACTAAATTGCAAAAAGGGCAGTTTTCGTGCATGGATCATATACCAGATTAGGATATTTCCTCTGTACAGATCTTCCAATTCTCGCTGCTTCCTCGGGGCTATTTGCAACCTTTATTTGCTCAACAAAGCCAACCGCCAGTGGATCATCAACCCCAGTAAACTTCTGTGCCTGTGACGATGTGTCATAGAAGAATATTCCTAGAGTTATCACCAGTGTTCAAAAATGTTCGGCAGTCAAAGACATGTTGAAACTTCTGGCAACAATTATATCGAAAGATAGTTATGGCAATGACCTGATAATAGTGCTCCACAGATGGCCATGTTAAAGAGTCACCGTGCTCATCTGGGATTTGCACAGGATGAGGAGAGAAGTTTGAGAATGCTCCATAAGGATCCCATGTCTTGTAAAAGAATATAATGTTTGTGTCATGAAGTGCAACAGCTGGATCAAGTGCCAAAACTTTGTCTGCTGATGGGACTACAGGTGAAAGGTCTGGAATAGGCAGGAGGAAACCACTAATAAGCATGTCGGTCCCAATCTGTCACTCAAAAGTCAATAAGTCACATCACGGTAGCCCATGAAATGTCATACATTTTGAAAGCTGACAATTTATATTTTGTTCCAACTACAAGTGAGTCCTATAATCTATCTCTCAGATCGAGCTAAGAATGCACAGCAGTTGCATTCTAGGTAAGTGTAACAACCGAAGAGAGATGATCCCACATCCTGGGATTAAAAGTATCAGGTAAGAAATGTTGTATCGAATCATATTTACAACAATATTAACAAAAATATGCACCTGCCTGTTCATATGAGACATCAAGCAAATTGAAGGCTTGTGACATTTCAACCATTCCCAATTCACCAACTGGAGATGGAGCATTCACTCCCCCGATTATTTTTGGAGCAACAAATGCAAAGACCTGCAACAGCAAACAACAAAATAGCCCCAAGTTAACCGGAGAAGAAAAATGAATCATGTGCTACTGACAACATGTTACAATCATCTAGGAATGATTGGCTCCTTTATGGAACTTTTGGGAAGAAGAAATTTATGGGGACGCTAATATAAAATAAGGATTTTCTGGATGTATTGCATCATTTAAACCTTTCAATGTTCATAGCTCTATATTCAATAGCTGAAATTGGAATTACACAATATTATCTACCACAACTAATGGCGAGCTGAATTGGTGCGGGATAAAGAGGAAAAAAAAGCTGAAGTATCTGAACAGAAAGGCTGGCAAGCCGAAGAGCCAAAAAATCACGAAGAGGAATTAGGCCTCCCTTAAAATAAGGTAAGAAAACCTGGCCAATAAGGAAACCAGATGATTACTTGATCATTCTCTAAGAAAGTATCAAGCTAGTCAAGGAGAGCCAATCAACTAAAAGAGAAACGTCTAAAGAAAATAAAAATTAGCCCTTTAAAGATTCTTCTAATAAAAAGTAAACCCTCAAGGCTTCCAATAAAAAGAAGTAAAATTAAATCCTCGAGGGTATGCTCAAAGTCCTTGAACTGTGTTGAACATTTTGCTAACATATCCCATTCCCAGCGAGAAAGAATACAGTCATGTGAAGAAAACTAAATAAAGTGCCGGTCACCCCCAACTCAAGGGCTGCATCAGATGGAGGAACAAGAGTAATTTCTAAGCGAAAGTACACTCCAACAATGCAACGTCACCATGGACTGACCAGATTGTCCAATGTGGATTCACATTTAAGCTTAGACTGAAAAAACCAATTCAGCTCCGGGCGAGTAAACTCCACCAAGAAGGCATGCAAAATAGATAGCACTACTTGCAGATCAAGAAAAGAGGAAAATATTAGCTTTTCAGAACTAAAATTGAGAACACATAACTGAAATTGGCTAAGGACACTCCGCTACTTTGCATCATGAGTTTACAAGTGATTAAAATTACACAATACTTTACAAAGTTTGTCTTGCAGGACAGAACCAAGACCAGGGTAGCTGACTGTAAACCATACCTTGTGGATGATGCCAGAAGAAATCGCTGGCGCAGCTAGGTTGCCCCCACATTCCCATAGTACCGAGAGATATCCACGATCATAACAGTATTCCATAAGTTCTCTGGGGTTTAAGATATCAAACTCCACCACTTCAACGCCTTTGGAAGCAAGAACCTGCTGGAATTTCTTTCGAGCACCCCTTTGAGTTGCAACGATTGTGTATGCATCAGAGATATTCCAGAGGTTTGCATCCTCAGGGAGATCAAGGGTTTGTGACATTACAATGCGCACAGGAACATGTCCATTTCTAAGTCTATTGGTCAACCGTGGATCTGCAGACAAGTGAATCCAACATGTCATGGAAAACTGACAGATGGATTATCGTACTTAACTAGAAGGAGATTAGGTCAAATAATAATGTGTACCATCACGACGTACAGTATTTCCTCCGACAATTACAGCATCACTCCTTGCCCTTAATTCAAACACTCGGTTCCGGGATTTCTTGCTGCTTACCCAAGATGCATGCCCACTGCTAGCAGCAATTTTTCCTGTAACTCCAAAAGGTGAAAGTGTATCGTGAAGCCCACTATCCTTTTAGGAAAGAAAATTGAATAGTTCGAAGAGGTGACACAGAAAACGACTAAGAATAAACCTCACCATCCAATGTCATAGCATATTTAAGAATGGAGAAAGGCAGACGATAGGCAGCTCTGTAAAGCAATGGAGCATTGACAACAAGGCAGGATTTCAGAGCCTCCTATAACATTAAACCAAGAATATTAGATGAAAACCAAATGACATGTTGATGCTACTGCACAGATGAAATGCGTCACCAAAAGCAAATGCACTCTGTGACAAAAAACAAAATTATAACTAGGACCTCCAGAAGGACAGAAAGTTATCGCAAATCAACAATCATTATAAAAGATCATAAACTACCTAAATTTCAGGAGTATAGAACGAAAAATTCCTGATAAATCAAAAAATAGTTATTTGCTTTATTTTCGTACCTCAAAAATATTGTTCTGCAAATCCTCTCCAAGGATATCAACCTGCAGACCGTCTGTTCTTAGAATGTGAATTGCCTTTCCTCTTAGATGTGGTAGTGGATGCCTAAGTCCCACGACAACTCTTGAGATCCCTGCCTGATCAAGCAAGCAGCGGTATCTTAGAAACATAAAACAATATGCAGAGACAATAAACAGACTCCTTCAAGAAATATCGAGAGTTCACATTTCAGAAAAATTATACGCTTTCCTCATCCCCACCAAAATATAAATTCATCATACCAGTCACATATATGGAGATAAAAAGGAACTTAGAATTTGGCAGTTAAAACGATCATTTTCAGTATCAACGAGGGTTGGCTACATTAATGAAGCGATCTATATAACGATGTGAATAGTCCAAGGACAGAAGAAAATATAAAATGCAACAAATGGCATCAAAAGGAAGTACCGAGACCAGAATAACCAACAGTCGCATCAAAGGAAGCAATTATAGCAATTCCAACATCAACATCACACTTTTGTTGATACACGACGTCTGTGGGCTGGAACCCATCTTTTTATTACATTCGGTTCAATTTTTAAGGACTATCAAAATACAAATAGATGCCCCCATAAGTACAAGGAAAAACATTGCAGAAGTAAATGAAATAATTGCATACATTAGCTCGAAAAGGTTAGATCATAGAAAAGATCAAGGATGTAAAAATAGAAGAGAAAATGGCCGCAGAATACATTGTCTTCTTAGCCAAGGGTGGATCTTAGCTTCTGTGCACTCTTGCACTGTGGTCACAACAACAAAACTGACACTTTTTCATGGTCACATAGAAAATTTGGCTGGTCTTCCTGCAAAGAACGTATTCAGCCCAGAAAAAGTCATCACCTATGCATGTGATCATCCCTCGGCTAGGAAAGGCCACAACAAATCTAAACGCTTTCTGATAATTGGAAGTTTGGCAACTAGGCATAACCAGCACTGAAAAGTGAAGTTTATAAATATAAAATAAAATACCCCAATAACACTCAGAGCCAGAGATACAAGCTTGAACTACGTGCAGAATAACGTGGGCATTCCCACGGGCGTATTCAAAATTGCGAAATGGAGCTAGAATTCCAACCGCCGAAAGTCCACGCGCAGCCCACATACGAAGAAGAATAATACATGGTGGTATTAAAACCAAACTTTCATACTTTCAAGAGGGCCGAGACGGGGGTGTGATCAGCATAGCAGTCTCCGGGTTCCAAGTTAAGGTATGCCGTGGCGCCACGGCACCGCTCGCCCGCCGCCTCCACCGCCTGCAACTCGGCGCACTTTGTGCCCTGGGCGTAGAGGAAGCCCTCTCCTGCGACGTCCCGGCCATTGGCAATGACGCAACCGAAATTGGGGTGCGGAGAAGTCAGACCCGCCGACAGCTCCGCTATCTCGGCAGCGCGGCGGATGTGGACGGCATCCAAGGTCTGGCTTGCAGCGATGGTGGAGGGGTCGCCGGCGGCGCTCCGGCGAAGGCACGACACCGGCCGGAGCCCTCCGCCGGAGTGGCACCTCGGTGAGAACAACAGCGCCATCCGCCGCGAAGGGTTGGGGAGGGGAGAGCGAGAGAGAGGGAGAGAGCTGATACATGTAGCGCGGTGGCACTGTTCTGGGCCCCCAAAGTCCACCTGGCACCCAACGTGGATGAAGATATTCCTATCTATATTCAGATAATATATTTAATTATTTCTCCTCTCCGTTGGGAACAGCCAGCATATCAGCTGTAGGGGCATGTAAGCAATTACTGGCGGAGTGGAAGATGTACGACAAGAGTTTACTTGGAATACTTGGAATAAATAATCAGCGATTGGTGGTAGATGTGCATTAACTGAAGTTAGAATACTTGGAATAAATAATCACTATTTTATGCGTATTCGGGTATTTTTGGGGTCAAAATAAGTCAATAAATATCATCTTCAAAGTAATGAAAAGCCCACAAAAATATAGATGAATTATCAAACATCTTCCCGACCGTAATGAAGCCCAATCCCTTGTCTAAATAACTGGCCCAGGCCCTGCCAACCCATTTGAATCTGGTCCTCTACCCTGACAAGAGAGGGAGGGAGAGAGAGACAGGGAGAGCGAGAGATAGACTGGGGATCCGAATATCCGAGACAATCCGATTCCACAGACTGCAGATGGTCCGATGCCGGGCCTATCCGTCGGACCGGGGTGCTGGTTCAATGAAGACGGCCCCGGCCCGCCCTCCCGGACCCATCGCCTGTCGAACCGCACTCGACTTCCCCGGCGGAGTCCACGTCATCGACGCTCTACCGCGCCAGCATCAATGCTTTTCTTTCTCTCTCTCTCCCTCTCTATCCTCTCTCTCTTTTTCTGTCCATATCCTCGTTTACTCTCCTTGCGCCACTTCATAAGTTCACTCGGGAGACGTAGGTATAGATAGATACACCCGCGGGCACGGAGAAGTGCTTCTTTGTTCTCGTGCTCGCATCGGCCGCCTCCTTCGTCCGCCCAGCTACTCGCCCCGGCCCGATCCCTCCGGTCGTGGTTTATGAGGTAAAAATCTTGGGAGGCGCCCTCCTCGCCCTAATGGCCCTCTTCTCGTTTCATCGCTTTTGAATGAACTTTTTCGGATGTTTCTGGTTCGATCTCGGTTCGACTATAGTTTTTTGACGATCTTTGGAAGCTTGGTTCTTTGCGTTTTTTTCGTTTTTTGGGATCTTTAGATGTAGGGATTTTTGTTCTCTCCTTTTGACGAAAATGGTCTTTATCGGTGCTCCCTACCTCATGCGGAGACCTTGATGTCGGATCCCTCGAGATAAACGTCGGATCCCAATGGTGCATCCTGGCTTTTCGACTTCTGGTTCTCGGACAAAGAAATTGGACGCGTAATCAGAAAGAATCCTCTGATCTCTTTATTTGTGAACTCTGATCTGCATGTACCTATATATATGTAGGTATGTCTGGATTTCATGTTTTTAATGGTGGCTACGTCCGCGGCGACTCAATATTTTTATCCGTGTATTTTGGATAAACGTGGCCGGCACATATGAATGTCTCATTATATACTTGCATCTTTGTTCAAACTTTCTCTCAGTTTCTGATTTAAGTTGGTTTCTTACCTTCTTTCAGCTCGAAGGAGAAACCCACTCTAGGGTATGTTTCTTCAATCTCTTGTTCTATTAAATTTCCAACAGGAGGTTGCTGTGTTTTCTTTGACAGTGATTTGGTGCAATAAAATGAATGGTATTACATGCTTGTCACCATACTTCTTTCTGTCTCCTCAGATGTTATCTATAACTGCATTACTGATAAAACTTTCAGTCGTGTGAGTTGTTATTTTTTTTAGTCGGTACTTCACACCGTACTCTTATTATTTATACTGGCCTATGTATCTCTTGGCGTCTTATCCTTCAAAATTTGTGCCTTGGGATAATGTTTGTGTTTTGCCTTTGGTTTGAGATACTCATCTTATGCGTATCTGATTGGTGCCCACTTTTTTTCAGCGATTACATGACGTGATGCTGTGATGTGAGATGCCATATGTAAATAGTTTCATTTTGCCAACAATACTTCTAATTGACTGCTATTGAGTGGATTTATGAATTTACCTTTCTCATTATTTTACGTTCTTATTTGAATATATGCAATCGGTACATCTCTGTATTCTGATAAGGCTCCACGCACATATGCTAGAAGGAAGAAGGCCCAAAGCCCAATAAATCAATAACGGTTAGCATGATTGAGGGAAGGCACAGTCATTCACATCAGCTCATTCCCATAGGCTTTTGACTTTTAGAGGGCAATTCTCTCGCATGGTATTATAGCCTGGATTTGTTTATGTTTTTCCAATAGTAACCTTAGGGAAATAAAAACAGGAGACTCTTAGCGGAGCAGTTCCAAGCAGAGAGATAAGCTTGCCAAAAGGCTCTGGAAAGGTGTTGCCTCTTATGACGTGCTGAATTTCTGAAACATATATTTCAGGTGGATTACTCTAAGGGATGATAGAATAGTCGTGTGTCCAGTGAATGAGAGAAACAAAACACGTGGTTAAGGTATATGTGCATATTTTCCTATCTGCTTGTTAGTTTGGAGTTGGATAGAGTGGTTCTTTTGCATATGTTTCATTGGAGTGACGCAGTTGAACTACACTCTGACAGTATAAATAATGCTCTTGTAGTAAGTTGCAAATAATGATTCGTGGTTATCTAAAATAGCTTCTATGCGGTTATTGTTATCATCAGTTTATTACATGATCTTTTCTTCTCTTGGTTTAGTGGCACGCGGATTAAGACCCGCAAACGGAACATAGCAGCTCCCTTGGACCCTGCATCTTTTGCAGATGCAGTGGTCCAGATATATGTGGATAATGCTGGTGATCTGGTATGAATCGATCCTTTTTATGACTTATGTCCTTATCTATCATTCTACTTTTATATAATGACGGGATCGGTTGATCCTCAAATACCTATCTAACGAAAAATAACATAGCAATTTCTGATTAGATTGTGTCTGGTGACTGTTATGGAATTAAATAGAGTTGTGAGGATATTTTTTTGGGTTTCGCATCATATTTTTTATTCAATATGATTTTTCTAAGTTCTTGATCTGTTCTCTAGCTTAAATCTTGTGGTGCGACTGTTGATTTATTACATATAAATCAATTAAAATTTATTGCAATACTTACTGAGGCTTTGCTTACAGGAACTGGTTGCCAAGAGCATTGAATCTTCGGACCTTAACTTCTCACGTTATGGGGATACCTTTTTTGAGGTAGTTCTCGAGTTTGCCTTTAATGACTGATTCTTGCTGTTATACCTTGACTTTTTCACCCTGTGATGAGATATTTTTTGAGGTAGCTCTTGTGTTCGACTTTTAATGACCGACTCTTCCTCTTAAGGCTTAGCTTCTCACTGTGTGTAATGATCCCTGTTTTGTGTTGTTCTTTAGTTTTGACATATAGTGACGGTTGTCCGTTTCTTTTTGTGATTCTTTTTTTCTGTTTTAAACAATCGCTGACCTCCATTCAGTACTCTATTTTTATGAGTAATTTTCTCCCTGATTTCCATGTTTCTAATCATTATTCTGTAAACTTGTGTTATTTCTTTCGAGTGAAAGGGATATTACTTTGGTTTCCGTGGAAAAAGAAAAGAAAATGACTTAGGATTTCCTGAAAAAAAAACAAGATTAATGGTTGTGCGAAAGCCTACCATGCAGTCGAATAAATCATGACGATTCCGTTTATATAGCTGCTTGATCTTTCAATGCCTCTGCATATATGGATTCATCTAGCAGAAGATCTACCAATTAGGATGGCTGTTGAAAGGGTAAAAACCCTAGATGAAAGTCAAACTAACCCTAGCAGTGGGTTCGGTTGAATTGGTTTTAGGATATTGGCTACCTGATAGTTTGAAAGTATATGGGAAAAGAATCGTCCATATATTTTGCTATTCAACATTTTCCTACAGCGTGTTTTTTATGCCACTTTATATCATTTTCAGGTAGACTAGGTCTATTCACGTGTGATGGTTGTATGGTCTCACATTTATATCTAGCATGCATACCCTCTCCACACGTCACCTTGATGCATAAAATCATGCGTATGCCTTTAAATCTGAATTCCTATACTATTGTGGAAAACCTTTAACAAGCGGAAAATTTCACAATGAATCCACATGTACTCTGTCACGAACAAACGTTTGGTATGAGTGATGGATGCCCTGCTGCTGTTTTCTCCTTTTTTCTTCTCCAGTTACCAGCTGCTTAGCCTGTTGTCTCCTTTTTATTCTCTTCTTGTTTCTTCTCTTTTTCAATTTTCCTACGTCCGTGTAGAAGTGTTTCAGATTGTTTGGATCTAGTTTTCTAGTCCTCAATGCCAGATCCAACACAATTCACTCTGGATCTATGTCTTTGAAGTCTATCAGCAGAAAATCCTCTAATTTGTACTTTTTACCCGTTGGTTTAGGGCGGTCTTTTCCCATTCATTGATGATGGGGATGACCAGTGGCGCAGATGCTGTAGTCACTTATCTCATTGGTTTCCTCGGTCTCATGTTTTTCTTCTCCAGTTTCATCTTTTCCTTAAGATCTTCATGGAATCCTGACGTAGTTTCTTGGCTTGTTTTTAAAATGTTATGGGGGGTCAATATTCCCCCCGTTGAAATCAGATCGGGGATGCCTGATTGTTTTTCCCAGCCATGCCACATATCATTGCTTCTCATCTTCTTTTTGAGATATTTTTATTGCTGTGCGGTTCAAATTTTTAGTGTGTTATACTCTTCATTGCTGCTTAGTTTGTAGATTATTTTGTTGTAACTTATTCTCTGAGATTCAAATGCTCTTATCCGTATGCATCTAAGATTCACTTATCTCAGATTATTTATTTATTTATTTATTTTTTCTTATGGACTGCTTAGTTATTGAGACTTAAAGTTAAATAGGGTTTTGATGCTAATTGTTGCTACACGTTTGGTTATGCTAAAGCTGCAAGAAAAATCACTGTTTATCTCTTAGCTTTGTTGCTACTTTCTTTGTTGGTGATGAAGTGTTGGGTTAACATTATTGGGTGTTTGATTGACTTTACAATTTTTGGCTCTGTTTCTATTCTTCATGCATCACTTCGTACTCTAGTTGTCTTCTTTATGTTTTGTTATCACAACAAATTCATTTTTACATGAATCAATGCCACTTGGGTCACTGGAGTGCAGGTTGTCTTCACTGGGGGACGTACACAGCCAGGCACAGTAAAACCCGATGATGGAGAAAGACACTCGCACTCCGTTCTAGATTGTGAGGCGAAACGTGAAGCTATCTTGCCATCTGTTCTCTACATACAGAAAATACTGCGCCGCAGGCCGTTTCTCATAAAAAATCTTGAGAATGTCATGCGAAGGTTCTTGCAGTGTCTGGAGCTTTTTGAAAAGGATGAGAGTAAGAAGCTCTCCATTTTTACTGCCCTCGCGTTCTCTCAGAAGCTGTCGGGGCTTCCACCAGAGACCGTCTTCCAGCCGTTGCTCAAGGACAACCTTGTGGCCAAAGGGCTGGTCCTTTCATTCATCACTGACTTCTTCAAGGAGTACCTTGTGGAGAACAGCATAGATGATCTCATTTTGCTTCTGAAAAGGGGAAAAATGGAGGACAACCTTCTCGATTTCTTCCCATCTGCCAAGCGCACCATTCAGGCATTCTCGGAGCATTTCACGTGAGTAAATCCTCCCTTCCCCTTCAATCTGTTGGAAAATTTCAAATAAAATCCTTCAATCTGTTGAATAGTTAGCCTCACCTAAGAACATCACAGGGGGCGGTCAGTCCTTGATTCTTCAAAACCCGCATTCATGTAGAGACCTCAATGTCTGATGAGTCAGGGGAGGTATATAACAGGGGCTTTTATGAAATAAATGAAGGCTAACTTTGTATTTTCTGTTTTCTCGAGTTCATTTTCTTCTTGTATTGTTGTATTATCTTGTAGACCGGATGGGTCATCCCAACCTTCCACTTACTATTCAGGAAACATGGCGGCTATATCTTCAGTTATTTGTTTGTTAAAAGAAAGTCCTTTCTCCCTGTTTACTTTCAAAACTAAATATTCTCCTCTCTTTGGCTGCTGGGTTATTAGCAAGGAAGGGTTACCCATTCTCGTTCAGTACAACGAGAAAAAAGTATTTGACGTCAAATTGAGGGAGATGAAGTCAGCGTTGACCACCCAGATTGCAGAGGAAACAGATGTCTCTGAAGTGATAGATACCGTCAAGCAGTGCGTCAAGGATGCCAATTTGCCCGATGTTGAGGTGGTCCGCATCCTCTGGGACGTCATCATGGACGCTGTTCAGTGGTCTGGAAAGAATCAGCAGCAGAATGCCAATGCAGCCCTCCGACAGGTAAGAACAAAGAGTCTTAAAGTTTTTGATAAATAGAGGGATTAAATAAAATTTACATTAATTTTTATGGGGCCATTCTCCTTCAGGTGAAGACATGGGCAAAGCTTCTGAGTGCCTTCTGCACGAGCGGGAAGCTGGAGCTCGAGCTGATATACAAGGTTCAGACCCAGTGCTATGATGATGCCAAGCTGATGAAGCTGTTCCCAGAGATTGTGAGGTCCCTATATGACCTTGATGTTCTTGCCGAGGACACCATTCTCCTCTGGTTTCAGAAAGGGACCAACCTGAAGGGCAGGTACCACTTCTCTTCCTAAACATGGCCGATTATTTGATTTCTTCTTTAATTTACTTGACCTCGCCTGATCCATCTTATGCCTGATTCTGACCTTTTGGGTGTGGGACAGACAGACTTTTGTCAAAGCCCTGGAGCCGTTCGTCAACTGGCTGGAGGAAGCAGAAGAGGAGGATTGAGTCGAGAGTTGGAAGAGAGGGGCCCGGCAGACCTGGTAGCAGGTTGAGCCGATCTTTTTCTTTGGAGTCTCGTGTGACGACTTTCGTTGTTCCGTTTGCAATAATCCGCTACTCTTTACCCGCCTGTCTTCGCGTTCTTTCTTGGGTGAAATGAACATATCTCTAATTTTATAAGGTACACTGTTTTTTTGCGTTAACTTCGATGAGTATGCACTGCGGGGTTGAACTTGGGATCGTTTTTTGTTTAATAAAAAAGGATAAATCCCTCCCGGCATAGGTCCGCGGGGATCGTGCTTCTCGGGTGGCCCCCACCACTTTTACATTCCAACTCCGGTCAAATTTTCATCTAGCTTTTTGGACAGAATATTCAGCTTTTCTCGGAGTTTGACCAACCTACAGTCCCATGAATGCCAAATTTGTTAAAATTGTTGGCTTTAAAGATTATACACTTGGGTTTTTTTCTTTTTAATCAGAGAGGAGGGTATTTGGAGAAATAGTCAGAGACAATTATTTGGTCACAAATCGTATACTTTTTTTATTATTATATACAATTATACTTGACGTTGGATATTAAGTGTAGTAATTAATTAATCAATTCAAATATCGTAAAGTCTACCCCTTATTAAACAGCAATCATTTTCGTAGATGACCGCCTAAACTAGCGGCACACGTGCAGAGTACCTCGCGCGTGCCGCCGAAAGACGCGCTCTTGTGGGGGGGTGGCGACCGTTCGGTTAGAACAGGGCGGGCGAGAGTGGGAATTCAACCCCGTGTTCTTCGTATAACCAGGCCGGGAGCTCCTCTCCTGCAGGATCCTCCGTTCTTCATCTCCTTGCCAGGAACCGTCTTACCTTCTCTCTGATTGCGAGGACGCAGGTTGTGCTGTCGGCGGCGATGCTGATCACGGCGTCAGGGCTCCGCCGCTGATCTTGTTCCCTCCGCTAGTGAGGAGACTCCCCGCTGTAGGAACGCCGCAGGAGGCGCCATGTTTGAGGATTATGTAAGGACTCGCCTCCTAATTTCTTCTCTTCTTCCACAGCGATTGCGGCTTCCGCTGGCTCCGTAATTCTTAGATTGTCGTTTGGCGGGGAAAGATTTTACGAGGCTCCGTAAACCTTCTCATCTTGCTTGTTCGTCATTTTTTCGTCGTTTAGTTTGCAGTGATGTATCTGTTGTGAAGATGGATAGGTCCTCCCGTTAAATAAATGCTGGAGCGGATTCCCTCGATGCTGGCTTGCATGTGTTGGTTCGGTTTCCAGCTCTTCCGACGATTAATGTTTCTAAAACTTGTTGATATCTTCAACTGTAGATTGTTATTTTCGGCGGTATTCAGATGTCAAGCACGATCATAGCGTTCGTATGTCAGACAGGCGGGACGGCTGACTGTTTCCATCTCCGCTTGTTCACTGCTAATCTATTCAAGATCCTAAATGCGCACCCTGCCATTCATTGTTCAATATTTATATATTCTTTTTGGTGAGACCTCGTCCCCTGAAATTCCCACATCTCTTGGTGACACCCACCTTGGGTGTGCTTGAGCCATCTCATCCCGTCGCTTCTGCTTCGGCGGCGTGAAAGACTGGAAGAAAAAAGGCCGCCACCGCTGCTGCTGCCGCCGCCGTCTGCGACGGCTACGAACTTCCGCTCCTGTGCTGTAGGGGATAAGGGAAACATGAAGGAATTGTAGTTACCCCGTGAAAAAAGTGCGTTGCGGCTGATCACTACAGGTGTAGCTGGAAGACGCTTTCCAAGTGGCCTTGAAACCGTTCAGTTGGCAGAGGGAAGGCGAGACCGATAGGACGGGAACTCAGTTTCCGTCCCTTTCAGCATCGCCATACATACATGCGTGGACTCTACTGGCAGACACCTCTCGCCTACTCCTCGATCTTTGTTTCCCGCTGAAGCATCTTCGCCGATGACGGTCACGGCGTCTCAGTTCTGCCCTTAATTTCGGTCCCTGGGCGGGAAACGCAACAGGAGGCAATATGTTCGAAGATTACGTGAGGGCATCATCACCATCATCCTTTTTTCTTTCGTTTTTTCCCATGCTGAGGATCATCAGGGAAGAGAAGGCATATTGTGCCTCATAGATATGGACTGCATGAATGTTCTCTGCATAGATATTGTGCCTCCTCTTGAAACCAATGTGGTTCATTTGTCCACCACATTGTTTAACGAGTTCAAAAAATTACTCCTCATCTTACGAATCTTGGTGGAAGCAACCGCGGATCTCACGTTTTGCTTTCATATTTATCAACCCGTGATCTCCCCATTTTGCTACCGTTTAATATTTCCTACTACATGTTTTGTTCCTCATATTGTTTGGAAAAAGATATCTGAGGTCAGCGACTGATGATAATTTGATGAAATATAGTCGCTAATACATGATTACTGCAGGTTTTGTATTTACTTCGGAAGTACTTGGGGGAGTATGTCCATGGTCTTTCCCCTGAACTCCTCAGAATCAGTGTCTGGAAAGGTTTGGAAGATACTCGCATCATGCTATTGACTAGATTTTTCCATCTATTGACTGTTGGAGATATCAGTCTCCATGTATTCTTGTAATTCTGGATTGCTTATAACGGAAAATATATTGTATTCGTGATGTCTTTCTTTCTACGCATAAATTTATAGTTTATAATGCAAAAGGCTATGTTTGTCGCCAAGCTTTCTTTTCTGAAACATAATTTACATATGTTGATGCAACCATAAATACAAACATCATGTAAGTGTTATATGGTTGAAAAGTTACTCATGGCCCTTCTTTCCCTGCTTCCACATCTGATTGCAATGGAAAACATTTTACAATAAGGTAAGTATTGGTAATGGCAGCCATTATAAAAATCCTAATTGTGACAGATTGTCTTTCAGTGGACCTCACGACATGTAGTCACACTTATTTCGCTACAAATCTAGTTTATTGGTATGCAGGTCGTGGGCTTGGTTTCATGAACTGACTCTGAACTAGGTAGCGATAATCCTTCCCAGGGTCGGATCCTGAGTATGCAGCCTGTTCCCCAACTTTTTCATGTTAAATAAATCAAGCGAGTATTATGCTTAAATTTGGTCAAAATCCATACGATTTGAAAACATTGATTGTCCTATAATTTAAAATGACTTTTGTTGAGTTATGTTTTTCTCTCTCTGGACCTGAGTAACTGACAAGCCTTCTTAAAATTGTTTTCTATAATTCTCTTGGCTCAGGACGGGTGTAGTACTTTCTGTGTTTAATATGTTCTTAACGTTTTGGGAAATGTGCCTGGTGGAGCTCTCTTTGTTTATTTGTCAACCAACTGCGTAATGCGAATCATAGTTTTAGTCTTTAACTAATCACGAACCAGAGTTTCCATTTAAGCTTCTATCCCACTCTACTTCAATTTATTGTCAATGAATTCTGTCATCAATTTTGATTCTTCTTTTCAGGGGATGTTGTGTTGAAAGACTTGAACTTGAAAGCTGAAGCACTAAATTCTTTGAAACTTCCTGTCATTGTACGTGCTGGCTTTATCGGGAGCATTACCTTGAAGGTACTTTTCTTGGGGTTCATACTGTCTATTTGTCAAGATAATCGCTTTGGGTCATATCCTGTTGTTCTGGATGTCTCAGATGTATGATTCAGGGAGTTCCTTACACTTATTTAATGCGTCATCTGCCAAATCCGAGCTGACTGGGTTGTGAAACATTAATCTTGAACTTTATTTTATGCAGACAATGGAAGTATGCTCTTAATGTAATCACTCCCTCACCTATAAAGCTTCTTTGACGGCCAACTTGGAGATTTCCGATTTCTCTCGAGTCTTTTGACAATGTGGTTGTTGATGTCGTTGGTGGCATATGACATTGGCAATAAGTAGAAGTTGGTGGAATGGTGTGGTTTAAATTTTTGACTACAATGTGAAGGTTAGTGGTGAATGGCAGTTGCAATGTTAGCTACTAGCTATTTGGTCATCAGAGGTCGTGGGTGGTGGTGGAGGGCAATAGGGGCTGCCATGGGTGGTGGGTTTTCATGAAGCATCGTAGTAATCATAGTGAATTGCAGTTGGTCGTGAAGGATGATTGGGTTGTGCTGAAGGTTAACAGAGGTTGTCAGGAACTGTCCATAAAAGCCACGGCCACAATTGGCTGCTTATCGTTTACCACTATATGTTACCAGTTGTTACCCGTCATTAGTCACAACACGCTATACAGTGTCCATGTTCTTCGCCCACCAGCTATCCCGTATACACCCACCCTCCAGTGGAACGGTCACCTACTACAATTATCACACCTTTCCACTTAAGCCGTTTGTTAATAATCACCAACAGCTGCAATTGTTGTTATGTATTATTGAATCTAATTCAGATTCAATTGAGATATCAGATGAGTCTAATTGAGATGTCAGATATTTTTCTTCTTATTTCCCCCTTTTTTGAATTTATACTTTTAGTTGAATTTGATAGGTGTAAGATGTGAACTTCAGATTTCATATTTCATATTTCTTGATATCAGAGCGCTAATTTGTCTTGTCTATTCCATGCAGAGGACCAGATTATCAGAAAGTACATATTAATGCGTTTAATTATTTCTATACGTCTCTACAAAAAGTTAAAGTTAACTATATGGATTGAGAAAATGCTTTCTGTTGTTTGTACGTTAATCCTTACTTTGGATTGTGTGTAGGTCCCATGGAAAAGTCTTGGCAAGGAACCTGTTGTTGTTTTCATTGACCGTGTTTTTATTCTTGCTCATCCTGCTCCAGATGGGCAGAGCCTTAAGGCAAGATGCTCTACATATCAGTATTATTTTATGATTGCCTGCTATAGATGGTGTTCAACAGATTTCTGTTCAATTCATTGCATTGTTCTTGTTGTGACTGTTCTGTTTCAGTAGGAGAATTGATGTTCCTGGGTTTCATTTTTTAGGACGAAGATAGAGAGAAACTATTTGAGGCCAAGCTCAAGCAAATTGAGGTATAAATTATTTTTGATTACGTGATGCTTCTGACATTTTTTTGGAGCTTTGAGTTACTTTTGATACTTTTTTCTCGCTCTATCCCCTTTTAAGTACTTTCTGACAATTTTTTCTCTAAGAACATTTAGAATGGAATAAAAAAATTAAGATCTTCATGCCTCAGAATTACTCTCCAATTTTTCATTTTGGGCACCACTCTCAGCTTTGCTAGCCTATTGTCAATGCTTGTTTGCCCATTTCAATGCAGTTTTCCATGCTCATAGAAATTTAAATTGAATATGAAGAAGTAGATCATGATGCTTGGGATGGCTATTATAATACTTAATTGATCAGAGCTGTATACATCTTCTTTTATTTTATTATCATCTACACTCATTCATCTGGCGTTAGGCTACAAATTTTCTTCGGTGTTGCCCAGGCAAGAAGGTGGTCTGGACATCCAATGTTTGTGCCACGTACTTAGGCACGCTGATTAGGTGCTTTCCCTGCTATTTGGGCATGGCGACGTCAGGCTGCCTTGCACCACTTAGGGGCCCTTGGTTGATGCTTTTTGGGGCTTCCTTTACATTTTTCATGGGGCAACCCTGATATGGTTGTCAAACCGCCATGAAGGTGAACATGAATTCTGGTTGCAGCTAATTGTCATCGAACAATTAAAAATGTTTTCAATGATTGTGTGATTGTAAAATTTATCCCCTGTGCTGATCAAACATCAAAGGACGTGGTGGGGTGGCAATTGAGATTGCATTTGGATGATGCTATCCAGTTGCAAACATATTTAGATTTATGCTTTATTTCTAGTGATTCTATTTTTATTTTTTTTTGATTTTTTTCTCACTTAAAATGTCTTAATAGTATCACGATAAATTAAGTTAAAAGTTCTATATTTTTCAAGTTTATTTGTAGATGTTTCTAATGTATCTGAAGTTAATTTTCTAATTTATTTGTCATGTTGTTTTGTGTTAGGTACTATAATGGATTAGTATTTAATAAAAATTAGAAACACTTTGTACAATTTTTTTTTTCAGAACGTGTAAGCGCTAATCTACATTTTTTTTGCTGGTCAGAATTATTGTTATCTTGTGTTATTTATCGTAAGATAACATAAAAATTCAATTTCTTTTGCTTATTTGTATTTTCTAGAATCTATGGGTGCTGATCTTCATGCAGCTGTCTTCTGATTCATATTCTTACAGTTATATTTACATTATGTTATGTATTAAAATAGTATCTTCTAAAATAGTCTATCATTTTTTTGGGTGCTGATATAATGAATATTAATAGTGGACGTACACATGCATAATTTATCTTATTTTCGGTTGATAATTAATTCTTACTTCATGAAATTTTTTAAATATAACTAACCCATGGATGCCTAAGGAGGTACCTGGACTCTTGCCTTCTTGCCTAGGTAGTAAGGCAGTGGTCTACCACTTTGCTTGCCTTGGCTGTCTTAAAAGTCGTAGACTACCGCTAGACAAGATTTAACTCTTCCTTGTTAGGTATCATGATGTCCTATTTCTGGGCGTACTCTGAAGTGTTAGCCTGTGAATTATTGTATGCTAAATTTTAGTTTCTTAAAGAGTGAGTTTATTTGACTGCTGACTGATGAGAAATGGCTGTTTGAATACTCCAGTTTTTGTTTTACACGTAGAAACTCATCTGCTTCTTGTTAATCGGAGAAGGCTTGTTAACACTCTTTGTTTTATTCGATTGATGTCATAGATTATCTTTCCTTAACGTTCAGTAGAGGAGCTCTTGTTCTGTTTTCACAAAAGTTTCGCTGTTAATCTGAAATCGGAGTTTTATCAATTTTTCTGCATTTCTAATGGATTTGTACATGTGGACGTATTCTCCATTATCGTATTATGTAGCTAAACTTTAATTACTATTTCTTTTCATAGGAAGCAGAGTTGGCAACACTGGAAGCAACAACAAAAAGATCAAGAGTTGGAAGTGTATGCTTTACTTTAATGAAATATACATGTTTTCACCTTGCTTCAGCTAGTGCTTTGTCATCAACTGTTATAAAATGTCAATGCAGTGCTTTTAAATTACCCCAACATCCTGTATAAAAGTTTCCACACAAAGTGTCCGTGAAATTGACTCCTGCAAAATAGAATTGTTTGCCTGTGTTTGGTTAGCACTTTTGTACATGTTCATGAACTGGGAAGCAATGGAATATTGTGTTGTCAAGCGGAAAAGGTGTCAAGAATGAAATTGTAAAGAATGGAGTTCTTACTATGTGATGTTTCTGGATTATGTTCACCCTTCACAATTGGTTTCTTTGCTTCATTCACATTTCTCAAATCCTTAGAGTTGTATTCACCAAATTCTTTTTTTCATATAAAGGGTTTCTTGCGGTTCTTTTGCCAGATTTTTCTAGATGTTCAAATGGTTATACGTGATGATATTTGTAAAACATTATGTGACCATTTTAATATAGCCTCATTTTTGAAAACTTGATGCCTTTTGGTTCTCACTATTCTAGATTTTTCAATTAAATTCTGCATATTTTTTATTTTACCGGTATTTGGTCACCTCATTAACTTTAGTCCATAATCTGGATCTGCTAAGCTTAGCTTGAACCTTTTAATTTGCTCTGCTATGATTTCTTTTTCTGATTTTGCAGCCATCCGGTGGAAATTCTTGGTTAGGCTCCCTAGTTGCTACCATCATTGGAAATCTCAAAATTTCTATTACCAATGTACATATCAGATATGAGGATACTCTTAGGTATGTGAATATCTTTTAGTGAGTTTGTTTTGTGCACTTAAGTGTTCTGATTTCCTGTTTCTGTTTTGATAGTTTTTTTGCTTTTATGTTTTATATAGCAATCCCGGCCATCCGTTTTGTTGTGGCTTAACTTTGTCAAAGTTGGCAGCAGTTACAATGGATGAAGAGGGTAATGAGACATTTGATACCAGTGGAGCTCTGGATAAGTTGCGAAAGGTTATCATTTTTTTCCTGTCCTGGACTTATATTTTATAGATAAATTGGCTTAGTAATCAGTTCTTGGTTTCTTTATCACCTTTATACTTCATTAGCATCATTATCTTCATTGCTTTATCAGCCACTTCAAGTCAGTTATCAATAATATTTTGACTGTAACTTTTGCTAGTTCTCTCTGTTGGGAGGAGAGGCGTCTTTAGTACGAATGCTCAAATTTTCAGGATTAAAATGTATTATACGCGCTTACGTAATTTTTTCGTATGTTTTTTTGGGTGAGACAGATATAGGAATAAATAGGGATTGAGTTGTTGATGTTCTTCGGCTGTTTAGTTTCTCTCTTAGCCTCTCTTTATTTCCGTGCAAATTGTTTTTGCACATTTTTCCCTTTTCGATTGCATATAGCATGTTCCCCTTACCTGGAGCTTCTACTATTGTTTTTGTGCTATGAATATATTTTTTCATGTGGTTATGTTATGCATTAGTTATTTACGTTCATTTCATTCTGTACATTCTACACTCTGTTTAGATCCATTATTGTGTTTGAAGCTCTAAGACAGATAGGTGTTGATCTTGTGTCCTAAACCAAAAATCTCTGTAACCTCGAACAAAGAGATTCCTTCCTTCTTGAACCAAAAATCTCTGTAACCTCGAACAAAGAGATTCCTTCCTTCTTGAACCCTTAATCAGAAATTTTCTATCATCTTATCCCTGTAGAATGTATTTACCATAATCTGGTATAAAAAAGTAATGTGGCTTTGTATTTGTTTAATGACCGCCCTCGATGACAGAGGAAACATTGTTCTCTAACCTCCCAACATGACTCACTCTGGTGTTTATTGCACCTAAATTCCTTCTGAATACCATATAAGCTCATGGAGTTTATGAGCAATTGGCACAGTGAAGAGTGAAGGCTAAGCCTTTAGACTTTCGGTGCCCATATGTCTATTTTAAGTCTCTTTACAAAATCCTGAATGGTAACTTTGCAGCTCTTGATAAATGTTTCTCAAATGCAATAAGTAAAGTCTTAATGTCTCTGGATGCTGCTGTAAGAGGTGTCGTAAAGTTTGTCACTGCTCCTCTTGGAGGACGCAGTGTTGGCTTGCCTATGATAAACGAATTTTGAGAATGAAGATCTATATTCACTCGCAACATTTTAATTTTCCCTTTCAAATGTGGGCCTGTTCTAACGGTTAGGTCACTGACGCAGTCTTCACATGATATCTTCTCTGTGAAACATGTTACTGCAATCTTGCATGTAGAAATAAGTCATTTATTAACAAATATGCGAGGCACGTTTTAAGAATATGGAGGATACAAATGTCCTCGTATTAAAATGAATTAATTAAGAAGCTATTAACAGCTCTGTAAAATTTATATGCTAGATAGGTATTCGATATCACTCTCAAGGGAACTATGAGAAATTGTCCTTATAACCTTACATGCGAACACTATTTGTTCTGCATATGAAATAGAGCAGATGTTGTTGTCTTCTGTCACGTTTAAGCACTGGCAGGAAATCCTTTATACCCTTGAGAGCATACCGGAAAGGGAGTTCCTCTTACTTGAGAGCTGTCCAGAACTTAATGTCCTTGGGAAGTGCTCAATATGACTGACGTACAGAGATTCCAAGATAGTGAATGATCTGTCTTCTGCTAGCACTTGGCAAGCATATGTTTTGTTAATCACTATCGATGGATCTTTGTTTCTCTTCTGAGCATAGCTGCCCTAAACATTTACTTTTAGGCAAGATTCATGCTGCCGACTTTCTCTCTTTTATTGTTCTTGAAAGCCATTTACGATCAACTGACTTAGCTTTGTGTGGTTTCTTATTGTCACTGTTGGTGAAACTTCAAGCAACTGAGGGAGAATAATAATCACTGTCATCCGCACTTAAGCTTGTGTATGAAAAATTTGTCTCAGAGAACAAAGTCTGGAAGAGGATGCCATTTATTACCCAAATGGGAATCTGTCAGTCCAACATGATTTTCTCACCTAGGCCCTGGACATTTATTCCACATGTCTCCTCTGACAAGAAGTTGGGTGTCATTTTTAATATTTTTCCTTTCGGTTTCCCAACATAAGTAATGGCGTAGATCTTGTTCTGGTGTAGACTTGGTGAATGATACACAAAAGTTAGGAAAGAAGGGTTTCTCTGTTGGTATCTTTCTTGACAGGTTAAACATTCATTGCGATAGAAACAGGTGAGACTTGTGGGATCGTGTCACCCAATGCTCACCGAGATCTACTACATCAACTGACATATTTTGCCTACCGTTTGGTCTTAATACAAACCTCATCAAAATCTGCACCGACCATATTACCTCTTCTACAATAGAGTACAAGTACATTCGTGAGTAACCTGAAAATTCTCTGAATTTTCTCTTCTAATAGTAGTTTACTGTCCAATCCGAAGTCATAATTATCCTGGAATGTGAATCTTTAATAGGCTTCTTTGGAACTGATGCTGGATAGTTTTTCTTTAATTCTTGTCTCTGTGGACTGATGCTGCGCGTTAGTCATATTTTTAGCTTATGTTGTAGTAAAATATTGCTGCTTTATATTATTATGTTGCAAATGTAACTGTATTACCCTTATTTTTACCTTCGATTGTGTCATGTATTCTTTGCAAGTCCTTTTTATGAATACTCAAGACTGCCCTGCGGCCTATTGTAGACTCGAAATTCTGTTTCAAAGGCATCTTGAGCTGTTCTAATTCTGAGATGAACATAGAACTGACAGAACTAGTCTGACCATATAAATCTCATCTAATTTGACAAATTATCTAAAGGAACGATTTTTCCCCTTCTTCTAGTCCTTACAACTTCAAAGACTAGCTGTCTATCATGACTCTCACAGTCCGCCGTGGAAGTTTGAAAAGAAGTGGGAAGATTTGAATCCTGCAGAATGGACTGAGGTTCGCTCTTCTACAAGTTTCTTTTATCCCTCTATACTTGTTTCTTCTCACTTCCTTGTGTGCTGAATTGGTTTTATAAATTCCAGATATTTTCTGATGGAATTCATGGGACTTTTCAAAAGGAAGCAGATTCCCCGTTGACAACTAAAAGAAAATATCTTGTATCCCCAATAAATGGAACACTCAAGTACCATCGCATTGGAAAACAGGAAAGACATGACATTGGGGTTCCTTTGGAAAGGGCTTCACTTGTTCTCAGTGATGTTTCTCTAACTATATCAGAGGTTTTATAATATACGCTCTGCATATATTTCCGTTTGTTAGATTACAACATACTTTGGTTTTGATACTCTGTGACCGATCTGACTTTCCATCATCAGGCACAGTATTATGATGGTATTAAACTCTTGGAAACCTTGTCACGGTATAGGACACGTATTGAAGTTTCTCACTTGCGACCTATAGTACGAGTTCTTGATGATCCCCGTATCTGGTGGCACTATTTTGCCCAGGCTAGTCTACAGCAAAAAAAGATGTGGTACTTTGCTATTGCTGACCCATCATTTATTTATTATTGTTCTATGCAGAGGCTGAAGCTGGTCTGTCTTTGCTATTTTGAAGTAGTAGATGTTATTTAAATCCTCGTTTTAATGTAATAATAAGATTTTCTAAATTTCTTTAGATTGAAGTTGCTGCTATTTTTCCCCAAAATGTAGTGGAATTGAGAAGTCTCTGTGAAAAGCTTCAGAATATATTGCTTCTGTCATACGTTTTATTTTAGGGTCAAAGATAAGTTATTAGACATATCATGGTAAAATGTATTTCAGAATTTAGGAAATTCCTAAGGTGGACAGACGGGGCTTGGTCTTTGCCGGGTCAGGAGGGAGGAAACTCAGTTCTGAAAATTATTTACTTATTCTGTGCTAACAATGTTGCTCGTTTTCAACAGGAATCGCTGTTGTTGAATCAGCAGATTTGGCAAACCTGGGGGTTTGTATCATATTCTATAAAAGATCCTGCCAGTGCTTTTTTAGGTAATCTGTAGAAAGGGAGAGAGAGCACGTAACTGAAGTGGGATTCGGCTATCTGAGTATTGAAGGCAGAAAAGGGGGGGATGAACATAACTACAAGATGGTACGGAAAAAGGGAAAAAGTGGTAGCATATGACAGTTTCCTTTCCCATCGGTCTAATCTATGTGAAAAAAAGGGAATTCAAAAAGATGATATATGGTTTCTGTCCCAGGTATTCATCTCTACCTAAAATCAGGCACTTTATTGCCCTCCTGACCTCTCTGTCCCTTGTGAATAAATAAAGAAATTAAAAACTCAAATCTGACACTCAGTTCTCGTGGAAAGTTTGTATTTACATTTTGTAGGAAACTGATATTTTTCTGGGCATTTATATCCAGTTCTAGGCAGTTTCAACCGGGAAGTTGATAGGGTGGAGAAGAATCGCCAGCCATCACCTGCCATTCCATTAATGTTGATTAGTTCTTCCCCCTAAGAATCAAGTAATTGTATCTTTCCACAGCAAGGAGTCTCATAGATCACTCTATCTGCTCTGAATGACACCTAAACAAGTAAGGAAAAAACCTGCCTTGTAGGAAACATAAGAAACGATGCTGTTATGAATCTTGGCTGTCGACATTGAAATATTGATTGTATTGTTTGCTCATGTTTAAAATGTGTTTAAATGTAAATCCCCATTTCACATAGTTCATCTGTGGTCTGGGGTTATGATACGATCCCCTTTGAAAGGATCGGATCTGAGTGAATTATGAGAGAAACAATTGTATTGATTCTCAAACTTGGGACAATGTTGTAGAGATAGAACGTCAGGATGACAATTCTATCGAAGTACAAGAAAGGAAAGAGAGAAAGAAGAGTGAAATGGTGGTGAATAAATTCGAGAGGATTCCCCTGCCTCTCCTAGTTCCGAACTGTTCTCCACTTGATATGACCCCCCCAAAGTGTATTTATAGTCTTCACATGTCCTGTGTGGACGTGTTCCCTTCTTATGCCTTCTTTATGTTAGTAATGAGGTCATAACCTTACTCCCCTCATCTAGATTCACCTGGTCCTCTAGGTGAAAGTCTGGAAATTTGTGAGCAATATTGTGGGCTAGCTCCCATATATATAGCCTCATGATATGATAGATTTGCCCATTGGATGAGAACTTTTGGACCTGTTGGTGTCTTCCACACTACTTTGATTGTTTGAGGTTGGTTGTGCCATTCCATATTCGTGGTGAGTGAAGGTAGGAGTGCTTGAGGAGGATTGTTGGTTGATAAGGCCCACTGTAGTTAAGGTATGTGAAATACTAGATGAATTGATGATGAAGGTGGAAGATCCGGCTTGTATGCTGTCTGGCCCACTCGGGAGAGGATTTTATATGGCCCACAAAATTTGAGAGAGAGCTTCTCATTTGTATGCTAGAGACCTCATTTTGCAAGGACGAAGTTGTAGATTGACACTATCGTTTACTTGAAACTCCATTGGGGGACGGTGATGGTCCACCTTATGTTTCATCTGAAATTGGAAGTTCTATAGATGTGAGTTGAGCAGGCTGAGTATTTGATCACGTTCCAACAATTGGTCCACTGCTGAAATTGGAGAGGGAAAAGGCTCATAGCTGTTGGTGGCAGGTGGATCAGGCTCATGAACCATTTTGAACAGAGTAGTCTTGATAGAAGAATGATAGGCCATGTTGTAGGCTAATGCTATCCAGTATAACTAAGATTGTCAATCCTTTGGCTGATTCGACACAAAACATTGTAGATAGGATTCTAAGGATCTATTCACCACCTTAGTTTGTCCATCGGATTGGGGATGATAGGATGAGGACATTTGAAGCTGAATTCCTTACAACTTACATAGGTCATGCCATAAAGTGCTTGTAAACACTTTGTCATGGTTAGAGACAATGGATTTAGGCATTTTTCTTAGTACTCTTTTATAGTCCTTTTCATGCCCTTCTAAAACAGTTGCTGTGATAATCACTTATATGCGTGTAGGAACTCCCCATGGCTTCCCACTAGTGGATCATGAGCTTCTCTTAATTGATGAGGGATTAATGTGGATGAAGATACATCACCATCCAATTCTTGTAAAGTAGTGTCACATGGTGCAGGGTAAAATGAGGATAAACAACTGAGCCACTAGTAAGTTCATCCATCACATTTTTTAGCTTAGAATCTTGTAAGATTTCCTATTGAACAATAGCAAGGTTTAAAATTTGGGATTGTGAAATTGAAGTTGCTGCCAGCTCCCCCATATGCAACATGTGGGACAGGACATCAGCTGCGGTATTGAGGCGTCGCTCTTTATATTTGATAACAAAGTTGAAGCCAAGTAATTTGATAAGCCACATGTGATATTGTGGGGGGACATATTGTTGTTCAAGAAGATATTTTAGACTGTATTGATTAGTATGAATGGTGAAGGGCCGATGAATTAAGTAGTGCTTCCATTTTTGTACAGCTTTTACAATAGCAATGAGCTGCTGCTCATAAGCTGCCTTGAATTGATGCCTATAGGGAAGCACTTGGCTGTGGAAAGCCACTGGTCTTCCGGATTGCATAAAGACCCCTGCCCACCCCATGTCTTGAGACATTTGTTTTAAACACAGATGGTAGTGAAAAATTAAGCAAAGCTAAAATTAGAGTGGGTGTCATTGCCTTTTTGAGTTGAACGAATGTTTCTTGAGAATTAGGACTTTAGTCATAAGATTTTTTCTTGAGTAGGCGAGTAAGGGGCCATGCAATGGAAGCATAGTTAGCTACAAACTTTCTGTAGCAACTTGTCATCCCAAGAAAACCCCACAGCTCTTGAATATTCTTTGGAGGAGGCCAGTGAAGCATTGTTGAAATCTTGCCTTTATTTACAGCAGCTTTCTTCTTTGAAATTCAATGACCAAGATATAGGCAAATTGATATTTTTAAACATTGATATGGAGGGTGTTTATAGATAGAAGAAATTTTTTTTGTGTCAGGTGTTCGTCATGGTCCTGACTGTTGCCACATTTATCCACCCATCAAATTCAGCCACTACATACCGAATATAACATCTTTACTTACCAATGTGAGTGGCAAAAATCTTGTGTGGCAAAAAATCCTGGGCTGAATTTTTCGTCACAGTGATAGCACAGTCCTTTTTCAAGGCAACTTTGATATTCTACATTAGTGAGAGTGATCCGCTTGCAATATCAAGGGTCCTTGTCACTTGAGGTGAGGGGTTACTCTTGGAGTGCCATCCCAAGAGGGAGGAAACATTTGTACTCTTGTCACATTCACCAGATCTTGGCAATGAAGGTAAATGCCTGTCAACAATTTTAAATGGAGTAGAAGTACTTTGCTGAGATGATTTGGGTAGGTGATTATCCCAAGCCTCCCATAGGGTGTAAATACGTTGCTCTGCCGCCACTAATGCATTCATAATTTCCGTCAGTCCTATTGCATTCATGCAAGCTAGTTCTGTTTGAATTTTTGGTTTCAAACCTTTGATATATGTATTCTCCATCACAATATCTTGTATTTTGGGCAGGTAAGTAGATAGCCATTCATATTTTGCTCAGTATTCTTGAACTGAGTATTCCAATTGAATATTTAGAAATTTGTGAAATGTATTGACCATTGTAGAGGTACCAATGTGTTTTCCCAATTGAACTTTGGACTCTTGCCTGTTATGGAATGGATAGCCATCATCCTTCCATAGGTACCACTCTAATGCCAAGCCTTCAAGTTTCATTATAGCCATCTCCAATTACTCCCGTTCATCATCCTTCCATCTAACTTGTATAATAGTTCTATACATCTCAGCTAGCCTTCGGGATTTTCACCAGGGAATACTGGTATCTCCCCTTTCATGATGAACTGAACAGTGTTATGGCTTGTTGTAGGCTCGTTTAGAACAGATTTCTTGAAGAGGGATGGGAGATTGTACCTCTGGTCATTATTCTGTCCGATTTTTGACAGAACGATGCTGTAGGTTGTAGGTTAGGAGTTTCCTTCTCTAAGGCATCCAATAGATTAGTTGGAATTGTTGCATATTTTTTAGGAGTTAGCACATCAGATCTGTGGACTCTTCTCGCAATTTCTGCATATCTTTAGCCATCTTTCGTTGATCCGACTGTAAGTTTTTGTCGTCTGCTTCCAGAGCTTCAAATCGGATGTCTGCTTTGGTGCCATACTGTGTATGGTTGCAAGATCATTGGCTCTGATGACAATGATACGATCCCCTTTGGAAGGATCGGATCTGAGTGAATTAGGAGAGAAACAATTGTATTCATTCTCAAACTCGGGACAATGTTGTAGAGATAGAATGTCAGAATGACAGTTCTATCAAAGTACAAGAAAGGAAAGAGGGGAAGAAGAGTGAAAGGGTGAGGAAGGAATTTGAGAGGACATTGCATGATATATTAATAAGGAGTTAGGGAAATGGAAGCACTTCCTGGCTCAACTGCACTGATCATTCTCAATTGTCTAAAACTCTTTTGACAAGCAACCGTCCTAAACTAGTTGGCTAATAGTGAGAGTAAGAATCAACACAAGGAAAATGAGAGATATAAGAGGGGAGGAAGACCTTAGAAAGACACATCTAACATTGGAGTGAGATGGAGACATCATGCTGTTCAGAGTTGGTATCATGATGTCCTGGTAATATGAGTATCAGAGCTACTGTCAAGTGTTTGTAATGCTTCACTTTTGCCCTATGAAGAATTACCCTTTTTTATGTATGCGTCAGACATAATAATGAGTCGTCAAAGGGAGAGTTGAGAAGTAGCCTTCTACCTTGAGTGGGGAGGCATGTTTAGCCTTTGCCATTTTTTCTTATTTGGAAGCCAAAATCCTATCCTGGACTGGGGGAAAAAAATTGTACTATTGCTCTTCTCTGATGCTTCTGGGTTTCCACATTCATCATTGGCACCATTTTTCTCCTGGGTCCTGGAAAATTTCTTTCTTCCAAATGGTGGTGCTCGAAAATTCTTCATGGTCACTCTGTATGCAATGCTTTTTCAACAAATTGAATGCTTGACTACAGTACAAGAATGTGATAAACTAGAGGATTTTAATATGGTATAAGAATATGATAGACGATAGGATTTTAATATGGTATAAGAATGTGATAGACTAGAGGATTTTAATATGGTATAAGAATGTGATATACTAGAGGATTTTGATATGGTATAAGAATGTGATAGAGTAGAGGATTTTAATGTTGTAGAAGAATGTGATAGACTAGACGATTTTAATATTGTATAGGAATGTGATAAAGTAGAGGATTTAAATGTCGTATAAGAATGTGATATACTAAATTTGTTGTTGTGGAATTTCTTCAGTTAGTATCAAGTCAGTTCTTTATTGATTGGAGTGCACTCTAGGTTAGAGCAGAGATTTGGAACAATCCTGCGAACTGGAGACTTTCTTCTTTAAAATCTGAGGACTATTATTTATTGCAGCTATCGTTTCTCATGGGAGAGAATAAGGGATCTCTGTCATCTTCGTCGAAAATATGTTCAGCTATATGCAAGTTCTTTGCGGAAAATAGACGTTGATATTTATGAAATGAGGAAAATTGAGAAAGACCTTGATTCAAAAGTGATACTTCTATGGAGGTACTATCTAATTTCCTTGCATTTGATTTCGTATTTCATACGATCTTTCTACTTCTGTTAAACTCTGGCCTCATCTTCTGACTTTTTGTGTCAGATTACTGGCACATGCAAAGGTTGAATCTGTAAAATCAAAGGAAGCCGCTCAACAGCAAGCTGGTCTTAAAGGAAGCTGGTTGTCTTTTCGATGGTATCTAATATATCTACCTTTTCGTTTTGAGTCCTTAATGAAAATTGTCTACTATTTGATTGAACTCAGCCTAAGTAGAATGGTTCTTGATGCAGCAGAAGTTGTGGGAAATAGGAAAATTTGGCCTTGAATCCACAAGGCACGAATTTCCTCAATCCATGAATCCACAAGGATTCATTTGGACGATCCTTGAATTCATAAGGATCAAAATAAGCCCTTGAATCCACAAGGGTTGATTTTTTGACGATCCTTGAATCCACAAGGATAAAAATAACGTCCCTTGAATCCATAAGGGTTGCTTTCTCACGCACTCAGAATCTTTCAAAGAGAATGAAAATTCGTAATATTCATCTCCTCTGTAGTTAGAGCATGTTAGCCTATAAATTAGCCCAAAATCAGCTGTAACTCTCTTAGAAGACTGGATCAGTTACGAAAACAAATTGAACATGACCCACCAGCAAAATAGCTATGGAAACTGAAAAATACCACGTTATTCACGCGATTTATTCGGGCTTAATCTCATTTTGGGCATTCAAATGTTTGTAGTCCACGTTCTAACATTTTCAGGCCGCCTGGGCCACAAAGTTTTAACCTTTCTCTTTTTTTGAACTGATGTGCTACTTCAGTGCTAGTCATCGTAGCTGCCATTTCCTACAATTTCTAATTCAGTTTTATCTCTTGTGCAGGCTTACTTCCTCTCAAGATGTGTCAATTACTAATGATTTAGTAGGGGAAAAGTTGGTTGACGAAAAAAGATTGTCTAAAGAAGAATGGGAATCGCTAAATAAGTTGTTAAGCTACCACATAGATGAAGATGCGAACCCACTCTTGGGAAAAGATGTGCAATCAATTGTACAATTATTGATAGATGTTTCAATTAGTCAGGCCGCTGCTAGAATTATCAGTATAAATCTTACTGAAATACTTTGTGGCAGATTTGAGCAACTTCAGGTTACTGCAAAGATGTATCAAAAAAGTGTGCATTGTGATCTGTCCTTGAAATTCTATGGTTTATCAGCACCTGAAGGATCTCTTGTTCAGGTATGTTTTCTAACTTGAGTTATTTTTAATTCTCTGATTGATGGCCTGGCTTCTGAATATCAAGCTCGCTTCAGAGTGTCAGCAATGAGAGAAAGGCGAATGCCTTAGCGGCCACCTTTGTTCATTTACCAGCTTTGGAAAATGTAGATTGGCAACTTTCAGCAACGATTGCACCCTGCCATGTCACGGTATTATCCATCACATTTTCTTTAGTGTGCAGTTCATCAAATAACTGAATGAATATCTCCAGTCCATCCTTAGCTTTTGTTTATTTACTGTAGAGCTATCTAAATTGAACATGGGATCACGTTCTGTGGTAGCATATATTTAATTAATTTTACATGCATTTTGATTAAGTTGTCAGTCGGTAATCAGCAGGGTAGCTCTGTGTAAGTACGATTCTTTCTGCAATTTTAGTTGTCCTCTGTACTCAACCATTTGATCTGGAAGATATGTTACATGTGTAGAAACTTAATGGATCTTGTCTAGGCAGCATTATGCTTGCTGATTACTAGGTTGCCACCATTTGGTCATAGGTTTTCCTGATCTTTTTTACATTTAGGTGTTAATGAAAAGTTATGAGCGCTTTCTAGAGTTCATAAAGAGGAGTAATGCTGTTAGCCCAGCAGTTGCATTGGAGACTGCAACTGCTTTGCAGGTAATTGTCTGATTTCGTATTCTCTGGGGTGATTGCTTTATTGCATTACTTTTTGGGATGTTATTGTAAATTCTTTATTTTAGGAATTACAAATTATAGTGTATAATCGTTATCTTACAATTCAAATGTCGATCAGTCATTAAATTTTTACCATGCAATTCTTTGTGCACTGGTGTTGCGTAATGATATTTCATAAGTGGAGCCTATTGTTGCAATTATTACCTGCTTCGCTGTTTTGGTACCTTCATTCCCCTTTCTTTGCTGTTAAGTTTCTCTCTTTATCTTTCTACATAATTTCTCATGTGAATCAATAGTGTTCTCCCCTCATTATCAAGTGAGAGATTTTTCTGTCTTTATGTGGTCCTGTAAGTCTTCTTTGGGGGAGACTCACATGTTCACCTGGGCTACATTTTTCCAACGTCCTTTTACGGGGGTGAGATTGATCAAGCAGCTGCACAGAAGACCTCGCAAGATTCTTTGATTGGTTTATGTGATCTAAGAGTCGCAAATTGATAGAGAGTTGTTATCATGTTTATCATATCTCCGAAACCTCTTAACTGATATGTTACTGTTTGGTGTATTAACTTGATAGATGTCCTTTTGGTCTCACACTTTACGTTAAGAATGTTATGATGCACAGTACTAGTGGTTCTTTATTTCCTTTTGATTTCTAACTAACATCTTTGTCATCTAAGAAAAACTCATACCGATCTCCTGCCTGGTTTTCAATGACAATGTTTCAGATTGTCTGCCCTCCATCATGTACGTGTTCTAACCTTTATGTATCTAATTCTTATTATTTGTTGATAATGGAAACTGCTGTATTATCGATCTAACAAATCCTTGACGTACTAAGTTGATAGATATCTCTGAATATCTTAAGTATGAAGGTGTCAGTGTCTTGGTGAAGAATTTCGTTTAAGAAGATCTTTGTAGTGTTGCACAGGTATTTGCAAAGATACTAATAGTTTTCTCATATTTCATTCATGGCCATACTCTGAGAACAGATGAAGATTGAGCAGGTCACTCGCAGAGCTCAAGAACAGTTTCAAATGGTGTTGGAAGAAAAGAACAGGTCTGCTGATGAGTGAATCATTTACTTATTTGTGGTCTTAGTCTTAGTACACTTGTAATTGCATACGTTGGCTATTGATTATTTTATTTCGTGATGTCTACTAACATCGATTTTTGCATCTCCTGCAATAATATTAGGGTGTGCTGCACAATTTCATGATTCATTTCATTTCTGATTTTCTGCTCTTTAGCTTTTACAGTGAGCCAATCGTTTATTTGTTTGTGGCTTTTTGACAGATTCGCTCTTGACATTGATTTTGATGCACCAAAGGTGAGGGTTCCATTGAAAGGCACTGGGCTCCCTAGTACTGAAGACTTTTTCTTGGACTTTGGTCACTTTACATTGCACACAAGAGTGAGTTTCAGTACTTTAAGCTGTTCAACTTCTAAAATACTTATTTTTTAACGATAAATAAATTCTTAATTACAGGAATGCGAACGTGAGGAACAAAGGAAAAGTTTGTATTCCCGTTTTTATGTATCAGTCCGGGATATTGCAGCTTTTTTTATGGATGTTAACTCTGGAAGTACGACATCCTCAGTTGTGCAGAAGACTGTTGATGAGAAATCTCATCCATTCCCAAAAGATCACAGAGAAGTCTACTCCCTCATAGATCGATGTGGCATGTCAGTCGTAGTTGACATGGTATTTTAGTTTCACTTTTTGTGTCAACATTTTCTTTAGCATGTTTTACATCTGTAATGTCTTTCATGCTTTTATGTTACTTCTATTTTCTTGCTACAATAATTGTGCGGTATTAGGATCATAACCTCATATCTCAATACAATTGGTATCTTTACTTCATGTTTATTGGACGTATTTGATCCCGAGTTTGCTGATTCTGTTTAACTCCATCTGATTTGTATCAGTCTAGTCGAATTATCGGTATATATGTTCTTTAAGGAAATTTTCTTTATTTGACGGAGGTCAAAGTCAGGGTTCAAATGGCAACAAACTTGATGTAATCCTGCTTGACAATTTAACTTTCTGTCTTAATAGATGCTATGTTTTTTTAACTTTCATATTTGACCTTTGACTTCTAGTCTTAGAATAATGTGCATATATCCATATCTTTATGCAAAATAACATTTAAGATTCTACTGTTCAATTTTAGAGGATATGGTTTCATCTGAACTAGAAAGCTAGAGGTAAGAAACGCTGATATCAGCCTGGTTTCTGTATAAACGTCTCTTTGTAATCAGCTTTCTAGGTTTGGGTAAAATTCTTGGTACCAATCTAACTTTGTAGCTTATTCGCATTGTCTGGGTTGTAGTAGTATATATCTACCTAGAGATAGATATATTGCTATATTTCAAACCGTGCTCTTTTAGAGAGTTCACAAATTTTGATGTCCTTTTTTCTATGGCTCTCACTCTCTCTTACAATATTGTTCCACGTTGGATCTTTTCTATGGTCACAAAGGTAAAAATATAGGGTAAAGTAGCTTACACAAGAATAGTTTGATGCAATTATCTTACCTGGAAGAAACAAGTTATGTGAATTCCTAAGTTCCCTTTCTAAGCACTGCAGGAAGTGCAAGGATGGGCAATAAACTTACACAGAGAAAGATAATAACTGAAATATCTACTTCCATTGGTTACATCTTCCTAAGACATCATCATTCATAAAGGAGCTGGCATTTGCTTTCTGAAGTCTAGAAAATAATTATTTTTGGGGCTTCTCAAGCGATCTTGTCCTTTTTAACATGTGACATTTTCCTTTTGACTTATATTTCTTGAGTTAGTGAGGGAAGAATAATTTCCCATATGGAAGCTAAGGGACTTAGTGTAATGACATTCAGTCTTAAACTCATCTGATTCTCATTTTTTCCGGCAGTCTCCAGGTTAAGGTGCCTTTGGTACGGAATATAACTCATTCCAAAAAACGTAAATATTGCAAAAACATTCTTCCACGATTCATCAGCGAAAGAAGATCGAAGAGTAGTAAACAGGGAAGCTTAAATTCGATTATTCTTTAGTTGAAGAAGAGAAATGATGTTAGGACGTATGAAAGCTCTAAGGGAAGCAGGGCAGCAGTAGGCAAATTTAAATCTGGAAACCATTTTTTCAATGGTTTATTTGTCCTCCCCTGCTTGGTTTTGCTTCCATATTTTATTGTCCTAACTTCTTCCTCATTTAGTACTTTTTGAGATTTTGCTGGTGCGCTATAACTAATTTGAATGTTTCCTCCAAACTTTTCATTCGCTGGGGGTATCCTGCGTGGAATTGTTTTCTGAAGATAAAGATAGCACATCCAAGATACCCATCCACACGGGTTTCTATGCAAGTGCCTAGCCTTGATATTCACTTTTCACCTGCAAGATATTGCAGACTAATTGATTTGCTGGATATGTTCAATGGTTCATGGGGAACCAATGATCTGATTACTAATGGACATTCCGACTCTAGCTCTGTACCATGGTATCCTGCTGACCTGATAACAAATGCAAGAGTTCTTGTTTGGAGGGTATGAGTTTTTCCACTTTTTATTGTAACTGAAATTTGATTTATGTGAAAATATTTCTTATATACTTTCCGTTTTCATGATAATAGGGAATTGGCAACAGTTTGGCTGAGTGGCAGCCTTGCTTCATTGTCTTATGTGGCTTATACCTTTATGTTCTGGAGTCTGAAACATCTCAAAACTATCAAAGATGTGTGAGGTATTGAATATATTATGACATATGAAGGCCTGGCCTGTACTTTTGTCCATTCTTTGTCTTTATTTTCTTGAGAATGTGAATGTTGTTATCAGCCATTTATCTCAGTCCTGCTATTTTTCAACTGTTGCAGCATGGGGGGTCGACAAGTTTTTGAAGTTTCTCCAAGTAGTGTTGGTGGTTCGTTATTGTCCATTGCTGTGGGTTGCAGGGGAACGGATGTCCAGAAGGTAGGTTGTGCAGTTTAATATTTATTTTTCGTATGATATCAAAACTTTTATTCTAACCTGGTCTTAGGGTAGCTATTTGTTAAGTTGTGATAAACAATAGCTTGCATGTTTTTTTTTATCCAAAAATTGAAACATTGTCTGTATTCAACTGCTATTTTTACTGTCTCACATTAACCATTTTCTACTCTTGTTTTTCTTAGATCATCATTCCTTCAAAACTGTGTTTTTTCACTTTATTGATCAAATCTTTTGCTTGAAGTGATAGCCACCTGGCGGTCTGTCTGAAATCTGTCTGAAAGAGTAAGAGGAAAAAAATAAATTGTTCTTGTATTGTTCCTTTTGACTGAATACCCTGAAAAAAAGCTGTGAGAAAAGAAAAAATTTAAAAAGTTAGTTTAGAACTGATAGTCATAGTGAGTAGAGAAAACTTGAGAATATGTCTCTTGTTGGAGCTCTCGTTTTTCTCTTAACTTCGTGCTACAAGGCAATGAATGTTAAAATCTGTGGTGATTTTCTTCATTTTGTTCTTCTTTATCATCATCATTTTCCATCAATCTGTTTTGGAGTAGAAGGCAGATTTGCATGTTGTTTAAAAAATCTTGTAGTTGACTTACCAACTTTATGTCCTCTCTTTGTAAGCTGACCAGAAGTTATTGACATCCCCTCCTTCACTCTCTATGGTAGGAAACTAGTCTTATGCAACTAGTTTATGGTGGAAACTACCTTTCTTTTGTGCAGATTAGGCTTACACACTTTTTCTGTTCTAGGAGCTCTTTATCAGGAAACGAAAAAAAGGACAGCTCTTTATCAGGAATTTTTTTAGTATAGTATGTTATCCAGTCGTGCAAAGAGCTGTCCTTTTTTTAGCTCAGAAAATACTGGATGTATCCTTTCTTAATTTTGTAGGTATCAAGATCCTACTGCAAACCTTTCACCTATTTTTTTTTTTTCAATATGTTCTTCTTATTTTGTTTTACTCTGACCCTTTTCCTTTTGGGTTTTGTCTATTGCTGAGACTTGAAGAGAACATGAACCACATGAGGTGTAAACCTTGTGGTGTAAAGCACATGGTTATAGGTGTAAACCACATGAGGGGAAGCCACACCGTGTTGAGGTTTTCCTCGAGTTACACAACCACCCTTTGATGTGTGCAGTCGAGTCTTTGCCAAGCTGCTCACAAATTTGGTAGTTTGGGAGTGTAGGGTGAGATTGTTATAATTTCTAGAGATTTCAGTTCATAGGATGTGAGGGCCATTTTAAAGCAACAGAAGCTAAATTGTAACCATGTTCGTCATGGCAAAACACTTTATGTATTTTCTTTCCTTGATTGTTTTATTCTTTCCTTCACTTTAGAGCAATTTTATTTCCTTCATGGCAAAACAGAAAATTGTCCAAAGTATCTTAATGCTATGTCATCTAAAATATTAGCCCCCTTTGTTCTAATTGGTACCTAATTGTAGGAGGGTTTGGATTTTCTGACTTAGACAGATCTCCTCATTCTATCTCTCTTTTATGAACCACCGAGTTTTGATGCTGTTACTGGCATAATTTACCTTTCAGGCCTTGGAGTCTTCGACCACCATGATAATAGAATTCCAAGGAGATGATGAAAAGGCAGTGTGGCTTAAAGAGCTTGTGCAAGCGACTTATAGGGCTTCTGTATGTGTTAATTCATGTGCATACTTAAGCTTAATTAAGCTATCTAAATTATTAGTATTCACTCTACTACTGAAAATGTACAGGCACCTCCTGCTATTGACATCTTTGGAGAGGCCATTCACAAGGAAGGTGAATCTTCTGGGACTCCAACCTGTAATCAAGGGAATGCAGACCTTGTAATAAATGGTGCATTGCTTGAGACTAGCCTTTCCATTTATGGCAAAGTATGCTATCTTTACTGTAACAAATATTTTTCTTAAAAAAGTTTGATATTGTAGTTTTTGGTTCTAAAAGATGTATGTAATGAATTGTAAGTTATCTGTTGCAATAATTTGTGGATGGGTGTCTTCGCAGTTGGATAGGTCTAAAGATGCCAATGAAGAAATAATACTGGAGCTTCTTGCTGCTGGAGGAAAGGTATCGTTATGTTCTATGTTGTGATATAAGTCTGCTATGTTTTAGTTATCTTCCATGTTAACCTCATTAGTTGCTATGGTATCTGTTTCTGTTGCTTATACAGTGATTGAGCCATGTTTACTATGTGCCAAAATGTATGCCTAATCACAAGTAAAGTATACTGCTGATACATTGCCTTATATGGTTGCGTTTTTCAGGAGTAAAACAGTTTGCTTTCAAATCTAACAGATTTTGTTTGCAGGATTTACGTAATTAAATGAACTTTCTATATGATGCCATGTAGATGAACTTATTGTAGAAAGTGGAAAAACTCATTAATAATGATCACGGTCTAATGTTTATATCCTAACACTAGAGGCCGTGTAATGGCCCACAATAAGTTCGGCCACTAGGGTGGGCCGTAACATAAGGAGCCCATTACACTATAAGGGGCCCATTACATTTAACAATGTTCCACTTTCTACACTTATAATTTGAGGTTATATGATAAGACATTACGTTGCAAACCTTAACAAATGAGCAGTTATCAACCATGGTGCTCAAGTATGTTTTCTAGAAAGTCTCTCTTTACATTTTAAAAGCTGGCTTTCTGTATCAAGGAAGATGTGCGGAACTTCTCATCTATGCATTTGTATATGGCTTTATCTACGTTTTGACTGGCTCTTTAGATGAACATTGCAATTCTTCCTACCCGCTTTTATTCATGTTTGAGCAATCTTTTTCGTTTTCTCAACTGATTGATTCTTTGTGAATCTCTTGGCTCGTTTTCGTTTTGGAATGGTGGTATCAACTTTTTCTTCATGGTCGTAGTGGAAATTTCGCTCCGCGTGTCTCTCTTCTCTTGAGACTCCTTGTCTCCTTTGTGGAAAGGACTGCACTATCACCATCCTTGTCTCTTAACACTGCTGCCATTCCATCCATCATCCATCATTTCTCATGCTGGTTGCAATTTGACATCAACACTATCACCTCACAGATGACACCAACAATTATAGAACTGATGTTAGCATCTCTGCAGATTGACAAATATATTCTGTTCAAGGATATTTCGGTCCTCTTATGGCATCTATATAAGCCTCTTCTGTTGCACAACATTATTTCTTAAAATGTTATTCAGCCATCAGTGTCCTGCATGCTGATGTTCGCTAGATTGGGGAGTTGTTTGCGTGCTAAAAATTCTAGCCTCCCTTTTTCTCCAACGGGTGTCTTCTAGTATTTGTAGTGCCTATGAACTGTTTTTTGTTTGTTTTGTTGACCACAGTACTTGCTTGGTTTTTCTCATTCACCAGGTGTCTGGCATTCCTTTTTCTCATCATCAATTTTTTATATGGTTATAAACCACGCTCACTATCACATTAAAGTACTTCATATTGATGGTGCCCTTCCGTACCTGTCCACTAAATTTTGCCACATTTTGTGTTTCTTGAACGTTTCCTGAATAATCCTACCATAAAACTCCATGGTAGATTTCATTTGCTGAGCAGACGCATGGGGGACTACGGGTATCATTTACCTCTTCTGCCTACTCTTTTTTTGGTTTTTTCTTGATGAGCCATTATCGGCTCCTACTGACTTTCCCTTTGAGCCTTCCTTTCATCCTTCACCTTCCATTGCCAATGCCAACATTTATTATTGGTGTAATCTTGAAGATACTTCTTTGCCTTTAAAAACAGATGTCACCTACTTTGATGGAGAAGACTTGTCCCCTACCTCTACTTTTACCTATTGTGTATCCTAATCTTCTGAACATGGAAGTTGAGAGAGGAGAGAGGAAGCTCGATTAACGAAGAAAAGGCAAGTAAACATGCCCTTCTACAGTTCCTCCTCTAAATAGATAGACATAGCTCAAGATCACCTAAAAAATATAGGATGTTTATAAAATTTCTGAAGCAAAATATCTCTTAGAAAAAATAAAATGGATTCTAAATATTATTAAGTCGTGAATGTCCTAGAGATATTACACTACTACGCTTTGGGGCTTCAAATTTTCACGCTTTTTCAGTCTTCTGGGCTCACTTTTTATGTGCTCGTGGTCTCTTGCAATTACGCTATATATCAACACTTGTCCCTCATGATCATGTTGATTCTTTTGTAACCTTCAACAGAAAAATATGTTTACTTGTTTCTTGCTATTACTTTTTCTTTTGTAGATCCTCATTTTCTCACCCCTGCTTAAACACCATCCTCTTGGTAAAATTGGTGCATGATTACTTCACCGTTGGTTTTTAGAATTCTCTATCTACTGAGTGCTTTGCAGTAATCATCAGTTAATTTAGTTTCTAAGTAGTTGTAGGTTATGTTCCAGGATGTTAAGTGGAAATTCAAGCATGGTTTATTGACTCTGTATAGTGTGTCTAAACTAATAGAACTCAGCTTAATCTGATGCTTTACATCATTAGTAGTTCATAAAGCGATTTTTGTGTCAAAATAAAGTTGTTCGAGATGAAAGGTAATCACACAATGACACAAAGGGATTTTTACTTAGTGGCCACTGATTACAGGTAAGCTTCCCGTAGATACTGACTCTACCTTCACGATAAGAGGTCTTTCAGTAACTAACTTTCTTTTACATCAAATGAAAAAAATAATTTACACACCAGTGGAGTAGAACTAGAGGATTAAGTATCAACAGACCTTTAATGGACTTTTAATGCATGGGACAAACTTGAGCTTAACCTTTCACTGAACTCTAATCTTTTACGTTATGAATTAGGCATCCATTCTTCTGTCCTAATAGTTAAGAGAAGGATAGATGTTCATGGGAGAAAAGTTTGTCAATTTTTCTAATTTCAATTTAGTGCATATAGTCCAGATTGAAATATTAAGAAAATAATAAAATTCGTACGAGGAGTTTACCACTTCTGACCTCTGCATTTGTTCCCACTGTTAGTAAGACCTGATACGAGTTTTCCAGTGTCTATGGTGGAAAGTATGATAGTTTCATTGTTATACTTTTGATTACAGATTTTTACTGGGCATCTGAGGAATTATCAGTGGATGAGGAAAGTAAGTTAACTTTGGTCTCAGTCGATCAAGAATTCGTGAGAATGATGCATCACAATTTTTCTTGTTTTGTTAATCTTGGTGAAAAGAATGAGTCTTTATTCGTACAGGTCCTAGTAAGACTGTTCAGATGGATCTGTATCTTTTTCTACTGGCACAGCATTTGTCCATGATATGCTTCCTTGGATACATTTCATCGTAGTTATGTGGATCAGGTAGAGATAGATTGGGGGAAACTATGTTCATTACCCAATGATTATCTTGATTGCATTATTATATTTGCTACTTTATTCATTCTGTATATTTAATGAATTATAATGTTGATAACCTTTCAGAAAATAAACATATCAATGTTTGTGGGTTCTCTTTCTCTTGATATTGAAATGAAAATGCTCATGGGCCAAAAGCCATGCTTTTGATTGCTTTATCCTTGTTTCTTGTCCTATGGTAGGTAAATGTTGTTCGTTCTGAAGCTGACCTAACTGTCAAGATGAAGCTGCATTCTTTGAAAGTTAAAGATGAACTTCAGGGTCGTCTGTCCAGCCCTCCCCAATTCCTAGCTTGTTCTGTTTTGAAGGATAATATGGATAGTCCTAGGCTTTCTAGTCTGCATCTCAACGACAGGGTATTCTGCAATTTATTTTTCGATAAGGATGACATTTTTACGGACGCATTACCAGATTTTGTTTCCACCTCTGATCTCAGCCCTAGAACTTGTGATAGTGAAGTAGGTGACGTTTGGTCTGTGCTGGATTCTAACGAATTCTCAAGTCAGGAGAAAGAAAGGACAAAATGGAAAACTGCAACAGAGGTTTTCTATGAGGCTCAGGATGATGTTACTACTGATTTCATTGCTGTTACTTTCCTGACAAGGAATCCAGATTCCCCTCATTATGATGGTATTGATACACAGGTAATTTATTGTCTTAGGACAGTACTGAAATCTAGAGCATTATGGTCGTTAACTTTTTTTTTCATGTAATATTTTTCTGTTTCAGATGACTATTTGCATGTCCAAGCTAGACTTCTTTTGCAATAGGCCTACTTTAGTTGCCTTAATTGAATTTGGCCTTGACCTGAGTTTGGTGAATTCGGGAGCCAACATTGGAGATGGAATCAACGTTTCGGAAGCTGCCTCTTCCCAGGGAACAGAAAAGCCTGAAGAAAGTGGATTCAGTATTGTTAAGGGTCTCTTGGGTCATGGGAAGGGGCGAGTGGTATTTAATCTTACCATGGATATAGACAGTGTTTCTATTTATCTTAACAATGAGGATGGTTCGCAGCTGGCAATGTTTGTGCAGGAATGTTTTCTTCTTAATATTAAGGTTAGATAACTGATCTTAATTTGGTTTAACATATTTAGTTTTTTCTTATTTACAGATATAATTTTCTTAAGAAATCATATCATTGTCGGGTTAGTAAGTTTTATCATCTTTAAATACTCAGCTACAAAAGTTTGGGTCCCCAGATGAGGAGAAAATATTAAAGTCAATCTTCAGTACATACCATATTATCAGCATGATTGAGCGGATTACATGTTTTACTGACCGAAGAACTATGCACATGGCTGCAAGGAAGTGGAAAAGAGTATGATCATATGTCAACGGTGAATCCAGGTGAATCTTCTCGTATGCCTGAAATCGACGATCAATCTCCTCCAAAATCCAGGTGCAGCGGTGACAGAGAGACAGGAGAAAAAGGGGAAACAGGCCGAAGTCCTAAAATTTTATTTTCTCATTCTCTCCCTAGGTGTTTCATGGGACTGGTTTTTATACCAGGAAGTTAGTAGCGATATGAACCAGACTGGACCGGACTGGTTCAGATCGGTCTAGTTCATGACAACTAAAATAAAAAAAGAAAGGCAAACAATATAAGAATAAACGAAAAAACTACATTCCCGACAATTGGTTACATCCTAGCGCTGGTAGTCATGCATGTAAGCATGGGAATTGTGCATGACTAGGATATATGTGCATTTTATTGAGGTTTCAAATGTTTCCTTAAGTTTCTAATTAATTACTTCAACTTGTAAATAATTTTCAGATTCATTTGACAAGTTTTATAGCATCTATTATAGTCCAAACATTATACACAGGGAGATGTACAAAATAGAATGCGTACTGAATAACAAAACTCATCTTGTAATCCTTAAGCTCTCCGTGTGCAGTTTAGAGTATAATGTAAGTGTTAGTGCAGCCTCCTCAATGTTGAATATCTGATAGAATGTCCTCTAGGTATTGATACCTGTTCGTTGAAAATCTTAATGTTGGTGTTTCCTTTCAGTGAAATTCTTGGTATTTTATTTTACGAGCACATAATCCTCTTGATTTTATGTATATGACACGTCAACAGATAATCAAGATAATACCAATAGTGATTTTCTTTTTCTCCTGATTTTAGTTCATATTCACCTTTTTCCGTCATATCTTTTTTCATTAGATTATATTTTTAATCATAAACTGACAGTCTGGTTCAAATTCTGAGAATGCATAATTCTTTACTCTTCCATTATTCTAATATCTGAGTTTATGTTTTTCACTCTAACATTCTATCACATTTTCGTGGATTTATAGCTTTACCGGCTGGGGCATGTGCAGCTTTGTAGCTTCTGATTCTTTGATTTTTTCACAGGTGCACCCGAATTCCTTATATATGGATGGTACATTAGGAAATTTAAGACTTTGCGATTTGTCACTTGGACCAGATCATTCCTGGGGTTGGCTATGTGATTTACGCAACCAAGGAGTAGAGTCTCTCATTAAGGTAATTCTTTTTCTTATATCCTATTTGTATATATTTGTTCATTTAGTCTATGTTGCTTTCTTCTGTTCAGATCTAATGATCATGTTGTGAATTAAACCTTTTTGTTGTCAGATTCTTTCCATTGTCGAAAATAAAGTCTTAAAAGCTAAGAATATGATATGTAAGTTGATGCTTGCTGCAGCTCCTGAATTCTGGTCGCAGATTGATGCCAATTCTTTTAAAATGCATTTAAAAGCTGATCGTATAAATTGTTGGCTTTCATTGTTCTCATCTTATTTTGATGTTTATCATGGTGTAAATGTTTTTCAACCATCTGAAGAACTAATACGAGGGCTTGAAGGGGCTTTTGAACGGATAATTGATTTCCAGAAATTAAGAAAATTAAAATTTCCAAAAAATAATCCAAAAGCAAAAGGTTTAACTATTATTCGATAAAATTATTTTATTAACCAACATTATATCCTTAGGTTATGAAATTCATGAACAGTAGGGATTAATTATTTTTGTTAATGATTTTTTAGGGCGACTTAACAGGGTTTTTCATTTTGTGTTCTATCACATTGGTGGTTTGATGAATACGATTCTTACCTTTATTAGGCATGAGTTATATGTGCTGCTCTAACCCGATGAAGGCCTTTCTTCCTTAGATCCCCTTAGCATATGCTTAATTTATAGATCTTGTGAAGGAATTCCAGCCTTTTTTTCGTGTGGCACCTCAATTTCATTAATTCCTGCTCTCCCTAGTTTGTACCTGTGATGAGATTCTTTTTGGGGGGATACGTTGATCTATTTGCATGGTCTTGAAGATGGTCCCAACAATTCTAGATGACACCAATTGTTGACTCTAATGATCGTAAGTGGTGTGATAGGCTTTTTAAAACATTTTAATGGTAAATATGTCATTTAAATTTACATTTAATTCTTACGATGTTATTTGTCATAGTGATTGGAGATTATAGTGTTTGCTTCAGTGCTTTACTGACTCAGTAGTAATTGGTATATTTATGTCCACATTCTGCGGACTTATTCTGGTCTGGGCTAGCTCCTCAAATCTGATCCCAGTTTTTCAGCCTTTGAGCTCTGATGTGAATCAGGGATTAAAACCCTGTTCGTTCCATGGTAGGATCTTCCAGGGAAGACCGGTTTATTAGGGAGTTGAGAGCTCTGATGTGCTGCTCCTTATACCTTATTTTCTATCATTCTTTGTCGATAGCCACTATATTGCATGCTGCTGCCTATTCCTGATGACCTTCCCCTTTCACCACAAGGTTGGGTAAATGAAAATTGACTCAAACCATATAAGGAGAAACAGACAGGAAAAATCTCTTCTTCTGCTCAAAACATATACCAATTGCTAGTCATATCCAATTACCCTGGCCACAGAGAAGGGAAACTATCTAGGCTCAGGAAACTGACAAACTAGGAAACTGCCCAACTAGGAAATTGGCCAAGAGAAACTCCTAATTACGCGTTTTCTCCCACAAAAATTAGTCTGGCAGAAGGGAGATGAAGTATTTTAACAGTTATTTTCTAATTAGAAAGATAACCCAAATATGCTTCTCTTTGCATTTTAGTAAAGTACAACTATTCTACAATTTAATAAACTTCTGTTATTAATGGTGTCTTGGTTGGTTACTCATGTGGCAGGTTATCATGAAATGGATTTGATCATATTGACAAGACAATGGAGTTCATAGTGTTAATAATATATCTAAGTGTTGGAGGCTGAATTTTTTGAAGTGATTCCTGTTTTAGTCAATTACTGCTTCGATATCCTCTAGACCAATGAACAACTTCATTGAATGATAAAAATAATTCTAATGACGCCTAACATAGGATGGATTCAGGAGGCAAACGAAATCTTCATGGAGACAATGTCCAGACTAGTGGCTGGTTTGACTGCAGGAGTGTGAGGGTTACTAGATTATGCTTGGTCATATGCTGTGTCTTGATGGAATTCGAGGCGTGGGCTGAAATTTGACTAATTTGGCACACATTCCTTAACTTTGTTTAAGTTACTAATTGAAAATTTCCCATGCTACGTTTTAGTCTCTTTGATTTTGGTAAATGTCTGAATATATGCATATGTGAGGGAGGCCCACATGTCCTGAGGAGATAAAGAAAGTTTTTCCATTAATCAATTTCTCAGGAAGGTTTTGAAACTGTTGCCTATGTTCCCTTTGGTTCTGTCATATCTTATCATATTATCACATGGATAGGATGTGAGCGTGCGCTGTTGTGACAGATTTATCTAGTTAATACTTTTGGGATGAGCTTGGCTCACTTGCTCCTAGCTGCTTATGCCATATGACACAGGAGAAGGTATGAGGATTGCCAGGGTTGTAGCTCTGTACATGGACTAAATGCCCAAGCATGTTATTTTGCTTTGGCGTACTCTTTACACATGGCACATATAGGTTCAGTTTGTTATGTATTATAGGTATATCACCAAAGAAATGAAATAATGAATCGTCTACTGTTGTATTTTCCATCTTGAAGTTGAAATAACCTTAATTCTTTCTAGATAGGTCATCAGTTTTTTTTTTTCTTTTTTTTGACTTTGACACCATTCTGTAGGACGCAAACAGGTCCATTTCTGTGAATGCATTTTATGTGATTTCTATATGGGTTTTACTTGTGGAAACTGATCACAGTTACTACCATCTTTATAGCATCTTAACGTTTTTTGTGTTTTCATTTTCTAGTTTACTTTTCAGTCATACAGTGTTGCTGATGATGATTACAAAGGATATGATTATAGTTTGCATGGTCAACTCTCTGCTGTGCGCATTATATTTCTCTATCGGTTTGTTCAGGAGGTACACCATCTCGAACCTCTTCCTTAGTGAGCTTTTTGACTTGTATTGTGATCTACTTTGTGTTTTAACCTATTTCATTTTCAGTCTCCAAATGCGCTTCTAGATACTCAACAACCGAGATAGATACTAGTTTGTTTATTGAATAATAATCATACTCACAACAATCCAATGAAAAGCTTGGACGTGAATTGCTCATCCTCTTGACATGCAGATAACTTCATACTTTATGGAGCTTGGCACACCACGCACTGAAGAAGCTATCAAGCTTGTTGATAAAGTTGGGGACTTTGAGTGGCTAATTCAGAAGTATGAGGTCGATGGGGCCTCCTCAATCAAACTGGATTTGTCTCTTGACACCCCTATAATTATTCTTCCTCAGCACTCTTCAAGCAAAGAGTATGCATCGTTTTGAAAATACTCACCCTGTTATTTGACAATTTTATGTCTTATTTGTGTGTTGTATGGGAAATGAGGGCTGATTTTGGGTAGACATATTTCTTTGTAGCATTGTTATAGAACTCTTAAATTGTTTTCAGTATCCAGTAAAGATTTCTGAGTCCATTTTTAGCCTTCATGAAGCGTGAAAATTTCTACAAATGAACTGGGAATTGCTTTAACAAAAGAGAATGTGATGAATTCGCTTGAGAAAAAAAAATGATGACTTTCTTCAGTGATGCACATATTTCCACAAAGAAATATTGATAATTCAAATGTTACTTGCATTTGATATCCATTGTAAACTGCTTTTAACAATGAATGGTTTCTAGAAAGTTTTTAAGTGTGTTTGGAATAGCAACTAGATGGTACAATGTTCTTGACAAAGACTTGCTGAGGAATAAAAAAATAGACCACTAGAAAAAAGCTTGAGCAGTACGTTTCCTTATTCATGATCACATTTATTGGGCTTGATTGAAGATCATCTCCCCATGTCATTGGTCATGCCCGTTGGATTCAGACAATACGACCAAGTCAAGTTTGTATTGGTCAAATTTCCTCAACCTAGGTAGTTTCCTTTTCTTGTCGCCTAGGTAATTGTATAAACCAAGCAGTTTTTCTATGATTTAAGTAGTAGAAGAGATTTTTCCCTACTGTTTATCCTTGTACGGTTTGCATCGTATATTTCTAAAATTCTTTTGAAGTTGCCTATTTAAATATTCCTCGATATAGACCATGGAACATCTGAAAAATTACAATATGCCAAATTTGGTAGCAATTGAATGATACCTCAATAACTACCAACTTCATATTTCCTTGTGCACAAGTACTATTTTGCAACATAGTAATGATTACACGGCCCAAAAAGACATGATGGATGGATTCCAAGTGCAAACGGAAAGAATTTTGGTTTAGAGATAAGTGGGCAGCTTCGTGTTGGCTAATTTCCAAATAAAGATTTTACTTTTGTGGGTAGTTCATTATGCTGGACCATACTCTTCCTTCAAATTCTACAACCAACCTCGTTATAAATTCTTTCATTGTAACCAACAGTGACCCTTCCTTTTCCATTCCATCTCATTCTGCTGGTATCCTCTTTTCCTTTTTTCTGAGGCATCTTTGTAGCCTTTCGAAGGGTTTTGCATCTTAAAATAAATTATTTTTATATGGACTAAAACTATAGTTTCATCATTGTGATCAAATAAATTTATAACCTTTTTTGTTCTTCTATGTATTACAGTTTTCTTCAGCTTGATCTGGGTCAGCTACACCTTAGCAATGGATTTAGTTGGCATGGTTGCCAGGATGAAGACCCTTCTGCAGTGCATATTGATGTTCTCGACATTGAGGTATTCCCTTTTGATTTCTACGTCAATTTCCTATGGACTTCCTAATAGGCGTACTGTTTACAACTTGACAGGTAAGCGGAATCAACATGGCCGTTGGAATCAATGGACTTCTTGGGATGCCTATGATTCGAGAGGAAGAGGGATTTAATATTCACATAAGGCGCAGCTTGAGAGATGTTTTCAGAAGAGTACCAACAGTTTATGTAGATGTGAGGGTAATGATTCCTACTGTCAGCACTTTATTATCAGTCTGAATTAGAAAGCGGGGTACTTTCTCTTGGCTGGGTCAATTCGGTACAAAATGTTATTACTTTCAATCGTTGAGTTTTGTTTGGTATTGATATATTTTTTTGCACGATGTTTCATCCCAGGTCTAACAAAATTATTGTCTGCCACCCTAACACCCAATGTGGAAGGGGAGAAGAGAGATCAAGGATCCCCTTCTTAAAATGATGAAATATTCATTATTACAATTCGTAGTGAACTACATGGAGTCAGATCGATGGTATGCAGATATTGGCTGACCACTTTTTGTGGGTTGAGGGTATTTTAGGTTGTGGGTTTAGGTATCTTGAAACATTATCACATCAGCTTGAGTCGGATGATTTCTGGAATGAATCTATCAGAAATTTTTCTAATTTCTGGGGAAAGGGTGATTATCTGATAGTTGACGTTTTGTCACTCGGATTGAGTGGTTTCCATCATCAGTCCTTTGGGGGCTCAAGTCACTGCTAAGCACAAAACTGTGGGAATCAAAAGGTGGAAGATGAAGAAAGATAAGAAAGTGAAAGCTTAAATGGAAACAAAACAGTGGAAAGAAGAAAACAAGAACGAGAAAGTATTTGATGTTTCATTGTATTTCTACATTTTTTTAATAAAATAATAAGATACATTATAATACTATTAATATATCTATGTCTTTGTTCTGTTTCTTATCAAAATTAGCCTTTTCCTTGTTATTGGCCAGTATGATCTCACTTCAGAGCAACGGGGCCTGGCAGATCTGATCCTATTAGATTTACAGAGAAACCTTCAGACGGATCTTTTTTTTCATTTCATTTTGGCAAGTGAGTTATATTTTTCATTTTTTCTGCGAAAGTTACATATATTTTTTTCTTGTTCAAGAATAATAAATCTATTCCATCTAAACCAGAAGCATTTTTTGAAAATATGTTTTGTATACCGTGATATGATATCATTCCTTCCAAACAAATCACTCCATCTAACTGTGCTCGATAGTGAGTGAGAAACTGTGGGATCAGCAGCAGTGACAGGAAATGTTTGTAGATAGAAGAGAGTAGAAAGTATGATTTGTGAGTTGTCTCATTCTCATTGGCAATGTCTCTACTGAAGGTTGATGAGAATTTTCCTCGTATGTTCTCACTACTCGCAATATCATAGTTTCAATTAGTCATAAGGAAGTATGGTGCTAAATTGCATGATAGAATAAATTCTTATTATTTTATAAACTTTCAATGCATATTTGCCTTTAGTATATTTCTTGCTGTTTTACTCATGTTTTACTTTGGTGTAATTTCGCTATCATTTGTTATATCCAATCTTCATTGATCTAGTACTCTTCCCTGTGAATTTAATTCCATGAGTATTTAGTTGCAGATTAAGCCTGTTGCCTTTAGATTATTTGGTTTATGCATTTTCATTACTATGTTATCTCGATTTCTGCTACTGGTTGACGTTGCTGAGATTTTACATTGAATGAACCACCTTTGTTTAGTCCACGAGTTGATCATCTAAAATTGTGCAGGTTGGTTTATTGCATTGCATTATGTCTGACAAGGAGTACAATGTAATTCTGGATTGTGTTTATATGAATATTTCTGAGGAACCTAGACTTCCTCCTAGCTTCCGTGATGCTCCAAAGGACTCAATGCGCATTATTGCTGACAAAGTCCAGCTTAATAGTCAAATCCTCCTGTCACGGACTATTGCTATAATTTCTCTTGAAATTCATACTGCTTTGTTAGATTTACGTAATGGTCTTGATGAGGAATCTCAATTGGCTCATATTGCTGTGAGTTTTCCATCTTGAACTAAGTTTTCCTCCGTTCTTTCACCTTAAATTAATTTTTCCTCTTGTAATTGGCTACAATAATTTATCAGTTTTTCATGCATTTATTTTAACAGCTGAATGATTGGTCACTGTTACTCCATTTTTGCAGCTTGAAGGTCTCTGGTTGTCATATCGAACAACGTCATTGTTTGAAACTGATATCTATTTAACAATTCCCAAGTTGTCAATATTGGACATACGCCATGATACAAAGCCTGAAATGCGTTTGATGCTCGGCTCTTCTTCTGATGTTTCTAGGCAAGGGATATGTTCTTATCATTCTAAGATGTGGTCTTCGAATGATGTTTCTAACAGATGCATAGGACCTGTAGCTGATGCTGAAACCCCTATTTTGACCATGTTGATTATGGACTACCATCAGCGGTCATCCTCCCAATCCTTAGTTATCCGCATCCAGCAACCACGCATACTTGTTGTTTTGGACTTTCTTCTTCCAGTGGTTGAGTTTTTTGTACCTGCTCTTGGTGTGGTGACTGGTAGGGAGGAAATGATGCATCCAGAGAATGATCCATTAACGAAATGTGAGGACATCATACTGTTGGAATCTATCTATTTGCAGCAAAGCAATGTCGTATATCTTTCTCCACAAAGGCGATTAATTGTTGATGGCTGTGGTATTGACGAATTTATATATGATGGTTGTGGTGGGGCAATACATTTGATTACTGATTCTGAGCTCAAAAACAAGTCTCCTGGAACTCTGCCAATTATCATCTTAATTGGGCGTGGTAAAAAATTGCGGTTTAAGAATGTCAAATTTGAGGTATAATTGATTTGCATCTGTTTGAACTACCTTCTTTTAGTCTTTTTTTCTTGTTCACAGAATTTCCAAAGCATCATGTATCTAGTTGTTGAAGGAAAATCAATACAGTAACAAAGAGAGAATATTACTAATACAATAGTATAACTATAAGTTAGATTTTTATCAAACCTTTCTTGATTCAAACCTTCTTCAGTGGCATGTCTGCCCTATGTCAACGAACAGAAGATAATTAAAATAATAACTTACAGACCGTTTCACATACGTTGAGAAAGGATCAGACTATTTCAGAAGCTTTATCAATTTTCAGGGAAGTTTTAGTGCCCTGAAGATAAGCTCTAGCTGTGCATTTGAAAGATAGATACTTGAAGTTTGATTTAGGTTATCTTATTTATGTTATTTAATCAAGTTCTTGACCTAGGTCCGTGAGTTGTACACACTTTCTTCATTCTCTTGAACTCGGCGCCATTAGGTTGAATTTCCCAGTGTTCAATCATTGTTTTTACGAAATGTCATGTTCTCTAAGTTAGATCTTACTTTGAGTAAATGTTTACATACGTAAGGTCTTGACTTTTTAGGTCATCTCATTTGTTTGGCAGAAACGTATATGATCTTTAAGCATGTAATTTTTTAAATTTTTTGGTGCATCAAAATTTTATAAGGATAAATGTTTGAGACACGAAAAATTACAATCAATTTCTAAAACCAAGTATTTTTTTAATCTCGCCTGAAACTATTGGGTGTTTGATATTGACTGGATAATGCGGTATCTGCACCCAATTTAGTGAATTTGTTGCATTTTGTACCCACTTTCCCTCCCTGTATATTCTTGTGTTGGTTTAATTTTTTGGCATTCTGTACGTGACATGAGTTCTGTTTAGTTTTGTTTCTGAAGGAGTTTTGGGTTTTTCTGTTACCTCTTCAACTTTGCTATCCTAACTAATCTTTTAAGGTGTAATTGACATCTATAACTCTTTTTCTCCAAACAATGTACTGTTCTCTGTTTTAAGTCTCTTTCGTTTGATATTTATGGAGTGAAAGTCTCACAAATCGCGAATGCTTGGGCACTTTGTCTGTTTTTTGACGGATTATTATATGGCTAACCAGAATGGTGGACTACTAAGAAGTTGTACCTACCTCGGAAATGACAGCAGCTATTCAGTCTCTGCCGATGATGGTGTTGAGATCTCAGTGGTACACAGCAACTCTGCAACAGATGAAGAAAGTCTAATTGAATTTAAAAAAGGTAGTCCAAAATCAGCAGATCCTACTACCGGCGAAAGGACTACATCCAATCAGATGAAAAGCACTTCATTTGAAATTCAAGTACCCTCTTGTTCTTAAAATTTTTCAGTTTGATTAGGGTTTTATTGATGTTCTTATCCTGTATATGTTATTTTTGTTTTCACAGGCATTCTTGCGTTTTGTTTATTTGAATGATGCTATGGTCATTCATGGCCCTATTTACATTTTTTCATTTTATGCTTTCTTGTCTAAAACTGCCGCTTGAAGATATTCTACCTCATGAGTCCTCTTACTTCTTCAAAAGGGTGGCTGGTTTCATCTAATCAAGTCTAACAGCGATTTGATTAAGAATATGTACTTGGATGACGTGCCTCTTGTGTTACGGTGTCTAGCACATCTTTCCAGCTTATAGGGTTCACCAATAAAGAATCGACTCCTGTATTACATACTCTTTGGATGAGAATCAGAAGCAATAAAAGCACAATCAATAAGGGCTTTAGGTAGAAATTTTTATCTAGCTTTGTATCATCTACTGTCTGATCCAAATCTGTGGATGATTACTTAGTTTCTCCTTTCTTCTTTCCATCTCTGTGCTCTTCCATTCTAAAAGATTCAAGAGGAATATTTTTATTTTAGAGCCTCTCGCCTTCTACTGGCAACATCTAAGAAGAGGAGCAGTAGGAGACACAGAAGATACTGCAGCACCTATTGACTCCCATATCTACCAGTCTCTAGCCTCATCTAATGTATCCCTTATTTCCCGCATCTCACTTTTGCCTCCAGTACCGTCAGAGAAAACTTTAACCAGGCTTTTTCACCACTCTCCTTATCTTATTTATTTAGTACCTACTCGCTCCACTTCTCAGCCATGATCCTTGTATCGTTTCCAGAATCGCCCATTTTTAGTTTAAATTGTTCAATCTGTATCATAACTGCCTTTGCCCGTTTTGATGTTCTTTTAGGAGGGGGAGCCCATCCCTTAGAAATAAAAACTGCTTTAATGTAGAAACTTCATTGGTAATAATTATGGCTCTTTCTTGTGAAAATGCAGCCTCCTCGTTGAAACGGGTTTTGAAGAAACTTTTATCCCTGCCATATCCCATCCTCTCTTTCGAAAACAGGGGAAGAGGACTCTTGTAGTGTGTTTCACAGTAGGATCATGTTATTGTATCTTCCTTCGCTCTGTTAACTTTATGGAGTAATAATTGAGATGCCTTCTGTCATCGTCATAACATTTCTGCAGCTGCACCTTAATGCAATGATATCTGAAGTAAAACCTGTCTTGCATTTGAATTAACGTCTGAATTAATATCTGAAGTAACATTCATTCGTCTCATCGAGGCAAGCATTTGACTTCAAGTGATTCGGCCTTTCTGATTTTAATTAAAAGTAGTTCATTAGAGCTGTCCCACGTATAGTGGTCGAAATTAAACTTATGGTTACTATGGGAACATTAAATTCTCATTGCCAGAATGTTTTGAGTTGGACGGCCCAATTCTTTCGCATGGTGTAGTGGCTTCAGCCTCTATTATTGGGCTGTACACATCCCATATTGATTCTCCTCTTGGCAGAACCTAAAAGAAAAGGTTTGCACATGAGAGACATTAGTGATTAAAATATATAGATATATTCCACTCCTTGCCGATTAGCTTTCACTACGGGACTCATCCACTTATTCTTCTTATCTAGTTCTTTGGATGTTCTTCTTGGCGTTTAAAAATTGTCTATCCCTCTCTTCAGAAGTTTTTTCATTCGCTTTTGTTCTCATAAGAGCTTCTCTGTGCTTCAGATGTTCATGTTGCAAATTTCATTGGAAATGTATGACCAGCATGAGCATTGTAATGGTTGATTACTGGTTTAGATGAGGAAGTAGGTGCTTTATGGTTATGAAATATGCATATTTGTGAAGTGTTCTATTTATGCAGGTTGTATCTCCTGAATTCACGTTTTACGATAGCACAAAGTTGTTTATGGATGATTCATTGCTGGTAGAAAAGCTTCTCCGAGCAAAATTGGATTTGAATTTCATGTGAGTTCCTGATGTTTTAAATTTTTTGGGATTACTGTCTTTACCTTATGCTATCCTAGTCCTATAAATTGTCTATGACCTCTGTTCGTAGATTAGTTATACGCCTGTGAATGACATTTACCAATTTATGGCTTGCTCTTCTCCTATCTCCTCTTCTTCCTTCCTTCTCCACCTTCCCTCTCTGCTTCCCCTCATGTGCCTGTCTTGGCTACAGATTCGCATCACCTAGACCAATGAGTACGAAAGATGGAACCCAAGCCTGGAATCACCTAGACTAACGTGTAGTATGAGAGATGGAAATAGCCATGGTCATGCTGGACTTGGTTTCATATGCATTCTCCTTTCCACCTCATTAGTTTCCCTCTTTTGCTATGGAGGGAATGTTATGAGTGTTATCTAAATGTATGAATGTTATGATGCTCCCAAAATATCACTTCCCCATGAGCTGACCAATTCAGCTCCCAGTTTATGCTTATGCTTATCTAAATCCACCTTAACCCAACTCTACTTAGATGCCTCCTTAATGGTTTTTGCAAGTATAGACATGTTATGATGTTCAAATTGGTCAACCCTTGTGACTTGGATAACTGAATTTAGCAGTGGAATCATAACCAATGTCTTGGTGGAGTTTGATAACCGTGAAAATCTGTGTAAGCATTGACTGCCACTCCTAGAATCATGAGATTTGTGCATGACATTCCACTACTCACCCTGGTTACTAGTAGCCTGCTATATTTTTGTTTTATTTTCCTTTTTGTTAGTGAGGGTTTCGTAAGCCTTTATAAATATTAATATCTTCCTTTGATCCTGCCTGATTTAGGCAATTGTATTTCATAACCAATTTTTGGTGGGTTCAAACCGAAATTATTCGAAAGTGGACCTTAGTGTCTACTAGTTTCAGGTTGTGCTCGCTTGCCTTATGTACTTTTCATGCACCAATTTCTTTAAATTGCAATTATCACATCTTTGTTATAGCTAAACAAAAAACTATTTTCATTTCCCAGAGAGCAGAATTAATATCTAGGCATTTTAAAATCACTATCCATATGAAAGAGCTAATTGTCTTTAATATGTCACCAAAAGCAGAATTATATAGAACATTGCCATATCGTGACAGAAGTATCATCTTTTGTGCTACAAGTCATCTTCTGCTCATTTTTAGGATGTTGTCCAACTATGTCACAAAACTTTTGCATGCCTTTTATGATTTTTTCCTGGTGTCGTGATTTGAATAAAAATGATGACATTTTTTACAGATTAAGACTTTGAAGGACGTACGAATTCCATTATTGTTTTTACGTCAAGAATGTGATAAAGTTATCTCTATCTTTGGTCTTTTGTTTTATAGACTTCTGAAGCCTGTTATCAAACCCAGTGTGTAGTTTCACATCCCTTACTCCTATCTTTTTCTCACTGATGTTGGATACTATGATAACATTTCCTAGATTCGCTTGTTGGAAATTATTAATAGTCACTCCATGTAAGCAGGTATGCTGCAAAAGAAAATGATACTTGGGTTCGGGCCCTTGTGAAGGATCTCACAGTTGAAGCTGGTTCAGGTCTTATGGTCTTGGATCCAGTAGATATTTCAGGGGGCTACTCTTCTACAAAGGATAAGACGAATATATCAATTATTTCAAGTGATATATTTATACATCTTTCACTGAGTGTTGCCTCTCTTCTACTTCAATTGGAAAACCAAGCTATGGAAGCACTGCAATTTGGCAATGCAAACCCACTGGCTACCTGTTCCAACTATAAACAATTATGGGTTTCCAAGAGAGGTCGGTCTATGCCATTCGAGACAATAATTGGATTTTATGGCCGCGAACCTAGTTCTAATTTTGTTTTTATCACATTTTCTTAACGTTGATGGCAAGTAAAATGTCTTCGAGCTAATAAAGGGATTCTATGACTTGGCTACCTTTTCTCTGCTGTTTTCTTATTCAAGACATCTGACAGCGTAGATTTTGGCAATCTTTCTATTACAGGAAACACTTCTACTTATAATCTGACGTTTTGGAGGCCCCAGGCTCCGTCAAACTTTGTCATCCTTGGTGATTGTGTGACTTCTAGGTAAACGCTGAAAAGAAATGGGTATTCTATAAAAAAAATTCATTTTCTCGTGTTTGTCCCAAAAGAGTTAAACCTGATCAAAATCAAGATTATATTGTTACTATGAAGATTTTTTATGCTTTATCTGAGAAGATGGTTCCTTTATGGCAACTTCTAGCTTTTTTTCCATGAGTTGCATCCAGCTCACACAAAATTCATGTTGTATTGCATTATTTCTGGTCAACCCATACTTTGAACTAGTTTCGGTAGGAACATAGGAGAAGAAGACAGGAGGTACACGAATTTCTGGAAAGTAGTAAGCAACATGTGCCAAAGAGGGCACAAGATATAAATATATGTATACTTTTGTGGATTGGCGAAGAAGGAAAATTGAATATCAAAATCTACCAGACCCCAGTGAACACACAAGTTTACAGTAAAATTCTCCATACTACTCCTTAACTAACTGGGAGTCGCAAAAAGGATGAATTGCGAGTTTCATATGTATTGTAAATCATCTTTATTATGTCTCAGTACTGCTATGTATTTTGAGGATTTCTGGCATAAAGAGTGAATGCTGTGTTGCTTGTTTTTCTTTTATTTTATTTATTTCTATTTTTTGAGGTTTTTATTACACCAATACACGTTACACACTTAGCTAATTTTTTTATTAATGGAGTTCTGTACAAAGTCAATGTCCTGAAAGAAGCAGCCTAGTGCTGTATTCCGGCATATCAACATATACTTTAGAAGCCCGTACTGATAGGTTATGAGGATATTATCAATGCGTTTCAATGTATTTTCTCGATACCAGTGACATAAGGGTCACCCTTACCCTGTTTCTGCAGACCAGTACCTCCATCACAGGTTGTAATGGCTGTGAGTAACACATATGGCCGTGTAAAGAAGCCTGTTGGATTTAAGCTCATTTGTTCACTGTCTCATCTACTAAGGATGGAAGGAGAGTGTAGTACAGATGCTAACAATGAGTGCTTTCTATGGATGCCTGTTGCACCACCTGGGTACTCAGCACTGGGATGTGTAGCACAAATTGGAAGTCAGCCCCCACCAAACAACGTTGTTTATTGTATTCGTTCTGATCTCATGTCATCAACAACATTTTCAGATTGCATTTTCAGCGTTCTGCCAAATCAGAGGTATACTGGAATTATTTTTCTGATATTTTAATGTTTCTTTTTTTGACAAGCTATGTTTTCTACAGCCGTCTCTCTGGATTTAGCATTTGGCGTGTTGACAATTCTGTTGGTTCGTTTTGTGCACATCCTTCAGTGGATTGCCCTCCAAAAGTAAATTGTTTAGATTTGCATCAGACACTACTCAGCTATTCAAATATGCGCATAGCGATGAAATCTATCTCCAAAGACTCCCTTGGTCATGGCAAAGAGGAAAATAATTGCAGTTACAGGTCATCTGGTTGGGATATTGTGAGGTCACTTTCGAAATCGAGTTGCCTCTCTATATCAACCCCACATTTTGAAAGAATGTGGTGGGACAAAGGTTCAGAATTTGGCAGACCTGTTTCAATCTGGCGGCCACTGCCACGTCCCAGCTTTTCTGCACTTGGGGATTGCATTGTTGAAGGGTATGGACTTTCATCCTCTCTTTATCTTTAGTGCATGGCTTTCTCACTGTTATATTTTAGTAACAAAGTATTTCATTCCAGGTTGGAGCCGCCTGCTTTTGGATTATTGTTTAAATGCGATAAATCAGAGCTATCTGCTAGGCCAGTGCAATTTGCCAAGGTTGCGCACATAATTCGTAAAGGACTTGATGAAGCATTCATTTGGTACCCGATTGCTCCATCTGGCTATGTGTCCTTGGGCTGTGTGATTACAAGAACTGATGAGTTACCCAACAAAGAGTTATTTTGTTGTCCTAGGATGGATATTGTTAAGCAAACGAATATCGCTGAGATTCCAATCTCCAGATCATCCAGTTCCAAGGGGTCTAATTGCTTGAGTATCTGGAAAGTTGAAAATCAGGTTTTGGCTTCCAGCAATCGCTTTTTCCACTGTTCATCTCATCAACCTGAAGGATTCTAAGAGTTTCTCTTTTTCCACGCTAGAATTTTTGGTTTGGGTTCTAGTGTGCATAATTTCTGTAGAAATGGATGTCATAATTTTATCACTGTGTTGTTGCAGGCCTGCACTTTCCACGCAAGTTCTGATCTGAAAAAACCATCAAATCGTCTGGCATACAGCATTGAGGATTCCGTAAAACCTAAGACACGTGAAAACATCAGTGTTGAGATGAAATTGGGATGCTTTTCGCTCACTCTACTTGACAATTTATACAGAATGGTATATACCTTTTGTCAGGGCCTAATTTTTTACGTTCCTGGACCATAACACCTACTTGTTGATTACCCGATTATTTTTCAGTTGACACCACTTCTAGACATGACGATTACGAATATCAATCTTGCAACACATGGACGTCTGGATTCTATAAGTGCAGCACTAGTCTGTTCGATTGCGGCATCCACATTTAACAGACAACTAGAGGCCTGGGAGCCCCTTGTTGAACCATTTGATGGGATATTCAAGTAATATTAACCTTTGAGCTAGTCTCTTTTTTTTTTTCGTGTTTGGCTTGGCACATCTCTTTTCGTTGGCTTATAACTTTGCTTTGTGCTTCTCTTATAGTTTTTTTTGGCATATTTTATCTTATGTGTAATCTTCAAAGCATTAAATTAATAGTACAAGTATTTGCTGAAGGGTGGAAACATTTAATATGAATGAACAATCTCCTCCAAGATTTGGTAAACGCTTGCGTGTTTCAACTACTACTCCTGTAAATGTCAATGCCAGTGCTGCAAATCTTGAATCAATGACCGAATCCATTATGTCATGGAGAAGACAAATGGTTCTCGAGCAAAAAAGCTGTCAGAAAAATGAGGTTAGTTCTGACATTTATCCAAAATATGTATCTTCTAATGGCATAATCCAGGTTGCTGACTGTTGTACCATCATAACAGGAGCCTGATTTACACTCTAGCTCCATCAATGGCTTAATGTCCTCGGCACTCGAAGAAGATGATTTACAGAGAGTGATTGTTGAGAATAAGCTGGGATGTGGTGTTTATTTAAGAAAATTGGAAAAAAGTCCCGAAACCAGTGAATTGTTACAACATGATGAACAAGTTTCAGTTACAATTCCGCCTCCTAGGTTTTCAAATCAGTTGAATTCTGCTGATGCATCTAGGGAAACTCGTTATTATGTTGCCATTAGGATATTTGAAGCCAAGGTATAAGTTTTTCTTGTTTAGTGGTCTACGATGACTCTGAAATTTTATTGTATTCCGTATGAGAAATATTACCGTCTTGCAGGGGTTACCTATCCAAGATGATGGCAATGCTCATGATTTCTTTTGTGCATTGCGATTGGTAGTCGACATGGAGGCAGCAGATCAATCCAAGATATTTCCACAAAGTGCAAGAACTCGTGTTAGACGAGTGGTTTCTCAAGAGAATGATGAGACTGAGGGACTGGTGAAGTGGAATGAGGTCTTTATTTTTGAGGTTCCTGAGAAGGTAATGTCTCAGATCTGATTGATGATATGGCTTCCGTCTTTTGATGTGGTAATTTAGAAGTTTCATATTTCATGATATTTAATCAGATTTAATCTTTCATATTCTACAGACGTTAGTAATCCTTTGGCAGATACGGATTTGATTGACTTCATTTTTCTGACTTCTCTTCTATGGGTCACTTGATAGTTTATTTTTTATTGCGGTTGATAACCTTTTATCTGACGTGAATTTGTTTAATTTGTCTTGGTTTCCTAGGCTTAATTTGTTTAAATAGTCTTGGTTTCCTTGCCTTGTTGATTGAGAATTATCATCAGAATTTGTTAACTTGTGGTCAGATATGCATTATGGTGTATATGTTTTAGCTGTCATCTATGGTAGTGCAGAACAGGTTAGCTTTTCAGTGGTGACAAATGCATCCTGTGCTGAAGGGAGTTTCGAATTTTGAACACGTTACAATTGTTGTCATTTGCTTTGCTCAGCAGCTCAATCTCCAGTGTTCTCTCAAAACTATAGTTCGTAATCAATTCATATTTTTTATTAATCTTAGGTTCCTAAGTCTGACGCATGAGCTATAGATTTTCACATCTTTCTCAGAACCATGAGTTCTCTTTTCGGAACTAGAAAAATCGCGGACCAAAATTTTATGTCACATGTAGGGCTACGCTGCAACCTTTTAGTCATATTTAGTTGTACACAAGAAAGAAGAGAGACAAATCCAGATATAGGCTTAGTTAGTGTGCATCTGCCTTTTCTTAAGTTTGTTCCCTGGTAATGGTTATCATTCGTTGTATATTGTGCATACTTTTTTTAACATTTCTTAATGTCTTCGTTTAGCTTATGTTTGCGATTATTCAGAAATATTATGCTTCTTTTGCATCATATTATTTTGACAATTGATATTTTGTCATTATTGTAAACTGAGCTCTATTCTTCCTTTGGGAATATTAGTATTTTATGCAAAGTTGTAAAAAATGTAACGTTGCATGATATTTTTCAGGTTATGGCAAAGGTAGAAGTAGAAGTTACAAATCTTGCAGCAAAAGCAGGAAAAGGTATTTTGTGCTGATCCTTTGGCACCATATGCCAAAGTTACTGACAAGTCATGATAAATTTTCGTTTTCTTTTATCAGCTTGAAGAATGTTGAAGTTCCCATGGATGCCACAATACTTTCGGCTGTTTATTCGTTCATTTTTCTATTCCTTGGGAATTTCATCGTTTAAATAAAAAGGAAAAGAAACATCAAGCCTTGTGTGGCCTCACTTTTCTTGCTCTTAGTATAATTTTTCAGTGACTCCAAGATTTTTAATGAGATGGATTCCTAGTTTGCCTGTAATCCAATCTTACCTGACATGATATTATGTACAAATCAATTCATGTATTATCTTTGTTGTGAAGCCATTAGCCAAACATACTCGCCATCTTTAGTTTGTAATCTATTTCATTAATGAAAAATCCACATCCTGCACTCCTATTTTACTTTATTTATGACATTTTGTTAATTCGGACGAGAAATTTCCATGCTGAAGGGAGGTGCATGGCACGGGGTCATTGAGATCATTTCTGTATAATGGGAATAGGTCAAGCTACCAGCATTATTGATAATTTAATCAACGTTTGTATTTATGTAAATGCGTTACAAGGTATCAAAGTCATCTCGGAAAAATTCTAAATTAGCCTAGAATTGTCTATTTTATAGGAAATTTGAACACGAACTAACCATGGATTTCTTCCCTAACATATGAAAGGTATTACAGTGGAAGGTTTCTACAATCAAAAAATCCAGATTCCCTTGGAAAACATTTAAAGTCATTTATGTCAATACATATTTCTCATTCACTTAAATCCAGCGTATGATTGTCCATGCTACACTGTTGTATAGATGATGTTCTTATATTGTGTTGTTTTGGATTGGCAAACATTAAGAAAACTATCTGAATGCTTGATGTTTCAAGAAAAAAGCCTACTGTAGTTTTATGGATTATGATGACCACATCACTGTTTTACACCTTTTCTTTGTGGGGATCTATTGTTGGGTGGTGGAAAGACTATACTGAGAAGTATTGCTAGTGGATTGACAAGCCCAATTCCCATGGTGGTCACTAGATTAAAAGGTGAAGGAGAGATACTGATCCCTCACAGAACTTGAGTTTTAGCATAATGTTATAGGCGCGACCTTGTAAAAATAATAATCTTTCTTGACAATCAACCACAACTTCAAACATTGCTGTTCAAGAATTACAATTTTAAGTCTTCAAACGGTAGCAATTTGTAAATTGATTGGCCTTCGTTTAAAGTAATTTCAAAAATTTATTCCTAGACTAACTCAAAGGTTCTAAACTCTTTAAATTGACATAAGGTTCTGAAACCAAAAACGAAAAGTTTTAGGGTATGTGTAAATGGTTCGTCTGAAATATAAAATGGTACAAAAAATATAAATTTTACCTCTGACAAGTTGATTGATCAATAGCAATCATTCTATGACCAAAATCAGACCTACTACGTTTTCCAAATCTCTCTAAGTACTCCACTAGGTTTTCAAAACTTATGACACATTAACTTTCTTGAAGTACTGATTAGATTCTTACAGGCTGCCTTTCTCAAGATATCAACTAGACTTGAATTCCAAGTGTTGACAGACATTCACCACAATTGTCCACACCATAACCGACAGTCTTTTTCTATGTCAACAGAAAAGCTCTTTACTTAAGAATGTGTGTCGACTACAAGATTGTGTGTCAACTACAAGAGTTTACTTAAGAATGTGTGTTGACTACAAGAGTTTACTTAGTTTCTTTGAAACTTCAACAGCCATTTTTATTTAGGATTATTAGTTGTTTAGTAATCACGGTACACTGATTTACCTTATCAAAATTTAGTTCATTCCACGTAAGAAAATGGTTTAAATTACAAACCGTGAATATTTTTAGGTTTCAAAATTCAACACTTTTGATTTCAGGTTGATACGTATATTTTTGTTTCTTTTTTATACCCTTAGGTTTCGGTGCCTATCTTTCTTGACTAATATAGTACCCTCAAGAGTTAATTTTATTAGGTTTCTTGCCTTTTGTTTTACTTTTAAGTGTTGATGTTACGAGATACAGTGGAAGTAGGAAAGGAAAACTGACTTAGTCCTTATGGCAGTATGTCAATATTTATATTGGCATCTAATGGACCTTTCTGGTATTACGGAAAGGTTTAATAATGGAAACACGAAAAAAAGAAAATACATCTAATAAGAGGACAGAAAGGTAAAATAGAAGGAAAGCCTAATATAGAAGACTTGTTCTGCATAACACTCCCCCTCAAGTTGGTGTATGGATATTGTTCATGCCCAATTTACTCCTTTGATTGCAGAACTCTGATGCAGAAATGCCCTTAGTTAATATATCAGCCAACTGATTTGTAGATTAGGCATACTTTGTGCAAACCATCCCTAATTCAAGTTTCTCTCTAATAAAATGTCTGTCTACTTCAATGTGTCTGGTCTTGTTATGTTGAATTAGATCATGTGCAATACTTATTGTAGATTGATTGTCACAGAACAAGGTAATTAAATCTCCCATGTGTATTTATAAGTCATTTAGCATACTCTTTATCCAAATGACTTCACAAATCCCAAGGGCCATAGCCCTAAATTCCGCTTCAGCACTTGATCGAGCCACAACTTTCTGTTTTTGGCTTTGCCAAGTAACCAAATTTCCTCCAATGAGACAAAAATATCTAGTATAAGCTAGAACTCATTGAGCAGCTTCATGATGCACCTCCATAGGGTCATGCATATATTGGCTTAGCACTCCAATTGAGTAAGCAATATCCAGTCTAGTATGGGATAGATAAATTAATTTTGTCACTAGCCATTGGTAAGATTCATCCACTTGATCGCTCTCCGTTGAAGCCTCAATACAATGTTTTGCTTCAATTGGTGTACAAGTTGGTTTATAGTTACTCATTCCTGCATATTTGAGTAAATCAGTAATATATTTTCTTTCAGATAGGAATAAATTTCCACAATAGTAGGGTACCTCAATTCCCAAGAAGTATTTTAGTTGTCCCAACACTTTGATATCAAAAACAGCTATCAGTTGTTTTTGAAGACAAGTGATTTCTTACATATCATCTCTAGTGACAACCATGTCATTGACATATACTAGTAAGATCGCTATTTTTCCTGAACTCAATCACTTATAAAATAAAGTATGATCTCAATTAACTTGCTTGAACCCCCAAAGCTCTCATTGTTTTGGTTAAGCGGTCAAACCAGGCTCTTGGTGACTGTTTTAAGTCATATAATGCCTTCTTAAACCTGCATACTTTTAGAATATCATTTAGTCTTTGTACCCTGGTGCAAGATCCATATATATTTCTTCTGAGATTTTTCCACGCAAAAATACATTTTTCTCATCAAATTGTAATAAGGATCATCCATAATACACAGCCAAAGATATTAATATCCGAACCGTTCCAATTTTCACAACTGGAGCAAAGGTCTCCACATAATCAATACCATAATATTGGGTGAAGCCTTTTGCCACCAGTCAAGCTTTAAAATGCTCAACAGTCCCATCAAATTTATACTTAATAGTATATACTCATCTGCAACCCACGATTTCTTCCTTTTAGGAAGTAGCACGAGTTCTCAAGTTTGATTCTTCTGTAGAGCTAGCATCTCTTCATCCATTGCTTTTTCCTATAGGGGGGTCCTTAAAGCTTCATTAGTGTTTTGTGGAGTATCGTGTTTATCAATAGTTGACATAAATGACATGTATTAGAGAGACAAGCGATGATATGATACATAATTGCAGGATGGATATACCTTCTTTGTACATTCTCAGTAGATTTGCGGAGAGCAATAGGGCAAATTTCATCACCCTGAGTAATGAGAAGGTTCCGTTGATCAATCAGTGATCTGTCACATTCAATAATAGAATCATGGGCATTTACTACATCAGGCAGACCCTGTTCATGGGCATCTGCTGCGTCAGGCAGATCCTATTCATGGGCATCTGCTGCATTAGGTAGATCCTATTCATGGGCATCTGCTGCATTAGGTAGATCCTACTGATGGGCATCTGCTACATCAGGCAGATCCTGATCATGGTTCCCTCTGATTATCTTTGGCTTTCTTTGATAATAATTTCGACCAAATCGATGCTGAAGGTGCTGGTATCGTTTCAGGAGTTTCATTCTCCTTGAGAATCTTAATGTGTAAATCGTGTTTTTCTGGCACAACAATATCACAACTAGATACTTGATTTGTTATCTATTGAAAATACATGTTACTTTTATCAAATGTGACATTTATTCTCACAACTTTTTTTTTCAGATCTTAGGTCATAAAATTTATATCCTTTCTGTGTATTGAAATAGCCCACAAAGACTAGGAGCAAATTTAGACAATCCATTTTGAGATTGGTGGATGTATGCAATACTTTCATCGAAGAGGTAAATCTGGTCCATATTGCACAGTCGGATAATAACCTTGCAATAAGGCTTTGGGGGTCTTAAATAATAATGCTTTTGATGGGAGACGATCAACAAGATGAGTGGCCATTAGTACTACCTCACTCTATAAGTACTTCAGCACTTGGGTTTTAAACATGACAACCTTTGTTATTTTCAATAGTTGCCTAATCTTTCTTTTCGCTACCTCATTTTACTGGGGTATATAAGGGAAAGAAGATTCATGAATAATGCCCTCCTCAGCAAAGAAATTGGAGACAATAGAGTTGAAGAAATCCTCAACATTATCTGATCGGAATTTCTTAGGGGTTATGCTGAACTGATTTTGAATTAGTTTGATAAACCTCTGAATAACACTGTTGGCTTTTGATTTTGTTTTCATTAGGTAAATTCATGTGAACCTAGTACAATTATCTTCAAAGATGATAAACCATCTATCCCTAACACCACCGGAAGGACCCATATATTAGAATGCATTCTGTAAAAAAGGGATTCACATTTATTTCCAACAGAGACAAATGAAATTCATTATTGCTTAGCATTTGAGATGGTTCACATATGAAAGTAGATTCACCAATTGCACGACATAGTTTTGAAAACAAGTATCGAAGTACTTTTATAGAGAGATGTCCTAAACAACAATGCAACAATAGCAATTTGTTCAAAGGAGAAGTAGAAGCAAAGGTGGAAATGTTTGGACTAGAATTTGTCAACATCTTGTTCATACGCCCTATGTAGTAGAGCTCATCTCGTGCTCTAACATGCCCAATTCTCTTGCTTGAGGTCTTGTCATAGAAGAAACACAAATCGTTGTCAAATAATATTAGACAATTTAAGTCTTTACCCAATTTTCTCAATGATAATAGATGTGCATTCAATCCTAGAACATGAAAAACATATCTTAATGACCCTAATTTCTCAAGATGAATTGATCTAGTGCCAACTACAGGTAGCAAATCTCCACTTGCAATAATAACCTTTCAATTATTGGTACATACCTCATATGTTATAAATAGTGATGCATATGGTGTCATATGATTGGTAGCTCCAGAATCAATGATCTAGGACATTTAGGAAAATGCTTACTAGCATGTGCGAGGGAAGTAGATCTGATCATGTTCCTCAGTTGTTTAATTTCTTCTTTGAGTTTTCCAATCTCTGAAATCTGAGAGGAAGTTGATCTGTCTTGACTAACTGTTTGTATCATGGGCTCAACAGCATCTTCATTTTGAGCATTAGCCAAATACAACTTACCATAATTCAGTGGTTTGTCATAGATCTTCCAGCATGTCCCCCTAGTAGACGATTTCTCTGACAATAAGTGCAAAATAGGTGTGCCTTCAGATCAGTCTTGGGTTCTCTTTTGATGAATGGTATTTTACCATCCCTCTTTTGAAATCGAGAGGTATCTTTATTCTTGAGAGTGTTGAATGGCTAATGCAATTGCCTCTTCAATATCTGGTACTACTTTCCTAGCAAGAATTTGATTTACTAGTCTCATACTCTAGATGTTGCCCCATCAGAAACTTATACAGCTTATCTTTTATGATGTAACTTCTTTCTTCAGTATCAGGGTTCTTGATTAGTCTATAGTGGTCGATTTCTCTCTAGATGGATTCTAATTTGCAAGTATATTCTAGAATAATCAATATTCCTTGTACCACAGTTAATGATTTATGTACCAATCTATAAATTTGGGATTTGTTATGTCTAGTGGAGTGAACACAGTGGAGTGAACACAATCAACTTTGTCTCATAATTCCTTCACAGACTTCAAGAAAAGGAATCTATCACTTATCTTTGGTGAAATATTATCCAGCATCCAATATTGAATCAGTGTTTCTTCTTCTTTCCACTGAAATATCTAGAGTTGTCAATACTTGATGAGGATTGTGTCTGGTGACGATCCAGATTCCCCTCACGTACAATAAGTTCCACATATGATGTCCATTAAAACAAATTGATTCCATCAAATCAAAATCTCTCAGCAATGTTAGATAGGTCTGAACATACCTTAATTACTTCAAATGAATGTCGTGGGCCAGAGGAGGAAGATTCACTGACCTTTGTCTCCATGTTTTGCAGCCATGAGCAAATAGTTAAAAAAAAATCCAAACAGAAATTCTCTGATGTGGTACGAATAACAGTTTCTGTTCAAGAAATTGAGGATGACTGCCATCGTCAAGAAACGATGATGGTGTATTTGCAGACGTCTGCCACCGTCAAGAAATGATGATGGTGTATTCGTAGATGTTCGTCACCATCAAGAAACGATGATGGTGTAGTGACTCTCCGAAGAATCTGCCGGTTTGCATACGACCAAAAAACCTCACGATTTCAGGTACTGCAAATAGGAAGAAGATCACCAGGTGACACTGCCTACAGCATAGAGTCATCGTCACCACCAAAGTTGGTTGATCTCCCATCAGTGGTCTTCATTTAGGATCAGAGAGAAAACTCTGATACCATGTTACGAGATACAGCAGAAGCAGGATTGCTGATGTCCAGGACGAGCACAACTTCTTCTAATGCTAGAAGACCACAGGAAGACACCCGGGACAAGAGCATGTCGTGAAATCTCAGGGCAGTACACCAATATTCATATTGGTGTCTAATGGACCTTTCTGGTATTACGGAAAGGTCTAATAAGGGAAACACAAAAAAAGGAAATACATCTAATAAGAGGACAGAAAGGTAAAATAGAAGGAAAGCCTAATATAGAAGACTTGTTCTGCGTGACATTTGACACTTACAATATAAATATCAATGCTTTGAGGGTTAAGAATGTGTTTCCTAGCTTCTTTTATTGTTGGGGATCGACACTTTTAATTCCCAAGTGAACACCTGGTTATGGTTCACCTTATTTTCAACATATATTATCTTACATCTATACAGGATCGATACTTATATTGTTGCCTTCATTTTTTGGTTTTTTTTATTAGGCTCTCATCACAAATTAATACAGAAATCTATATTTTTCAATTATCAAAATAAATCAGTTAGATTCAATGGTAATCTTTTTTATATGATCGTTGAATCAACCGTCCAATCACTGTCATGAACTTGAGATATTACAGTTGTAGCACCAATCAAGCAAACATAAAAACAATATGAGTCAATTCATCTTTGTACTTGTTCAACAACTTGAGATGACATCTTGTAAGACAGGTAGGACCATTGATAGTATAAAATTACTGATGAAACAAGCTGTCTATGCCCTTTTCCCAATATCATCATTACTAAAAAATATGCTGTCTACTATAGTTCAAGTATCCCCTAGAAATTTGACAGTGTAACACAGATTTAGACAACTGTGAAACATTAATTGAATATACCAGTCTCAACTTATCATTTATATTCCACTTGTAGGAAATATTGTACATTTTTCTAACATATCGAGTGTCAGTTACATAATATTATGAAATCTTTCTTTATTCATCTGTCAATGTGCCTTTCCATTGAGTTACGGTCGCACATAATTCTTAATGGATTTGGAGCTATGCAGGAAGAAAGCTACAGTGTTATATTATGATAAATATTTACTTTTATAAGGAAACACTTATGCCCATATTTCTTCGGTTATACAGGTGAAATGATAGGTGCGTTGTCTATCCCCATAGGAAATGGTGTTAATATACTTCAGCGTGTTGCTTCCATCAGAATGCTGCAACATTCAGATGTTATCCAGAAGTCCTCTTCATATCCTCTTAGAAGCAAGGTGCATTTGAGCTCTTTCTGTGTTTCTGTCTATTCATACATGTATATGGACCACATATTTTACACAATTTTCTGGTCTTTATTGTCAGCTTTGCAATGGAGGGAGTATGGACTGTGGTAGTCTTTTATTATCTACCGCATTCTTTGAAAGGAACAATAATGTAAATTTCCAAGGAGAGAGGAGAAACACAGTCACCAGTGATAGAGATACTGGTTTTTGTATTGGTCTTGACCCTAACGGACCATGGGAATGTTTTGGCTCGTTGTTACCGGTTGCAGTTGTTCCCAGATCAATCAACAAGAAAAATTTCGCATTTGAAGTTTTTATTAAGAATGGGAGAAAGCATGCAATACTGAGGCCTCTTGCAGTGGTTGTCAATGACACAAATATCAAAATGGAAGTATCAACATATCCCATCTCAATGCTGCATAATTCTGCATCAGGGCTTGGAAATTGTACTACAACAGAGACAGAAGAAATTTTCGAGAATCAATGTTATCAACCTAATTCAGGATGGGGTAATCCAGATAGTTCTAGAAATAGTGATGTGGAACACTGGTCAACGAGAAACTTTTCTTTCTCATCTAAGGTAATCCTTCATCCTTCTTAAAATTGGGTTTGTGTTCTTTCATGTAATCTTTTGAATTTTACTTTATGCGAATTGTGTTTGCTAGGATTTCTTTGAGCCCCCACTTTTACCTGGCTGGAGATGGACTTCCACCTGGACTATTGAGAAATCTCCTTTTGGAGATAGTGATGGATGGGCCTATGGTCCTGACTTTCAAAGCCTAAAATGGCCTCCACGTTCTCCAAAATCATCTTCCAGGACATCTCTTGATTTTTTTAGACGAAGACGATGGGTGCGTGAAAGGCAAAAGATTGAAGACACTGAAGACATGAGAAATGTATTTGGTGTACTAATCCCAGGATCATCTGCCATTTTACCATGGTCAAGTATGCAATATGATTCTGAGCTTTGTTTGCAAGTCCGTCCTTGTGCTGAATATCCTGGAGATGAATATCGCTGGGGTCATACTGTTAATCCAGAATCTGGTTCCACCAGTCGCACTGATCAAGCTGTGACAGACAGAAATCCACTTTCTAGACAGAGTAGCACGAGATACAGGAATGCTCCCTTGACTTGTTCTGGTTTAAAGTTAGGTCAGCTTGAGAAGAAAGATATTATCATGTGCTGCCATACTAGTTCCAGTAGTAGGCAGAATTTCTGGCTAAGTGTTGGGACAGATGCCTCCGTTCTTCATACAGATCTTAATTCTCCTATTTATGATTGGAAAATTTCTATTAACGCACCATTAAAGCTGGAGAATAAACTTCCCTGTAATGCAGATTTTGCTATATGGGAGAAAACTGTAGCAGGAAGTCTAGTGGAAAGACATCGGGGTGTCTTATTACCATCCGGCTCTGAAACAATCTACTCAGCAGATTTACGAAGACCCATTTATCTCACTCTCTTTCTTCAAGGTGGTTGGGTTTTGGAAAAGGTAGTCTGTGATATTTTTGCATGTTCCATCTTTCAAAGGCTTCTGTTGTGAAATTTTTTATTTTTTCACCTGTTTGATTCCGATATATCTTTTGATCTCAGGATGCCATTTTGATTGTGGATATGTTCACTCTTCAACATTCATCATCCTTTTTTATTATTCACCAGCAAAGTAGAAGGTATGGTTTCTCTTCTGTCCCATTTTATTTGACGTTCATGCTGCCATTGAAGATAGTGTGAAAAGTTTACTGCAATTTGGCTTGAACAAACAACATGTTAGGATTCCTTTTATACATTGAATTTTGAATACTGATGATCATTGAAGAACGCTCATAATGCCCCAAAAGTTAAAGTTTTCATGCTTAGCCGTAGGGACATGGAGCATGTGACAGATGACGAGGGATGTTGGATAACACTATATGGACGTTATGTTTACAACATTTTCACTTTATTTGGCTTCATAGTTTTCCTTGTAGTTCTGCTTCTCTAATTAATGAATTTTCTTCGGACTGAAGAATAGCACATGCTTTGGGTATGATGCGCGTTACTATGTAATATGAATCGTCTTTCATCATTTTTTCTTGTTCCCACTCATTATATACCTGTACCAATGTAAATATTTGTATATATTTTGTGGAAATTGCATTCACTGTACATCTCATCATTTTCCTGAAACTTTTACAAAGGATGCATGTGGAGTATCTAGATTAATCGGTAGACTATATGCAGGAAGTTGCGTGTAAACATTGAACGTGACATGGGAGGAACTGATGCTGCTACAAAGATTGTGAGATTTTTTGTTCCATACTGGATCAGCAATGATACATCTTTACAGCTTGTATATCAAGTGGTGGAAATAGAGCCCTTGGGCAATGTGCAGTCAGAATCAGTTCCCATGACAAAAACGGTTAAATCTGCAAAGCTTCCCTTAAAGCATAACTCAAAGATGATTGATGCACACATTCCTATTCCAAGGAAGGACTCGCAGATATTAGAAGTGATTGTGGATTCAGGCGAAAGTTTTGTAATGCTGTCTCCACAAGATTATATGGGTCGAAATGGGATTTTACCATTTTCTTCACGTAATGATCCATCTCTGTCCCCACGTGTTGGTATTGCCGTGGCTGTTCATGATTCTGAATATTTTAGCACAGGAGTATCCCTGACTGAGCTTGAAAATAAGGTATAGTGTATGTTTAATCTTACCATTGCTAATTTATATAGCCTCCATGAATTGATGATACTAAACGTTTGTTTAGCCATATGAAATATTGAGAAGATGTTGACTTCGACAGGGGAGGATTGATATCAAGGCGTTTACTACAAACAAGGCATATTACAAGCTGTCAGCTCTTCTCACCATGGCATCAGACAGAACAAAGGTCAAGTTCTTCATTTATTCCTTAGTTTATTTACGCCATTAAATCTCGAAAATCTCTGAGGTTGCGGTTTGCCACCCTATTAGAATTGTATTTATGAATAGATTCTCACCTTCATAAGGATGAAACATTTGCATCTGGAACTAATTAAAAAAAGGTCGGAAAATTATATGGCCTGAACGGAAGCAGCTTGTTCTCAATTCACGATACAACCAATCAAGGCCATGCTAGTTCTTATTTTCAGTGTCGCATCCATCTTCCAGAGATGCATTAGTATAGCCAACAATCATTCTGCACTCATGCCTCTTCATGCAGTCACATCCTCACACGAGCCTTTCCATTCTTGGGATATGGTACTGTAAATGATTAATGGATAAATGAATTAAATGGGTGTCTTAAGAATACTCCCGCGCTGATTTCTAAAAAAGGAATGGGTTATGAGAATCGAACTACTTGTTATGAGCAGAAGATTCGACTCACTAGGATTCGTTTTGAGTTGGATGATTCAAATAGAGATATGCCAATATGCTTATATGTGATACTTCGATCTGTTGTCAGTCATGGCTTCCAAACGCTCTAATTTCTTTTCAGATTCTCCAATGGTGACAATTCAGATTTATTCGATCATCATCAGAAGCATATTTTTCCCAGAATTGAAATCCCTCATTTTCCTTCTGTTAAAACAGGAGAAAATCATGTTCATGGCCTACCCCCTCATGTATTGATATTTACCGAGAAGGAACATTTCAAACTTTTATCTGTCTCTTATCAGATTCATCTGCCTGTTCTATGTGAATTACTAAAGTGTGGTATCACCTGAATCTGAATCTACTCTGACGTAAGATTTAATGTCCAGGTTGTTCATTTTCAGCATAAAATTTTGTTCGTCAACAGGATTGGACAAAGAGTTTCCCTGAAGCAATTCAATTCTGAATCTGAGGAATGGTTTCACCCATCGGATCCTCCAAAAATATTTAAATGGCACTCGACCTCCCATACTGAACTATTGATGGTAAGTATTTTCTGGTTTTTTTCGTTTATGCAGGCGCTTGCGTTTTGGTCTGACATATTACACTATTTTGTAGTTACATATAGATGGGTACAAATGGAGTTCACCATTTTCTGTTGAGAATGAAGGTGTAATGTGTGTGATATTGAAAAATGATCTAGAAAACGAACAGATGAATCTCAGAGTAGAGGTTCGGACTGGAACACAGGGTTCAAGCTTTGAAGTCATTTTCCGTCTTGGATCGACATTTTCGAGCCCATACAGGTTATAAAACATACTTTATTTTCATTTATACTTTTACCTTTGTGACTTTTTCTCACCTTGAAGGATTCTGCAGGATTGAAAACCGCTCAATGTTCTTACCACTGCGTATTCGCCAAGTGGATGGTTCTGAGGACTCTTGGAGTTCTCTTCCCCCAAATACTGCCATTTCGTTTTACTGGGAAGATCTTGGTAGACAACGACTATTGGAAGTTCTAGTTGACGGAAGTGACCCATCTAGCTCGGAAAAGTTCAGCATCGATAAAGTCATTGATCATCAACCATTGCAGATTTCAGGTGGACGTGTTAGACCTCTGCGTCTTTCTGTTGTGAAAGAGGGGAAGATTTTTGTTTGCAAAATTAGTGATTGGATGCCAGATGATGAGGAAACAATAATCACTCATGGAAGTGCACCGTTAACATTGTCCTATTCATCTGGAAATGATTACAGCAATGAGTCTTCCTCAGAGAGGGAACTTCATGTTATTTTGGAGCTTGCTGATATTGGACTATCAATTATTGACCATACGCCCGAGGAGATTCTTTATTTGTCAATTCAGTTTCTTCTGCTGTCATATTCAACTGGTTCAGGATCTGGCATCAGCAGGTAAGATTCTGCAAGCTCTTCTTTGCATTGTTCGGTTTATTTAGTGTACTCTTTTTCATAATTTTTTATGACAATCTAAACAAGGGTTACCCGGACTTTATTATTACCAGACGTGCTCAGACCCAGAATTTATCAATCTTTTGTTGCTAGATTAAAGTTACAGATGCGTGGCATCCAAGTGGATAACCAATTGCCATTTACACCAATGCCTGTCCTGCTAAGGATGCAGAGAGTTGAGGATCATATAAACTATATTCTTAAATTTTCACTGACCAAGCAAGCAAGCGGTTCTCTTGACTTATGCATTTACCCTTATCTCGGTGTTCAGGTACGGTGATACCAATCCTTGATTACTGTCTTTAATGCACGTTGGTGTTTCCATTTTCTTTTAACGAGGTGACCGTTGTAAATACCCCTGTTTGTTCTCCAAATATTCTTTTAATCCAGGGCCCAGAGAATTCTGCATTCTTGGTTAACATTCATGAGCCAATTATTTGGAGGCTACATGAAATGTTTCAGCAATCTAAATTCAGTAGCATTTATGGGTCAGAGACTGGTGATGTTCCAGTCGATCCAATTGTACAAATCGGGTATGCTTTATGATCACTTACCCTCATTTTTTCACTTTTGCTTTCCACTATGAGACATTTCATCCATCTTTTCTTCACCGGCAGGCTCCTTAATATCTCAGAAGTCAGGTTCAGAGTGTCAATGGCCATGTCACCAGCCCAACGACCACGGGGTGTTCTTGGTTTCTGGTCATCCCTTATGACAGCCTTGGGAAACACTGAACATATGCCTGTGAGTAACATATTATACGTACCCTGTAATCACCTGAAAGTTTCCTGCCTTTGATTTTCATAAACAGACGTGTAGCCCATCATAATTATTGCCGATGTTTATGCTATATTTCTACAGTCTGATTATTGCCTGAATTTTCCAACTGTTTCTTGCTCCTGGTCTTCAAAATTTTCCGTCTGTCTTTGTTCCATGAATGGCAAGGCGTTGATATGTTTGCTTTTATTCTTTAAAGGTGCGTATTAATCAGAGATTTCACGAAGACATCTGCATGCGCCAGAGTGCCCTCATCACTTCTGCAGTGTCAAGCATCCAGAAGGATCTCCTCAGTCAACCGCTTCAACTGCTGTCTGGCGTTGACATTCTCGGCAATGCAAGTAGCGCCCTCGGGCACATGAGCAAGGGCATGGCAGCACTCTCCATGGACAAGAAATTCATCCTGGGTCGTCAGAAACAGGTCGGTGGATAGAGCATCCAAATCATCCTCGCTTCCTCTTTATGAGGAAACTATCTTCTTTATGAGGCTCACCCAATCTTCTCGTACATTTAATCGCCAACCTAAACAATTCTTTCCCTTTCTAGGAAAGCAAAGGAGTTGAAGATATTGGGGACGTCATCAGAGAGGGGGGCGGAGCTTTCGCAAAGGGCTTATTCAGAGGAGTCACCGGCATTTTGACGAAGCCCCTTGAAGGAGCAAAATCATCTGGCGTTGAGGGATTCGTTCAGGGTGTTGGCAAAGGGATCATTGGTGCTGCCGCTCAGCCTGTCAGCGGAGTCCTCGATTTCCTCTCCAAGACCACCGAAGGAGCAAACGCAGTCAAAATGAAGCTGGCGTCGGCTCTCACTTCAGAGGAGCAGCTCCTCCGCCGCCGTCTTGCCCGGGCTATTGGCGGTGATAGTCTCCTCCGTCCCTATGACGAATACAAGGCCACCGGACAGGTACCAACTATTCCGTTTACTCTGTCCACGACTTTTTCTGAATCCAAAATAGGCAATCTCTTATCGACATAATTCATATGAACCATCACAAGATTGCCCAAACCTTCTCTCTACTCCGTTGTTGAAAAATAATTATTTCTTTCGTTGTTGGGCTTTCTTGGATGTATTAGATTTTTCGTTGTCCCATTAGCCTTGTACTGTACCAGACTTCAACATATTCCCACCTTGAGGGGGACAAGAGGTCTTGAGAAAATTATTCTCTCCACCGTTTCTCTCTCTCTCTCTCTCCCTAAAACTTTTCTCTACTACATCCCACCCTTTTTTTTTTTTACTTGAATACTAGGGCGATCTCTCTGCCTCTAGCAATATAACCCGTGATCCTCTTGATATCCCGTACCTTGACAAAGTTTTCATCTGTTGGAGGGATACCCAACAACCTGGAGAAGTGAAAGACTTAACTCGAAATACTACCGAGAAGCTTCTGTCTTTCAGTGTGAAGATCTCCAAGATGTGCCTTCTTCCTTCTTCTATATACTATTTCATACAAAATAACTCAACCCTTTTGTTCCTGAAGGTTATTCTCCAGCTCGCCGAATCTGGCACATTCTTGGGGCAAGTCGATCTCTTCAAAGTCCGAGGAAAGTTTGCTCTTTCTGATGCATATGAGGACCATTTCTTGCTCCCAAAGGGGAGGATCATCGTGGTGACTCATCGAAGGGTTCTACTCCTACAAGTACGCCATCCATTCTCACACTTTCATGTGGTTTTACCAGTATCCCATTGACCTAAAGACTCTCTCTCTCTCTCTCTCTCTCTCTCTCTCTCTCTCTCTCTCTCTCTCTCTCTCTCTCTCTCTCTCTCTCTCTCTCTCTCTCTCTCTCTCTCTTTCAGCAATCAACCAACGTCGCAGCCCAGAAGAAGTTCAATCCAGCAAAGGATGCCTGCTCGGTGTTGTGGGACACTCTGTGGGATGACCTGATAACGATGGAATTGGCAAATAGAAAGGGTGACCATCCGAAGTCCCCCCCTTCGATCCTCATCTTGTATCTTAGGTCCAGGTCGGCCGATCCGAAGGAGTCCACCCGGATCGTGGAGTGCCTCCATGAGTCTCAACAGGCCTTGGACGTATATTCTTCGATCGAGAAGGCAATGAGCACCTACGGCCCAAATCACTCCACGGTTAGGCTTCTCCTATTTTCTCTCTCTTGGGTCCATCTCCTTTCTCTCTCCTGAGCAATGGAGTTCAGCTTACTGAATTGTGATGATCTCCAGGAGACGTTGAAGAGGAAAGTGAAGAAGCCCTATTCTCCTCGTCGGATGACAGTCCCATTCCCTGCGTTCCCAAAAGAGTTAGAATTTGGGCCACTCAACAAATGATGGCGACGGGCCCGATGGGGTTATTTGGGTAAGTTCAAGATCTTGGAGGCTTAACTGTTCACCGTTTATGAACACATTATTGTTGCTTTTATGCATTTGGAAAGAAAGCATTGAAGAAGTAGCTGACAAGTATGTCTTAATATTTAGTCTCTCATTTGGATATTAACTTCCTGTTTTACTGTGAGGGGTTTCAACTCCTGGGTAAGATCAGACCCCAATCCCCCCCCCCCTCTCCCCCCTTCCCGGGGTAGTTGTAGCCCCGGAATCCGCTCCTAAGACTCTAAATCAAGTCCACTGGGCACGAGTCTGGTTTTTTATGGGATCCAGCCCGGAAGTCCGGAGCTCGAGCTCTCTCGCTCTCTCTGTCTCTCTCATCTCCCTCCGTCTGTCTCTCTTTAGGATAGGTGCACATGAGTCTTTTTTATGGGAATATCTTTCGCTGGATCTGGCCATTTCTCCAGACCTTTTGGTTGTCTCTTTTCCTTTTCATTATTAGCCTTACTCCTTCCTCAATACCTTCTTACCCAACGAGAGCTTTCCCAATTTGGTCAACCTCTGGGAGAGCAGACAACTGATCCTCGCTCTTCGTCTCTTGCAGACCGAAGGGGCTTGCCTACGAACAAAATCTCTCTCTCCTCGTTCTTCCAGGTGACACATTCTCTCCGGCATTTCCTGTACAGTTTGCTCCGTCGAACAGGTGATGGGCATTGTCTTCTTTTTTTTTAATTTTTTGTATTTCCTCTCATTCTCCTGATGCAGGCCAAACGGTGTATTGTAAATAATCCCATACCTGAAACACATGAAAGAAGATTCCTATCTAGAGAGAGAGAGAGAGAGAGAGAGACTTAGGCTTCTTCCAAGTCGGAGCTTCTTGAAGGGCTTGGGTCTCTCCGTCTTCAGCAGTATCGTTCATCGAGATATTTGAGACATTGGCTTAAAGTATAATTGATTTAGAAAGGTCTTAAAACGTCATGAGATAAGAGTTGGAATGAACTAAGATGATAAACAATAGTAAATGATCAATACTATGTTATAGAACATGAAATCTAAATCAAAATCACTCATCGTTTGTTGCAGGTTATATTTGGCAAAAAAGGTAGACAATTTCGATGAGCTAAATTGTAATAAGCCGAAAAACAATGATTTTAATAGGAACTTTGGAGATGTTTTTCTATATAAAAAAAAAATGTTGTCAAGCAGATTGATAAATATTATTGTTCACTTATGGCCCCTTTATTTTGATATTTTTGTATCACCTATCTAATAAGCGACAAACTATAGAATAAGAATAATTTTGGGATAGTGGAGATATATTTTCTTCTCTTTCTTTAGGATTTAGGTTGGCTCTTCATATCATGTGGAGTCAACGGGTTCTTATCTTGATTATTTGCAGGTTCGAATGGTGGTGACAGTGCTCACGGCGGACTGCCCACTGAGACCTCTTCCAAAGAGATTGAACCAACTGAAGCCACGACGAGGGTCAAAAACACATGAAGCTAAATCCTGCAAGGAGTCTGTGTCACTTTCCAGGCTAAAAAATAGAAAAACGCATGAACCGACCTCAGGATTCCACCAGAGTCATTTGAAACTTGTAAAGAAATATATCTTAATGATCAAGATGCGTCTGTTTCCACCTCCTAAGCCTCGGCATTTCTAAATATTTAGGACAGACTGCTGAGGATGCACCAAGATTCGTCTTCAAGATTCCCAACAAGAGATTTTCACATACAGGGCAGAATCAGGCTTGGGAAAGACAGCTTCTAGCTTGTGATGCCAGCAGCTCTTTCCATGGCTAGAGTCTCCCAACCATTTGTCATATTTTACAATATATGGGCATATCCTCGAACGAATAAATCCTGAGGCATTAAACAAAGGATGGTAAATAAAGAACGAAGGAAACGAAAACAAGAAACACCTCAGTTTTCACGACTCATCAAACAGGGTACTTCACCTTCCTGGAGCTCTCAGACGCTGACACCGACCACACAGCCTGCTCACAGAAACAAGCCTGTGAGTATCACCCAAATTTCTGAAATTGTCAACCCTTCAGTCATTCGTCACAACTTGCCTGATTCAGCCCCAATATTTTCTATCAGCTAAGATCCTCAGCTCCCTGGAAGTGATCAATATGGTTACTGGGAATGCCGTGATTGAAGTAAAGGGGGTTAGCAGGTATTTTACCTTGCTGAATTTAGCTATTACAGTCTGCCATTGAGGGGACTCCAGCAGCTTCCTTGACGAACAAGATTAACTGTGTATATCATGCATAAGGAACGAGCTTATGATTCATAGTGTTGATAAGGAATAGGCGCAGAACTACCTGCTAAAAGATCGTCTGATATGCGAGACATTCCAAATCCAAATGGTACAAGAGCATCTTCATCTGAAAGGAGGTTCTGAGAAATTTATCATAATTTAAGGAAAAACTCCCAAAATCATACCCCACTAAAGGGTCTGCAGCATCTCATGGGCCTCCAAAGACAATTCGTTGTAGATGGCTAATTCATCTTGTTTTCTAGATCAGTTTTAGGAGCCAAACAAAATGAGCAACAAAAGATATACAAACCCCCAGGAATGCGTCACATGATCCGTCTCCAAAAATTGAGAATTCATCATATGAGTTTTGTGTGATAACAAATCTTCAGCAGCCACATTAAACTAAGCAGTTTCCCACACTCATCTCCCTGTAGATCTCTCAACATTACCTTGAGTGGTCACACGTGGTGAAGCCCTTAGAATGAAAAAGATTAAAGGCCACACCAACAACTAAGTGAGAGACGGATGAGAGATAACTAATAAATAATCAACATGAATTCTGACAGCATAAAAAAATTTAAAGCAGAAGGGAAGGCCATGTTCACTCCAAAAGAATTCAAAGGTTTCCCTTGTCTTGCGCGATCTTTGATACTAACAGGTAAAATGACAGATGGGTTTTAGAGTACGCATGAAGAAGTCAAAACCATTAAAAATAAATAAATCTAAACGTGCCGTGCATAAGAGCAGCAAAAAGAGGGATAATTTTTCACCTTGGAAGTTATATTGCCAGCGCCATAATGAGAACCGTGATGTATGACGTCCATTGGCTCATGAGTTGATATGCTCACATTGCTCAATATTGTGCCATATTACGATTGGCTATCTTGTTTCGGTGGGGCCATATGCCATTTTTTTAAGGCAAACAGCAGCACGCATGAAATGGACGGATCAAGCGAGAAACCCTTCCCTTCTATTTCACCAAAAAGCCTCACGGCATCATTCACAAATCCTTCTTTGCATAGATTGCTGATTATCATGCTGTATGCGATAACATCAGGCTCGCAACCCTCCATCTCCATCTTCCTGAACAACCTGTATGCCAAAGTTGTGTCACCCATCCTACACAAACCCTTAACAAGGGTATTATATGTGACAGCATTAGGAGAAATTCCCTGAGCATTCATCTCTCCAACCAAACGTAGAGCATCAGTTACATATCCCTGCTTGCAAAGCCCGCCAATCATTGTGGTGTATGTGACGACGTTAGGCTTACACCAAGTACCAGCCGCTGCCATCCGTCTGAGAAGTCCAAGGGCCATGCCAATGTCTCCCTTCCTGCAGAGGCCCTTGACAAGCATATTATATATGATAATATTCGGAGAAATTCCTGCAAAATCCATTTCTGCATACAATTTACGAGCATCACGAACAAGCCCCTTTTTACAGAGGTCATTGATAATCATGCCATATAAGACAACATCAGGCTTGCAATCTCTGTCCAGCGTCCCCATCTCCCTCAGTATTGCAAGAGCTGTGTTTGTGTTCCCCATCCTACAAAGGCTGTAGATAAGTGTACGATACATTATGACGTTTGGATTTGTACCCTGCGCATTCATTTCTTCAAAAACACACAAAGCCTCCTTTAAGAGACCTTCGTTGCACAATCCATTCATCACCGTGCTGTACGAGACAACGTCAGGTTTGAAGCAACTTTCCAAAGTTTCCATTTCTCTCAGAAATTTGAAAGCCATGCTCATGTTACCGGACCTACAGAAGCCATTGATGAGGGCGTTGTATGTGATGGTGTTTGGTGAGACGCCCACGTCATTCATTTCTTGAAATACTTCCATGGCGTGCTTCATGGATCCCTCTTTGCAGAGGCCATCAATTACCATGCTGTAGATGACAACATTTGGCCTGAGACGTACATCCTGCGCACTCATATCTCGCATTATCTTGAGACACATCCCGACCTTCCTTGTCCTAGAGAGGCCTCTAATAAGCACACCATAAGTTATGATATTTGGAGGAATCCCACCAGCGTTCATTTCATCAACGAGCCTCAGAGCATCATCTGAAGATCCCACAGCACATAGCCCGCCGATTATGGAGCTATAGGCGACAACATCGGGCATACATGAACTGTCCTGCGCCGACATCTCTTCAAAAAGCTGGAGGGCCATCCTAGTGTCCCCCCTCTTGCACAGACCATTGATCAAGGTGGTGTATGTGACCACATTCGGCGAAATCCCTGCGGCACTCATCTCGCTGATCACAGCCAAACCATCATCTACATTGCCCTTCTCGCACAGGCCATAAATGATCGTATTATACGTGGTGACATCCGGCGTGCAAGAACTTCCTGGTCCTGCCATTTCCCTGAGCAGCTGGGCGGCCATTTCGGTGTTCCCAATCATGCACAGGCCTTTGATGAGTATTGTGTAAGTGACGACACTCGGTGGAACGCCTGCAATGTTCATTTCTAAAATCAGTGAGAGAGCATCAGTTACAGACCCCTTCCCGCAGAGGCTGTCAATTACCACGTTGAAGGTGACGACATCCCCCCGTCGTCCAACTCGCCTCGCCATCATCTTCCTAAGCAGCTGGACAGCGGCGTCGGTCTGCCAATCTCTGCATAGTCCCCTGACCATAAAATTGTAGGTGATGCCGTCGGGGCGGCATCCCATCTCCGGCATTCTATCGAACAAGTTCCTTGCATCCACGATCTTCTCCTCCGCGCAGAGGTCCCTGATCAGCTTATTGCAGAATGGCGTGTAGAGCCGACGCCCGCTCTTGATCATCTTCCCCAGGAGTCGGAAACCAAAATCCGCCTGGCTCCGCCGGCAGCCGGAGCATCCCACCGAGGTGCCTTCATCGACGCAGGCGACCACCTGCGCGGCTCCGCCGGGGCAGACGATCCTCTTGCGCCGCTTCACCGATCTCGCCGCCGGCAGCATCTACCCCTGCTCCCCCCCAACTCCAAGAGTCTGGGAAATCCGAACACCTCAGCAACCGCCAGGATTTCCGCCGCCAATCTCTCCGTCCTCTGCTACGACATGCCGTAACCTTCGTTCGTCCGTGAAGACGACGACCAGATCCGATATCTCCCTCCACCCGACGGCTGGCGCTTAACGGTCCCGCCCAGATCCGTTTACCGTCCCAGTAACAAAACTGATCGATATATTAATATTTTGATTAAATTCGAATATAAATTTCAGTATTTGGTGCAGCCTGCCCAAGGTTGACTGACCGATGAATAAAGGGCTTCATCTCCAGGTCAACCTAACCCACCCTCATCTGGTTCCTTCTCTGGTAACCCACACCATGTTGTAACTTCTCAAGTCACTCAAAAGTCAACCATGCCCCTTCAAAAAAATTTGTCCAACTTTGGGGTCAAACCATGCCCACCTCTCACCACCCCACAACTCCCCCAAATTATCATTATCCTTTTGCCCAGAAGACTCCGTAGTCAACTCAACTCCCCTTTTCCCATACTACCTATCATCATGTTGTGAAATCCACAATTACTTTTCGGTCAACTCCCACCATCAGTTTTTTTTTTTTTCTGCAATCTCCACGGTCAACATGAGACGGCTGGTGTGGTTGGTCAATCTATGAAGAACGCACATCTCCTCTCTTGGAAATATTCCTCAAGTAATTGTCTCATTCTCCTCATGTGTTTGTTGTCACATTGGCATCACATCCCTCGAGTCCTTTCAGCTGCATTTCTACCTCTCCTGCTACCATACCTTCCCTTCTCTCATTTTTGTGGGGCCTGAATTGCATTCTTTGTGGGTAACTACTCAAAGAGAGGGCAGCTAGTGAAAAAGAAAGCTAATTGGATGAACGTGGATGGAATAATTTTCTTCATGAAAGATGAAGGATACTTAAAACTCTTCCAAATTTTGCTTTAAAATTGTCAACTAGAATATCTCGGTGGCTTTCGTTCTGCATGATCTAGCTATACCAAGTGTGGTAACTATACTATTACATAGTTACTTTAAAAATTAAATTAATTAGCTTCCATTGTTCAAATACATTTTTCTTCTAGACCATGCTACTAATAGAAAAAAATCTCTATCCAATTATAGGCAAAAAATATACACTAATACATATTTACAACATCTGCCAGAAAATCACCATACTTAAACTAAGACTTGTCTAAAACCCAAGTTTATTCCACTTTTGACTTCAAAGTCAAACATGTGTGCTTCTCAGAATATCCCAACTCTTTTTAGGCTTGTGTAATTAAAACCCTTTGTTATAACATATGAAGTAATTAAAATATCACAAGTTTTTCTATTTTGAGAGGTTAACATCATTCTGCTTATAGATTCAAGGATCATCTTCTGATTTTGTGAATTCAAAGTAGTCCCCTTATAACATATCAAGTATCTAATTATATGGATTCAAAACCCATTTTTTTCTTCAGTATTAGTGCTTTGTGAATTCAAGTTTGAATCTTACTATCATCCACATCACTGGTGCATCAATTATCTATTTAAATAAGCCTGATCTTTGTTAGTCACACAATTAAGACTAAGGCGGCCATGCACATATATTCAATCCCCTTCAATCAAAATGATATTTTTTATTATACAACTTTGTGACGACAACCAAGGTTTGAATTCTCAAATAGTCTGATAGTTGACCAATCTTGTGAGTAAATTAAGGTCTATAAATGAAATCTATATTTTTTGGCAACGAAAAATCTATGAATAGGTCAATAACGTTACCCCATAGTTGATAAGAAACTAAATAAAAATATTGGAATAATATATAGAAAAAATAACAAGAAAGGCCCACAATTTCTGTAAAATCGTGCTTCTTTATGACAGACAAAAATGTCAATATTTTAGATATACATGGGCATAGTGCTTTGGAAATCCCAAAACATATTAATCACACGGCTTTGAATCAAATCCCAAGGAGATGTTGCATTTATTTGCTCCACACCTATTTCTTCATCATATTAAATAGTATGAAAATAGCCAAGCAGAAGGATGCACACCGACCCTCGTCTGGGCTACAAAATAGACAGCACTAACTGTCCCAGGACTCATCTCAGCAACACGCCGGCCTATGTAAATTCATAGCATTGGACTCACCCTGCAGAGCTCGACATCGAGCCCAGAGTCCATGAGGAACAGCATCCATGCCCGCTGCTGCTCCGAGAGCTGGTCCCTTGGGCCCTTCACCTCTACAAGCTTTGCTTCACCGGTGCTCCCATCTTCCCCATGGAAGCGCCACAGCAGCAGGTCTGGCATCCCGCTCGACCAGGTCTTGTAGTCCCTCGCCAGGAGGCGGCAAATAGGGGCCAAGTTACGGCCGCCAATGCACGACACTGCCGCACGGAGATCAGATAGGGTGTGGCGGCCCCAGTTCACCCCTCTGCAAGCGGTGTTGAGGTGTGATTCCCATGAAATGATCAACATCTCGTCGGCCATGCCGTCATTGATCCTCTGAAGATGGGACTCGATGAGATCTCTCCTGGATGAATAGAAACTGTCCGAATCAAGGTCGAGAGGAGCCATCTGCAGAAGCGGAACGTCAGAGATGAGAAAGAAAGTTAACTCCTTCACGGTTCGAGTGATGTTCTGTCGTTATCTCGGCGTGTTACGGAATTTTAGGGGAATTATTATGAAAAAAAAGGGACTGGAACATAAGGTTAAGATGAGATAATTTCAGAGGACTCAGAACTTTGCGAATTGGATGAAAACAAATTTAGCACCTCGTTCGCAATTGAGTATTGTTCTGCAGTTACCTTCGCAAGTCAACTGAATTTTAGTGCAATTATTCAGAAAAGAGTAGCATTTCGTTGGCAGGATGAAAGGCTGGAACAGAAGATTTAGATTAATTAATTTTGGATAACGAAGCATTCAATGAAAGGAAATTCAGTTGCTCACAATTTGAGTGATGTTCTGTAGCCATCTTGCCGAGGCAACTGAATTATAATGCAATTATTTAGGAAAAACATCACTCCTGTAGACTAGTTCAAGGCTGGAACCCAAGACTAATACGAATTAATTTCAGATGAGGAAGAATCGTGCAATTTAGAAGCCTATTTGGCCTAACTGCAAAAAGGTCAATGAACATGAATAAAAGGATGAAAGAAGATAGAAATGGGATAGTAATGAAAAGCTCACAGTTAGATCGACGTGCTGACCTCATGACACTCGTTTATGAGGTTTGATTTATCTTTTGAATGTGGATTTTGATGTGGAAGGTCCCAGACAGAAGATTGTCCACAAGTCATCAGCTTGAATTTTCTCTTGGATGATGATATGATACACGGAGAGAACGATTAGAGAAACTCCATCCACATAATCTAGGAACTTACTGTAAATTCCTAAGATAGTTATTTCCATAAGCTTATCTAGAATTCACAGAGTGAACTTGAAATTCTTCAATAAAGGACGTCACTCAATCTTCAGAGGTTTGGCATAAATTTTCTTACATCGAAAGTTAGTTATTGATTTCTATATGCTCTATCTAATCTTGGTGCAGTCTGTGACATATTATACAAGAGGAGACCTTTGAAAGCTCGCCGATCAGACATTATATTCCTCACATATTTTATACTCAATACAAACTCAAAAAGAATGTTTATTAATGTCCAATGACGAAAGCTGTGAAATTTGGCTCGCACACAACCGAAAGAACAGAGTGAAGATATAGAATTAGGCAAGTTGAATATGAATGACTTCACGATCCCATTTAACAGAATTTGACGGATGGTGAGGATGAAGGGTTACGGGAATTATGTCAATAGTCTTAGATCATACCTGGAACTGGGTACGGAAAACATCCGGCACATCTGCAAATAAGATGTCCCACATGAGCAATCCAAATATGGTCAACCAAATGCCACTTTCAGCATGCACACCACGCCAGCCCCCTCCTTCCCCACCATAATATTGCAAAGCTAGTTGCTCTACTCCACATTGCTCACCGTCATAGCCATAATACCGGCTCTTTGTTCCCGTTTCAGAGTTCAAAGGCCTCCCCTTGACATGTACCTAATTTAAAATCCATGGAAAGTATTAGCCGGCCCTAAAACCGTGAAATAATGGTCACAAGCATTAAAACATCAAAAACAATGGTGCTCAAAGAAGAGAAATATACATATATAAACACATACACATATATATATATAAATATCGAGAGAGAGAGAGAGAGACGTTAATTGAAACTAACGGAAACTATCTTCCAAATAAAAGGAAGAGGAGACAGCTAATGGGATGGGGCAACCAGGGCACGTGCATAATTATACTGACAAATGGAAAACTGAGAGAATGAAGAGAGAATAACCAATTAGTGGTTAACACAGAAATTAGATCCATCCAAATGCTTACTTCAGGGATCTTTCTTCTAATAGCAGCAGCGAAATCCGGTATTTTCCAGCGTCTGGGTGGCTTTCCCAAGCGCAGCACTCTCTTCTGCAACGCAAGTCTTGAACCAGCACGAACCCACGGATCGAGAATCCCCTCTTCAGCAACTGAAAGGCTCTCATTGGCAAAGCCCAGGTGCTCCAAATCAACAGACAACCGGAGAGTCCAGTAACCCCGCTTTCTGTCATGCAGACATCTTTTCAGGAGGCCTTTCAGAAGCTTCACAGCGTCTTTATGCCTAAAAATGCAAGAATATTAAGGAACAGAGACAGGTACAGCATACCAAAAAAAGAATGAATGCAGAAGTATACGAGAGCATGGACTTGGATACTCGTAAAAGCCTGTAGCCACCCCAGCGGATTTCGTTCGACTTTTCACATTACAAAGATAATGTTTGAAGAGAAGAAGTATTGGTATTTTGATAAGAATTGGCCTCCATTTTGTAAAAGGAATGCAAGCATATCCAATTTCTGTGCAGCCTATGCCCTTTTAGGAAGTTCATGGAGAATACAGGCAAAGAGTCTCTGATTATTCTGATCGAGCGTGCAAAAGCCAATACACTAAAAAATAGGCGCTACTTAGTGAAAAGACAAATTCAATCTTTTTTTTAAAGAAGAATAATTATATACGTAGATTAATTACACATGCTACTTCGTGATTACACAAAAGTTAAATTCCCGCCAATAACATCTCAGATCCACAGCCACATAGTTGCATTAATCAAATTTGGCCTTTCCAAGAAACTATACGGTGAAAATTATCCGCCATCTAAAAACCGGGATTAAAAAGCCTCGCAATTGAAAATAACTTGATGTTTATTCATGAAAAACATATTATTTGAAGTTGTTCATGGCAAAGATACACAAGATGCAGGTTATATTAAAATTTCAACTCTAAAATAATATTATCTCAATACAAAAGAAAAGCTTAGACAATACCAGATAATATCAAGATACCAACAAATCCTGATACCAGAATAATGGGAAAAAATAAGAGACTTTTCTCCATACCTCTTCTCACACTCGAGAAATGAAACCCCCAAAGTGACCACTTTCGAGTAGACCCATGAAGCTGAAAAACATGACAGAAATGTTGCCTGATAGCCATAAGAAGACCCGGACATTTCTTCAAAAGAACTAGAAATGTGGCCAGTGGACAATTCGATGCATCTGTTTACTGTCTCAACATTGTTTTCTTCAAGGGATTGGTCCATTATTTGTGCGACTTCAATGGCCTGTTGACATGTTTTGAGAAGACTTAGAATGCATAAATAACTACAAAAACTAAGTGGCAAAGAATCGTACCAAAGGAATAGTGACAAGAGCAAAATTGCACCTCTTCATATGCAACGAAATTATTACGACCATGAAAAATGGGTTGAGAGATATTGCAGACATAGGTTGGATATTTCACCAGCCCTAAATCAACTAGAAGGAAAGCTGAGAGATCCTGCTCACCATTAAGGAAGAAAAGACGCTTTACAAAAAGTAAGATTGTTAGTGGAGGAAAATAGAATAAATTTGATTCAACAACTAAGTGCACTTTCATAAGCAATGGTTTTCTAGCATCTAAAAAAGCCGAAAAAAGAAATTTTAAAGCAAACCATGGGCACACCTGAATCCGCCATAGTAGTGAATCAGCAACAGAAGAAATCTTCACACAAGTACCTGCTTTCTCTGAAATCATGCTTGGTAGCAAAAGGCTGTACTGAGAAAGAATTAGAATAAACGCCCAGAAACTCTAAAGGATCAAAGCTAATAAGAATGAAAGACTAAGGGAAGATTTGAAGTTTGTTGTTACCATGTTCCATCTTCATATGCAGTACAAAGAGAATCAACAAACTCATGTTTTTTGTTATTATTGAGGCCTTTCTGAGGATAAGAAGAAAATATTTGAAAATCCATCAGAAACAAATACCAGAAAACGAGTTATGGAACTTCCTTCAGGAAAAAGAGGAACAAGAACAAGAAATGTTCTTTAGTAAGAAAAATTCGAGAAATTTAATTATTTACATTGACGCTAATGAAATCATCAATTCAAAGACGCTATAGTACTGTTAAGAGAGAAGAAGCTTTATATCCACATGATTCAATGTACTCTTCTCGCATTTGCAATCCCAACTTGTACCAGGACCATGTTTGAACCAGTAGGATTTAAATTTTCCATTAGTAGACACATTTTGGCAATGTGTCTGTGTTGTTGGGATGTGTCTAATATACTGTTTAGTATACTTAAAGTTTTTTGTAGTTATATGTCTGTGTGTCTAGAACCTTCTAGGAATCTGATATAAATACCAGACCATGCTTCCTTCGTAAGTGGGTTTTTCCTTTTGTCAAATAAGAAAAAAAATTCTCACCATGTGCACTGGGGTTACCTGTGAGCGCACCGGATCATATTCAAATCTTCTACACGGTATCAGAGCGAATCCAAGTGTGATTGCTCCATTTCTTCCTTCCACAGTGATCTATTCTCCTAGAGTTACAGTTCTTGTACCGTTTTTTCTTCGTCTCCATTGAGATATGTTGACAGAATACCAGATCTGGTGAACATTAGAATGCAGTTACGATTCTTGTACCATTTTTTCCTTCATCTCCATTGAGATCTGTTGACGAAATACTGGATCTGGTGAATCCGCCCATTTTCTTAAGATGAAAAATGTGGGAGATATTTCTTGATCTTCAGTAAGAGATCTTCCATCCATGAGGGACTCTAACCTTGGTCCCAATGGTCCATGATTAATAGTAGAACTTCTTGCAATGTCTGCAGAGTTCAAATTAATTGGATATAATTTGATACAATGGTCAGAAAATGTTAAGAGGTTCTGACTGGAAGAAGAATGTTACATCATCTGGTAGAGGGAAACCGGATCCCCTGTCCCATGAATACCATAGATGGAGAGAAGAAGATGCACTAATCAAGACTTGGCTCTAGGGAATGATTATTTCCCAAATTAGTCCAGATTTTTTCTTCTTGGCCATAGTTAAAGAATTGTGGGAAATAGTTCACACAAAATTGTCATGTAAGAATAATGAGGCTTGTATATACGAACTAGAGACAAAATCTATGTCTATAATGCAAGGAAATAGACACATGATGGAATATGCTAGAGATTTGAAGGGTTTATGGCAGGTCTCAATTACATGATGGAATGCAAGCTTTGTCTCAACACAAAAAAACTTGAGGAGATTACTATTTTATGAAATTTCATAGAACAAAGAAGAGTCTTTACATTTCTTGTAGGACTTAAACTCTATTTTATATCATGTCACATAACAGATTTTGAACCATGAGCAGAAATCTGATCTAGATGAGGCTATTTCAATCATTTTGAATGAAGAAAATCATCAGAAAATACTGTTATCAGTGCCTAAAATTGATAATGCTGCATTTATGATTAAACAGGGAGAAAAATATGAAGAAATCCACATATCAAGTTTGACATCCTCAATCTAGTCAAAGGAAAAATCAAAAGTCTGATTTTCGAGATAGCCTGTGGTGCACATACTGAAGAGGATCATACGGATGTACATGCTTGAAGAGGATCTAAGGGCTAAGATTTAAGCTTACAGGATGATTGTAAAAACTTGGAGAATGAGAGAGAAAAGGCATTTGTTGTTTGGGAGAGGAGCCATATAAAGGAGAAGATAAACAAGTTCAAGAACTTCACCAAAATAGGTATGTCAAAGAACTCTTGAAGATAGATCCCCTTGAAGCACTCCAAGGGTCAACAAGTAATGCATTGCACTCTAATTTCTGTAGTGAATTTATGTACTTATATATTTTATTTTAATGAAATCATATTTCTTTTCTTGTATCCCCTCTTCTAATGATCATCTTCGTGAGAGTTGGATCTTTTTGGAGGGTAGGTAGGAGTTAGATTTAAGGATCTCCTAAAGTGACACTAGGATTGAGCCTTAAGTTTTATTCATCTCATCTATTCCTTCTCATTCTCTCAAGTCTTGTGAATCTCTCGACTTGTCAAGATTGATCTCACTTGAGATTGAGTGAGAGAAGAATAGATATATTGAGTAAAGTAGATTCAAATTTCATCCATTTTCCTTTCAATTTAGTGATCTCTTAATCTATTAAGGTTGAGCATGGTGTTAACGATGAGAGGAATTGAGAGAAGATTGATATAATAGATAGGAGTAGATTAAGGTTCTTTTTGACATATCTATTAATCTCTTAGGTGACAGGGTAATCTAGAGTGGTTAGAGATTTCCTTCATGTACATCACTTTCAACCATCCATTAAAAAGTCATCAATTTAGGTTTCGTCCATTTCCTCTTAGTGTGCCTAAGTCAATCATCTTCTATCTTCTCATCTTAATCTTCATTGAAAAGTCAACTGTAGTTAACTCATGATCCTCCTTGATTTAGTCAACTCTTTGTAGTTCGATTGAAATATTCTCAATAGCTATATTCTTTTAGCATCCTTAGGAATCATTCTAGAGATTAAAATAGTATTTTTGATGTTATTTATTAACGAAAATTCAGAAAGATCAAGTGATTGACATAGGAGATCTTAACCTTGAACCACTTAGAATCCTTACTAATATCCTCCATATTCAAAAATTATTTACAAATTTTATCTGTCAAGAAACTTGTGAAAAATTCACCTTATCATGCCTATTTTGATTAGGATATTTTTGTAATATTTGATAAGGTATATTGTCAGAGGATTAAAATTGCTAGAGAATGTGAAGGACTCTATTTCCTAGGACTGAGCCAAACACCTAAAGCTTCTAGAAGATGTCCTTAAAATACAATTACTGTACAATGAATGGGTCATCTTTACTTCAGCACTTTGAAAAATCTTTTCTATACTTTGCTTCAAAAGGTTTCATTAGATACCCTTAAGTCTGATGTGTGAATTCCCTAAACACACTCACGCTTCCTTTCAAACTCAAGGAGAAAAGAGTGAGATTCATTTCTTCCATATTCATAGTGACATTTAGGAACTGTCCCATTAATGACATTCGTGGAAATAAGTGTTTTCTCACCTTTATAGATGTATGTGAGTGTTTCTTCTAAAACAGAAGTCTCATGTGTGTAAAATTTTAATTTTTTTCTGCACTATGATTAAAAATCAATTTGGCATCAGTATAAAGAAACTTCGATCCGGTAATGCTAAAAAATACTTTAGCCAAAGTCTGAATTAGTATTTCCAATCAGAAGGTATCATACATGAATCCTCATGTATATACTCCATAGAAAAGTGGCGTAACTGAGAGGAAAAATTGACATCTTTTAAAAATAACTCGATCAATTTGATTTCAAAATAATGTGTCAAAAATTTTATGGGGTGAAGCTGTCCTAACAACTACATATCTCATCAATCAATTGGCCTCTAGAACCTTAGGGTTCCATAGTCCTTTAGACTTATTGGCAGTCCACTTTCCACACCATCAAATTACAACCATGTTAGAACCTAGGACATTTGGTTGTGTTTCCTTTGTTCGTCATCACAATAAAACCAAAGGGAAATTAAAACCACAATCACTCAAATGTATATTCCTTAGATATGCTAATAATCAAAAAAGGTACAAATGTCATCATCCTCTTACTCAAAAATTCTTTACATCAATGGACATTACATTCTGTGAATTAGAACATTATTTTGAAAACTCTTCATTCGATGATCAAATTTTATTTATTACAGATCATATTGATCAGTATGTAGATAATTTAGCTTCATCATCCTCAGGAAACTTGTCTATTCCTATTTCAGTCCTTGAAAAATCTTGTTTTATCCCAGATCTACTTCTTGAAAACTTAGATTTGGCAAAGTCTACTCTAAGAGAGAAAATCTAAGATTTAAAAAAAAAAAGATTATGATTTGACTTTAGAAAATATGTAGAATTCCACATCTACTCCATCTGATGATCAAGGCATTCCATATTGGAATTCACTTCCTATTACCTTAAGAAAACTAATACGAGAGTGTACCAAGAAACCTTTGTACCCATCAGCCAATTTTTTATCTTACCACAAACTCTCTCCATCCTATCTGTCTTTTCTTGTCTCTTTAGACACCACTATCATTCTAAAAAATGTCTTAGAGGCTCTATCCAATGAGTGAAAACAAGCTATGAATGATGACATAAGAACTCAAGAAAAAAACTAGACTTGAGATCTGATGGAGTTACCGAAGGATAAGAAGACAGTTGGTTGCAAATGGATGTTTATGGTGAAATATAAATCAGATGGTTCGATTGAGGGATATAAAGCTTGGTTGGTGGCTAAAGGCTATACACAAGTATATGAAATCAATTATCAGGAAGCTTTTGCACTTATGGTAATACTGTCAAATTTTATTATCTTTAACAATAAATTTCAGTTGAGACATTCAACAGTATAATGTTAAAAATGATTTCTTATATGGTGATCTTGTTGAAAAAGTTTCTATTTTCACCAGGGTATGAGGGTCAACATTCATCGAAAATTGTTTACAAATTAAATAAGTCTCTTTATGGACTAAAATAGTCACCCCAAGCATGATTTGGACGTTTTATAATGCAATGAAAAATTAAACTATAGTCATAGTAATGGTGATCGTACCTTATTTTGTAAACACTCTTCTTCAGGGATAATTACGATTCTAATCATTTATGTTGATGATATTATCATCACAGTAAATGATGAAGCAAAAACACAACATGAGCTATTGTTTGGCTAAAAAATTTGATATCAAGATATTATGATGACTCAAATATTTGCTGGGAATTAAGGTGGATCACTTTCTAAAGGTATTTTCATCTCTCAATGTAATTACCTAACATAATTGTTGATGAAAATAGGGAAATCTACGTATAAATCAGCCAGTACACCTATAGATCCAAACTGCAAACTATGCATGTTAGAGGAAGAATTTTTTGTTGACCATGAGATGTATCAACGTCTCATTGGTCAACTACTTTATCTGACACATACTCGACCAGATATCGTGTATGCATGGGGTATATTAAGTCAATTTAAGCATCAGCTAAAAGAATCTCATTTACATGCAACTATCAAGTGTCACATTACTTGAAAGGCATAAGAATTCATTTTATACAAAGTGTGAAGGTAGAAGTCGAAATGTTTACACATGCTGATTATGTAGGATCAATGATTAATCAAAGATCAACTTCTCATATTTATTGAAGACAACCTTGTTACTTGGAGAAGTAAAAAAATAAAATGTGATTACTAGTTCAAGTGCTGAAGCTGAATTGAGAGCCTTGCCCAAAGTGTATGCAAGTTACTCTAGATGAAGAATTTACTTGACGAGCTAAAAATCTCTTTAACTGGTCTCATAAAGATTTATTGAGATAATAAGTCAGAAATTGATCTTGTCCATAATCTGATACAGTATCATTGTACCAAACATGTGGACCTTGATCATCAATTTATCAAAAAAAAGCTTGAGGCAAATTTGATATGTATGCCATATATCTCAGCAAACAATCAACTAGTAGATATGCTTAAAAACATCTCGGGCAGACAACTACATAAGATTATTTTCAAGCTAGGAATGGATGAAATCCACTCATCAGATTGAGGGGGAGTGCTGTCAAGATGTGCAAAATATACTATTTAGTATACCTTATGTTTTTTTGTAGTTATATGTCTGTGTCTAGAAGCTTCCAAGGGTCTGATATAAACACCAAACCCTGGTTCCTTTATAAGTGAGTTTTTCTTTTTATCAAATAAGAAAAGATTCTCTCCACGTGCACTGGGGTTACCTATCAGTGCACCGGATCACATTCAAATCTTCTACAATCTGACCCAATATGATTTAAAAGCTTGTTGGATTCATCTAAATTTGGGCAGAAGGACAATGTTTTCTCTAAACCAAACTAGATTGATGTCTTTGCCGTCATGAAAAAGACAGTCAAAAATACCACATACTCTTCTAAAGTTTATCATTGTGACATATTTGTGGTCATGCAACAGACAGCCAAAGGTTTTTCGTCTTACATTTATGCCATTTCTGAAAAACAATGTTGGCACATTACAACTAAAGAAGAATAAGTCACATGTGAAAAGAAATCCAAGCGATTAGACTCGCAATCCATTAGCAGCCCCCACAGATTTCTCTAGAAGGATTGATTCAACAAGGGTTACTATGCGTGTTCCCTCTTTGTTGAATCTCACCACTTCGTGACAAGGAAATTTATATAATACTTCCATGCATATGAAGCAATGTCCTTAAGGTAACATTTATGAAAACGCCATATAAAGAGAGTCGAACGCATAATACATACTAACCAACGACCAAGATTGATCTCATTTAAGAAAAAGGATAGTTTTCACAACAGCACCCATATTTCCTTCAAGCAGAAATGCAGAATCGTGTCTACAACCGTGCATTGAGACATTGACACAACTTGCTGCAAGGAAATGTGACGAAAAAAGTGAAACGTATCTCAACCTAGTGGTACATAGACTTATCAACCTAGGAAAATGACAAACTTGAATGCAACAGAGAGCTATCGTGCCAGACTAGTAAACCAGAATGATATCTCTTCCAGCAAGGGATTAAAACATTGTTTGACCCGTATCTGTCCGTACAGTATACCTTGTAATGCACGATCACCAGAAGCCAAAGAATTAATGTAGGAGCAAATCTATGGCCAAGCATCCAAATCTAGGAAGAGCCATCCAAAATGCTCCAGATTACAAACGGAATTAGTAAAATAAAAGATTAAACTGCAGATATGCTCTTTCTAGAACAGCAAAGTGACAAGATTACGTGTTATTATCATTGTGGTCCGAAAAAGAGCAACTAACTAAAGTTCGAGGGACAAAATGAAAAGACCAAAAACTATTGGATCCTAAAATAGCTCTTACTCATTGTCACCGGTGGTCAAAGCATAAAAAGCACAGCAACAAATAGGAGAATCCAAATTTAAGAAGAGCCATAAAAAATATCCTAATTTCCTTAGTAATAAGAAAGTATTAGGCTGAAATTATGTTCAGTAAGAATATTATGAAGAATGCGACTACATATCATCAAAAAATGAAGATGTCTACTTTTAAGCTGTTATGTAATAGTCTAAAAAAAGGAAGCTTTCGGGTAATATATATGCAACATATAAGGATAATTGTACTGATTCCAATTGCGGGATAAGTGATCCATCTCAAAGCAAATTCGATACCATTCAATAATTTTTTATCTTCTTCAGTGTGAGATGAAATCTCTACTGGGTTTGTAATTCAAACCGTCTTCTTCAGTGGCAATGAATTATATTTTGATAGGACAAGACACACCACTATGGTTGATGATCAACTGAGAGTCTTTGATAATAACAATCATCAAAGTTTGGGAGATCTGAATCGACCTTCGAAGTTGACACATAATTCTATGTTTCAAGATGATGACAGACAAACAAGAGAAGAGTCTTGGTTCTGTTGATAACAGAAAGATTATGCAAATATCGATAGTTGGATTGAACTTCTGTCAACATTATGAAATCGTTGACAAAAAGATAAATTTCCTGGTCGCTACTTACAGCACAAAAACACATTCGAAAAATTGTGTTGGCAAAAAGAGAAGCTCTATGGTTGACACTTGCAGCATAAAAACATTATCAAATCGGTGTCATTAAAAGGTAAGATCGATGGCCAACATATGTAGCATGAAACCACATTACCAAGTAGGTATCAACAGTGAAAACAATTTGTAGTGACACTTGCAGTACAAAAACGACTAAACAAGTTGGTGTCAACACTATATGTGGATGGCAGAACCAACTTGCAAATAGTAAAAATGTCAACAAGCTTCCAATGTGGCTAACATTTTGAATCGCAATGTTGAGAAGGAAATCGGAGAACTAAAAAAAGGCAATGGAAAATCAAGGAAGAGCTAGCTGTTTGCAGTAGAAACACTGGGAACGACTAGTTCGCAATTGAAGGCTATAAAATGGCTGTGACAAAAGAGCTTGTGAGCACACCAACGACAAGAAATTTGAATTGGACAGCAAGATCAACCAAGTAATCAAGGAAGAAAATTGATCCGTTAAAAATTTTCTCTGTGCACTGTAAGCTCGCCTTGATATAGTTCGATTAAGCTAAAAGACAATTTCGTTATGGACCAAAAGTTGCAAAGATGAAAAGTTGACTGACACATTGAGAAATCACTGTGCCATAGGTTGATAAGAACCCAGTGGAACACCCACGGTAATACCTGGCGCGTAGAGCAGGCCAGGGATTGACCTAACCACTAAAAATTTCCAGGTCTCTGGCCAGTGATCTGGGACTTGTCCTTTAACAATGATTCTCAATATAGTACAGTATAGTCTCCATGCTAATAGTGACCTTTGCATTCCTCTCCACAGCATAGTTTCCCTAACAAGCTAATATTTTCCTCAAATCCAAAGAACATATGGCATCATGGCTGCATCAAACTGCATGATAATTTTGTCCGTGCACATAAAAACCAAAGCAAAACAAATTTCTTAACAAGACCTAAATGTAATTCAGAACACAAAAACAATGGACTTGACGGATATCAAAAAGATTTCATCTCTTTATAAGAAATAAATCGGTTCTGAAGCAAAACAAGAAGAAAAAAAATTATAGTCTGCCCAAAGAAGATACACCTTTAGCAATATCAGTTTTGAAATTTCTCGCAGTTCAGTGATGGTCAGTGTGTCAGTAACCTCCCTCAAATCAATTTTACTTGGATATTGTGTAGATTGAAAAAGATCAACATACCCTGCAGCTGAAAATAAAACATTCCAGCTTGATATTAGGGAAAAAAAGGATTGCACTTTTGAAAAATATTAAGGGTAGTGAGTGCGGCATCAGCAAAAGAAATTACACTGTAATTCCTCAATTGCTTTTGTTGAATCCAGCACCTCTGCATAACGCACATTACACATCCGAAACCATGGGCCTATAACATGAGAGCTACAGAATTATGCAGAGTTCATTTAAATTGCACCACTCATCAATCAACTGTCAAAATATTGAAAATTTTCACAACAGTAATCAATTACCTAACAAAGCATATTTATGCACAAGTACATTGTATACTAGCAAATGAACAGGAAGTTAAAGTTTTTCAGAATAATGATGTAATGTGGCAGGTTCCAATGCCTTTCAGTTAAGACATGCGGACACTATCCATATATCAATAGAAGATTAAGCTTATATTTTTTATCTCCCCACAGTGCGATTTCAACTCAATCAAGCGTTGAATTCTTGAAAACTAGTATGAATTACCCTTTCATCTTCTATGGAAATATTATTGGAGAGCAAGAATCTGGGATAGCCAACCAAACATCACAGGTAATGCCTCAAAGTATTGCTTGTGTATTTTCCATGTAGTATATGATGCTTCAATCTGACCTCTGCCTAGAACTCCATTTTGGAAAGACAAATGCAGCGAAATGCAAGGCTTACAGGTAGAAAGATCCATCCACAGGGAAAAAGAAGAAGATACACAGATGAAAGCAATAGAATTCTTCCAGGGCCAGCATGCCTAGTTGCTTGGAGTTCTAAGATAATGGCCTGGATCAAAAAAGTCATCCCAAGAAGCTTTCACCAAGTCCAACTAGCTCACTCAGTAAGGAAACCAAGGTCAAGGCCTAGACTGAGTCCGACCAGCCTGGCTCTGAGTAGTGTTCCCCAGCCCACTTGACAAGCAGCTGTCATTGGCAGCCAGGCTATTCCTACCCAGCACTGCACAAGTGGCAGCCTTCAATGGTCACCCCGGTTCCATCTTCTTCTTCAATCACAATCACTCAATGACTTAGCAATGAGGCAAGGGGCACCGACTGAGCATGTGTGTATGTGTGTGTGGGTGTGGGTATGTGTGTTGGGGTGTGTGTGTGTGTGTGTGTGTGTGTGTGTGTGTGTGAGAGAGAGAGAGAGAGAGAGAGAGAGAGAGAGAGTTGGAAGCAATTGTCAACACACCTACTAAGTTGTAGCTCAGCACCATGGTAAGGGTAGGTGACAGAAGCACCTATATCCGATTATGTAGAATTTATAGAGGACCATTTCCAAACACAACAAAGACAAAGCTTTTCTGATTCAAGTTATTTAATGGACCCGACATTTTTTAAAAACCCTAAATTCTATATACACAACTCGTGGTTCAAGAACAGGCAAGACAAATAAATAATAGCTCAAAAATTATCTCAGAGCACACAGCACAAATTAGAATTGACAATGCATTTGTTGTGATCTTGTAGGTGTCCTATCATTTGACGTGCATCAGACAGGAAAAACTTATGCTTCATGTTTCATATCAAAATCCTTAACACTATTGCGCCTAGTAACCGAATATAGATTTTTTGTTGAACTTACCTTTTCGAGTATACAAACGAATGAAAGTTCTTTGACTATCATCAGAAAATGAGCCAAAGGAACCTGAAAAAAAATTAATCTCCATTAATGACATGGTAAATATTAAACCATCCAACAAACAGGAAAATGAACAGATACCAAGGAAGGATTTCTCCTCATCAGTAAACAACTGAGCATGTTGATTCATAACCTCTTTGATCATTACAAGAAAGTTTTGCTGATATTTCATTCTGTTTGGACGAAAGTTCTCATACCCAACAACGCGAATAGAATTTTCCCATAAGGATTCAAAAATCTGGATATCACCAGGCTTCATCTCACTATAAGTCACCATTTGCTGACAAACAAGGTCAATCCGAAACACATCACGAGGATGTTTCGGAAGAGATGTCACAAATCCCTGCAAAACCAGCCAAGAAATGATCATTGTAGCATAAAAGGTTTACATCCTAGTGCAAGAATTCATCAAGCCAACAATTCACTTTGCTGGAATTACACAATGAAATCATCAAGGGTAGCTCTAACTGCAGAAAGCCGGGGGTATTAAGTAATGAACAGATTAATGGCATGGTATTATTTGAGACTTTATTGAGGACAGCTTTACCATTTTTCCACACTTTAAATTTATCTCCATTCACAAGTCAAATTTCGATCCGATAACCATAAGTTGTAAGTTTACATATTTTTAGGGCTGAATTTATGAACAGAAAATAGTTACATCTTTAACATTTTCTTTGTTCTTGAATAAGAGAAATTATTAAGTCCGAAATAGCAAAAAAAACAATGTATGGACAACAAAGAAAATTTGTGCAAAATAATAAATCAAAAAAGCAATATTGAAAAGCCTGAAACGCACAGTTGAAGTATTCCGAAAAAGACAATTGGCAAACCTGCCGTGAACTCTCACCAATTTTGGTTCACAAAGCATAAGCACGAGAAAGACAGTAATTGGTTCCCATTAAGAACAACATGTAAACATAATATGACAGTAACTGCCTATGAAATGATCAAGTATACGAACAATAGACAACTTAGATGCTCTCATAAAAGCATACCAAAGGAAGAAAGCTGTAAGGAATTTTACTTGAGACAACCCAGATAGGATCCTTGGTTATTATACCTCGACTTTCAAACCGTAATTATCAATCAGAGGAGAGAGATATTTCACCAACTGCCGAGGAAGATGTCCAACTGTCTGTTCGTGTCCAGACATTGCATAAAGCACCTAGGTAAAGAAAAATCAATAAACTGAACCAAGGAACATGAAATAAAGAAGAAAGAACTACAAAGGCTTACATTAGCATACACAAACCTTTATAGCATGTCGATCATTAATATTTTCTGGTTCCCTCACTATTGAGATGCTAGCACCAGGCCACAAGTCAATATTTTCATGAAATCTGTGCCCAACAATAAATGTTTCTAGCACTTTCACAGACTCAGAGTACCCCGCAGAACATTTTTCAATGTTGTCAACATTGATGGTAGGTAAACAACAGGCACTTGAGATATTCACTTTATCATCTGCATTGCCAATGACAGCATTAACGTTGGCTCTATTTTTCAGCAGATTATAACCGCATATTTCTCTACTGGCATGGGCATAGGCTACTGAATCAGATACAGATAAGTTGACTCCACAAGAATGATCAGATGCCACTTCAGAATCAAAAGAGGTGGGGTTTTCTTCTTCATTATCAGCGTCCATATCATGCTCTTCGACAGATCTGCATTGTATTTTCGAATCTTTTGAACAAGACTTATTGCTTGGTTTTGAGAAAAAATTCAACTGGAGAAGAGTAGGTTGACTAACTTTGCGCTTGCTACCTCTAGATAGACATGAATCTGCCAATCCACATGACAGTCATGAATATCCATTTCTTGAGAAGGATGAAAAATTTACAAAAATTTCATTCAATGTTATTATTGAGTAATATAGCACTCACAAGTACAAAAGAATAGAACTACTACCATCCCTACAATTTTTTTGGCAAACAATTGTACACATGCCCCCTTTTTTTTATAATGACTGAAAATAAACCAATGCGCGCCCATAAAGTTGCTGGCCAAGTATAATATCGCCCTCGTAATGAAAGTTACATGAAACTTCAAAACTTATACAGAAAATATTAAAACTTTTTTTTTTCTGTAGAATAATACTTTCCCATTGGTTACAAGTGAGAACATAAGTAAAATAAAAGAAAATCGAGCCCAAGCTTTTAGCATGACGTGAAATGACTAATAAAGTCGAAGACGATCGAATTGAAGAAATTCGTAAATTCAATAAAATAGGTCAAATATTTCAAAGCATTGTGCAGCATTTATCCAAGTTTTTCATAGACTAGTGGATACACCCACCATGTCTGACAACATATTGAGAGGACCATCTGAAGCAATCGTGCACGGCGTTAGAAAAAAAGAGAGAAAAATAAGCAAAGTAGAGAAGTAATGTAGGTGTCGTCGACATGGGACTACAGTACCTAGATGGGAATTCACGGCATAATCAGACCCGAAAATAGCGGTGCCGCACACGGGACATTTCACCCGGCCGCTGCTTTCTGCCTCCCCCCCCACGCCAACCTTGCAATCGGACATAACCCGCACAACCGCCGCTGCAGGAGGAGTACGGGACACATCGGCGTCATCGCCTGCATCTCCCTCCGGAAGAGCAGGCGGCGAAGTGGGACGGTCTGGGTGGAGCAGGGAGACGGCGGCGGAGGAGGAGAGAGTCCTCTTCCTCTTCCCGACGAGCCTCACCAGGCTCTCCCGTCCTACTAACATGGAGCCGACGACCGCGGCGGGAGAGAAAACGAGGACCGCCGCCGCCGCCGCCGCCCCCGCATGCCGTTGATGAGGTCCTGAGCTTGCCGCGGAAGGAAGTCCGATATTGTGAAGGTGATTGCCGGGGGAGTAGTGCCATTGTGGGCGAACTTTCTTCGCATTTTCCCGCGTAGTGGAACCCGTAATGGTCGTAAATATTAGCGTGAATTTATTTCTTAAATCTATATTTTTATTGAATTTAAAAGTGTAAAATAAACATCTCACAAAAAACAACGTGGAGCAGCATAATCACGTCGATTTCTTTTTGGAATTAGAGTTCGAAATCAATTCGAAAAGGGTACTAGACGTCTCTCTCTCTCTCTCTCCCCACATACTTATCCCGTATAAATATGATTCTTATATGATTCGTGCATTGAAGCATTTTTATAATTTTCATCCCGGTTTTAGTTCTATTTAAACTATGATGAGATTGATGTTGGAGTTACCACGTCCCCATCGATAATATACATCGATAGAATTGTGAATATAATAATAAATAAATAAATCATAAAATTAACCGACTTTATTCATCGTGTATCTTATTGGTGGATTTATCCCTATTAGAAAGAAAACGACCAGAATGAAGGGTTCAATGAGGCATGGGCCCGCCATGCCCGCTTCAATGGTGTGGAATAGGGCTGATTCATGAGAGGGGATCTATAACAAATTCAATTCAATGGTAATAATTTGTCGTCGTTTACAGAATTTTAAACGAGTTTATTCCTAATGTATTTATTATGCCCTCAGTCTGATCTGGTCGCCCGCCGCGTACTCGAACCCACCGTTAGAAAAAATCTCGATGCCCACGTGGTGCCGCGAAAAGCGGAAGCCCAAGACAGAGAGAGAGGAGAGAGAGGCGGTGGCGGTTGGGGGCCCCAGAGGAGGGGAAATGATTGTGGGCGGCGTGCGGGGGCCGATGGGTGACGTTCCCGAAGAGAGAGAGAGAGTAGGGGCGGCTCTCAGGCGATAAGCAGCCGCGCCGCGCCGCGCCGCGCCGCGCCGCGCCGCGCCGCGCCGCCACCAGCACACCACGACCGGTAGATTATTCTTCGTCTTTGTCCCCCGACTGCGGTGTTCTGAAAGGGCAGGATAAGATTGGGGCGGCCTGTGCCTTCTAGAACGGGCGTGCACCGGGGAAAATGGAAGAGTAGGCGCCCATCGTAAGGGGCAGTGGAATAGATTGAGAGGTTGAATTGGAAAGGCCGGCAACCGGGTAGTTGGAGCTACCGGCGTCCACCCTTTTTGCTTGCTCCCGTGAGTTCTTTAGCCTTCCCCTTTTCCCCGATCCGATGGTTCCTTTTTTTCTCTCTTTGGCCGCATTTGGTGGAAGATTTTCCGAATATAATTCAGGTTTGCGGAATTTTAGAGTGGATTGTTTTTGTCGTCTTTGTTTAGGTTTTTTTTTTCCCCTCTTTTTGTCTGGGGAGAACCCCGTACCCTAGAAATTTTGCGTCAACTTCTAGGGTTTGCTTGGATCCGGCTATCTCGAATCTCTGGCGGACGCCTTCTTTCATAGAACGATGATTGAAGAACCGTGTGTTTTTATCTCACTATTTTTTGGGTCGTCTTGTGGGTTCTTCTTTCCTTTCTTTGGTTTTCTCTTTTGCTTGTTATTATCGTCAGTGTGGGAATTGATTTGTGCTGCAAAGGAATGAAATTGTGTTTCCCTCGTGCAGTCGGAGGAGAGAATCGGCCGTGAGGGTTGTTTCTTCTGATTTTTCGCGGAAATAAGTTGGCGTCTTGAAGTTTTAAACTATCCGGAGACGATTCTGACGCTGCTGCCAGCATGTCAGTCAACGGGGTCGACGAAGTTGAATACATGATGGACGACGAGGAGATGGGTAACACATTGGAAGAGGAGATGGATGATGGTTTGTTATATGCAAGGGGTGCAACTGGAAACGAGGTGGAGAACGAGAATGAACTTGTAAGACATCCACTCGCACTTCTGAACCCTTATTCAGCTTGAAATAGCATCTTCCCATCTAACAGAATGGGATTAGTTAGCTCCATATGTGCTCCTTCCTGGTTCTATTTTTCATTTCAATTATTTTTTATCGTGTGGTTGTTGTGTAACCAAGTAGTTCATTGCTCCCTTTTTGCATCTTGTGGACTCGTCCTGACCCTCTTTCATTGTGAGCAGCTCACCATGGTGACTGATACATCTTCGGCCCAAGCCAGGAAAGGGAAGGATATTCAAGGGATCCAGTGGGACAGGTTAAATTCAACGAGACAAGACTACAGAAGGACTAGAATTGGATCATACAAGAACTATGAGAACGTTGCGTCGTCTGGGGACCTTGCAGACAAGGTTACTATTTCTTTTTCCTGCCTCGGGAATATGATGTGGCGTTTTAGTGGGCAGCTGTTTGAGAACTTGATTGTCTTAATTAGGAATGCCAACAAGTGGAGCAAGGTGGAAGCTATTATGACTTCCAGTACAACTCAAGAATGGTGAAACCCACAATTCTCCATTTTCAGGTTGTTGATTTTCATAAAACCGTGTTTATTTCTTTTCATACTCACAATGCCTGTCTTTTGGTCATGAAATTCCATCACCATGTTTTTAACCACTCATGTACTCATAATTCAGTTCTCTAGTCTCAAAGTAGAATGCCTTATAAACAATCTTCCTATGTGATAGGCGTGTAAAAAGATTTCTCCCGATTTATTAACTGAGACCAACCTATGGATACTAATCTTCTTCTTATTAAACTGTGAGTCTTGCCCTTTTATTTGGTCACGGTCTTGTGCTTGAACTATTTGAAGTTTCGTTGTCTGAAACGATTCTACTTTCGTTTTTCCGAAAAGCTGTGAGGATTCTTCTCAGTTTTGAATATTTGTTGGATGGTATCATAAATTGTTGGCATTCATATTGAAAGAAATTGTTTTGGTGTTTTGTTGGTGCATGCACCCCGACACAGGAGCTCAAAAAGAGATTTACTTCGGAACCTATTCAGCATATTTTGTCTAGAAATAGTTTGGCACGTAGTTCTGTGCTTGTAGCCTTATAAATCTTCGGTACATGGAATGCTATGAAGGAATCCGCTCTGCAGACATGAGAAATATGTTGTCAAAAGTCCTATTTCTCTGGCGCTTTGGAAATTCAGAATATCTCTTTAATTTTTATTTCTTGTTTTGTTATTTATGTCCGAGACTGTGGCTGATTTTGTGCTTACATATTTTTGTGTGTTTATTATAAGGTTCTTTAATTACGCCAGGGCGAACTCACGTTTCCTATTATTTGTACTTTTGCAGCTAAGGAATTTGGTTTGGGCCACTTCAAAACACAATGTTTACCTTATGTCAAATAATGCAGTCGTTCACTGGTCTTCACTATCCCATGAACTGTCTGAAGTTCTAAGCTTCTCTGGACACGTGGCGCCATCTGAGGTGTGCCCTCTTGGTTTTCTCGTATGAATATAAAGAATATAAAATTCTTTGATTCCACATTTTAATTTATTTTCTCAATTTCTTTCAGAAACATCAAGGAAGCTTGATGGAAGGATTCACTGGAACACAAGTCAGTACCCTCGCAGTCAAGGATAATTTGCTAGTTGCAGGGGGCTTCCAGGGAGAATTAGTTTGTAAGGCAAGTATTTATTTATTTTGTTTTTTCTCTAGTGAGCAGAACATAATTTGCATATATGCATCCCTGCTCTTTTAGAATGAAATTTTCCCTTGGGGAACTCACTTCTTTCCATGTTTGTGGATTTGATTGACTCAACGAAATTTGTTAAAGTGATACTGGAATCGCTTTAATAAATTTTATGCTTGTGCTTTTTTATATGTTGGAAAAGGGCACTTAAGATTTTATGCCTTCGTTTTTGCATTCTCAACATTTTTCCGGAATTTCTGCGAAAATGTGGAAAACAAAATCCTTAATAAACTTTCAATGCTTTATAAACTCTTGAGATTACCTGAAGAGAATTGTGTAATGACTAGAGATCATCGCACTGTAACTTTTTTGGGGGAGTTTGAGATCTTTGAACCGAAGGTTTCTGAATTAACCTTGTAAAGTGGGTTGTTGTGATGAAACACTGGTATTTGCCATATCCTTGAACAACAAGGGCAATAGAAACATGTCGGGATGTCATATGCTGTTGGGATTTATTATGTTGAAAGCTTGCCAAACATTTCTTGTCATAACATACTGCTGAGGCCAAGGCGCTGCTTTTCATCTGGACATATGTTGCCTCCTAGGTCAATTTCCCTGGCATCATATAAGCTTTTGGCCTTCATATTACTTTTTTTGCGGAGAGCTTTCTTTATATTTAAGTCGAAGCTCCAGTTAGTGCGAAGTATTGCTAGTTTAATTTTTACTGTTAACCAAAGGTGATGCTTGGATCCAAATAATGCTTAATCTCAGGACCAAATGTAACATTTGCATCTTGTTGAATGTGGTTAGTTTTTGCAATTTTTTTAACTGCATGTAGTTTCATCATTGGAACATTTGTGGCTCTTAGGAGCATTTCTAGTTGAAACCAGCACGAACGCTAAAGAATAATGTTAGGGGAAACCTAGTTCCCTTCCTATTAGAAGATTTATTGGTCGACTAGCAATTAGATGAGTCAAGATGAATCTGGCTTACTCAGCAGTAAAATTGGGAGAATCCTGAATGATGAGGCCATGTCTCGAGGGCCCATAGGTGCTGATTGGGGATGGAAAAGGCTCGGATGAATTTCTTTGCCGAGCTGAATTCTTATTCAGAGTAGACTGGGCCTGATTGATCTGTCCGTATGATCCAATGCAACAGAGAATGTTGTAAGTTATTGGTTAGGGGGGACGTTGGTTCTCATTTGGAGAATTTTGTCTTGTGAATGTGTCACACAGTTATATATGCCAGGTTTATTGAATATGGAGTGAGACGTCAGAGTACTCGTTTTATTCACAGGGGCCGAATTTTTGGAGGTCTTCGTTCTTAAGATTCGTTGGTTGCCGATGGTGTTTGGAGAACTTTAAGACTCGTTCTTGGCTGGCTTTGAGAATTTAAACGGTCTCGTTGGACTTGGGAAACTCTAATAGAGCAGTGAACTCCGAAAGTTGGGGAAAGTGTTGATTCATTCCTTGGATGTTTGGAGGAATGACACATGGATCTGTTCTTCCTCGATGTCCTTCAAGGTTTATGGTATACTAGTTTGATGCCAATCATATTGATGAAACTAACACAAATTTTCCACCATTACCTTTAAAGACGGTTTGTGAGTAACAGGTAGATTGAGCCTGGCTTTATTATGATTATTAATATTTCCACTGAATGCGGTTATCTCTAATACTTAAAGCTGTTTTTTTTTTTTGTACTCCTACCATTGCACCGCATCAGATTTGACAAGAATATAACATTCCACATGAAGTAACTTTCTTCATTCTTCTACTATGCACCGCATAAAATTTGACATGAACATCACCTCTAAAGACTCCTTAGTAGTTTGAACAAAGTCTATTCAGAAGTATATCTCGTAATAAAGGGGGCAAGGTACATTGGACTGTAGATGGTGGCTTGATGGACCGTGCCTGTTCCGATCTTGACAAAGATCTAGTTGGCCTGATTGGACAATCGGAGCGAGGGACTGCTGAATCTAGGATTGACTGCTGGATAAATATTCCACCATGACAAAAAAGTATTGGACCACTAGAGGCCAATTTACAAAACCTGACTCCATTTAGATCTTTCAACTGGGTATGAATCGATCTCAAGTTAACTCGTTCCAAGATGCCAATAAAATATTGGACTATCAGAGTCCAACGTACGAAGCCATTCTGGCCCACCCAGCTGGCTGATTTGGCCCAGAACAAGCTGATCCCAGATCGATCGTCCAATTCACTATGAATCTGTCAAGTGAGATCGTTCTAGTCTGATTCTAGCCAAAATGGATTGACCCTATCTGATTTTGGGTAAAAAAGAAAAAAAATAGATGTATAATCTAGGGAGATCAGATTCCATGCGTACACTGTAGGGGGGAAGGAGCAATATGCAAGTCAACAACTTGAACGGGCAAGTTAACATAATAAATTAAATGAGCCCAGGTATGACATGGATGTTATACAGTGGTTTTGATTCTCCCAAAGACATGCTTCCTAAACGGTTTTGATTAAATGTTGCCTGGTTAATCCGAGGAAATCTAATTTCCCTTCCTCTCAATGTTTTCCTTTCCAAAAACGGTGGGTATTATTCATTAAAAATGTACTTTGGCTGGCGTCTTTTTACAGCATTTGAATCAAAGGGGGATCAGCTTCTGTGCGCGTATGACTCTTGAGGACAACGCGATAACCAATGCCATTGAAATATACACCAATCCGAGGTACCGCGCGCTAGAATTTTATCGCTTATCTCTCTTGATGTGTGTTCATTATGAGATAATGGGAAATTCTTTACAGCGGAAGTAATTGTTTCATGGCGTCGAACAATGATGGGGGCTTACGAGAATACGACGTAGAGAAGTACCAGCTTTTGAATCATTTTCGTTTTCCCTGGCCTGTAAATGTGAGCAATTTCTATGCTTTTTTTAAAAAATAATTATCTGTTATTAATTATAATGATGAGTTGTGATTGATTTGGAGCTCTTGATGAAGAATTTGTTATTTTGCTCATTTCTTGATGACAGCACACTTCTATCAGTCCAGACGGCAAACTCGTGACAGTCGTTGGGGATCACTGCGAGGGACTACTCATAGATTCACGGGATGGGAAGGTGAGTCGAAACGCAATCGCATGAACCGCTAAACAAAGATTGGTTTTTGACCCAGAAAACAAAATGAAATGAAAAAAAAAACTGAACTCCAGTGTTAAAGGGGTGGCGGTTGTTTTTGACCAAAAAGTCTAAAGGCATTCCCCGGATTCGAGGCCTGTTTTCGACCAAAAAGTCTAAAGCATTCCAGATTCGAGGCCTGTTTCCGGGAAGAAAGTCAACCTCTCCGATCTTGAGAAAGACTCTTCTTGGGACAAGAGTTGAACATCTCAAATCCAAAGCCTGATTTCGATTTTTTTTTTAAAAAGGGTCAAGCTTACCCAAGTCTAGACCTGCAAATCATTTTTGTTTTCTAAATTTATTTATTTATTTTTATGAACAGGTGGTCTCTCGGCTGGTGGGCCATCGGGATTTCTCCTTCTCCTCGGCATGGCATCCGGACGGCCTGACCTTCGCGACGGGCAACCAGGACAAGACTTGCCGGGTGTGGGACGTGAGGAACCTCTCATCGGCCATCTCGGTTTTGAAGGGCAACCTCGGCGCGATCCGGTCGATCCGGTACTCCTCCGACGGGCAGTTCATGATGATGGCGGAGCCGGCCGACTTCGTCCACATCTACAACACCAAGCAGAACTACCAGCGGCGGCAGGAGATCGACTTCTTCGGTGAGATCTCCGGCTTCTCCTTGAGCGCCGATGGAGAATCCCTCTACATCGGAGTTTGGGACCGGATATACGCCAGCTTGCTCCACTACGGGCGGAGGCACATATTCAAGTACCTCGATGCATTGTAGGGACGGAAGCCGACGACCCCGCCTGCAGCAGCCGATGCCCAGAAGAGGACACGAAGTCAAACTGCACATATATTGTACAGAGGAGCCTTCCATGTCTGTTCCCCCTCCCCATCTTTGCGACATGAACATGAAGAAGGATTACTGTGGGTAATAAGGTTCTTGTGGTCTGTGCCCCCCACCCTCTGGATTTGTGGTGATCTTATCTCCCGACAACTTCTTGGAGATCGCCAGTGCATGCATAAATGGCCCGTGAATTGCTTAGTCTATACCTGCATCACTATATCTTAGTGTTCGACGATAGTCGTCTCTCTCTCTCTCTCTCTCTCTCGCTCTCTCTCAAACTCTGCTATTGGCAGGGGTTTGAGAAAGGAGCAATTCAGAATAACTCTGAATTGGCGGGCTTATGCGACTAACTCAGCTACAGATAGGGTGTCATTGGTTGGCTCCTGCTCGTGATATAATAGATGACGGAGAGAGGATTGGGAACGTTCTCTTTGTCAAACGATTAATATTTTTAGGATTGTTTGACTCTTGGTCCCGTGAGAATGGATCACTGGTAGGTAGATGTCTTCATCCTTCTTTGATCATCAGTACAGCCCATAATTTCTTCAGTTCACATCAGTCATCATCGGATACGACAGGTTGACCGCGCCGTAATTAGAATCCTTCCTCAGTGACGGAAAAGTTGTGGGTCGTTCTACGAGAAAACTAAATGGACGGATATCAGTGAGCAACTTGGGCTACGGGTCAAAGGTCTATAAATGTATCCTATTTCAATTGTTCTCTCGTGTCAAATGAGCAACTTGGGCTATATCGAGAAGAGGGAGAAGAACATGGTCGATGACAGTAGCGAGTGAAAAAGTAAACCCTCCTGGGCATTTATTTGCACGAATCTTTATTTCTTATGCACAGTTTGCTTGGAAACTATTTAAACTTGGTCCACATCATATTATGACACCAAAATACTGTTCTGTAGACAAAATGAAAATTGATGATGCGTCCCGTTCTTTTTACAGGAGCACTCAACTCTCTCATTTGGCTGCGACAAGCATGGGTACTGAAAACAGAGAAGGATGAGAGAAGTACAGAGAATCCCAAGTTAGAGAGAGAGAGAGAGAGAGAGAGAGAGAGAGAGAGAGAGAGAGAGAGAGAGAGAGAGAGAGAGAGAGAGAGAGAGAGAGAGGACGGAGAGATGCCGAGGAAAGAAGATGGATCCCTTTAACACAAAGGAGCCACTTGAACTCCATTAAAGAGAAGGTTCTGTATTCTCAAGCTTGAAGTTCCCTGTTATCCTGTGGGTCGTTCATACCAAAGCCATCGCACTTGAAGATACCAAACGCGTTTCAAGCACAGTCATAATTCTGAAGTTCCCCAATGGACCCATAAACTAAACGACAGAGGCCAATATACTCAGGGAGGGAACTTTCTGGATCATATCCATGGGCGGTCATTAGACAATTGAAGATGGGAAGATCTTTTGTTATCTGGATATGATTTCTTCCCCATCGGCCACTTCTTGGGGAATAATCCTTTCTTCCAAAAAGCAATTACAGTGATAGCTGAAGACTCTGATCATGGACGGCAGCAACTCTTTCATGGAAAACTGATGACACTGACAGAAAACTGAAGAAAAAGGCAGTGCTATTGAAGAAGAGTGTCATCCCAAGTAAGAGACCAGTAAAATTCTGGAACTGTGGATCTCACTTCTCAATCCTGTTTCTACTTGCGAGCAATCTACACAAACATTTTCCATATTTGATATAATATATACGATAGTCAGAAAAAGAATGCAGCAACACAATGCCTAATTGGAACCAAATGGGAAGAGCAAAATACAGTCGGTCCACGAATTCACTAGTGTCAACTTCATGCCACCCTCATAGGTTATGGCTTCTGTATCTGTGTGCGGCTGCCACTTTATATCTGGTATAAATCGAAGTGACCGAGATAAGGAATATTTCCAAAGTTGAAGGAATCTTCCAGACCATGAAGATCATGAGGTCAGTAGACGAGAGAAGGTGAACCGAATCTACTGGCATGTAGTGATCCCAGTAAAAAAAAAAAAAAAAAAACCATGAATCACCTCTCATCAAAATCCATTCATATCGTATGGCATAATCTCTTTGCAGAAGTAGACAGTGACAAAAGCTCAAAAGCTTTCTCAAATCTAGTGCTGAAAGCGTCCATGCAATAGAAAATCATAATTTATAACCCATCTGAGATGTGGTAATTGATATCAATGTCAAGAGTTGACTTATTCTCGCAGACGAATATTAGACTTTCTTCCTGACAGAACGATGTCCTCTGCACTGAAACCGTAAATATCTTTAACACGATCAGCCACTCCTTTGCTAGAGTAGGCTTTAATCATTGTACTGTAGGTTATCTTATCTGGTTTGCATCCTCTTCCCTCCATCATCTCCAGCACTCCTCTCATCTCCGCCAGACAACCAGCTCTACCATATGCATCCATCAAGCAATTGAAGAAAACAGTATCCAACAATACATCTGAGTTTTCAATAAGTCTCAGAACTCCTCCGATTTTATCCACTGCACCGACTCTTCCATATGCTCGTACAAGAGAGCACAGGGTGACACAGTTGGGTTTGATTCCTTCCGATTTCATCAATCTGAAGAGGTATTCCATCTGTCTGAGGTCCCCAGCTCTTCCAAATGCATCGATTACTACATTGTATGTGACAATGGTCCAAGAAAAATAATATTTTTGCATGAACTCCATCACAGAGCTCATCTTCTCGTACATTTTGGCTTTGCCATATGAATCAAGAAGAATATTAAAGGTCTTTATGTTGGGTGAGATACCAGAGCCCCGAAACTTGTCATAGCAGTGCTCCATTGTCTCAATTTGCCCACTGCCACCAAAGGCTCGAAGAGTAGCGTTCATGGTCCACACATCAGGCTTGCAATTCCGTTGCTGAAGCATCTCCACTAGTGCCAACTCCATCTCAGCAAACCTTTAAGAGAACCATAAAATGATATTGTAGTGAAATATGAAAATGCAACCAATATACCAAGCTGACATAACTCAAAACGCAACCAAATATCAGTAGATGATAACATGGATAATTGACATAACTAAACATTATCTCGAAGCTGACAGAACTCTGTCTGATTCGCATGTTAATTAGTTGCAGGATGCTTGTGCCACAATCGAAGTGAAGATTTGACAGAAATATCGATGATTGAAAGGACCTAGTGTAGATGGTATTTGTTCTAGCCCACGAATCCCACAGGCCAATATAGAGGACAAGCTATGGGTGGGTTGGTTCAACAAGGGTTCACATATGAAAGCCTGCGTGAGGGTCTTGAAAAATAGATGCCTCACGAATAAATAAAATATATCCCTTTAAGCAACAATATGGTACAAATGAAATATTTTACTCATTTTCTTCCTCAACCAAAAAAACTTAGTTTTTATTTGTAGAAATCTCAACATGTAACAAAATAATTTACAAGTGACAGTTCATACCTTCCTGCTTTACCATAAGCGTCAATAAGTGTGTTGTATGTGATGGTATTAGGTCTAATACCCAAGCTCTTCATATCGACAAGCAAACTCTGAACTTTCTCAAACTCAAACATTTGAAGGCAAGATTTAATGAGAATAGAGTACGTGTAAACGTCAGGGTGACATCCATCGGAACTTTTCATTATGTCAAGTAGAGAAAATGCCTTCTCAAAAAGGCCACTCCTGCTATAGGCTGATAAAAGAGCAGTATAGACCTCGTGATTTATCATACAACCTTCTTCAACCATGGCTTGGAAGAGAATTTGGGCTCTTTCCGGTTGCTTACATTTTCCAAGCATGACAATAAGCTTAATGTATATTCCAGCATTGGGCCTGTACCACAGCTGCTCACGTAATAGTTCAAACACCTAGCCAATTAATGAAGATAGTGTTTGATCAATAAACTCTCGGGGATGGAAAATAATGCAATGGTTAATTTACTATGCCTGATTTTGACTACATTAAATGCAGCAATGCTTAATTGCACCACCATTGATGCAGCGATGCAAAATTGAAACTGATTCAGAGAACTACGGCAAAACCTTTCACAGTTCATTAATATCCATGATCATTTTAAGGCTAATACTGATACTGCATTTTACAGAGATAAAAATATGCACCAATAATGCCAAGAACCACCACTCCTTTTTCTGTCCCGGAGAAGGAAGCGAAGTGGGGTGATTAATGAAACCCCCGAAAATTTCGATCAGGTGTCCGATGATAAAGCAATCCTGAGATGCAGTGACTATGGTTCCTCATTAACAACATCTTAATTAGTTCGGAAAGACACAAAACGCACGGGAGAACACGAACGTCGAGAGCAATGAAAAGAATCAGACCTTAAGGGCGGATTCCCAGCGTAAGGCTGTGACCCTCTCGTGTAGAGCCTCAAGGACGGTCCTAGGGAGGAGTTTTTTAGAATTGGTGCCCCCACGCTTCTTCTCGATGACGGCCTTGGTCGCTTCCCTCCTCAGTATTACTGATATAGCCTTCTTCGAAGCGATCTTCCGGTTCACCCCCTCCTTCCTTCTCCTCTCCCTCTCTTTCTCTTCCCTTTCCTTTACTTTTTCTTCCCTCTCCCTCTCCCGGGACCCATCATGCCTAACCCGCGTCTCGGATTGGATGACCGGAACCAATGAAGTTCTGAGACTCTCATCGATCTTCTCGCAATCCGGGGAGTCCCTAGAAGCAACGACTCTCAATGAGAGAGGACGGCGATGGAGCTTCCGGCCGGGCGCATCCGGCTGTCCCCTCTGACCCCCAGAGGAGGGCAGCCAAAACTCGGGACTGTAAGAGCAGCAATGAGCAATGGAAGCCGGCATCGAGGAAACCGGGGGGTGGGAGGAGGCAGCAGCAACTGGAAGCGCGGCCACCAGCTCCGTCCAAGAAGAACAAAGATAGCGAAGGGAACATGACGGCCTCCTCAGCGAAGGGAGATATTAATTTCACATAATTAAGATATAACCCCCTACCTTTTTTTCATTTTAAATATTAAACCCATAAGATAAAATATACTTGCAATAAATATATTAATAGTATCCTAAATTTGTAATGTTAACTCACATATAGATATTTTCGTTCTTATTAATAATAAAGAATGTATATGTTTCCGTGGGTTTTATTAAGCATGTTGGTGCGTAGGATGAGATGCTGATTTTGTGGGCGGGCAGTTGGGGTGATGCAGACTACTGGATGACTGCGCACATTGACACATGAATTTATGGCTTGCATGATGATACGGGGTGTTAGTTTTTCACTGGGGCTAGGTGAAGTTTTTCAAGCAGATGGCTAATCTCATCGTGGAACTTGGCTGGAGTAGTGATTCTTTTTGGGTTTTTGAAGACGCGTGCTCTACTAAGTCTAAGTTTTGATGGTTGAAATCGTATAATATCATATCATATCATACCATTCTTTTAGCGAGTTTAGAGTAATGTGATCCATGGGTAGATGGGCAAGATTTTATAAATAATTTTGAAAAACATATTCGAATCAGCTACCAAAGTTTGGATGAAGATGGGTTCAGAAATTTAGAAGAAAATGTCAAACGAAATTATTTTAAATGAGGCCGGGGGGGGGACCCGTCTGTCTCGCGAGAAGCACAAGCTCTCTGCCCTGTGATGAGATATAATCGGGAAAAAAACTTGTCATCTTAAATGTGCTTCATTCCTAATTAATATATTGTCCCCATGTTTCCCTCTCTAAAATGCTGCGCTACATTTTTTCAGCACTAAAAAAACAAATGCTAATGAAGGCACCCCCAAGTCTTTATTTTTCAGCAATTTTTGAAATATCATAATTTTACCAAATCTTGCAACATCTTTCATCACAAGGCTCCACTATTTCAAAGATGCGGGACTTCAAAAGATGATGATGATGATGCCGATGATGGCTGAAAGTTGTAACAGACAAAACACTCATCCTTTCACTCCACATTGATTGAGCTACATAGGAGGGAATTCTTGGGATTACCAGCCTCGCATTTACAAGAACAATTTCTCTATCACCATATTAAACTCGGTCAGTCAGGACATTAGACTCAATGAGACTGTGGTCAATATCCAAGCGATGTAGAAAAAATCTACCTTCTCGAGTGTGCTTGTCTCATCCTCTTTTATTCTTCTGTTCCTCGCTATTTGCCGCCTATTGGCCACATTGAGGTTTCACTCCCAATAACAAACTCACTTATTTAGGAGAAGGCATGGTGATGAATTGATCCCATGATCCCAGCTTCATGCAACCCAATTCTGTTTTCAAGAACTACTCACTAAGCGACGCACTATATAATTACACAAATTATGCGAAAAAGTGTGGTGCCAGAAGATTGTTAGGGCTGAATGGAAATATAGCAGCGGGAGCAAGACAGGGTTACCGACATGAGAAATTTAATCAGACCAACAATAAAAACAATAGGGGGAGTCTATTACAGTGCATTGCTCCGAAAGGGGCGGCTGAGCATGCCCTGGAGAAAGGTGGTGTTGACAGCATTGCTCATCAATATCCTCATATCACATTAAGAAAGCATGGCACCAAATGGTATGGGAACAAACAATCCACTGATTTCTGTGCTAACAGCGGCCTAAACCAGTATTAAACAGTCTTCAGGAAAGAAGATGATAAACATAAAGGAACATCCCAAACTAGTTTACATCAAAGAGCATAGTCTCCACGAAGAGCAATTGTAACCTGTAAAAAAGGTACTTTGCAAGGATTTACTCAGCACAGACAAGCAAAATAACCTTACATTTTGTTTTGAGATATGGATGCCCATAACCTACATAAAGGAAAAGGAAGAAGAGTTTCCCATAAATGTTCATTTCCAGAAGGAAACGATATATGAGAACAACATTAGCACATATGACAAGTACAAATGCTATGTCTCACAACTCAGATTTCGGGGTCCTTTGGACTCATCCAACAAGTATATTACAATACTCTATTCAAAGTGACAATGGTTTTCAGTGACAACAGACACGCAGAACCCAAGAGAACGGGTTAAATTGCATGATGATACTCCACCAGTAAATCATTAAAATTGAGGGGGTCTGTCCCCTCAGCTGCATTCTAAAAAGTGCCTGCCCAGCCCAGCAGCAACAGCATTTTTACTCTCGTTCTCCCCCCCAGTTCCAGCTCTGGCAGCTCTGGCAGCTCTGTTGCTCTGGGAGACTTCAGAGCAGAGTCAAAGAATTACATGGTACCAGAAGGATGGTCACCCATCCAACTCATCTATCTTCTACATGAAGCTCTTCATCAATAAAACCAGAGATTATCCAACTTACAAGAGTTCAGAGCTGCAGGCATCATTTTTTCTCATCAGATCAATGTTTTCAGCAATTGTAGATCCAGAAGTCCCTACAAATCCTAATGATGCACAACTGCATACTACTTCCTGTACATAAAGAAGAATACTAGGCAATATCAGGGGAGGACAAATTCTTTTGTTCACTGTAATGTTACGATTCTCCAGAAGAAGGGGAGTCCGTAAGCTATGCCTCGCAGACATAAGCTGCATAGATGCATGTGCCACTAGCTTGTTGTCTTCAGGAAGAGTAAAGAACTTGAAAGAACTCGAGTTGCTCAATAAGTCTGCCAGATAAGTTCCAGTCCAATTATCTGCAGGCAGATCTGTCATAACGAAAATAGAGATTGGGCCTTGATTTTTCTTTTCCCTTTTATCGGCCTGTATAAGCTCTATCTTTTCTCTCAGAGTTGAAAAGGCTTCCTTCCAATGATTCTTGAACTGCCCATCGAGCAGCCTTAGTTGAGCACAGAGGAAGGGCCCTTTTATCTTGTTCAAAGCAAACTCCTTTCCAGCATTTAATATTTCCTGTGCGAATGGGAGGTAGTCAATTTTTCTCAAGAGTGACTGAATTCTGGAGTCTGTTGGCACGTCATGGATATCAATGTAAAGCTCATTACCCTTATATGGTGCTGAGAAAAGACTTCCAAACACCAGTACTGTGGAGGTTTCAGGTTTGGAGCCAGGCCCGAAAGCTTTGTACACATCTCTCCTCCTCCTAATGTAGGAAATTTTTTTCCTTTCCTGCAATTCTTTGTCAAGTTGAAATGAATCCAAGCTGCCGTCGCTGTCTTGGCCATAAGTCCACACTGTAGTCCTACAGTCATCCTCCACACCATATACACAATTTTGAGCACCCATGTCCAGTCCAGACAATATATCTTTGCACAGCGTGAATTCCTTCGGCAAAGATTCATGCTCATAAACAGTGCAAACAAGATTCATATCGATGCCACACCATACTGATGCAAACTCGCTAAAATCAACAAATCTTACCATGGAAGCGGAAACCATGGGAGAAAGATCAATGACGTCGGCCATGGAGACGAACCTGCAAAATGATTTATGCGAATGGTGAAAATTCGTTCCCTCGTATCTCGGCCGAACGGATATCGAGGATTTGAAGGAAAAATGTACACATCAAGAAATTAAGTAGCAGCTGTCTCCATATTTATCTGGGGGACACGAGTATCTGGCTCGTGGCCCTCTCACCTCCGACTCCGAAGGAGCTCCATTGTGTGATCCCAGACAGAGGCGCGCAGATCAGAGGGGCTGGAGACCCTAAACTTGGGGCAGCTTCCAAGAACGACGGCATGGTGGTCGAGGACCGGGGGCACAACCAGAGTCCGATTGAGGATCGCAGCGAAGAGGATAGCGTTCCTGAGCTCAGATAGCTGGTTGCTGAAGCCGCTGTGTGGAGCATACAACAGGAACCTCTCCCCATTGCCCATGGGGGACGAAGATCCGCCGCTGCATTGTAGGAGCGGAGCAGAGACATTGATCCCATCCAACAAAGGGGAATGTAGGGATACAACGACCACTCTTAGGACCTCCGAGAAGAGGAAGAGGAACAGGAAAAAGAAGATGAGAAGACCGCCGCAGAGTAGAGCGACGGAGGAGAGTTGAGGCCGGCCGCCGGAGGATCTCCTCCGCCACCTTCCGCCGCCTCTGAATCGAAACGGGCCTTCCATCGTCTTCTCCGACGCCGACACCGGCGGCGGCGGCGCCAGCCCACCCCCTTTGGCTCCGAGGATCCATGAATCAGACGGATGTAATCAAATAACCTGGTAAACAAGACTTGGGCTCGGCCCGATCTTCCACGTGACATCCGGAACAGCACGCGCCGACCCCTTAGGCCATGACATTGTCTCCCAGGATTCGTCAATCAGATAGACACCTCACCAAATCACCGTGTTCGGGCGTTTCTTCGGGCTCGGGCCACGAACTGGCGATCAACTAGACTTGGGCCCAGCCCGATTGTCCACGCGACGCCCCAGAATAGCATCCACGCGAGGAGATCCCAGGTGGGCCCGGATCACGTGATACTTGAGACTCTCAACCTTCACCTGTCTCTTTCCTCCCCCCTTTTTGTATTTTCTTAATAAAAAGGGTAGAGGATAATTAATTCGAGGGGTGACGTGGCCGACCGAGAGGCCCAGTCCAATGCCCAGCCCTAAACGGCCGCATTAACTCCCGCGGCACCCCAGACGGGGTTACGTACCCCCCGTAGTCAATGGGAACGTTCGCCAGACGCCGGCCAGCCAAAAAGATCGCGCCTATGGCCTTCTTTCTAACCTCCATGGCTTCAGATTGAATTAAAGGATAAAATGAGAGGCGGGGAGGGCCCACTTGGGGCACAGGCCAAAGGCAGATCTTCTCCTTCGGAGCCCACCGGCCGTACGTCCGCCATAGGCGCATATAGTAATGATCCAGATCTTATATTGTATAAAAATAGGGGTCTCCGCCGGAGAGGGGACGGAAGAGGAGGAGGGGTCTCTGCCCTTGTTCATTCATTCGCCGGTTTTAGCAATAACAGCAGTTAGCGGCCATCTCCCTTCTAATAAAGAAGAGGGTGTTCAGCGAATCGCGCGTTCCGTGAGTTCTTGGGCAGGGGGGGAGAACGGGGGAGGAGGGGATTCCTGCTCTGGTTTCGGTTTTCTTTTTCTGTTGCTCTAATTAATCGTATTTATCTTGTTTTTAGGGGGTGGGGGGGGGGGGGTGGGGAGGAAGAAGAGAAGCCTATCATCGTTTTAATCCCTTGTAAAGAACAGTGGCAGCTCCTGGTGCTGTGGATGAGAGAGGAGGCTCATGTATAAAAAAGGTAAAAACTCTCTTTCTCTCTCTAGCCCCTCCTCCGTTCCCCACCCGTCTCCCTCTCCGGCCATTCCTGTCTGAATCCGAAAAGCCTAGTCTTCCTGCTTCTCCTATTCTTATCCTTTCCCTGCCGGTGCCGTTGTTTGGCTCTGTCTCTTATGGTATAACGGCGGCGGATTAAATGTGGTTTTGATGATGATATCCTGCAAAAGTAGCGGTGGCGGCGGCAGTCTTATTCCCAAAATGTAGAAAATACGGTCTGAAATTTTTTGCTCTTAGATTCCTCTCTGCGGGCTAGACACCTTCCGTCATTCAAAACTTTCTCTGCTCCAGGTGCGGTCACGGCTGGGTCTGGAACTAAATGTTGCGTGCATAGGTGGTTCTGGGAGACAGTTGGGGCTTTAATCCGTTGAGGGTTGGGTGGTAGGGGAGGACGAAGTTAGGGTTTTTATGAACCCGCCGTCAATTTTGTACGATACCGCAGTTGTCCGCCGTCACATTTCCTCTCAGGTTGGTGAGACGCCATGGTTAGCCCCTGGCCTCAGGACACCGTCAGCCTGCATCTGGGTTTTCTATCTCTCTCTTCCCGGTTGGGGGTAGATGATATTGTTGGCAGATGTCCTGGTTCTTCTCTTCCTGTGTTTGGTCCATGGGGGGGAGGCTGTCGCCATGGGAGGAGATTTAGAGGGCAGAGACGCGTTTGAATGGGTCTGCTCTTGTCTTCTTGGAATTATCTTTTCTATTCCCGAACCTTGTTTCTTCAAATAATCTTCTCACATACTTGATGAAACCTTGCTCAAGTTATTATTTCTGGTTGTTGAATCTTCTCCCCTAAATGAACCAGTGATAAGACCCGTCACACAGTGAAGGCGGTGCCCTCTTAGGGGAATGCGATGATGGAGGTTGTTGAGGAGAAAGTGGCTGAGAAGGGCAAGCAGTTAGCTACGGGAATCTCTTCTTCTCCACTCACTCCAATGGCGCAGAAGGACGCTGCTAGTGATGCGAATAATTACAATCCCTACCCTCCACCAGTGGCGAAGTATGAGGAAGTCATTGCAGATAGAGAGCTGTTCATCAAGTCGCTTGAGAAGCTCCACGCCACACTGGGAACCAAATTTATGTATGCTACAAATTCTGTACACAACCATCCATCATTTTTTATTTTTTTTTCTTGCAGTAGTTTCTTCCCTCCCCCTCTTTTGGTGATCTTTTGAGTCTCTTTGCCCCAGGAGCAGAAAATATTTTATTTTCCGACTACTTTTAATAATTCTTTTCAACCAACTGCCCCATAAAGAGAATTTCCATAAAAGAGATGCTAATGCAGTTTTGATCACCAAGAGCATGCCATAATGCTTCAAATAAGTCGAATTACCTGACGGCTCTTCAGAGTCTTTGCTCTCTTTCTTGTTGGAAAGTACATCTTTAGCAGGTAGAATTGAACGTAACAGGAAAAATGCGGTGGGAGAGAAAAAAGTTAATGTGAAAATAATTGATTAATCTCGATAAGTTAGATACTTTTTATTTAACTATCTAATTCAAGCTATTTTACTGGTATTTTTTTCATGCTTTTTTACACATTCTGTGCATATATGTGTATGTATCTGTCTAGGGTGCCGACGATAGGTGGGAAAGAGCTAGATCTCCATCGACTATTTGTGGAGGTTACTTCTCGAGGTGGTATTGAGAAGGTGAAGGCAGATCGATCCATTCTTTTTGCTCGTTCTTCCTTTTTTTATTTTGCCTCCTTGGATCCTGGCTTGTTGAGTTTTAAATTTTGTTCAGTGGAGTCCATGTAATCCTCTGCGCATGTTAATGTTTGCCTGCTATAAATTCCTTTCCTCGTGATCAATAGTCTCTGCGAAGGTTAATAAGCTGGTATTTAAGCACGTTTAAATATATATATGTACATAAATTTAGAAGCTTTTTGCTTAAATGTTTGATAGTTATGACTCTATGATCAGAAGGTAAATGCTGTCTACTGTCAAAAGAGGTTTAGCTTCTCAATTTATCTTTCCTTACAAATGGTAAAGAGAAGTAGTGGAAGGACATATTGATGTGCCAAGTTCGAATCGCCATCCTTGAATAAGATTTTGTGAAATGGAAGATAAAATTGCCTTTTTAAGCTAAAACCAAATCACATCGTTGAAGTCACTTCCCTAGCTTAATGGATGACTACTACAGATTATAAAGCATTAAGATTTGGTTTCGTCTGTCATACTGTTAGGTAGTGATCACTGATTAATCTGCTTTGCATCAGATTATTATTTCATGCCAAGTGATGGATGCTTGTATTCTGTGAGGCGCTCTTTTCGGGTTTTGTGCTTGATGAAGAAATCTTTTGTCCTTTACGTTTCTGTGATGTTTACAGCTCAGGAAGAACTTAAGTGGTATCCCTGCTCTTCAGTGTAATAATAGAAGCACCCAAGCTTTTGTTTTGACAATCTGTTTAGAGGACGTCCACTATTGTAATTACTTTTATATTTATATATACAACCTTGGATGGTATAGTTTTTTAGGGTTTTTCTAGGACTAGGTGCTATCATGTGTTAAGTAGATAGTTAGGAATTTGGTATGAAACTTTGTTGAAGATGTGGAGCAGGGAGGTTAGGAATTCAGTTTGCCTTTGGGGATGTGACACCTTCCAGTGGTTAATGAGTAGTGGACATGTTGAGAACCTCATTTTTTATTCAACGAGCACTGCAACATATTGTGTGGTTCATACTCCACGTGAGCCTTTATTTTACTTGGAATCAGCAAAACAAATTGTTCATTCAAGTGGCAGCTTTTCTTCTTGTGTTTCAATCAGGGCAAGAGAACTGGGAATAGATTGAAGTATTGAGATGAAGTAGCCGTACCATACTGAGAGCCTTAGATTTCTCGATCTTCCATTTGGGGCTTTTCTGTGAACTGATTATTTATTTTTTAAAGTTTATGAATAATGTGGATACTAATTAGTTAAGTTTAATTTTATAATAGTATCCGTTTGCATTCTGTCTTGATTTGGATTTCTTTTCATTTTTTATATTTGCTCCATTTTATGAAAATTAGGTCATTGAGTCAGAATAGCCTGGGTTTATTTTTGGGTAATTCATCATCCAATCGCTTGAGAGCGTGATACCGATTAATTTTGTAATTAATGATTTGAATTGATTTTTATCAACTGCATCTAGAGTGAGCTGCGTGTGCATTGAATTTCATTGCAACCCCAGTATTTTACAGAGGGTTTTCTTATTTATTTTTTCTCTTGTTAAATGGGAGGAAACGGGATGTTGCTTATTGGATGACTGAATGGGAATACTCATTAGTGAACTTGCCTCTCTAAATCCTGTCATTAATAGAATGTTTTCGGCCCTAAGTACCTCATTCCACTTCTGTCTGGATTTCATGTTTATGGAGTTGTCAAGCAGTGTAAATGTCAGTATTTTTCCTAGTTGTAGTCTTTGTATGGTATTCCCACCTACATACTTGCCTTTATATGTTTATTTTCTTCCCTTCGTTTGTAGTGACCATTTTCCTTCAATTTATCCAAGTCTTCTCTATCCTTTCTTTCTTTTTATCTCCATGATTTCGGTTCAATGACACACCTTTGTTTCTGCACAGGAGATTGGGGGGGAGAGGCCCTAGGGGATAAAGAAATCAGACAGGAAGGATTGAGAAAGGAAAGATAAAATATGTTCACATCTAGTGAATATGGGGGCTTATACAGTGTTGGCGGTGACCACATGTCAAGTGTGTACAAATAGGGTTCTTGAGTGTGGCAAAGTCGATCGGTGAGAGGGAGAGCTGATGTAGGATGCCTGTACTGGTTGTCTAACCTCTTCGACACGGGTGACCATGAAAGAGAGGATTGGGAATTGTGAGAGAGATGGGAGAAACTCTTGGTGGTGCGACTGGGGGTGCGAGGTTGTCTCTTGGCATTTGGATTGCTTAAAAAGGCGTCCCTGTCCTTAAGTTCAAAAAATTCTAGACTCTTATGCATCCACATAGGAGTGCTACTCTGACGTCTAACCTGTTAATTGTGGTTTGGTAGATTTTCTATTTTTTTTTCGTTAGCTATCTGATCCATGGAGGTTGGTTTTGTAGGTATTGTGTAAAATATTTTGAAGTCCTGTATCAGGGTAAACTAAGAGAGAGGCTGATAGAAAAACTGCTGGAATTTTAATCATCGTTCAAACTTTACACTCTATTGTTCATGGAAGGATAATTATGTCTTCTCATGCTAATTATGTTAGAAAGCTACGAATATGTCGTGACTTTAAAGTGTATTGATCAAGGGAAACTAAAAGCTGTCTGGAGCTGTGTTCGCTCTAAACTGAAGAAGCCAGATGGGCAAGACATTTTTCCCAGAGATATTGAGCCATTTCTTGATAGATTTGTTTATATTTTATGAATATTTTTTGAGGACATGTAGCTTGGATTTTTAGGAGATTAGTGGAGGAAATGTTTGATAGAGGCATGGGATTCCTGGGCAAGTTGGTGGGATAGAGACAGAAATATCCCATTTCATGTGGAAACCCTTCAAAGGTTGATTAGTGGGAAAAAATTGGGAGAAGTCCAGCTCTCTTCATTCTGCAAGCTGATAAAAGACTCACTCCTTTTTTTCTGCATTTTTAAAAAAAAATCAGCCTCTGCGGAATTGGTGGAATTTCTTTGTCTTAACAAGCCAAATGCTCTTGTAGAATTTGGGAAATCTCTTGGCTCGTTGACGCAATTGCGGTTTATAATTCAACTCCTTGAACTTGTTTATTGCAGTGATGTGCTCGGTCTGCCTAATTTGTCTGGAAAATGCCTGGAGATAAGTGATAATTTATTTCGAGCATTAGAAAAAAAAGAGCATAAATCTAGGCATTGTAGCGAGGATGGGTAGCTGAAAGTTTTAATTTTCACGTTTGGATGTTTTTTTTTTCTTTTAAATCGTTTTTTCCATAGTGGAAACATGCATCCTACCTTTTTATGTCGAGAATTCGTTTTCATTTAATTTTTGGAATTGAGTTTTACTTGAATGTGTCTGCCGTTTTTCAAGTATTGACCTGAGAAGACCTTGTTCAAGTATTGACCTGCTTAAGTAATTTCGCCATGACAAGAATTCTTTTTCTTGTAATTTTTATTTATGCTCAATCATCTGAATATACCTAGTAAAGATGATGAACATATCATGGTTATAAGAAAGAAAAGACCTTGATCTAGGAATAAAATTTTCGAGAGTAACAAAGTAATTTAATTTTTTGGGTCAAATTATTATAAAAACACAGTTCTGATAGTATGAAACCAGATTATTATCAGTTCCTGTATTTACGGAGATTATTCATTGTTCCAGTGGAGCTTTCATTGGCGACATTGTTCCTTACCTATTTTAGACCCCATCTTCTGATTATCAGCTTAATCATGCGGGTAATTTTGCCTCTGTTCTAATCCGATTCTTTTGTAGCCCTGAGATGCGCATGGTGCTGAGTTTGCTCTTCATGTTTGCTTCTTCGGCTCTATCCATTTGCCAAACATACCATGAAAAAAAAACTTGCGATCCTGAGAAAAAAACTCTCGAATTTGCCACTGTTTGATCGAGAGCAGGTGGTTGCTTTTCATAGCGCGCTGATCATCCTTCCTTATTCGATGGCACTTTTAGGTCATACGGGAGAGACGATGGAAGGAGATAACAGCCGTCTTCAGCTTTCCTTCCACGGCGACCAACGCTTCTTTTGTCCTGCGCAAGTACTACATGTCGCTGATGCATCACTACGAACAGATCTATTTCTTTGGGGCGAAGGGATGGAATCCGGTCCCTGCTGGTATATTTTTCTCTTACTCTTGGATTAGAAAGAACAGTGATCAGGGTTTTCTTACAATCTTGGGTTCAAATTCTAAAATCATGTATTAGAAACATAATATGTCATGAAACTGGCCATGGAATGAGCCGGTGATGAGCCATCCTGCGGTGGATCCTTGTTTCTGTTTTTCAGCCGACAAGTCTTCTGAGCACGGCGTTACTCCAGAGACCCATGGCCCTTCCCAGAAGCGGAAAAGAGGCACCGGCGATCAGCTACCCGGAGGTATTTTTATTGATTTATTCATTCTTTTTTATGGCTTCTGTGAGTTTTCTGGGTAAAAAAAAGAAAGGAAGATCCACGGGTGTTTCCAAGGCTCGGTGGGGAGCCATTCGGGCCGCCCTGAGTGGATAATATGATCATTGGGATCGAATTGTATGGTTAAAAGATTTCCTCTCCGGCTTTATTTGGAAAGCCTTCTGAATATTTCTTCTACCGAGCATCTGAGAGAGAGATCTCTGAATTGGTTTCTTAGAAAAAAAAATTCTATGGTCATTTAATCCGAAAACTGATTGATGTGGTGATTGCAGCGGCGATGCAGATGCCAGCAAATTACCCGGTGGTGGGAGTGATCGACGGGAAATTTGAGCATGGATATTTGGTCACTGTGATGGTCGGCACGGAGAAATTGAAAGGCGTTCTCTATCACACGGCCGGATACCCGGCGGTGGCGGCGGCACATTTGCATCAGAACCTTGCATTGGGGAACAACGCCGCCATGGCCAGTGGCGGCCGCCGGCGGCGCCGCCGGAAAAAGCTTAGCACCCTCGATCCGACTCATCCGAAGCCGAACAGGAGCGGCTACAACTTCTTCTTCGCCGAGCAGCACGCGCGGCTGAAGCCGCTGTACCCGGGCAAGGACCGGGAGATCAGCAAGATCATCGGGGACCTCTGGAGCAAGCTCACGGAGCCGGAGAAATCCGTAAGCAAAGGCCCAAAAGTTCCCTTCCTTTTTTTTAGGTCATCTGAAACTTGCCCATTTTTAGTATCTGAACCTCTGGAGGTTGGGTGGGGGTTTTCATGGCGAAATCCAGGTGTACCAGGAGAGAGGCGTGAAGGACAAGGAGAGGTACAAGAGCGAGATGGTGATCTACAGGGAGAGGCAGAAGACTGGTGGGCAGGTGATCTGCAACGCCGTGCCCATCAGGCAGCAACCGGGGGCGCTGCTGGAGGCAAAGAAGCTCGCCTTAGCGCCGCAGCCGGAGGCAAAGGAGGAAACTCCGGCGACTACGCCGGAGAACGACGGCGGCAGCTCGACGGGGACGGATGCGGAGAGGAAGCTGGGCCAGGAATCGGAGTCCGAGGAAAACTCCACGGAGGTGGACGCCCGCACGGAATCGGCGAATCGGGAGTCATTCACCGACTCGGACGGGTTCGAGCTCCGGCGGAGGGACAACCCAGCGGCGGAGAACGCCGAAGAGGTCTCCGGACCGGCCGGGGAGGGCAGCGCCGCCACCGGCGCCGTCGGCATCTGAGGGGAATCGCCGGAGTTCAAAGATTATACAGCAGATAGAGAGAAGAATTGCGAGGATTACTGAGGCGAATGCTGTTGGGTTCTTCCACCGATTTCTTTCCCACGCATTACTGTCGGGACCTGATTCTGCTGCGTAATTCGTGGGCATTGACGCCATCGAGGAGAGAAGGGATAGATAGAGAGAGAGAGTTGACGTGGTCTTGTTACTGTGCTGACGTTTGTCACTTGAAGTTGACCCAGATAGGCAGAGTCGGCACTGTCTGATTATTGCGGGCCCTTGAGCGCCTTTCTTTAAATGGGTGGGTGCCCCCGAGGGGAGGAAGATGAAGAACTGGACCATGGCCAAGGGAGGGGATGTCAAACTCGCACTCATTAACGGCGGGCCTGGTAGAACTGGTTATGCGACTAGTTAGAGAGAGAGTTTCAGGATACAAAAACTTCCCTACGTTGAACTCGCGAAATTCAGAAGTCGACTTCTGAACCAAAAACGTAAGAAAGCTGACAACGAAGAAAAAAAATGGTCGGGGAAGGAGAAGAAGAAGACCAGGGAGAGGGGATCAGGAGGAGCTCGACGGGAGAGCCTCCCAGATGGTCTCGATGTCGAGGGAAGGCATCCTACTCAGCAGCAACAGGCCGCCGCCGCCGTCCTCCCACCTGCTCGGACTCTCCTCCGATGGCCCCTTCCTTCTCTTAACCGGCGGCGAAGCAACCGGCGAGCCCTGCCGGTGATGGTGACGCAGCTTGCTGTTGTTCCCCGCCCGCGGCGGTGGTGTCGCCGGCGGCAGCGGCGGCGCATGGGGGGACCCGTCGGAAGAGGAGGCCTTAATCTTGGCTTCGAGGAGGGAGACGGTGGCGGAGTGCAGGTCGTCGCCGGCGGGATGGTCGCCGGCGGCGAGGAGGCGGTAGAGCAGGTGGGGGAAGTTGAGGTTGGCGTGAGCCCCTCGGAGATGGTAGGCGGCGGCGTCGTAGGCCATGGCAGCGTCCTCCGCCGTGTTGAAGGTGCCCAGCCAGACCCTCGTCCGGTTTCTGGGCAGCCGTATCTCCGCCACCCACTTCCCCCACTGCCTTTGTCTCACCCCTCTGAACATCCTCTGTACCTTAGTAGGCGCCGCTGTCGCCGCTCCGCCGTCGCCGGCGAAGTGGAACTCCTGCCCGCGGCACCGGTGCAATTGGTGAAGCCAGTCGCTCGCCGATGGCTCGCCGGCCGCCGGCAGAAGAGAGAAAGCCGGCGGCGGCGGCAGCGACTCGTCCGCGGGGCTCCGACGGGCGGTCGCGGCGGCGGCGAGGAGGAGCTGGCGGTATTCTTCCGCCGCCATCGCCGAAGAAGGAGGAGCTGGCCGTAGTCTCTCTCTTTCTCTCTTTCTTCTCTCGTCTTATGGCTGCGGCGATCTCGCTCCACGATAGGCATTATAACACCGATCATGTAAAGTATACATCACGCGTTCGGCGAAGGCCAATCAGAGCGCGACAGGAGGCCCCCATGCGGTACACCCCGCCATATCCTATTGCCGCACAAGACCAATGATTACATTAATTAAGGCCAGAAGTCGACGAGTTAACCCCTCAGACAGCTTCAACTCCCCTCCCCCCATATTATAAAAAGGTCTGGTTTGGCAGAGAGGAGTGTGAGGGCAGCCGAGTTCTCCCCACCATCCATTCGTGATCGTATGATTCGTCGAAACCCATCGTAGAGATCTTAGAGGACCAGCATACCCATCGGAGCCATCTAGATAGAGAGAGACAGGACGACAACAAATGGTAGCCGAGTTCTTCCCGAGATCCATCCATTTGTCACGCCATAATTCATCAAACCCATCTCAGGTTAGATGTTCAGAGCCCCACAAAACCCTCCAGAGAGAGGGAGAGGGAGGCAGAGAGAGAGAGAGAGTGCAATTCCTCGGTGGCCAACCACAGGGGTGGGCAAGAGTGCTGCCCATGTTGAGTCCACACTTGCACATGCATAGTCAGTATAGAGGAAGACGGATAGGCAGCCCTGCATGGGGGACCCTCACCCCCACGCCTTAATACCTTTCTAATTGTTTGCCATTTTCTATAAGACATCTAACCCATCCACCATCCCCACATGCAACAACTTACTAAATCAGACGATAGAGGGAAAGGGAGAGAGAGAGAGAGAGAGAGAGAAAGAGGGGGGGGGAATGCCCCAAGAATCATCATTAATGTTCCTAGATTCGCAAAAATATATTATTGATGATAAAACTACTGGATTTGTCATCCCCCAAGAAAATCTATCCGCATGATTTTCACAAGATATGGTTCCACAATCGGAAGAAGAGCAAGCCCATTTCATAAAAACATATTGTATATCGAAAAATGTTGTTCGGTCTCACAGATTGTGCACCTCCCCTTTGCATGTGAAGGCAACTGATCCAAGCAACCAGCCATGAGAGGGGGAGGAGCTCAAGGTGGGGGACCCTCCTCTCTCGCTGATGAGCTACTGCCCAATAATGGCCGTTGCTTGGCTTCCAAATCAGCTCCACGTGCTCTCATGTGCTTGTAGAATCGGCCATCTCTTTCGTCCACTGGGAATCATCATCTCCATCATCAATCCACCCATCTGAGAGTTAGAAAGAGAAAGAGAGAGACGGACACAGATATTGAGCTCGGGAAATTCATGGTTGAATCCTGCTGAGATTAAGCTCTGGCAGAAGGTGTTGGTTGCTTCAGACCTGGTTCTTACCGGTGAAGGAGTTGGGATTCATGGAGGAGATCTGTGCAATGAATGCGGGGGGCGCCGCCGATCTTTTTGGTCCCTGAAATGTATCCGTTGTGGCCAATCTTCGTTCTCATCCACTGCTTTTGGCGGCCGATCTCTTCGGCGCAGGTGTTTAGGTACCGAACTCGTCGCTGTCGCCAATGTCGTAGTCGCTGTGAGCCCGTGGGGGGCGGGGGTGGGGGGGTTCCGTTTCTAGGGAAGGAAGTAGCTGGTTTTGGCCGCATGGTACTAAAGAATTTTGGAGGGAGAAAGAGACGGAGAGAGAGAGCCGTAGAGATTAAGATACATATATATATATATATACTTATGCATGACGAGAGAAAGAGAGAGAGAGAGAGAGAGAGAGAGAGAGAGAGAGAGAGAGAGAGAGAGAGAGAGAGAAACCGGCACATATCTATGCATAATGAAAAAGAAATACAAATAGACATATCTCGGCCATTTCTCTCTCTTTCTTTCTCTTTTACTATCTTTCGATCTCCACCTTTTCCTCTAATGAATTAAAAAGTCATCAATATATACACACCGCAAGGGGGGAGGGGAGAGAGAGAGAGAGATAGCCTAAAGCCTTTAAGGCAAAGCGCAAATATTACGTCCTCAATCTAATATCCAAGATTCTGAATCCTAAATCCTATTTAGGGAGGGATGGATAACGATTTTACATTTAATATAGAGAGAAATAGGGATAGATAGATAGCGAGAGAGAGACAGAGAGGTAATATCTTCCAGTTTCGAATAAATATCCTAAAATTGTATTGGAAGACGAGAAAACGGATATAAATTAGCCTCTGATAATTTTGTCGATTTTCATAATCAATCCACCTCCCCCCCCCCGGTTGCTCTACCAAATACGTGTGCCAGAAGTCTATGGATGCAATGAGCGAACCAGTTCTAATATTTTTCCGCTTAATTCAGTGCTAGATGGAGTGATGACAAGGTTCCTACTAAGATCTCCTGTTCTAGAACAAGACTTTTCAAACTAACCAACCCCAGATTGGCATGCTCAAGGAAATAACCTTGAAGGGGCCAAACTTTTTTAAGCGATTTGGGCTCTGGGCCTCTGTAACTTTTCTTAATCACGTTTTGGATTCTTCAAAGTCTATTCAAGTTTTCTTCCCAAGAAGTCTTTTTTAGAAAGAAGTCAACAGTCTCTTCGAATGAAGAACTTAAAGAGCATATAACACGAGAATTCGGATGAAAGATGGAAACGATGAATAATATTTAAATTCATGCATAAAAATAGAGGACAGATACCTCAAAGTTGAGGGCGTTGACCGGGGAAGCATCACAAGCACAGCCCGCTCTGTGTCAATTACTAAGATGTCATCAATCGCCAGGCATCGAGATGTAAAAATAGATCCCCACAAACAACTACAATTCCTCAGGTAAGCACATGGAAGCAACTCTTTTCCCGAGGAGGAAAAGAAAGACAAATTTAGAATTTTATTAAAAACTAGTGATGCATGGAATATCTTGCATCTAAACTGATCCAAGTTTTTTAAGTCTCTGTTCGTGAAAAATTCAAAGTTTAGATCATTTTCCAGGTCTATCACGTTATATCATCATTCTTCAACTCTCTAGCTTTTCTATTTCCCAGAGTTGAGCTTGATCCATCTCAGATAAAAATGCTGATCTTAACCAGGGATCGTCTAAGATAACTTATCATTAAACTGAGTTTTCTGACCTAGTGTGCTTTTAGTAAAATCGAGCTGACCCTAATATGAGAGATGCTGGTGAGCTTAGATTTCAGACTGGGAAGCCTTAAAAGAAGCCCTGTTTGGGTCACAAGCTTTCAGGTGCCTGAAGTTGCCGTAGCTTTCTGTAACCAGAGCAGCATTGACCTAGATTGCCACCTTTATCTCCAGGAGTATGGGAAATATGCTAATTTCCGCTGTCTGTGGCCGGAATTAGCTGATCGACGCTTCTGAAGATGAACTGTGGGTTTGGGAGGGCGAACATCGAGGAATACTCTTCAGCCTCCAAGTCCTCATGAATTGAGGAACTCATAAAGCTCGCTGCAACTTTCCCTGCGCCTCCTCTGGCAATAGAAGCCTGTAAGGCACAATGCATAAAGATGATTATGAATGGTTCTCATGCCCTAGAGAAGAAAAAAATGCTTTGACGTACAGGTTCAAATGATGGCCAGGAATCATAGCCTCCCAAATCTATGGCTCTTATGATACTAGCAATATATTGCCATGAAAACGATGGATGATCCGAAAAGTGAGGCCATAAAGATTGCCTTTGGTGACGATCTAAGTGCATGAAAAAGGAACCGGGGTTGAGTTAAAACAGTTACCCAATGTTTCTCGTCGAGCTCAAACAGCCAAAATTTCCAGTAACTTGATTCCTTTCCATCAACATGAACAGAGATGTTTCTCCAGCTGGTATGATGAAACTCCACTCTGTTTAACTGGAAACCACCCAGTCCGGCACCCAAGGCCTTCATGTATGCCTCCTTCAAAGACCAATATCTACAGAACAAGTCAATAAAGGTAATGAAACCTCGGTGGCATCCCATCTTATCTTACTTATGTTTGAACGGCAGAAAAGAGGCACCTGGAAGCAAAAATTTTAGTTGCAAATACTCACTACCTTGAAACAAATAAGGACACACCATGCCTCCAAGGATCAACCATAGAAACGCAAAAAAAATTCTACTGTTGACATTAATTCATGAAGAATGTCCTGCTAAGGCTAACCATGGCATTAATCAAACGCATGGGATATTCTCCATAAGACAAGAGCCCTATAAACTAGCATTTTTGGTATGTTAAAACATTTCAAATACATTACTTCGAAAGGTGAACCAAAAATTGAAGTGATATCTCAATGAAAATTAAAAAAATCCATTTTCTCATTATAGACAAAAATAATAACTGATGGGCTTTTCCAAACAGGCCAAAAGGTGAACTTGTACCTACAGAATTCTGCGAACATAAGATTGGAATTTCCAGCACTTATTATATTTTTCCACTCCAAATAAGTGAAATGTGAGGATAAGCCATTCAAAAGATTCAGTTTTGCTTGGTGTTTGAAGTCAGCATCAGAAACAATGTCTAATCCCACGAGGAATACTGGTTCAGAGACAATGCCCACAAAATTCCCACTGTGTGACACATTGAAGTTGAAGTTCAGGTATCTGTTGCTTTGCCGACATGTATTCTGCACATACGACGTTATATAACATTTTTCAGCACAAAAGGATAGATGATGGACGCAATACATTCAATTCATAAATTTCATAAGGACACCAAAGTCAACTAGCTAACCTGGTCAACTTAAAAAAGAAATACTGAAAAGGGAAATGTAGAAGATTCAAGTTCAGCTTCCAACTCGATACCTTTCAAATTTAAATATATTGGGTTTTTTCAGAGTCAATGAGGTTCATTCATGGATCTCAATGTAATACATTTTTGCTGATGGCATCTAAAGCAGACAACTCAATGACACCAGATCTTTACCAAATCCGTGTCAGCTCTTTTTTTACCCCAATTAAATTTATGAGGATGAAAAATCAAGGATAGTCTTATTCAACTGAGAGATGTTTAAGAAAAAATACCTGCATCTTATATATTTCAAGTCACCAGGAAGCATTTCGCTTTTCTGTACAAGAAAGACGGTTCCCTGGACCAAAGGATAGAAGCCTTGATATTAAATAACTAAATGTTTGATTTCTATGGAAAGGTGATGTCCACATTCCATCAGAGTTTAGACAGGTTATGTTTACCAAAACGGTGCCACAGATTTTTGGTTGATGCTCTTTACTTTGTCAATTCGGTCTAGGGGTTAGAAAAAAATATACTAGTGAGTTGAGTAAAAGTAGGATATTCAGCATTTTAGTTGGAAGAAGATTATGAGAGAATGTTCTTTATAACCTTTCTTATTTCAAATGGCGGTGTGTACTAAAAATCTTAGTTGTCACCGAGTTTGGGGAAAGCAAGAAACGCCAGGTACGAAGTACAGAACACCTGTTTGAAAATTGAATGAGTTTACAGGGACATTGAATAAACATAAAAATAAAAACAAATAAAATATAAGTGATTGTCACGACAGACAACACCACCAGATAAGGTTTGCCTTCAATGGTGCGCTTTATGATGATCTCATTGTAAGGGATATCCAAAACCTCATGAACAAGTGAATACTGAAGCAGCCGACTGACAAGTGCACGTTTCCTATCATCCAGCGTAATAAACCTAGCATGTGATGGTGTGAAGATGCCGTCAACAAAAGCCGAAATTCAGAAAATATCATTCACAATAAGATGAAACAGAACAAAATCACAGTTCGTCTCTCAGTATCAGATGTTTGTTAAATGAAGGAACAAACAAGAAACTGTTTTGCTCTTTATTCACGTGTAATATTTTTATCTTCAAAATATGATGTGGAGACAAAATCAATTTCCTGCATCACATCCATTACATCCTTTCCATCTCAAGTTAAATTATCCAACACACTGTGATGATGAAAAGACTTAGTAGGCCCGGAATGTTCCAGGTTTGTTTTCTATAGGTTGATGTAGACGGTGGCTATCTTTTCTATAACTACGAGCAAGCTTCTGTTGTCACTTTTCCTCCTAACGTAGAGTTAAATTTTAGGCTGTACTCTCTGGAGGATTATAGGCAAATGGCTCATTGTTAGCAAACAATGAAAAATCTTTCTCAATTGAAGTGCTTCCAGAACTGCCGAACCAATGAACGTGAGGGGGCCAATGGGGAATAAATATAAATAGGAAAAATAAAAATTCTTTCACACTGATCATCAAGCATAGAGTGCTGCCGTGCTTTCACAATCATCGGAGTATGCTAAAATTCAGAAGGTCAAAAGACTATGCTGTGCCATTCATAATAGGAACTGAAATTCATGGCTGTGGCGGTGGTTTGTGGGCATTGTTCCTTTTTTTAGTCAGATTCGCGACACAGATTTTCCGCATGCTGCGACTGTCAACCCGAATTTCAGGTTTTGACAAGTAGCGTTGACTTTTAGATTTTCCATGCTATGACTTTTCAATGATTTTTCGTAAACATATGCCATATTATTGTCCATGGCACCCATCGTGTTCATCTGATAATGTAAATATCCCCTCAAAGATTTTCAAACTACGATGTAACTTGAAACGCATGATAGCATCATCCTTGTTGGAAAGGGTATACTAACAAGCAACTCGATAGCCAACAAGAAGAGCTAAATACGTCTCAACTTAATTTCTCAGAAACATAAAAACACATTAAAAAAAAACTTTCAGAAATTGTTCAGGCTACATGAAAAGGAAAAAAAAATCGAAGCAAAACTGCCGTTTCAAGACGCGTTTTCTGATAATACTCTCCTCTCTAACATGGTTTTATCTGAACAACCGCTTACAGAAGATAGATCGAGAGGGGCAATCCCTCATCCGTACTTGTTCACAGAAGGACGTTCGCACGGGGGGAGGAGAGAGACAAGGGAGGAGAACTCCCCCGGAGAAGGATCCCACGAGGATATGTCCACCAACCATCTCCGAACACCCTCCATCTTCTTTCTCATCCGAGGCGAGAGGCAACTGAGTCCAAACCCCGAACTTCACAGGCCTGGTAGGAGAATATCTATCGAGAACCGACAACTGGATCCGAATGCAAACGGCTATGCATTTTAGCTCATATAATTTGTTAAAGCCTTGGAAATCTGTTACTAATACAGTTGACTTATGATTGGATGTTCATTAGTAAATGAGCCACTGGTTACCACTTAGAAGATCTCTAGAGTCAAGTAGCCATGCTTTTTGACACTTGCCCACATCTAGTCTAGATCTGAACCCATAAAGACTAATGAAGAATTCTCAACGTAACTCTTAAATTTACGTTTATATAATTTGGTTAGAAGTTGTGCTTCTTTGTTACTAATACCGTTGACTTATCGTTGGATGTTCATTAGTTGACTTTTCACGAGTAACTAATTGCCACTTAAGTTCTAAAGAGACTCTACTCATGTAGCTACACATTTTGACACGTATCCACAACCAGTCTAGATCTGAGCCCATAAGACTTTAGAGAATTCCCAACAAGGTCTCTTAACTTTATGGATCTAATGCACATCTACCCTTTTTTTATGTCCCCAATTGTGGTTTATATTTTAAATCCAAAATTTTATTAATGATATAGAGTGGTTAGGGGTTTTAATGGGTCCAACCACCACAGCCCAAAATATTGTTCCTGGCCTATATTAGCTGGGCCAAGATAGGCTATTGCGAAGCACATCACTTCCCTTCGTAATGTGGTTATAATCAGGCCTGGGTTTCAAGTCCCAGCCTGGGGCCCATTTTTGGCCCTATGTCCCATAGAAAGATAATCATGCTAGTACGTGGATTAAAAAAATAAAATATATTCACAGTATAAATTATGAAAAGTATCAAGATCGAACTCTCCATATCGGTTTTAATACATTAGCCCATTATGGAAACTCACTTCTTCTTTTTGAAACATTATTTTCTTTGCTCAAAATAATTACTATTTTAAATTAATAATTACTATTTTAACATTAATCAAGTACTAACACATTTTAACATTTTAATTACCATTAATAATTATATTTTACATTCATTTATGTGATATTTACTTTGATTTTATCTTAAATATTATACAAAAATAAAATATTAACATTGTGTATATCTTGATGACATAGTTTTAGGTCAACAAAAGAAGAGTTATGCATTGAGTTCTCTAAAATCCTGAATGAAGAATTTGAGATGAGTGTGATGGGAGAACTAACTACTCTACTATGCTACTATGTTACAAAACAAAAAAAATTGAAGGATGGAATGTTTATCTCTAAATCAAAATATGTTGCAGAGATTGTGAAAAAATATAATCTAGGAATCACAAAAGAAAAGTTGACACCCATGGACTGCAAAATTAAGATTGATTTAGACGTCAAAATAAAATCTATAAATAATAAAATATATAGAGGAATGATTAGTTTACCCTTATATTTAACTATGAGTAGACTTGACATCATTCTTAGCATGTGCATGTGTTAAATTTCAAAATAATCCTTAAGAATCACATCTATCTACAATCAAACGAATAATTAAATATGTTGTTGGTATCTTTGACTTTGGAATATGGTATAAAATAGAGTGACATTAGCATGGTTGGATATAGTGATTCAACCTTTGCAGAAAATTTAATAGATAGATAAAAAAAATTGATGAGTTGTACATGATACTAGGAGGATGTCTTATTTTTATGGACATCTAAGAAACAAATAGTGGTAGCCTTGTCAATGACAAAAGCTGAATACGCAGTTACTACATTACGTTGCACACAAGTTTTATATGTCAAATCTTAGCTAAGAGTTTACATGATTAAACTAGAAAAGACACCCATAATGTGTGACAACATTAGCAAAATATGTGTAGCAAAGAATCACATCATTCACTTCAAGGACTAAACATATTGATACCAAACACTCATTTTATTAGAGATTATGTAACCAATAATGAAATTTTTCTAAAGTTTTCTAAATTAAACCTCGAACAACATAAATATTTACTATTCTATGAAGAAAAATAAGGATTTGTAGAGATAAAAAAATATTCAGATTAACATATATCTGCCATCCAAAATAATATCACTCATTGAATTCATATGAATTATACTAATATCACCTTACTTATTGCAAATAGAACGATCAAATTTCAATATCTATAAACTGAACTCAAAACAAGGTTTAAAATTAAGTTTTGGTGAACTCAGGTCATATGATGGTCAATCTCAATATCAATTTTTTTTTTCAAGTAATTTACTAACATAAAAAATAAAATAAAAAGGAAAAACTATTTTTCTCCACATTTTAATCTCTTTCAATGGCCAATGATGTTGTCACCTAGTTTTAGGACTTCAAATCTCCCAAAGTTGATGTGTTCTCACATTCCAAATTGATTGATGACTCATGATGTGTAAAAGTTTCCAAAAAAAATGGTGGAGAGAATCTAAAAAATTAAAACAAAAATAAAGGAGAAAAAATAAACCTTAAATCAGAAAAAAAGGGATAGAGAAAATATGATTTATGGTGGGATCTCCCTGCCAATGGATGAAAAATAATTTGAAAACAATTCTTATAAAAACAGAGATCATTTGAAACAAAGAGATTCAAGTGAGCAATATTAAATTAATTTTCGTCATAAAAAAGAAAATCACAATTTAATGAAAGTAAAATAGAATACTATTGGCTCGTGAAGTGACTCTACCAATGGTAAAATAGGAAAATAATTTGGATTCAAATCCTTATAAACATTGAGTAAATTATCAAATAAATGATTTCAAAAAGTCTTAATCAAAGTAACGTTCATATAAACATTTGTTAGAACTATAGGGGTAGATGAAACTCCAAGAGGTGGAAGGTGAATTGGGTTTCTAATATTTTTGGCCATTTTTTGTTTCTAGTTTATTATCTGTATGAGTTATTGCTAGATGTGTTGACATGAGTGTGCATGTAATTCTCTCTCACCAAAGACACCAATATTTTTATGCTAGTTCACCTTCACCTAGCTGCTTACAATCTAGGAGTACTCCTAATATTTTACTATTTTCCTTAGGAAATACAAATTGATGTTCATAGGCTCAGGCCCCCTCGTGCCTTCCCTCAACAACATCTCCCTTCACCACCTAGATACCTTAGCATGATGGAGAGTGCTCTCCTTCAAATCAAATGTTGTTCTAGTTGCTGAAGTCTAATGTAGATCATGATGCAACTTTCTGCTCATCATTAATACATAATCATGCATTAGCTGTTGGTTTTAATGCATGCAAATTTAAGAAAATTTATAACTGAACTCTCTAAATAAATTCTAGTATTAGTGCTTATTTAGGTTGATCTTCAAGGATGGTGAGAACTAATTTTGATTCATTTATAATTTTTCTAACACAAATACTAACTAAAAGAAAGGAAAAAAATAAAATGGGATGAGACAAATGATGTAATCTTCTCTTCAATAAATAATTCACAATCACATTTAACCTTTTATTTTCAAATAAATATCAATAAATTAATTTATATACATAAAACTATGTTTTTAAAAATTATATCAATATGTGTATTTTTAATGAAATAAAACATAAATAAATATAAAATTAATATATTAATCATATAATTCATAGAATTATTAGTACATCCAATAAGAAGAGTTTGAGATTCTCACTTAGATTTCTATCTGTAATGCTTGTTTCTATTTCTCAAGCCTATCCTTGTATATTAATTATCATCCTTTAATAATTTCTTACTTTGATAGTGATGTGAATTAATCTTTTATAATAAATTATAAAAAAATAAAATGTGTAAAAGTAGAAAATATTAAAATTTGAATTTTTAGAAATAATTTAGAATAAATCAATAAACTATAATTCAATAAAAGGTTCTAAAAATAATGATAAACTTTAAATCAATCTCAAAGACATAAGATAATATCTGATAATATTTTAGAATTTTCTTCAAAGAATATGCTTTTTTAGGATTTGTAGACTAAATGATGAAGATAAAATATATTTAAAAATTCACAAAATAAAATTCAGATGTAGATGTCAAGATGACATTAACATCTTGATGAATGCAATTCGAAGGAAGTCAATTTTTACTTGATGATTCTTACATAAATATTTATAGATGATTTAATTAATCAAATTAATATATGTAAAATCAAAAAGAATCCTAATTGAATAATATTTTTTTTTGAAATTTAAAATCACAGAAAACATTAGTAAATTAAGTAAAAATTAAGTTTAAAAGATAAAATATATAGTTCTAGCTTCATGACAGTGATCACCAAAATTTTATATACTTTAGAAGATTATCGTGTGATGTCCACAACCTCAAAAGCTCTCCTTAGACGTAGACAACATGAACAATCTCTAGATTTTATTGTGAAGTTCAAAAATTAATGAGGTAGATTTATTTAATATTAAAATAAATATATTATATATTATTCTTATTTTAAATAAGAAATATATTAACTCTTTTAAATTTCAAAATTAATTATATAAAATTATATTTTATTTTATAAATTAAAATATTAAATTATTTAAATAAAATAAATTGAGCATTAAAAATCAAGCATTAACATGGATCTCCATCGACTATTATATGACAAAGATAAGTTGGATAGAGGTGGGGTACATCTCAGGATTTTTCATCCTTAGGTTTACATAACAAGATGACTTTTCATTACATTTGATATGCTCTCAAGAGATGGTGACTCATCTCATCTCTTAGTAAATCATCCTTTTTCTAATTATGACTCATTTGTCAATCAATTGGAGATGATTTTCTCAATAGATTCATGATCTTTTTATCTAGATTCATTTGATAGTTGATAACAATGCTTTCTGAATCACATTGATGACATTTTTACTAATGATTGAATGATTACAGTGGCTTAATCATTGATTAATGCTCTACAAAAAATCAAGATTTAATAAGATAAAAATAAGAATTTTGGGTCCAATGAGATTTGAACCTTTGTTGGTCATATGTGTGTGTGTGAGAGAAGTAAC